CCAAGGTCCACCAGGGAGCTTCATGGCTGAGTGGGGATTCGAACCCTGCTCTCCCAGGTCCTCCTAGTCCGGCCCTCCAACCACTACACCTCTGCCTGGCTCCATTTTACATCTCTCTTGCTGCCCAATGGCATCAGCCTTCTCCCCCTTCCTGAGGGTCTCTCTGGCTCCAAGGAAGACTCCACCGCCTTCCTCATGTTCTGCTCCTCCTATTGGAGACCTTGATGCTTGGACGACCCTCCTAGGAGTCTCCTCCCTCTCAGGAAGGGCAGGGCTGTCCTAAGAAGACAAGGCAGAGAAGCCCTTTAACAGCTGGCAGTGCTTCTCTTTCCTTTGGGCTGGAGCTCTTGAACCCATAGCACTTGGGGCCTCCTTTCTCTCTCTGCCAGCCCTTCGTGATCTGGGCTGCCTCTTTCCAGCTCTGGTGATGCCCTTTCAGGTCACTGAACTGCAGAGAGATGGAAAGAATTGGGCCAGACGCCCCTCCTCTCACACAAACACCCCCCAAGAATTGGGGCTGCTGGCTTCTGAGTTGCTCTCTCTGCTTGTCTCTTCTAAGTTCAGGTGCTTAGGACAGCTGATCAGCTGCAGCAACAGGGTGGCCTCCCTGCAAGGCCTGGAGCAGACTCAGGCGTCAGGTGAGCAAGTGGACCTCCTTTTTGAGACAGAGGAGGGCAGGAATGGGCTAGGGGGGCAGCTAGTCAAAAGATGCACAGAACCAGAGGGCTGGATCTGACCCAAGGTCCATCTGGGTCAGCGTCTGGAAACCCAACGCCCCCAGCGATCAACCTCTTTTGTGGGGTCCAATGGAGGAAGCAGTGGGCTGGGCTGCGGGGCAAGGCGGGGAGGCAGTCGTCAGCAGGAGGGGCACCTTCCCTGGGGAGCCATGTTCTGGGGCAGGAGGCCAGGATTGGCCCCCAAGGCCTGGGGTGTCCCTCCCCTGTAGTAGGACTTGGAATTCAGGAGAAAACTCTTGGAGCATTGAAACTTTTCCGTATTGTATCATATCATAATGATTTTTTGGGGTCATTTGCAGAATATGGATAGATAGCTTTTCAAAATGAGAGCAAGAGAAAGGCTTCTTTGTGTCCATGAGATGAGTCTGTTTGTCTCAAAATTAGACCTACAGTCATATCTCGGATTAAATCTTTTCAGGTTGCGTCCCGCGGCGACTGGGGAGTACCGGAAAGGGTTACTTCTGGGTTTTGGTGCTTGCGCATGCGCAGACGCTCAAAATGAAGTCACGTGCATGCGCTGAAGCGACAAATTGTGACCCGCGCACACGCAGACACGGATTGCGTTCTGCTCATGTTGCGAACGGGGCTCCGGAATGGATCCTGTTCGCAACCAGAGGTACCACTGTAATATAAACGTGATTACTTGGCAAAAGCAAGCTCACACCTCCCATTGAGTTTGTATACATACTTAAAGTACATATGTAAGAGGCTCGTTTATAATTGCATTTTGGGATGATTCATGTTCTTATGTAACTGCGTTGTTTTATACCTTCTGGAGGTCCCATGATCATATTATAAAGTAGTTGTGTTCTATGCTGTAAATCAACCAACTGCTAGGAGTTGTTTCGTTTCCCAAAGTATTTCTTATAAATAGAAAATTAAGTGTGGCACAATCCAATTTTTACTCTGAAAGTGCAGCTTAGAAAAAATGTTTGCGATCCACCGTAGTAACTCTTTGGCCTTAACGGGATGCGGATGGGAAGGTCAGACGTGGCGGTGACGCGTGTGAGCCGCGATCCGCCCGTTCTAGCGCTCAAGCTCCGCCTTCGGCAGCCCCGCCCCCCCCGCAATTGGAGCTTCTCCGCCTTCCGTTTAAACGCTGCGACGATCGCCGCCCGTCCCCCCTCGCGATTCTTAAACCGCTTTCCTCCTCGGTACTTTTCGTTATATTCTATTTTATTTTGTAACCCGGGGGAGCGGGATGTCCAGTTAAAAGGAGATGGCGCCTCCCCCCATAAAAACGAGACCGCCGTCACGAACAGGATTCGAACCTGTGCGGGGAAACCCCATTGGATTTCGAGTCCAACGCCTTAACCACTCGGCCACCGTGACTCTCGGGCCAAGGCTGCGCGGAGCTTCAGCTAGACCGGCCCGCCAGGCGGCCTGGACCGACCGCGGGAGCGCGAAACGGGCGGCGGGGAGAAGCCCGGCGGCGGCGGAGGAGGAGGAGGAGGAGACCCGAGCGCCGCGTCTCCCCTCCGCCGCCCGCGCCGCCAGAAAGGACGCCCGGCCCCGGCGCCTTCCGCTCGCCTCAGCTTCGCGACCCCCAAATTCCCCTCAGCGCAGCGCGGACTCCATTTTTAATACGAATATTCCCGATAAATTCAGCCTCCGCCGCCGCTGTTCCCCGCCTTCCCGCCCAGCCCCGCAGGTCCCCTCAGGCCGCGCGGGTTTCGTGCTCCTGAGCATGTGCAGAATTCCCGCCTCCCTCGTTGCGCGTCCGGGGCCAGTTGCCCGTCTTTGAGGAGGCTCCTGAGGGCATCGCTATCCCCGTCGCCTAGACTGGGATTTCAAGGGCTCCGAGGTCACGGCAGACACGGAATCTTCGCGACTCCCAGCCTGGGAATTAGACCAGCCCAAGCCTCTTCCCCCGGGGGTGCTGGTTGGGGTTGGACTAGATGACCCTGGGACCCTTTCCGACTCGACAGTTCTGCGATTCTATGCCCTGCACGCCTTCACTTTGAATCCTGGGCCTGTTTGCCTCGCCAGGTTCCTTCGAGAGCACAGGCAGGATATATATTCCATAAATAATGAACCTGGAAATGTGTTCATGGGCATCACCACTAGTTAGTATTTCACATGCTGCAGAGCTAAGTCTTGGTGCAGGAAAAAGGTGATCGCTCCATCCTTGCACTCTGTGTTACCTGGACACTTCTGCTGCCACTCCTTGTTGCGTACACAAAATCAGTTGGTTTAATAATAATAATTTTATTATTTATACCCCACCCATCTGACTGGGTTTCCCCAGCCACTCTGGGCGGCTCCCAACCGAATACTGAAAACAATACAGCATTAAACAATTTAAACTTTCCTAAACAGGGCTGCCTTCAAATGTCTTTTAAAAGTAAAATAGTTGCTTATTGCCTTGACATTTGATTCCCTCCCTCCCTCTCTTTCTTTTTTCTTTTCCTTCTCCTGCGATGCGGCTACATTTTAATATTTTAATGTTCCATTATTTTAATGTTGTATTTTATTTTTGTTTTTAAGTTGTAATCATTCATCTTGTTTTTATTATTGCTTGTAAGCCACTCTGAGCCCGGCCTTGGCTGGGGAGGGCGGGGTATAAATAAAAAATTATTATTATTATTATTATTGACATCTGATGGGAGGGCGTTCTACAGGGCAGGCACCACTAGTGAGAAGGCCCTCTGCCTGGCTCCCTGTAACCTCGCAGTGAGGGAACCGCCAGAAGACCCTTGGAGCTGGACCTCAGTGAACGATGGGGATGGAGACGCTCCTTCAGGTATACTGGGCCAAGGCCATTTAAGAATCGGCAACCTCCTGTAAAAGGATGTAGTTAAAAGGCGAGGTCCGTCCTTGCATCTCCCAGTTACGATAAAGGGTGGCTAAAGTGTGTTGCAGGAACCTTCCTGCATTAAACAACATGTCCGGCACTCAAGACTGCAAGACTGTCTGATCTGCAAGCTTCGCTCCTTTATTCTAGACGTGCAAGGAACACGCTCTGGCTGCTCACATTCTGCATGAAGTGCCTCTCTCCTTTAGGATTGCTTTGATTGCCTTCTAGTTTGGCCCTTAGAATAACAGAATCATAGAGCTGGAAGGGATCACAAGGGTCATCTAGTCCAACCCCCTGCAATGTAGGAATCTTTTGCCCCACATGGGGCTCGAACCCACAACACTGATAGTGCTAATGATAATGGAAAGGTGAGGCATTCTTCCCAAGGGCTCTGGTGCAAAAGAGTGAATAATGTCATGAAGCTCCCGGGGTGACCTTGGGCCAGTCGCCATCTCTTAGCCTAACCTAATTCTCAGGGTTGTGACGATGAAATGGGGAGGAGGAGAATCCTGTGCACCACCTTGAGCTCCTTGGAAGAAAAAGGTGGTATATACATGTAATAAATATAATGATATAAATGCACCATATGAAGCTGCTGTTTCTGAGATGTCAGGTAATCAGAATAGTTTTAATGTAACAGACCTGAAACAGAAAGATGCTTAGAATATCTGTTGCCCCTCTGAGCACGCACTGGAGCCACCCAGAGTGGCTGGGGAAACCCAGCCAGATGGGCGGGGTATAAATAATAAATTATTATATTTTTATTATTGAAGATTCCTTTGTAATGCATTTCTCAAAATGCATTTGTGTCGTAAAGGTGCCTTACAATGATAAAAGCAATCTAGGCCTTGCCTGCAGGTTGACAGTGCAGAGGAAACAGGAAAGCAAGCAAATTCATGAGCCATTTGCACCCCAACCCCAGGATATGGCCTGAGCCTTGTTTTCTTATTTCTCCCCAAGGGATCCCTTCTACCTTTCCTGAATTCCCTGATCCCACTCACACTCAACCCAATTGTTAGCTACAACATTTCGCTTTTTAGCGCCCCCCCCCCGCGCGCATTTTCAGCCCTCGTCCTACATTTCCTGAACTGAAGGAAAGAAGGGAATTTATTCTTGGCTACTTTCAGTCTCGACTTCAATCCGTGTCCTTTCCCATCACTAAACAGAACATTCAGTCCCAAAATATATACATACATGTATAAACATGCATGCATGCATATTCTATACACCCGCACTTGTTTCCGGTGGAAGATGCGCCCGACCCCTTTGCCGTTCCCCGCACTTCAGCCTCCGCGTCTTGCGGCTCTCGGCCTGCAGGGGGCGCTTCGCCTCCAAAGCGTGGCCGGGCTTTCCCCGCTTCCTCCCTTTCCCTCTCGGCCCAGGAGGGGTCGCTGCGTCGGGCCGCGCGGGGCAGCGGCCGCCAGCAGAGGGCGCTGCGAGGGCCGTGGCGGCGGCGGCGGCGGCGCACGGGGCAGGGCGAGCGGAGGCGGCGGCGGCGGCGGCGGCGCGGCCCAGGCCGGCGGCGCTGGGAAAATGGCGGTGCGGAAGAAGGATGGCGGCCCCAACGTCAAGTACTACGAGGCCTCGGACACCGTTAGCCAGTTCGACAGCGCGCGCATCTGGCTCAGCAAGAACTACAAGAAGGTAGCGGCCTTGCCGCCCAGGGCCCGGGCCTCCTGCCTCGGCTCCGCGGGAGGAGGGCGAGGCGGGGGCGCCCGTCCTCCGCCTCGGCGGCTCCCCCCCGCTCCCTCCTCGGGACCCCGCCGCGCGCGCCCGGGCTGCTCCCCATAAGCGAGCAGGGGCTGGGGGGTTGTGGGGGGTCGCGCGGCGCTGCGGGACCAGAAGGGATGGGAGCGGGCGGGCAGGAGAGGGGCAGCGCGCCCCCTCTTTTCCCATAGGGAGCGGGGATCCCAGCGACCCCACCCCGCCCCCCCGGGAGGGTCTCTCCGGCCGCGATCCCGCTCCGCCCTCCTCCGCCGGAGACGGCGCCTGGCAGGGCAAGGGGACCCCATTTGGGCATCCCATTGTTGTTTCCCTCCAGGCCGCCCAGGGGTGCCGACTCCCTGCTCTGACCTCTGGGCGTCTTGTCACCTGCTGCCTCGTGCGGGGGGGGGGCGCCCCCATTGTCCCTTGAAGCATTTCTCCCTAATTTGATCCAAGTGGATTTCTCCCAGCCGAGTCCCTGAAAGTTTCATTCACTGACATATTAACTGACCTCCCCCACCCGCTTCTTCTTCTTCTTCTTCTTCCAAATGGTTCACCCTCCCTCCTGAAGCAATCCCCAGTTGACTTCAATAAATGATCTCCCACCTGCTGAAACTGTGCTCTTTGACTTGCTTCCTGCCCTGTTATATTTCTGTATTAGTCTTCTGGAAACGGGGTGCGGTGCACTGTAGTGGTTTTCTTTCCTACCTCCAGGAGAGCTGTTCAGCTGCCCCTTAATCTGGGGGGTACTTTGCTTTGCTTTTTCAGTTTATCTGATTCCTGTCAGCAGAAAATGGAAACGCTTTTGTGTGTTGCAGTTTACCTCTCTGCCTCTTCCTTTCATTAAGTCTGCAACAAGAGACTCCTCTCCCCAGATTACTGAGGCTATTTGCATGTTAGATCCCCTACTCCTTTCAGCTTTCCTCTGTGGTCCTCTGATCAGCCGAAGGCCCAGAAGCTGAAATGAATGTTGATGGAATCTCCTCTCCAACACACACACATGTAATATGTGTGGATGGGCAATTTGAGGACACGTGCAACCTTCTGGGATGAAGGCACGTGGAAGACTGCCTGGTAGTTTCTGCCTGGGTCTCTGCTGTTTGACAGTTGTATCCTTTCTAGCAAGCAGCATGGGTCTTGGTTCCCATGCTGTTTACCTTTGACCTTCCGAGTGAGAATGTCTGAGTCACCAGACAGCTTTCTGTGTTTGGAGTGACAGATTGTGACCTGATGTTCACCACTTCCCTGCAAGTTCAACACTTGCCAGCCCTCATGTCATTTGCAACAACTCAAGGAGCGGCATTAAATGGATTCTCATTCTAACTCCCATAATTTTACTAGCGCTAGCAATGTGGAACTTTTAAAAAATGCTGTCTTTAAATGTAGCTGGAATGATCCATGCATGAAACTTTGTTTGCATACTTGGCTGGTACTTGCACACCAGGCAAATCAAGGAGGCCTGAGCTTCTGTTGTGTAGGGGAGAAGTTTAGCAAGGGTGGGGTGGGGACCCCCTCATCCCTTTTGTGGTCAGTTCACTGCTTCACAGTCTGCTGTTACACACAGTTAAATGGACCTGTGTATTAGTTAATGCATGGCAAAGTCACAAAGCCCAGCGCTTAAAGAAATGTGATGGACCTGTGTTGATAATGCTTCGTGTATTTGCGAGAAAGAGTTATAGTTATAAATATTGTTATTTATAAGGTATAAAAAGTATTCACAGGAAGTATGCTTTAAAGCTTTAACACATAGCTGTCAACGTTTCCCTTTTTTAAAGGGAAATTCCCTTATTCCGAATAGGATTCCTTGCAAGAAAAGGGAAAAGTTGACAGCTATGCTTTAACAGATTTGACTGCAATCCTAGCTACACTTACCCGGGAGTATCTTGGAATACAGTGAGACTTATGTCTGAATAATTGCATTGCTGATATTGAGTATGTCCAGACTTTTGCTGAGACTCTTGTCCCAAAATTTGAAATGGGGTCCCTGCTGTTTGCTGAGGGAGAGAGAGAAAATATATTCTTCTCCCTCCCACCCCACATTTCCCCAACAAATGTGCAGAGGATGCAAGCTAAAAAGAATAGGGCAATAGACATGGCAATTAAGAGGGAACATATTCTGAATGCACACGGTTACACCAAAGCACCATGGCACATAGATGTTTCTGCAATGTTCACACACCATTTGTTCCATAAAACTTTGTTGATAGTAATTTCAAATGGCATAGTTATCTCTTACGTGCTGGGTAGTGTTCTCAGCGTTGAGACTTCAACAAACCTATTTTCTTGGGAACACAACTTTGGAGATGTGAAATGTTTGCAAGTAAAACTATGAATCAGGTCACATCAGTGGTAGTTGTATCATACGAAATCTGGAACAGTGATGGGGGGGGGTCTCTACAAGAGTATTGTGATTTTTTTTATGCCTGCAGCAGACTACAGAATGATTTAAGAATATAGTTGATGATACTCTCATCTGTGTGCCACCTGAGTTGATATGAAATGTGAAGTCTGCAGTGCTCTGCAGCTGAAAGTCTCATTGCCCACACATGAAAATGGTTATTGTGCCAATTTGAGGCCATGATTCTTTGTCTCCATAGGACCCCTAAAATGTCCTCATTATATACAGAATTAATTGAAAATAGTCGTTAGGTGTTAGTTCAGTCCTTTGCTAGACATAATATTCTCCTGACATAATATTCAAGATTTCCCATTTTGACTGAAAGTTTTTAGAGGCCAGAACCAGCTTTGTTTAGTACCCACAGTTCTTTGGAGAACTCTTGTTGCTTGAGAGTGCTGTCCTGTGCCTAGTGGATCTTTCTTATTCCATAGTAGGATTGCTTTGTGTGTAGAATTGGATCTCTTTAGGTGTGCCATTTTTTCCTTCTGAAAAAGCATCTCTTTCAGTGATACTTGGAATCCACTTTTCATCCTAACCTGCATTGTAAGACACACCTTTATCTTTATTTGCTGTATATGTCTGTCTGTTTTCCTCTGTTGCCTCTTTCTCTTTTCCTTCTGAAAAACATAAAGAAAAAAAATTGGTTGTGTCGCTACCAGTGGTAACTCACTTTAGGTTAGGGCATGTTGGTCATCGTAACCCAGTTGCTGAAAATGATGAATACTCAGTCTGTTCTTTGCCAAGGTCTCACATGTGCTTGATTGCTGCTTAAAAGAGTGATCTGGATAGGAGTCATCTAAGCCTCGGTCCTTCTTCCCACAGTACATCCAAGCAGAGCCACCTACCAATAAGTCGTTGTCCAGCCTAGTAGTACAGCTGCTGCAGTTCCAAGAGGAGGTGTTTGGAAAACATGTCAGCAATGCACCACTCACAAAGTTACCGGTGAGTCTCACAGCTGTCTTGGTTCAGGTGTGGTAGAGAAAGAAAAGCGTCTTCCGCAGAGTAGGTTGCTTCTAGAGAGATCTCCTGTCTGTCTGTCTTGTCTGCCTAAGAACAGTTTAGTCTTCTTATACAGAATAAAATGATAGGCTGAGGTACTAGAAACTTGCAAAACTTGAACGTTGGAGGGGCAGAGTTATTTTTAGTGGTTCCTCATTCAGAAAGCTTATCACATTGGACAGAGGACTAGACCAAATCTTTCTTCCTGATGTGGTCCTTTACTATAGCACCTCAGCCTACTAGCTCATTCTAGTATGAAACAGTTCTGAGATTCTGTAACGATAGCAGGAATTTGGCACATAAAATAGAAGGTTTTCTGGGGCTTAGCTATTTGCAGAACTCCATGGTATTTCCCTGTGTAAGCATGCAGTTCTGTGTTGTTGGGATTTTTCAGAATATTATGCTTGGGAGAGACACATAATAAGCAGTAATTATTGCATTCCCGGAGAAAACAATTGTGTCAGGTTTTGATTCAGGCTGGCACTGACGGATATTGCTCTTGCTATGCTCTTGGTTGTTCTTCTAAGCTTTGGTAGCTTGGAAGTCAGTTTAATCTTTTTATGCTGTTTATACAAATAGAGAAGGATAACATAAAACATTTACACTGATATAGCTTAACATAAAAACAAATTATACTGACTTTATCTACACCGCCATACAAAATTCAGTGCAAATATAATTCAACATCATTTTAAATTTTGATGGCTTAGATCTTGTTGCTTTCCATGACTTCCTTGCAGCAGGGTGATTATAATGTTCCTTTGGTTGGTTCCTGAAGGATGGGTTCAAATTTTTATATTCCACTTCTTCGGCTTATTGCATTGCTATTCATCCAAGTCATGTATCCGTAACTCAAGTTACTTTGCTGGGCTTTAATCTCTCTTGCTTGATAGTCAGTGCTACCCTCTCTGACCAGAGTTCAGTTCTATACTGTTAGCATCAGGCACTTTTTCTAAGGTGCTCTGAATTCTGTTGTTCTCCACCCTAACAGATGGAGAGCTCATGAGATTTTCCATTAAGAAGGCCGTCTTCTGGAGTAGATGCAGCTCATCTAACTCTAACTCTGGCTATCTCTATTATAGATAAAATGCTTCTTAGATTTCAAAGCTGGTGGTGCCCTATGTCACATCCTTGCAGCAGCCTATAAATTCAAGAGCGATCAAGGATGGTAAGCATTTTTACTTTACTATTCTCACCACATTCCATGATAGGGTAGAGGTTTTTGGTTGTGTATTGGTAGGGTAGGAGTTCCTGGCTACGTGCAGAAATGAATTGACAGATTTAGTGCTTGTAAAAGAGGTCATTTGAATGCATCTGAATGTTGTGAACAACAGTTTCTTCGCCTTCCATCCATTTTTTTTCCAGGGAGGATGGGGTTATAAAACAAGGACATTTTAGTTATTTAATTAAATTTATCTACCTCATCCTGCTAAAAAAATATTCTTGAACTTGACACTCTCCCCTTCAGAGATTAACAATGTAAGAATCTGAATATAGTTTGCAAAGCGACAATGGTACTGAGATAGTATCATTTCACAAGCAATGTTGTGTGTAAGGGAGCAACTTGCTGTTGTGGAGTCTTTAATCTGCATTATGCACTTAAAGCTGTATCATATGACTTTGAACAGTCATGGCTTTCCCCAAAGGATCCTGGGAGCTATAGTTTGTTAAAGGATGCTGAGAGCTGTTAGGAGACCAACATTCCCCCCACCGAGCCACAATTCCCAGAGTTCCCTGTGAAGAGGGATTGATTGTTAAACAATTCTGAGAACTGTCACTTTGTGAGGAGTCTCATAATAATAACCCCCAGCCCGCTGAGCAAACTACAGCTCCCAGGATTCTTTGGGGAAGCCATGAATATTTAAAGTTGTATGATACTGGTTTAAATGTGTAGTATGGATGTGGCTGCTTGGAGGCAGTGATATGAATGAGGAGTACAGCCTTCATGTTACCATTTTTTATATGAATGTATCTACCCCCCGGGATGCATTTGGGTTCACAGTGCTAAATACTGCTCTAGCTTTATCATAATCCACATTCAAATTTTTTATTGTGTGCACGTTGTGTTAAACGATAGTTAATGTTTAATTGTGTTTAACTATGCTTTCTTTTGAGTTAGCACCGTCCTGGTAAATATACTCTGAAATCCCAGCTTTGCTCCTCTCGCAATTCTGACCATATTGTGCTGGGAGCGAAAAGCCCTGGGCTCATGGTTTGCTTCCCCCAAAGAAACAACAAGCAGTAAGCCAAGAATAAACTTGAGGTAGCCCTCATGGTCTGTTTGGGGAGGAATGGACCACAGGCCCAGATTTCGTTGATGCAGTAAGCCAAGGCTTGTGGTTTGTTGCTTCTGGCACAGCCAGAAAGTGGGGGAGAAATGAGGTAGAGATTATTGAGCAGCACACTGGCCATTTGCACTGAACTGTAGTTTAACATCAACTATAGTGAGGTGTGAACCAGGCCAGTTGATTCTGTGGCCCGTTTCCACTCTTCCTCAAAAGTCTAGATTTGTAAAATAGAACATTTAAGAAACGTGAACTCTGATTTTTATTAAGGTTGCTCTTTTCTTCCAATAAGGCGGCGTTTCGATTTCCAGAATCCATCACGGATGGACCGCAATGTGGAGATGTTCATGACGATCGAAAAATCTCTGGTGCAGGTAAGGTGATTTCTTTCCCTTTCTCTGCCCTTTTATGGATTTCTGGCCACCAGGTGCTCATCTGCACTATTTATTTTTCTTCCAGAACAATTGTCTCTCCCGACCTAACATCTATTTGCATCCAGACGTTGACCCTAAATTGCAGGCCAAGCTGAAAGACATTGTGAAACGGCACCAGGTGGGTGAGATTGCAGAACAGCATTAGCTGGGTATCGCAAAAATTTCCAGAGGGTCATGCATATCTGAAAATGGCTGAGATTGTTATATGCTTGTTTGCTTGGGAATTAAGAATAATATAGCAGCACATCTGCTTGCCTGCCACGATGCTGTATGTAAGTTTACATTTAAATAAATTGTCCACAAGGGACCATTAAAATATTAAAAGAAGTAAGTCTCTCCCATGGAATGGTACATGATAATTTGGTGACCCCCTTCTACTAATGAATTTTTGTAAAGAGGGCATTTAAAAGTTGGGAAAATACCCCTGAACAGTAATGCTCTGATGGTGTGGGTACTTAAGCAGTTCAGCACTCCTACCATGCCTGAGAGTTTACAGAGTAATGCGAAACAAAAGGCTCAAGGAGAGAATAGTCTAAATAAGGACATTGCAGGAGATAATCACAAGGAAAGCAAAAGATGTGTGTGAGCAGTTCCAGTTCCGCATGCATATACAGTGGTACCTCAGGTTACATACGCTTCAGGTTACAGACACTTCAGGTTACAGACTCCGCTAACCCAGAAATATTACCTCGGGTTAAGAACTTTGCTTCAGGATGAAAACAGAAATCGTGCTCCGGCGGCACGGTGGCGGCAGCAGGAGGCCCCATTAGCTAAAGTGGTGCTTCAGGTTAAGAACAGTTTCAGGTTAAGAACGGACCTCCGGAATGAATTCAGTACTTAACCCGAGGTACCACTGTATTTTGTTTTTGTTGGGGAAGAGAACTAAGGGCATCATGGGAAAAGTGAGTTTTGTGCGGAAAAGAGGTGCTACCATGTAGGACTTCCAGGTGGGAGTCCCTATCATAAAGAGCTGCAATGGAGAACAGGTGGCTCAAACCAGTATAGGCTGACCAAAGAGAAGTAAGGCCTACCCAAACTGCTTACAGGGTGAGATGCTTTCTCCAAACCTAAGTGGTTTTGGTCCAGTAATGAGGTTTTAATAACTGTTTCAACTCTTCATAAGCAGTTTTGGCCTCTTGCTAGTATAGCATGGCATTGAGGAAGACAGGTTTAATTGCATATAAATAAACTTTCCCAGATAGCTTTCACTCTGTAACCTGCCTCATTATGAGGCATACGCTGCTGGAATTCAGATGTTCTGGTCTTTATACACTCTTTTGATCTCTTTCCAGGGAACAGTAACAGAAGATAAGAACAATGCTTCCCATATTGTCTTCCCTGTCCCTGGTAGCCTTGAAGAAGGTAAGGTTTCTGTCTATTTTCATTCAGTTGTAGAATTTTAACTTTCATCTTGCTGGGTGATCTCTGGTTGTTGCATGCTTGATTATCCCACACTGGGTTGTAGCTAGGCATGCTGATAAAACAGTCAGCAAATTGCAGTGCTACTCGCATTTTTCCCAGTAGGGGAACGACACGTGTTCAGCTGGAGTGAAAGAGACCACATTTAAAGCAGCAACAATAGAAAACAGCTCATTAGTAAAGGGCGAGGGACTGTTGTGGTGGTGAAGGAAAGCGGAACATGATTTACAAATCATTTAAATCTAAAGAAGTAAAATACCATATTTTTCGCTCTATAAGACGCACTTTTTTCCCTCCTAAAAGGTAAGGGGGAATGTGTGTGCGTCTTATGGAGCGAATGCAGGCTGCGCAGCTATCGCTGAAGCCAGAACAGCAAGAGGGAGAGATGCGCAGCGCCTCTTGTTGTGATGTCTTAGCCTGATCCTCCCCCCTCCTTCCTCTTCAACAACATTTGATTCAGAATATTTTTTTTCTTGTTTTCCTCCTCTGAAAACTAGGTGCGTCTTATAGAGCAAAAAATACAGTGGTACTCCTATTTTCTATAGCACCTTCAGTGTTTAAAATACTTTATAGCTTTTACTTTGCATATCCCAGAATGCACCATTCTTAGGCAGGATACTTGGTCCCCATTGCAATTATATTTCTCTTGCTTCCAATATTTGTTAGCCAAATACTCTCCTATTCTTTCAGGATATCTGGGCTGTATACAGCAGGCATGACTAACAAGGCTGTATACAGCAGGCATATAAAACAATCAATTGAAACAAAGACATTTTTCAAAAGTTAAACAATAGAACAAATTAACAACATAAACCAATACTTAAAATATTCAGGCAAATAAGGGTTATGCCTGGCACAGAAAGTATTGTTGTGTGGCACCAGTCATAGGTTGTGGAGAGGATCTTCCACAACTGGGGCTCCATCACAAGGAGGCCTCTTTGCATTACTACATAATGTATCCCCCCTGCCCTGCAAGAAACAAAACAAAAAACCCAACCCCGTATCTGGAGAAAAGCCCCCACTTATGATTTTACAGCACAGGCAGGTTGAGTAAGCTTCCCTAGGGTGGAAATTGCACAAATGGGATACCGCTGCTGCCTCTGCAGATGACCTAAGCTAATGCAGGTGCAGCCATTCTTTTACCCAACTTCCCTTACAGGGGCTCAGAGTAGATCACTGTAAAAATGCTGCACAATACAAATGGTGTGAAATAAAGTCTTTCCAGAGTGAATTAATACCTTGATCGTATTCATCCATGTTTACTCTTTCTTGTAGAAGAGTGGGTTCGCCCAATCATGAAGAGAGACAAACAGGTCCTCCTGCACTGGGGCTACTACCCTGACAGGTGAGCAGGAGCAGGGTTAGCATCTGTCCACTGTAACCTTCTCAATATAGGTATAGGAAGCATGTTTTCCCCTGTGTATTGGAGTGTGTATTTGCAGCTGATGCTACCAGTTTATATCCTCTGCTATTTTTGTTTTCTCCTAGCCACTTCCTGTAAATTTTCAGAATGTGACTCTGGCTAAGTTTTTCCTGTTTCTGAAAGTGGGGTATAGATGAACTTGTGCCTTAATTTCCGCACCCATTCCTTGAAACTGGCTACATTGTGCAGGAGAGGTTTTGAATCAACTGCTACCTGCTTTCCTTCATAGCTATGACACCTGGATACCAGCAAGTGAAATTGAGGCCCCTGTGGAGGACGCACCCACACCAGAGAAACCCCGCAAGGTAAAGGATTGCCTTTATTTGATGTTTGAGTACAAAAAGAACTTGGGATTGGGTCACTCAAGGCAGCTGTCACAGAATGTGAGGCTCTGAATTCATGTTATGTCCACTGGGCCAGAGATATTGCTTTGAGCCTTTCCTTGTTGCAATTTTGGATTGGGAAGTGGTTCATTTCCCTTCTTGCTTTAAGGTGCTCAGTGATGGGTTTCTCTTCTCCTCACATCAAGGTTCATGGCAAATGGATCCTGGACACAGACACTTTCAATGAGTGGATGAATGAAGAAGACTATGAAGTAAATGATGAGAAGAGCCCTGTCTCCCGCAGGAAGAAAATCTCTGCCAAGACTCTCACTGATGAGGTACGATGCTTTTAGAGAACTTCCATTTCTTTATAATACTTTTGGGATATCTTGGATATACCTATGTTCTAATGAGAGAAAAACATAAGACCGAGAACAAAACCATCTCTGACCAAAGCATATATAGGAGCATGATATTTCAGACCCACCATTTCTGTGTCCACTTCTTGTATAATTTTGGTCTTCCTCTGGGGCCAGCAACACTTTTTTGAACATACAAAGTAAGGCTACAGGATCAGAATCTCATAGCGCAGATTCATTTAAAGGCAAAATCAACCTGTGCTGTGAGATTCCAATCCTGTAGCCTTGGCTTTGTATGATGTTGTGTGTAGTGTGATCCTGAATGTTCACACTTGCTCACAAATGTAAGAAGTGCCTAGCTGGATCCAACCAAGTTCCATCTGGACCAGCTTTCATTGCAATAATTCCAAAAGCCGTCAAGTTCTATATGGTCCACCCCCTGTGTTCCTGTGTCTTATACCTGGCTCATATTCTGGACATGGGCCAGCAAGTCATTGGACTCCTTTGCTCTACCTCAGTTCCTGTGCTCCCCCCCCCCTTTTAAACAATTAGACACGATTTCTGTAGGAAGGAGATCAAGCCACACCTTTTCCCTGCTGTTTTGATTATGTGGGGAGTTCTCTCATATAAAAAAGCATCCAAGCTCTCAACTGCCATCTCCTGTCTAGCAACAGATGATGTGAGGCTGCTTGTTGTGTTTTGACACACAAAACAGACTATTGACTTCCAGTGAACTGAGGTCTCCCAACTGTAATGGACTTGGTGTAGAATGTGAGGAACAGAAGCCTGAGAAATGTCCATTCACTGTTTCCTCAGCAGATGCTGATCATTGCTCCTTCTGTACAGTTGCCTTATTTCATCTCTCTAGGTTAACAGTCCTGACTCAGACCGACGGGATAAGAAGGGAGGAAACTATAAGAAAAGGAAGCGTTCTCCCTCTCCTTCACCTACTCCAGAAGCAAAAAAGAAGAATGCCAAGAAAGGGTGAGGACAAGCTTTTCCTTTTTTTCCCTTTTGGGTTGACTAGATATCAGCTAGCTCAGCCTTGATTTTATTGGTTCTCTTGTGTCTCCTCCCCCACAATCCCATAAATTACACTGTCTTTAAAGAAAGATTGGAACTTGAAGTGTTCTGCAGTGAGGCCTCCTAGTACATTCCTGAGGACACAGATTATTGGCAGATAATCAGCCCATCACGTCCACTCCATTGACTGATTACACTGCTGACTCCACTTTCTGTATGCAGCTGTGGATTTGCCACATGAGCACATGACACTTTCACCTAATTTTCCTTTCTTGAGAATAAGCATCAAAGTGCCTTCTTACCAGAAGTGACACTTAAAGCTGGAAGAGAAACCTTTCTCCTTTTGGACAAAAACATTGATCATAGTGTTTGCTGTGCACAACCAAGTCTTTATGCTGCCCATACATGATGGAGTCCAGGGTGTTTTGCTTGTATTAGTTTGCTGCAACAAGGCTGATGGATCTCTCTCCTTACACCTCCCTCCACAGGCCTTCCACTCCCTACACCAAATCCAAGCGTGGCCACCGTGAAGAGGAGCAAGAAGACCTCACTAAAGACATGGATGAGCCTTCCCCTGTCCCTAATGTTGAAGAAGTCACACTACCAAAAACAGGTCAGTATCACAGCTTTTAGACTTGCATAGCTATTGTCCTTTCCCGCACTCCATATGGGTCCTGGGGTCACTAGGTCAAGATTGTACTAACCAGTGTCTCCACCAAAAGTAGTGCTGTTTCATTGCTTTGTGAATCAGTTTGATGAATAAAACAGTCCTCCCCCCAACTCCATTTCAGTCTCTGTGCCTGTCTGCTCCTTACAGTGCAATAGAGGAATATATGAATCTTCCAGGAGGTGCTTCTCTATGGCAGGGCAGGTGGGAAGAACCTTTGAGAATTTTCTCTCAGTAAAGCATTCCTTCCTTGTTCTGTCTTGCATAGTTAACACCAAGAAAGACTCTGAATCGGCTCCTGTGAAGGGTGGCACCATGACTGATTTGGGTAAGGGGTATTTTTCCTTTTGTTATCCCGCTCTTGGTATGGGAATAAGTGCATGTTCTTCAGTGTTTGCTGGATATTAGGTAGCAATATTAAACCACAACAAAGGCTCATTGAGTAGCACCCCCCCCACACACACTTTGTTACTGTAAAGAACCACATGTTGGAGGGCATGAAATTCACTTCATGTGAGTATTGAAAACTGGTCACCACTGAGTCCCAACTTGCGACTAGTGTCCTGAGATGCTATACTAAGGGCTGCTTGAAAGGTGACATTTTTGTGGCAGGGTTGTAAAATAAGCTTGCATTATGAGTGAAGTCCACATAGGTGTTTGCTTTGCCCACTTGTATGCTTCTTTGGAAGAGACTGGCTGTTGGAGCTTCCACAGAAGCATAAGCTAGGCAGAGTAGACACCTAAGAAGTGGCCTCTGTAGATCTCTGAAGTAGGTTAAGTAAGCATGAATCAGAAAATCGGTGTACGTAAGCCAAACTGGCAAATGCAGTAATAGTAGCAAGTTATGCCTGAGTAATTCCAGTAGACCCTAAGAGCTGCCAAATTGCAACTGTCAACCAGATGTTCTAGAGAGAGGGTATAAGAAGCCAAAGGCTTATTGGCTGGAATCCAGAGAGCCTCACAGCTTGCTGTCTTAAGCTCAAGGGGGCTTTAGACTTGTTTTCATCAAACAACCACCTCCCGCGCCATATGGCAAATTGCTTTTGAAACAGTTCAAAAGAAAGTTTTGATATGTCATGGGAGTCAGCTGTTTAAGGAAGAAAGCAAAAAACTCCATTTACATGCCTCCTTGTGCGAGCTTAATTAGCAATTTGGACTCCAGTCAATAAATGTATTAGTCATTGTCTGTATTTAAAAATACTTGAGGGCATGTACAGAATAGATTAGTGCATGCATATGTAATATACACACACATATAAAACAGGACATTCAACTCTTCTGCCACTTCCAGTTTCTGCTGTTTTTACGAAAAGGTTATATTTATAGCCCCATCTATGCCAAGTACTCAGAATGAGCTGCAATGTTTCAGCCAAGATTGATTAATATGCTAACATGTTGTCAAGGGGGCTCACATTCCGTGTAACAAATACACGCCCTGGGGAAAAATGGAAGTTTAAACCAACAACAATAATAAATAATAAACTTTTAATAATATTTAGAGGGTCAGTGAAATGCAAAAAAAAAACCTCCTTGCTTTCTGCTCACTAAAATACCTTTATAATCTCCTCCACCCTTGTAAAATATGATAGACACACATTTAGGTATCTGCATGCACAGGAATCTCATAAGTACTCAACTCAGTGTAATACTGTCCTTCCCAACAACTGTAGAATGAGTACAAATAGGTCTACATGACTAAGGTTGCCTTTGCCATTTTTGCTTTCCAGATGAGCCAGAAGATGAGAACATGGAGACTGCAGGCAAGGTGAGCCAAGTCTGACTCAACTCACAGAGCAATCCTACCCTTTAATTATGGCCTGGGGATGGGAAGGTGAGGGCTGCCACAATGATAGCAGAACGGCCACTGTATCCTTAGCCTGCAGTGTGTTCAACCTGGGAGAGGAATGGAAAAACTCACAACCCGAAAATCCCTAAATGACATAAAAATGGCACGCATGTTCTGGAAACACCACCAGTGGCAACCAATCAGGGGCTGTGTTGGTGATGACGCCCACATTCCTCCCAGGCAGAGAGGGAGCCAATGGAACTTGCATCAACAGGGATGTGTCCTTAGCACACCCATTGCATCACCCCACAGGTAGAATGCAAGATGACACCACAGCTTCTGTTTTTGCCTAGTCTGCTGCTCTTTTCCTCCTAAACAGGCTAATATTCTGGTTCTTCTTTCCTTGCCCTAGTTTGGCCTGGGCAGAAGTGGACACAATTCCATTGCTTCAGTGCTGCAAAGATATGGAAGGGCACCTCCTTGGAGGCCTGTGACGGCACCCATAATTATGCTTGTGCCATAGCACCGTCTGAAACAGCAAAGCACCCTTGATTCCTCTCTCATCACCTAGCAGTTTGTCTGTACACCTGCCTACTGTCACCCTCTGAGAAGGACTCAGGTTTTCTGAGTGCTGCAAGAACAAGCAATTCCATCCTAGGCTTCTCTTAAAATGAAGCTTAAGAACAAAAGTCGTAAGAAAACAATGGGCACTCAGGTTGCCTACTCAGGAGCTTTCTGGTTTCAGGATGAAGAGGAGAACAATGCTGGAAACAAAGGGGAGCAGACCAAGAACCCTGACCTCCATGAAGACAATGTCACCGAACAGACGCATCACATCATCATCCCCAGCTACGCAGCCTGGTTTGACTATAACAGGTGCTTGAGTGGGGACCGGGGAGGGCTTTTCCTCTCAGTACCTCCATCCTTCCAGCCTGTTCTAACGCTTCCTTTTGATTCTTCCTCAGTGTCCATGCTATTGAGCGGAGAGCCCTCCCAGAATTTTTCAATGGCAAAAACAAGTCAAAGACTCCTGAAATGTAAGATTGCTGTTATAAGCAGTAAGATCTGTTCTGAGATAGTAAATGTGGCAACCTTTTTCCTCTGGTAAGAGGAGGGCTGGGGGAAGTCTCCTTATTTCCTAGTCCAAGGAATCCCAAACTTTCATTCAAGTGGTCCATGTCATGTCTGTAGAGTTGTAGTTTGAAGCAGGGAGATGGCACATCCATGGCATTAAATATTTATATTGATTTTTACTTGTATTTTTGTAGCTTCTTTTATTTCTTATGTTGCATGTTATTGCGCTACAGTTTGAATTCTGTGGAATAATAAAATGCCATATATAATAAATGACAGCAGTAACAAAGTACAATTAAAAAACATACAGCATTTGGCACAGTGCATTACAATTGCTACAACGGACAGAAAAACTGTTAAGTGGTCTGCCAAGACCCTCAGCAATTTTCAAGTCGTCAGTGTAAAAAAAAAGTTAGGGAAACATTGTACTTGTCCTTTTGTTGGTCTGAATAAAAGGAAAGGTCCTGAACTGGCCTCTCTAGTATATGAGAGAGAATGGGTCTTAATATCATGGGGATACTTTACAGGGTGACATGGGTTATAAATAGTGGTTCTGACTGTCATCTTTTTCTTCCTGCTGCACTTTAGCTACTTGGCATATCGCAATTTCATGATTGACACATACCGGCTCAATCCACAGGAGTACCTAACCTCGACTGCCTGCCGTCGGAACCTGGCTGGGGATGTGTGTGCCATCATGAGGTATGCTGAGAAACAGAATAGCTGAGCAAAGCCAGAAGGAATGTATTCAAGACAGAAGCTGCCTCTAGCATTCTAACTTCCGTACAGCGCTTAGTGCAACAGGATTTTTCCTCGTTTCTTAGCTCCCATTGTGTTTAATAGTAAAAATTATTTAAAGGTGATGAAAACTAAACATGCCCCGTTGAAGAAGAAACAGAAGTTTTGCTTGAGAGTCTTCTTGTTTGACAAAATTGATCTTCCTTGTCTGGCTGTTTGGCAGATAATTTGTCCTGGGGTGGGAGTCCAGCTCCTGGTCCTCTTAAAAGCAGAGAATAGAATTTGCCACATGGCTGAGCTTCGGGTCCAACTCTGATCCTCTCATGCAGAGTCCACGCCTTCCTGGAACAATGGGGACTCATTAATTACCAAGTGGATGCAGAGAGCCGGCCGACACCCATGGGACCACCACCTACATCTCATTTCCATGTTCTGGCTGACACCCCTTCGGGATTGGTGCCACTGCAGCCCAAAACACCCCAGGTAGCGTGAGAAGAAATTTATTCAATTCATTTAGGTATTTTATTCAATTCATTTAGGTATTTTAAATGTTTATAGCTTGGTGGTTTAAAAATCTTCAAGGGGTAGCGTCCAAAACACATTAAAAGCAAAATGAAATTATACAAGAATCTAGAAAATAAAATGAATTATAGACATATTAATTAGAGCATCAGAAAATTGGGAGTGGGGAGTAATTGGGACAACCCAAAATCCCTTTAGAGAATGGTTGTCTTGGTCTGGGTTTAAAAAGCCAGGAAGTAGCAGGGGGAACTTCCACATTCATGCAAGCTAGAATCAATTTGTTAGCTTCAAATCATCCCTGCTTCTATGGAAGACTTCATTTCTTTGTTTCCTATCCTAAAAGATACATCAGACTGGGGCTTAGTGCAAAATTGTGCTTATTCTTCAGAGTCGTCAGAGTGATAGCGATACCAAGGCTGGACGAAAGAGCAAGGAGATTGAAGACCTTGTCACTGAGACGGTGAAGGGGAAACCTGAGCTGGTAGGAGAAAGGAGAGCTTCTGAAAGGGAACTATAAATTGTCAGTGTTTCTGGGGTCTAAAAGAGCAGGGCTGCATGGACTTTCCCCCTTCTTTCCCATCAATTTTTAGGCTGTATAAGAGATGAATTGTCACACCTCTCACTTCAGGGGTTTCTTAAATGTTGGTTATAGTTTCCCTTATAGGCTAACTGTAAAATTTCATTGTCAGAGGCCAAGCAAGTCACAAAAAAGAAGGCACCTGCAGATATCTGCCACTGAAAGTTCAGACCCATCCAAGAAGCTTCTATCTTTTCACAAGAGAGGTGTATGGTTGCTGTCCAACCATTGCAGTCTGTGTTGTAAATTGGCCACAAATAGAATGCGGTGATGGACATGCTTTGTCTCTGGCTGTGTTTACATCACAGGGAGCTCATTCTTCTCTTTCCCCAGCAAACCACAGCTTCCCAGCAGATGCTGAACTTCCCTGACAAGAGCAAGGAGAAGCCACCAGACATGCAAAACTTTGGGCTTCGCACTGACATGTACACCAAGAAGAATGCTCCTTCCAAGGTAAAGAGTGGGGAGAGGGTGGGTTTGCTCACATGTGAGATATCTGTTCCCTGGTTGGTGTACAGAGGGCCACCAAGAGACAACGGGTTGCCTCCGCCCACTGCCTAGATCATGCAGGGACACAGGACTGGGTAAGAGAGAAACAGCCAGCTCCTCTCCAGTTCTGGCCCAAGACTGAGCCAGAGAGTACAGCTGAAGAACAGAGAGCCCCTCCAAGGCAGGCATGCCAAAACCTTTCATTGAGAAAGAGAGGCCTCTAAGGACACGTGATGGTCAGATTATGGGGCTGGAGGCCTCCTAGTGACTGACCAGGGTTGTGTTCTAATGCATGGTTTCCCCACAGAGCAAAGCTGCTGCCAGTGCTACTCGTGAGTGGACAGAGCAGGAGACGCTGCTGCTGCTGGAGGTGAGAGGACAGAAATATGATTAACTTCCCACAAAAGTGCCTAAGGCACTTCTTGAGTATTGCTTCCTCTTCCTGCCCCCAATTTGTGCTTAGACCACCCACACATACTGTGAACTGGGACACTGAATAGATTTTTGAAAGTTGTATCTCTGACTCACAAATACATAAAATATACAACATTTGTAACAATAACAGCAAATTTCTTATACACCGCCCATCTGACTGGGTTACCCAGCCACTCTGGGTGGTTTCCAACAAAATATAAAGGAAGAAAACACAACATTAAACATTAAAAGCTTCCCGATACAGGCTGCCTTCAAATGTCTATGAAAAGTCATAACATTTTCTTATCTCTTTGACATCTTGCATTGAGGGAACCACCAGAAGGCCCTTGGAGTTGGATCTCAGTGTCCGGGCTGAACAATGGTGGTGGAGATGTTCCTTCAGGTATACGGGACTGAAGCCATTTAGGGCTTTAAAGGTCAACACCAACACTTTGAATTGTGTGCAGAAATATGCATTTATTTAGGAACTACACTAAACATGGGCACTGAATGTGAGCCTGGCCTCTGAAAAGCTTCAGGCATGTAGAACATCTATTGTGGTGCTGTTGACTGGCTGTTTCTGATCCTTGCCCTTGACCATTCATGTCCAATGTGTCGTTTCTCTTCACTGCTTTTTAGGCTCTGGAGATGTACAAGGATGACTGGAACAAAGTTTCTGAGCACGTTGGCAGCCGCACGCAGGACGAGTGCATCCTGCATTTCCTGCGTCTTCCTATCGAGGACCCTTACCTGGAGGACTCGGAGGCCTCTCTTGGGCCTCTGGCCTATCAACCCATTCCCTTCAGCCAGTCGGGCAACCCCGTGATGAGCACCGTGGCCTTCTTGGCTTCTGTTGTGGACCCTCGTGTGGCATCCGCAGCAGCCAAGTCAGCCCTTGGTAATTAACTGGGGCCCTTCAGACTCCCCCCACTGCACCCTTAGGGACGGAAAGGCTATTAAGTCTGTAAATGGGTGCAGTTGTAGAACAGGTCTAGGACACCATATCGCTGTCCAAGAGACTCCTGGAAATTCTGTCCAGCCTTGTCATTTTAGAATCATAGAATCATAGAGTTGGAAGAGACCACAAGGGCCATCGAGTCCAACCCCCTGCCAAGCAGGAAACACCATCAGAGCACTCCTGACATATGGTTGTCAAGCCTCTGCTTAAAGACCTCCAAAGAAGGAGACTCCACCACACTCCTTGGCAGCAAATTCCACTGTCGAACAGCTCTTACTGTCAGGAAGTTCTTCCTAATGTTTAGGTGGAATCTTCTTTCTTGTAGTTTGGATCCATTGCTCCGTGTCCGCTTCTCTGGAGCAGCAGAAAACAACCTTTCTCCCTCCTCTATGTGACATCCTTTTATATATTTGAACATGGCTATCATATCACCCCTTAACCTCCTCTTCTCCAGGCTAAACATGCCCAGCTCCTTTAGCCGTTCCTCATAAGGCATCGTTTCCAGGCCTTTGACCATTTTGGTTGCCCTCCTCTGGACACGTTCCAGTATGTCAGTGTCCTTCTTGAACTGTGGTGCCCAGAACTGGACACAGTACTCCAGGTGAGGTCTGACCAGAGCAGAATACAGTGGCACTATTACTTCCCTTGATCTAGATGCTATACTCCTATTGATGCAGCCCAGAATTGCATTGGCTTTTTAGCTGCCGCGTCACACTGTTGGCTCATGTCAAGTTTGTGGTCAACCAAGACTCCTAGATCCTTTTCACATGTACTGCTCTCAAGCCAGGTGTCCCCATCTTGTATTTGTGCCTCTCATTTTTTTGCCCAAGTGCAATACTTTACATTTCTCCCTGTTAAAATTCATCTTGTTTGTTTTGGCCCAGTTCTCTAATCTGTCAAGGTCGTTTTGAAGTGTGATCCTGTCCTCTGGGGTGTTAGCCACCCCTCCCAGTTTGGTGTCATCTGCAAATTTGATCAGGATGCCCTTGAGTCCATCATCCAAGTCGTTGATAAAGATGTTGAATAAGACCGGGTCCAAGACAGAACCCTGTGGCACCCCATTAGTCACTCTTCTCCAGGATGAAGAGGAACCATTGATGACCACCCTTTGGGTTCGGTCAGTCAGCCAGTTACAAATCCACTGAGTGGTAGCATAGTCAAGACCGCATTTTACCAGCTTCTTTACAAGACTATCATGGGGCACCTTGTCAAATGCCTTGCTGAAATCAAGGTAGGCTACATCCACTGCGTTCCCTTCATCTACCAGGCTTGTAATTCTGTCAAAAACGAGATCAGGTTAGTCTGACATGACTTATTTTTCAGAAATCCATGCTGACTATTGGTGATCACAGCATTCCTTTCTAGGTGCTCACAGACTGTTTGCTTAATGATCTGCTCCAGAATCTTCCCTGGTATTGATGTCAGACGGACTGGGCGGTAATTATTTGGGTCCTCTCTTTTCCCCTTTTTGAAAATAGGGACAACATTTGCCCTCCTCCAGTCAGCCGGGACTTTGCCTGTTCTCCAGGAATTCTCAAAGATGACTGCCAGTGGTTCTGAGATCACATCTGCCAGTTCTTTTAATATTCTTGGATGCAGTTCATCTGGCCCTGGAGACTTGAATACATCTAAACTAGCCAAGTATTCTTGTACTATCTCCTTAGTTATTCTGGGCTGTGTTTCCTCTGCTGAATCATTTGCTCCAAATTCTTCAGGTCGGGCATTGTTTTCTTTATCGGAGAAGACTGAGGCAAAGAAGGCATTGAGGAGTTCAGCCCTTTCTGTGTCCCCTGTTTGCATTTCACCATCTTCTCCTCTGAGTGACCCCACTGTTTCTTTGTTCTTCCTTTTGCTACGAACATACCCATTTTAAGAGTTGATAGTGCACATATGTTAACAAGCTTTTCTCTACAGACTTAAATACTTTTTTTTTAAAAAGGAAAGCTATGGATTTCAGGATGCCAAATTCTGGGCCAGCATCCTGGGAACCAGTAAGGAAATTTTTGCTGTCATTTATGTGATGCTAATACCCAGGCTGAACTTGGGTCAGAGACTCACAGATAAGTCCCCAAACAAGCATCATTCTCACGTCCCCTCCCTCACCTTTTGTTGGTCTGAGATCTCTGAGTTTGCTACTTTCTGAAAGCCTAGCCAATACTCTGTTCCACAGACTCATCTTGTAGAGGAAATGAGGGCACTTTACACGAGTTGGCTCAAGCATAATACAGGTATATGCTGCAGCGACAGCATCCATCGCAGATGGCCATCCAACCTCTGCTTAAAAACCTCCAAAGTAGGAGTGTCTACCACCTCTCATGGGAGTCTGTTCCACTGTCGAACAGCTCTTACTGTCAGAAAGTTCTTCCTGATCTTTAGTCAGAATCTCCTTTCTTGTAACTTGAAGTCATTGGTTCGGGTCCTACCCTCTGGAGCAGGAGAAAGCAAGCTTGCTCCATCTTCCATGTGACCCTTTATATTTTTGAAGATGGCATTCATACATGTGATGTTGGACTCAGGTGCTCCCCATAAGGTGTGAAAGTCCTGATAGGTGGAAAGTGCATCCACTAGCACTCAGAAAGTAGACTGGGATGTCATGTAGTGGTTGTTGAAATGAGATGCTAATTGCTGACAGAGCTACTACACCTGATCAGATGCAGGTCTTCAGCTCCTGTGTCCCCAGTGGCCTCCCGCCCAGCTCTGTTTCAGCTGCAACTCTTGCCTATCTCAGCCACTTCCTAGTGGGTAGAAAAGGTGCAATAGGATTTCTTGCTGCCCGCAGCACCTGCACTGCAATGCCCATTTTGCCCCTCTCCCTGTATCCTCCCTGCGCGCTCTGTTTGGCCACCCGCTGCTCTTTCAGCTGACCCTGTGGCTCTCTTCTGCAGAGGAGTTCTCCAAGATGAAGGAGGAGGTCCCCACAGCCTTGGTTGAAGCTCATGTCCGCAAGGTGGAGGAAGCTGCCAAGGTGACAGGCAAGGCAGACCCGGCATTTGGTCTGGAGAGCAGCGGAATTGCAGGGACCACATCCGATGAGCTGGAGAGAATAGGTGAGGGGGGCGAGCGGGGCGCCTTCCGCGCTTCATCCCGTGAAGCGCCCTCGATGGACCTCGCCCAGTGTGCGGTGGGGACTAAGAAGGGTGCCGAGACGCAGGAGACCAGAGCCGGCCTGGCTTCCGGCCTGGAGCTCACACTCAATCGCCTGGCGCAGGGTAAGGGATTCCCATCGTCACTCTGTCTAACCCCACCCTACCCCATCAGACTGGGCAGATCATGGGTTGGGCTGTGTGCCTAAAGCTTTCGCCTCCAGAAGGTTACAGGCTGGCTCAGTGAATGGCTTCTGGGGCCTGCCTTCTTGGGGGATGCCTGGCCTTAAGCTGGAACTGATCAGTGAGGGAAGGTGGAGGCTGGCATTTGGAGTTCTCCCTCTCTAAGGTGCTCCTGTCCAGAACTTGCCTCAGCTCTAAAATACCAGCAATCTGAGAAGAGTTTATTGGGCCTTAGTCTCGTGGGTCCCTCAGCTGTCATTCCTTGTAAAGATGCTTGAGACAGGTTCTCCCCCATTCAGATTCCCACTCCCATTCATTCTTCCAATTTCCCCCCCTTTAGTGGTTGGGAGGGAGCGTTACTTGCAGCCTTTAATATTGGTATCTTTCTTCCTTGTCTGTTTCTCCATTCCTTGCTCAGAAGAGGGCTGCACAGATGAGAACCGGGCAGAACCTCCGTCGTCGGAAGAGAAGAAAGAGGTGAAGGTGCGGGAGGGCATGGATGAGCCCCCATACATGTTCCGCAAAAAATGAGTCTCCAGAATTTCCTGCATGGGGCATACGTAGGTAGGAGAGGGAGGAAACTGAGGAGATGCCTCATAGGATCCCCACAGGATGTTTGCAGCACCAGCTTGCAACTTTTCTAACTAAAGTAAGGCACCATGTTACCCTGCTAGCAACTAACTGTCCCTCAGAGTCCTTCACTTCATTAATCTTCTGATCGCAATATATATCATGGTCTACTTTCCTGGCCACTAGAATAATAACTGTAGATCCCCTGCTCCAGTTCTGAGACTTTTCCAATTGTGCCTTCTATATTGTGTGTGCCTGAGCCCCATGGAACAGCTAGGGGAAGGATTAAGAGGCATTAGGCAGCTGTTGGAATCAAGCCCTTCTCTCAATGCAGGAACCAAGAGAAGGCGCCCTGGAGGAGGAAGGGAAGGAGAAACTTGGAGAGGTGCCCAGGAAAGAGGAAGAGAAAAGCAAAGAGGCTGACGGCGAGAAGGAGATGGACAAGAGTGACGGGGACACCGTGGGTGAGCACCACCTTCTGGGTAATGGCAAAGCTCATAAAGTAGCGAGTGAACTAGGAGCCTGAACGGAGCTGGGATGCTGTGGTCACATGCTCTGAAGCAGGGGCTCCCTCCGGATGTTGCTTAACTACATCCCATCAGTAACGAGTGAGCATGCTGGCTGGGACTGATAGAAGTTGGAGTCTAGCAAACATCTGGAGGGCTACAGTTTACCCAACCCTGTTCTAAAGTCTCAGCCAGAGGTACTGTTAACTTAAATGCAGTACAGTATGCCACTTGCCTCCTAGAGGCATAAGAACCTAATGGGGATGGGACAGCTCTGCCATTGGAAAATCGAAAAGCTTGTGGTTAGTAGTGTTGGTGGGCGTGAAGAGTGTTGGGACGGAAGGTGAGTTAACAGAGCAGTAAAGTAAACATTCCAAGCACAATTCAAAGTGTTGGTGTTGATCTTTAAGCCCTAAACAGCTTCGGTCATGTATACCTGAAGGAGCGTCTCCACCCCCATCGTTAAGCCTGGACACTGAGGTCCACCTCCAAGGGGCTTCTGGTGGTTCCCTCACTGCAAGAAGTGAAGCTACAGGGAGCCAGGCAGAGGGCTTTCCCTGTAGTCGCACCTGCCCTGTAGAAGAGTTGAACAATCATATGACTTTTTGTAGACGTCTGAAGGCAGCCCTGTTTCGGGAAGCTTTTAATGTCTGATGTATTGTGTGTTTTATATTTTGTTGGAAGCTGACCAAAGTGGCTAGGGCACAACAAATTTCTCTTCTTTTGATGATGATGATGATGATTACTACTACTACTACAGCAACTAGTACCACAAAGAAAACATCCACTCATGAATTTCTTGCTGTCCTTCCTTCCTTCTTTCCTTCTCTTCCTCCCTTCTTCCTTCCCTCCCTCCCATCCCACCTGTGCCTGATCAGCATGAAAAAATGTGCGGTGATAAACTCTGGGCACTGAGGGATATTCCACCTCTTTCTAAGCAGTAGTAGCCCAGGAGATCACACACACACTTGCCCATCATTTGTTTTTCTCCTCCTCAGCTGACGGGGAAAAGGAAAAAGAACCCAAGGATGGCAGTGAAGAAGGGCCCAAGGATCTGGCGGAGGCCGAGGCGGAGCGGAAGACCAAAGTGGAGAGGGACATAGGCGAGGGCAATCTTTCCACAGCGGCGGCGGCAGCTTTGGCGGCGGCAGCAGTGAAGGCGAAGGTCAGTGGCCGCAGGATTGGCTGGCTTCTCCATAGGCCAGATGGACGTGTGGGGTTGCCCTTCGGACTGACCTTCTAGGAAGCAAATTGCTTTTATATAGTCATGCAGTTGCTAGGCTGCAACCCCATGGTAAAAACATAAAGTGGGTTACAAATTTTATAAATGCCATGAATCTAAACAGCAGGCAGAAGCTGAAAAGTCAATACAACGGATACAGTGAGGTCCCTAGTTGAGATCACACCTCAGCCGTAAGTTTCCTTGATCTCTTTAGGAAAGCTACAGAATCTCTTGGCTTCCATCCTTCCTCTGGAATATGAGGGAAATAGTTGCACTGCTATTGTTTGGATTATTGGCATATTGTATGTGACATGTTTTAGGCAGCCAACAAGTTAGCAGGGCCAGTAAGTTGGTCATGTTGCCATGCATTCAGGCACTCTGTTTTTGCTGTCTCACTTGGGTGACTCATGGGTTGGAATTCTGAACCTAGCTTCTAATCTACCAATCTCTCAGTCCTGCTTTAGGCATTAAGGCTTAAGGTGTGGGTAACTTCTGAAGATGTAGAAAGTGGGGCAGGGCAATCCTCCTCTGCTGGGAAGTTTTGGTCCCTGGATTTTTCATAGAGTTCTGTAGGGCATGCTGCCTCCAGAGCTGTGATCCACCCTCTCTTTTCTTTCTCTGCAGCACTTGGCAGCCGTGGAAGAGCGTAAGATCAAGTCTCTGGTTGCCTTGCTGGTGGAGACACAGATGAAGAAGCTTGAGATCAAGCTAAGGCACTTCGAGGAGCTGGAGACCATCATGGACCGGGAGCGCGAGGCAGTGAGTACACTTCTGCCCTCTTGACGCCAGCACTGCTTACACTGCCCAAAGCAGGTTGAGCCCAAAGCAGGTTGAGCACTGCTTACGCTGCCCAAAGCAGGTTGAATCTCTTTAGTTAAGCAATCCAATCTGGCATGCCCAGATTTGAGTTTATTCCTGGTAAGTCCCCTTTTGTTCCCTCTTAAAAAGAAATAAAGACACAACAGTCTTCCTTAAACAGCAACAAGAAGTTTACTTACATTCAGTTCACAGTATGATCCCTGAAGGCAGGCTTTAGCTTGTAATTACAGTTACAGAATGTGGCTTACATCCTTTGTGAGGATGGGCCCTTATGCTGCTGGCTGAGAGCCAGCAGGGCAGTCCAAGAGAAGAAAGAGTCAAGAAAGTCCAAAAGAGAAAGATGGCTGTGTGATTGGACCTCTTGTGGGGTCTGCAAGGGTCACGCCCACCTACCTGGTCACATGCAGGGGGAAGATGCTCCAGACCAGGTGGAACAGGAAGTTCAACTGGCTGGATCAACATCTCCCTGTCTGCGTCCACTCTAGGCAAACAAAGAATGTTGTATTTGACTGCTATAAGGATTACATCCCACAGTTGACAGCCACAATTCTTCTTACTTGCAGCCAGGCAGTGGTCCGTATGGGAAGCCCAGAGAATGCTCTGAAGGCACATGCTGCAGTTACATGCTGGAGCTAAGTAGATTTGGCTCCAGCGGATGCCTGGGAACATTAGACTCCGTGTGTAACAAAGCCTGTGCAGCGGAGTAAGAATTTGTGGCCACGTTAGGAGAAGAAAAGAAACCAAGGGAAGGGAGAGCACTGCATGAGGGGGTTTGGAATAGAGAACTTGCCCAGCGTAACCTGTCCCTGATCTCTCTGTAGCTAGAGTACCAGAGGCAGCAGCTCCTGGCGGACCGACAGGCCTTCCACATGGAGCAGCTCAAGTATGCTGAGATGCGCGCTCGCCAGCAACATTTCCAGCAGATGCACCAACAGCAACAGCAGCAGCCACCGCCACCACCTCTCTCTGTGGGCACACAGCCTCTTCCTCCTTCAGGGGCTCCTCTGGCACCAGCTGCACACTCCATGCCCATCGCCCAGGCTTCTGTGCCGGCCACCAGCACCGTAGGGCAGCCCAGCAGTTTGGCTCCAGCAGAACAGATTGGGCAGCCAGTGGCTGCTCAGCCACAGCCCGCAGCCGCTGGAGCTCCACAGACAGGCCCAGGTCAGACTGGACAGCCGTCTGCAGGTTCTCATGGTAAGTGGGACCAGCTTTTCGTTTGATCCACCAAGGGCAGAACGAAACTGTGCTCTGCAAGGGCACACAAGCTTCATCTCTCACATTGCAAATATCAGGGCTAGGAAGGGTGTGCTAAGGCTTTGCAGAGCTTCTGCAGTCAGAGCAGAAAGGCTACAGGCCTGGCTTCTTTGAGGTCAGCTCCAGAGCTGAAGGGACCTGTTCCCTTGGCAAAACCAAAGGGATGCTAGATTCCTTACAGTTCAGAAGCTTGTAGCTCCATTTGTAACAAAAACTTTAAAAAAGAAAATCAGTTCCTAATTATGTTCTGAATAAAGTGTATTCTGTGGTAAACCAATTCATACTTAATGCACTTTATGTTCCTAAAGTAACAAAGTCGCTTTCAGTATCTAAAGAGTACTTTTTAAAAACTGGGGAAAGCTCAGGCTTTTTTCATGGCTTCAGAACTTTTGGAAAACTGACATCTCTACTCATGATCTAATGGAACCAGCTGCTTACAGAGCCTTTGGAGAGTCTGCACTGGCATTGCTGGGAGTGTTTTAGATATTTACAACAACCCCAAAATGAATGCTTTCAGCTGAAAGGATGCTTTCAACTTGTAATTTGTGGTAGATACAGTGTGATTTTATAATGTTTCATGTTGCACTGTGATTTTAATTTATGTAAGCAACCTTACAGAATACCAGTGTTGTTAGAAAGGTGGGGTATACATTTTTATATGAATAAAATACATAGGATTCTTGTTTTCACGTGGTCCTGCTGAATGTGTGGGTGTCAAGGGGTGGGGTCACTGGGAATAATGCTGCTTCCCCATTTCATGTTAAGTGTACACATGGGGGGGTTGTATGAAAAGGCTTTAGAGATTGTACAACCCAGTAAATTGTGTGGTTGTGCTTCAGAGGGCAGGGAAGAAAGGCTTAGATCTGGAAGATGTGGGTTGAAGATGAGATTGTCATGGTTTTGAGGAACTCAAGTGTCTTTTATTCTGTGTGCGAAACAAGATTAATGCCAGCCTACGCACCTCACAGGAGATTATGGGAACTACCGGTAATATGAAAGAGTAAACTTCAGTTCATATGCTACTGCAGTGGCATTCGGGCCCAGTTCCCTGTGGTCTGATCCTAAGCTACCGCAACTAACCTTTGCATGAGAAAGTCATTTGTAGAGTGCAAATGTTACTGGAGCAACATACATACAACCAGACCACAGGTTCTTGTTGGGCTCTAATCTGTGAAATAAGCCAAAGCTGCACATTCACAAGTGTCATAAAAATGTGGAAGCAGCAATCATAACGTATCAGCCTTGCTTATAAAGCTGGACATTTTATTTATTGGACAACACTTCCACATTTTTATGGGGTACACTATTTCTGGTTCTGGTTCCAAATCATCCCAATAAATGTTCATAAAAATTATATATTCCAGCATCAAGTCAGTCTCCTGGGTGGGTGATTGCTACACATTTGGCTTTGAAGAATATTTTTTGTGTGCCCAGTTTGGTATATAGGCTGGGTCAAAGGTGAATGGTGTGCATTTTCTGACCATGCATGCTTAGGAGTCCAGTGCAATGGGATCTTTAAACCCTGTTGGATGCAAATGGGTCATGTTAAGTCATTGCTTGCCTGCTTAACTGTCACACTTAATTAGTTCTCTCTGTGTCTCTCTCCCTCTGAAGCCCAGCCTCCGTTCCCCAGCCAGCAGCCATCCTCCCAGATTCTCCCTGGGGCAGTCCCAGCAACCGTTCACCCTGCCATGGCTGGTAATATCCCCTCGGCTCTGCCTTTCGGAATGCCTGCCTCCATCCCATTTAGCATGGCTAGTAACGTAACAGACTCCATCGGCATTAACTTCCCTGCTAACACGCCCATCCATCCAGTGCATGGTAACCTTGCGTGCAGCATGGCTAATCCGCCCATCGTCAACATCGCTAGCACCCTGCACCCTCCTGCCACCCCACTGCCTCGCGGTTCCGCAGCTGCCCAGAGCCCCGCTATCGTGGCAGCCATGCAGGGCAGCCTCCTTTCAAATGCTGGTGTTGGATCAGGTGAGAATTGACCCAGAGATCATGGCGGGATGGGAGAGGGGGAGAGGATTTCACATACAGAAATGCGCAAGGCGCTGTGCAAGGTCATTGGGCTCAGGGCTGCTTCGTTTGACTTTGCGGAAGCTTCCCCACCTGCATTCCTGTGGCAAAATACATGCATTACAATTCACAAGTAAATATGGGTGTGTGTGTGTGTGTGTGTGTGTGTGTGTGTGTGTGACAGAGTGGGGAACCTGTGGCCCACCAGGTGCTGTTGGACTCCAACTCCCATCAGCCCCGTCCAGGAGGGCCACTTATTAGGAGCATCTTGAGGGCCACAGCTTCCCTTTCCCAGGCAGGAACTTGGACGTTGCTGAGTCCCTTTTAAGCCAAGATTCTACAAAGGAGGAAGTTTTTTCTCTTCCCCCTCCCTGCCTTACACAGAAATTATGCCCATGTTTGGAAAGTGTCCTGTGTGAAGTGGCCATAAGGCTGTGCAAATGTGTTAGGAGTGTCCTGGAGTTGAATAAATCAGCCTGAAGTCAAGACACGTATGCATCCAATCAACTTCACCACTTTGCCCTCCGAATGTCTTGCACATGGGGAGAAAAAAGAAAGCTATTCCTTAGAAAAGGAGTTCACAGTTTATGCAGTTACATGTTTGGTATATAGGCTGGGTCAAAGGTGAATGGTGTGCATTTTCTGACCTTGCATGCTTAGGAGTCCAGTGCAGTGGGATCTTTAAACCCCATTGGACGCAATATGCAGTTACAGTGGTGCCCCGCAAGACGAATGCCTCGCAAGACGGAAAAACCGCTAGACGAAAGGGTTTTCCGTTTTGAAGTTGCTTCGCAGGACGAATTCCCCTATGGGCTTGCTTCGCAAGACGAAAATACCTTGCGAGTCTTGAGATTTTTTTCGCTTTTCCCCCTTTATCTAATCTGCTAAGCCTTTAATAGCCTTTAATAGCCTTTTAGCAGCTAATCCCCTAAGCCTTTAAGCCTTTAATAGCCGCTAAACAGCTGATAGCGCTAATAGCGCTAATCCGTCAATGGGCTTGCTTCGCAAGACGAAAAAACCGCTAGACGAAGACTCTTGCGGAACGGATTAATTTCGTCTTGCGAGGCACCACTGTACATTCTACATGTGACCATATTTATGAACCTTTTGCTTTTCAAAGCTCACTGTTACCCAGAGGCAGAATTTTGCCTTATACTTCATTAGTATCCAGGCATGGATTCTTTCTTTCTCTTTCTGCATCAGGGGCAGATGTGCAAACTATGCATATCTTTATATATTCACTTAGACATCTTGTTTTAATAGTGACAGTTGAGATTTATAGTAGAATTGCATCATCTTATACCTATGCATCTCTGTCTTGTTTGAGTTTGGAAGATGGCTTTTCCATCTAGGATTAAATGTGTCCCCCACCCCCACCCCACCCCAAAAAAAGCATTAGGGGAAATAGCATGCAATGAGCTAGTGCTTGAAACCGCATCTCGTATGTATGGTTTGGCATGGCTTGCTTGTTTTGAGCCATCTTGATTTATTGAATTATTTTCACTAGAGTCATAGATAACCATGTCATCAGTTTTGTTGTTTCTTGCATTCCATTTGCATTCTGTTGTAAACAGGAATGAGACCTAGGTTCTCCCTCTGGGCAGCAGTAGATTACCGTATGCTTTAATGACAAAGCCATAACCTTCTCATATCTGTTATGGGATGCGACAGTAAGCAGTGTTGCTAACCACTTTCTTCTCTAAACTTGACGCAAAGGAAACTGACAGCACATCCAGCAATTCATTTGCTACCTCCTCACCTGTTTTCTCTTTCAGGATCTAAAGTATTTCTAACAAATTGTACTGTAGTGATGCTCTTCAGAATCAGAAGGAAATGCTCCCAAATTGGCAAGGGATCTAAACTTTTCTGAAATTGATTTGATAGGCATTAGAGGGGGCAGTGCACTCACCTACTGCCTTCCTACTACGGGGTCTGGGGTACTGAAATATCAGGTGATTCTGCAATCTGATAGGGCGTCAGGCAAAAGAGACTGCATGGCAGTAGGAATAGGGAGGCTGAGCCTTATAAGTCTTTCCAGTGCAATGGATATTGATGTTCAAATTTCCCTCCATTAGGGTTTTGAAGTAAATAAATGACACCAGAACACTCATTTTTATCACACAAAAAGTGGCAGCAAGGTAATGCTTGTATTTGCAGCACTGCCAGCTTCCCTTAACATCTCACTTCTCTCCCCTTTCAACCCAGATCAAGGGCCTTCACTTCAGCCGGATCCCATTGCTCCCAGTCCCAGCACGGCCACACCAGTCCCACCCACACAGTGAGAAGCTACAAGCGGCGCTTCTTGGCGCTTCCTCGGTGAGCCCTGATCACTTGGAAGGACAGGAAAACCCTAAATCGTGTTAAACATGGATTCTATTTGGATGGGTTTTAAAAAGGCTTCGAAACAGTGATCCAAGGAGGAAGAGGATTTGGCTGTGTTGACTCCCTTCCCCTGTGTGTCTCTGCCCCACCTCATGTCCCCAATGCTTTTTTTGTATCCAGTTGTACCAAGACTTTATTTAAAGGTGTTTCTAATTGCTGGGGTGGGGGTGGCGGCAGGGAGAAGAAATTATCTCCAAACAGCCACTGCTATTTATAGAGGGCTTTGATTTTAAACATGGTTGAAAAGGGAGTTTAACTCCCCCTTGTATGTGTCTGTCTCGCTTTTTTTTAAACAATAAAAAAAATTAACAGAAATATTCTCCGTCTCCTCTGCAGGGAAAATGGCAATCTACTTGGGAGTGGGCTTATTTACGGGGAAGAAGGTATTGCAGCCTGAGGGGGACACGGTGTTTGTACCTGAGCAATATTTTTTTTTAATTCACTGATGCAGGGAAATTTTACTTATGTGTAGTTTATGCATTAAAGAGAGAGTAGTTTTCAGCAGTTTGGGCAGTACTATTTGGTGTCAGAAACATAAAGGAGAGAATGTTATCTGGAGTCTTTTACACAAAAAGCTAAATAATTATTTGTTGAGATAGCTTAGATTGAATTACAACTAAAACAAAGGAGGTCCCCAAATATATTTTAAAAATACCCAGTCAACATCAGGGAACCAAAAAACAATGAAATGGTTTTGAAGACAACTTAAGGCGAGCAGTTTTTAAAAGTTAAACGAGCTGCTACCCATGAGAAACTATTTGTTCCAATGAAGCAACATAATTTGAGGTGTGTGGAGAAATTGTTACTCCACGGCCGCAGCTTACAATTGCTTATGTTCGTTTTACATGTAGTCTTGTGAAGCTATAAATTACTTCCATGCCATTTCCATTGTTTGGAGGAGTCTGGTGATACTTCTCTTTCGTTACCCCACAAAATAGGGCTGCCTCTCCCAAAAATAAGAGCGATGCCTTGTCCTTCAGGAGTGCGATGTTTCTCTCTTTCGCCCTCCATCACTTGGATTTCTTGCACAGGAAGGGAAGGAGTAAGAGTGGTATTTGTACAGTTGCAAAAAAAAAAAGTGTAGCGTTGAAATTCTTTTAAGGTCCCTTTGCTCCAAAGTGGGCTCCTCGCCCTACAAGGAGTAAACCACTTTGCCTAGCATGACAAGTAACCCACTCCAGGATAAACTTCATCAGCTGTGTGTGCATTGTTAAATCCACCGTTCCTTTCTGTACCTTTACTGCTTTATGCGGCTCCTTTGTGCAAGTTCAGAGGAGCAATTAATGTTTCCACTTTTGTCATGCTGCCCTGTATCCAGTACTTGAAACCCCCCAGCCATACCCTGCAGCTTTTTGAAGCACAGAAACCCAGCCTTACTTTGTTTAACCTTAAAGAGTTTTAAAACAAATCCTTCGTCAAAGGGGGGAATGTGCAACATGTTAATTTTACTCCAGGTAGGAGTAGGACAGGTATGTGTAGGCATAAACATAATCGTTTCCCCCTTCACATCCTATGCACAGTTCTATTTCAAGGGATTGTTACAAGGAACCCGTCTTTTTTTCTTTTCTTTTTTTTAAAAAACGTACTGGACCTCAGTTTGGCCTTACTGCTTACCTTCTAGATGAGACGTTTCTCCATTTAATGGATTACATTCATTCATGTAACAGGCCTGACTGTTGCCCTACAGCTGCATACCATGAAAAAGCCACTCTTTTCAGAGTTGTCTCTGCCATTACTGTCTTGTCTAGTATCAGAGCTCTCATTGTGGTCTCTGGGCAGTGGCATCTGCTCTCCTTTCCTTGCCACAGGCTTCAAAACCTCCCTCTCTTCAAATCCTGCTGTGGTGCACATGCCTTGCCCAGTTGCCTTTATTTGGTGCTGCTCCAGGCACCTTTCCATATTAGGCTGCTTACAAAAGTAGGAAATGTGCCCTTCTGTTCAAAGCAGTCACATTTTGACAGCTAGGATTAATTGAGGAAAGGGCCATTAACAATGGCTCAGGTTTTTGTTTTTCAAATTCCTTCCATTTTAAAATAGTAGTAATAATGGAGAACGACAGTAGCACTGTTTCCAAGAATGGTGAAGGAGGGCAGGCTACGCAGACTATTCCTTGACAGGGCAAAGTCCCCTAGTGAGATATGTTCTAGGGGAATCAAAGCTGTACTTCATGAATTACTGGGTTTTACTGAGCAGCAGCAAGATGTTGCAACAAACATGCTACGACTGCTTTCGCAGAACCTGAAACAGTGACCCAACTTTACTCTGCCGTGTTCATTAATTTCAAAGGGTCTACTCTGAGTAAAACTTCATTGGATACCACTCAGTCTTCTAGATTTACATTTACCGTATTTTTTGCTCTATAAGACTCACTTTTTCCCTCCTAAAAAGTAAGGGGAAATGTGTGTGCGTCTTATGGGGTGAATGCAGAATGCACAGCTATCCCAGAAGCCAGAACAGCAAGAGGGATTGCTGCTTTCACTGCGCAGCGATCCCTCTTGCTGTTCTGGCTTCTGAGATTCAGAATATATTTTTTTCTTGTTTTCCTCCTCCAAAAACTAGGTGCGTCTTGTGGTCTGGTGCGTCTTATAGAGCGAAAAATTCGGTACATCCCACCTTTCCCTTAAGGTGACATTGTTGTCTCCCCATTTTCTCCTGACAATTACCCTGTAAGGAAAGTGAGGCTGAGAGTGTGTAAGCTTCATGGCCAAGTGTCAGGATTTGAACCCTGGTCTCTCAGGATTCAGTCCATCAAATAGAGCTACAGTGGTGCCTCGCAAGACGAAATTAATCCGTTCCGCAAGAGTCTTCGTCTAGCGGTTTTTTCGTCTTGCGAAGCAAGCCCATTGACGGATTAGCGCTATTAGCGCTATCAGCTGTTTAGCGGCTATTAAAGGCTTAAAGGCTTAGGGGATTAGCTGCTAAAAGGCTATTAAAGGCTATTAAAGGCTTAGCAGATTAGATAAAGGGGGGGGAAAGCGAAAAAAAAACTCAAGACTCGCAAGACATTTTCGTCTTGCGAAGCAAGCCCATAGGGGAATTCGTCCTGCGAAGCAACTTCAAAACGGAAAACCCTTTCGTCTAGCGGTTTTTCCGTCTTGCGAGGCATTCGTCTTGCGGGGCACCACTGTATAGCTAAAACTTAGTTCTGTGCTATTAACAGCATTTTTCTGTACTGTTCCTGCCAACACAATTCAAACTGTCTCAGATGAGTATAGGTACCAGAATCACAAGAAAAACCCTGTTTGAAGATCTCTGAACTCCAGCAGCCACTTTGGTTTTCAAGAAGTAACACGGCACAGTGTTAGTAAGACATTTTTGGGAACAGTTTATTAAAGCAACCAAGAGGAAATAAGCTGAACACTTCTGGAAATAAAGTGATGCAAGACAAGCCAGCAGTTTGCTTCCCTGCCCTTCAGGAACAAGTTCCTTCAGACAAATGTTGTTTTCTTCCTTTCCTTAGCCCTCGCCTCAAGGACTAAACCAAGAGGTTGGAGAAAGAGGGAACCAAAAGTAGTTTCAGACACAGATAAAAAGGCACAAACATTTTAAGGATAAACTGGAAGAGGTTCTCGGGAGAAGCTAGAGGTGATCTTCAGCCACTCAGAACCATCCGCACCAACTCTGGGAAGAGAAAATAAAGCCGATGTCAGAAAGGCACAAACAGAACACGTAGGACCAGGCTAAACCTACTGGTGGGAAATGGGACTTGCCAGAACGTGGGAATCCATGGTTAGCAATGACAATGAACAATCTTTCCACTAGATAAGGAGCTTTCCTGTCTTTCCTCTACACAGCAGCCTTTGGCAACTTGGTGTCCTCCTTCTGCTTTAGGACTACAACTTCCATCAGCCCCCAGGATCACACTGAGGCTGATCAGAGTTGTACTCCAAAACATCTGGAAGGCATCAGGTTGGTGACAGCTGCTGTAGAGCTACGTGCCGTAGTGTACGTTGGAATTACGGAGGAATAGCACAAAGCTAATTATATCAGCTGCAAGAAAGGCTAAAACTGGTCCATTTTCTTTGGATGCATAGATGGCTTTTGGTCACAAAATGAAAAAGGCTAGCGAAGGAAACAAACAGACAAACAGCCTAGTTTCCTCTCTACTCCCTTCCCAACAGAGTTTTGGTTAAAGCCAGTCCCTGCCGGCAGTACAGGATCACACAAGAAGTCCCACCCCCCTCTCCGGCACCAATGTCCTGGGGGCTCTATCTATGACCCACCCCAGTCCCACTCACATCTGTTAACGAACACTTCTAACAAATAATTTAATCAGGAAAAACAACTAGAGACAAGGAAACAAGAAGGCAACACGGGCAGAAGGAAGTACGGCCATTTCTAAAACTAGTTGCCAGGCATCAGAATTCTGGAGTTGAACCTATGAGGATGCTCTGCTTTCTGCAGAGTGGAAAAAGTTGGAGAGACACTCAGCTACAGCAGAGAAAGGACTCAGCTTTCTGACTGAGCCTACCTAGGCAGAGAAGAGGGGCAGGCAGGCAGGCAGGCAGGCAGCCACAGCACAGGCCCTTAAAGAAAGACTGTCCAATTAACCTTCAGTTCCAGTGGAAACACTTCCAAGAGGGCAGGATGGGGGCTGAAGAGCTGGAGGGGTTGCCGTGCACCCTGTACCCAGTGAGAGCAGCTATGTGGAAGATTTTGCCCCCAAAAATGAAGAACTGGATCCCCACGCCCAATAAACAATTTACTGCAACTTTCTGTGGCATGCCACAGAACCCAAACTGCTTTTGCATTTAACATTGAAGAAAGGTGAATTTTTTCCTATTTAAGGTTGCATGTATTCTGTACAGACTCGGAAAACCACTGCGATTTGTGCTTAAAAAAATAAAAATAAAGCAAGACTAGACTTCACTGTTCAATAAGGTGAGGGAAGGTGGCACACTGTTGTTTTTTTACTGGGCTTCCCCTGTTGCTCAGCTGTACAACATCTCCCTGCTTCAGTCTCTTTTTTTGCACTCCCTGCAACCTCAATTCTTGCAGAATTTAAGACAAATCCTTTAAATGCATGCACTGAGGGAGAGCTGCACCCCTAGACCAATATCAGACAAACATACTTGCCCCCCGATGACTTGAAATATAAGGATTTATAGTTTTATCATCATGATCTTGGTTTGTTTTTTTTCATGCTGTGTGCCCTTGAGGACAATGGGGTCTATAGGTTTAGACATAAGGCTTCATTCAGAGAATTATATAGCTCTGCTATCTCAGAAGAGTGACTCAAAATACCACCTTCTATTATAAAAACCAACACCATGTGAGGGAGGGAAAGGTTTGTAGCAGTACTGTGAAGACAATCAGCTCTAGCCTGGAAACCACAAGACTCTTCTCAGGCTGAGGCTACAGGCAGGTGCCCACATTGGGGCCGCAGCCAAAGCACCATTCCAGACCCAACTACCAGCAAACCAAGACAAGTTTGACTAGAAGGCTTCTAGGCAGGCTCACATTCTACTCTGCTTCAGTACAAAAGCTCCCAAAAACAGCCCACCATGCCCCACCCACCAAAAGTTGACAGCATCCCTGGGCCACGTCATTTGCGACGTCTGCTGTTGCCACTTGCGCATGTTCTCTCCCCATGAGAGGGAGAGAAAGGAGCCTAAGCAACCAGACCTGGAGCGAGGAAAAAGAGCATCCCCATAATTGGGCTGCTTGCTAGCCTCATCCTGGGATGGGAGCCAGGGTCCAAAGAGGAAGACAGGTAAATGGGCAGGGAAGTCTGGTGGAATTTGGGGTGTCTACTGAAGAGAAAACAAGCGGGAGTGCACAAGTGCAAGGGAACCCCAAAGAGCTGTCACAAAAAGGGGCAAAGGGAGGGGTAGAGTGGCTGGGACACCACCACCACCCCCCGCCGCTTGCTGGAGGTATTCATGCAAAGGCTGAATAGACATCTCTTGGGGAAGTGCTAACTCTGTGTCAAGCAGGGAAACAGACCGGACCAGGGAACCTCTGGCCTTCTGCATGTTGCTGAACTGCAACTCTCATCAGCCTCAGCCAGCATGGCCAAATTCAGCAACTGGTGGGCCAACAGGTTTCCCACACCTGGACCAGAACCTGGTCTCCAAAGCCTCCGTCCAGCTTCACTTTTTAAGCAGAAACACAGACTGAAAATGTCCCCAGTCTCATCTACAACAGTATGTGAAGCAGCATCTACGTGTTCAGTCCACAAGCCCTACCTATGGGCAGGTACAGATGCAGCTGGGCCAAAAGGAGGTTGGGCACCTGTGCAAAGCCCTTTGCGAACACTGACAATTAGCCAATTGTCAGCGCCTGCAAAGCGTGGCGCCTTTGACTGCGCAGATGAATTCAAAGCCTGTGGACCAAAACAGGACACCTGCTCTGTGGCAGGGAAGGTAAAAGGTAAATGACCCCTGGACAGTTAAGTCCAGTCAAAGGCGGTCCTTCAGGCCGAGGGAGCCGGCATTAGTCCAGACAGCTTTCCGGGTCATGTAGCCAGCAGGACTAAACTGCTTCTGGCATAACAGAACACTATGACAGAAGCCAGAGCGCACAGAAATGCTGTTTACCTTCCCGCCACAGCAGTACCTATTTATCTACTTGTACCGGCATGCTTTTGGACTGCTACATTGGCAGGAGCTAGGAGAGAGCAAGGGGAGCTCACCCCGTCATGGGGATTCAAACCGCCGACCTTCTGATCGGCAAGCCCAAGAGGCTCAGTGGTTTAGACCACAGCGCCACCCGCGTCCCTTCCCCTCACTGTGGTATCACTTGTGAACCACCCTAGGGATGAAGAGCAGTATACAAATTTAACAAATAATAAATATAGTATCAGGCAAACTGACAGGTGGGAGGGCCCACAGCAAACAGGGAAGGGAAAAATCTGGCCAACCAACCAGATCCGGATCTCCACACCAAACAGAAAGGCATGCCCCAGTCAGTGTTCAAAATTCCCCAGGCGCCAGGCATGTTGTGACTGGCGTCAGTCCAATTTAGACCATGGGGAGATCTCTGGGTGCCAGGTTGGCAACGGACATCCCCCTCTGGCTGGCCCCTCCACTTTCTTAAGCAGAAGAGCTTATTTATTGCATTTCTATCCCACCTTTTTCCTCCAAGGAGTACATGGTTCGCCCCCCACCTCAGTTAATCCCTACAAAGACCCTGTGAGGCAGGTCAAGAGGTTGAGCAAGGTCACCCCGTGAGCTTCATGACAGAGGAGGGATTTGAACCCTGATCTCCCAAGGTCCTAGTCCGACACTAACCACTACACCACACTAGCTTCCTAGAGTACTTCTCTGTGGGGCAGCTATATAAATTAAGCAGGTAAACAAATATTGGAAAAACAAAATATCAGAGAAGGACCCGAAATATTTTCCTTGAAGCTTGAATTTTATTCTGCACTGCTTGATGTTTTAATGTAAACTGCTTTTTCCTTTAAGAAATAAAGCATTATAGCAATGTAAATAATATATTATTAATAATAAATCTTAACTGCAAAAAAATGGTGCCTAGACATTCCACTGTGGCAACCGAAACCTAGGTTTAAGGTGCCTTTTGGCTATTAGCTTATATAACTGAGTTTCTAACACTCGCCCTAGTACTCAACAACTGGGGGGCGGGGGGGACGGGACACACAGATCCAAGTTTGTGACTCTCATCACTGCGACAATTAAGCTGCTCCTCCTGCTGCCACCGGCATCCCTACCCCACAACTGTGAGGTTACACAGGCACAGTCTTGCTTTAGCCAACCAGAGCTGCCTCATTTCCCCAGACACCCTTGCTTAGATTACAGAGAGTCAGCTACATGCAGAGACATGCTGGAAGATGGGGAGAAACGGAGGAAGATGCTGAACAAGAAGGATGGGGAAAGTAACAATAAAGAGCGCCAACAAAATTTTTCCTTTTTTTTAGGTCAACAAAAAAAAGGAGGCTGTTAAAAATATATAAGGTATATAATAAGGTAGGTTTGGAGGAGGCGTACCCCGTTCGAATTCACCCTGATAAGATGTGTCTCACAAATGCTGTAGAAAGGAAGAAACATCAAAATTGATCAAACAAATGAACAAACAAAACTGGACACATGGACATAAAAGACACACCCCAGCCCATTCGAGGCGCACATACACAGTACCACGTTAGGAGATCCTGCGGTCTTTGTGAGTTGCTATCTGCACAACCTGCCTGAAGTGTACATGCAGTCAAGAGAGCCTTTGCTGCAAAAGACTCCGTCGCAGACAAGGAAACCCACCCCCGCCCCCCAATCACCCCAAAAAGCTAAATGGCACACATCACTCTTTCCGACTGAACAGGTTACCTGCAGACTCCCCATGACGACACAAAGCAATGGAATGCAAGCATGGCAGACATCAACCCTCCTGAACTGCATCGCAGGTGTGGGTGGCTAGGTGTGCACACATATACAGAAATGAGGAACAAGGATGGCTCACTAGACGAACCAAAGGACAGGAGTGCCTGCACAGATGTCACACACACCCAAGTCTCCCCAACTGAATACCTGCATAGTGTTAGATTAGACCAGAGCTCTGTAGGTGATGTTCTCTTCATTTAGACATGAGAAAATGTCTAACCGAAAGAAGCGCCAGACCAGGCGCCATACAGTTACGCCAACGCTAAGCTCTTCCTCATCTATCTAGCACGGAGGAAGATGGCAGGGCCCCCTCCTCGCAAGACCAGCGCACAGCAACCGAGAAGTCACCACCATCTCTGTCCCTCACCTTCATAGTTAATGCAGCCATTGCTGTCTTCATGGCCGGCCACAAGCATCTCTACTTCTTCCTCGGTCATCTTCTCCCCTGCAGGAAAAGTAGGTTGAGCTGAGGAGGTTTGGCTAGGTTGCAAACCCAGGGAAGACGCAGCAACACCCTTACCAAAATGGATCACAAGCAACAAGCAGAACACACCCTGGTTTAAAGAGTCACAAAAAGGAAATCTGGGCAAGTGAGTGGGGGTGGGGATGAATTACTGGCTGGCGTGACCAGCAGAACTTTTGTACAGGCTATGAATGGAATGCAAGTTTGGGAAGTCAAGTAAATGTTCACTGGAACATGCACAGCCGTCTTCTAATACTGTATTGCAATTAATGGGGAATCTTCAAGCAGCAGCGTAGATGCATAAGAGTTCCTGGGGGAAAGACACCTCTGAGGTGGAAGGAGAAAACTATTCTATGGGAGAGGCAGCCCTCTTTCTGCACTCATCCCACTAAAGGAGTCAAGGGACAAGCTCACTTTTGATCAGGGCTTCTCTCTCCTCTAACAGGGCATGCATGGGCCCAGCAAAAATACTCAAGGATTGGTGCACCCCAATGCCCAGACAGCACACAAAGGGGGGAGACTGTGTTAATAGCAATCTGCTGCTAATGACCCAAGAGCTTCCATTCTGAAACAAATGAGGCAAGCGATTAAAAGGGAACACTAGTTTGAAAAACCAGTATCTTGTATCCTGATCACACGTGAGGATCGCTGCAGTCTCCCATCCATGGGTTTGGCCAAGGCCATAGACACTTTGCTGCGGGAATTCTGTAGCAGTGAATTCTTCCACACTGCGCATGTGTACACACACACACACACACACACACACACACACACACACACAGTAGGAGAGACGGCTGCAATCCAGAGACACAATTCGAGTTCCAAGCAGTTATGCATAGGACTGCAGTATAAGAATTCCGGCTACTTTATTCTGCAAGATCGACGTCTATAAATTAGAGAGGCAGGTGTTTTTTCAGGTTCTTTCAGCACTGTACCCAATTTGGGACCACAGTACACTTTTGAAAAGCGTCTGGAGAACCAAGCAAGTCAGGAATGAATTCTCTCAGCTGCCAAGCTTAGAAACAGCCAGGCAGCCCCCGAACGTGAGCAAGTCTTCTCCAGCCATACCTAGGGTGACAAGCACATGGCGTATCTCTGCTCCCATGACCGTCCCGTTGCCCTCCTTGTCGAAGACCCTCAGCCCCTCCACATAATCCTCAAAGCAGCCTTGATCCTTGTTCTTGGCAATGGTCTGCATCATGGGCAGGAACTGCTCAAAGCTCAGTGTCTTTGCATTCATTTCTGTGAAAAGAGCACAAAGCGGGTGGGGAGACAAGGCATCATAGACGGATTGTGGCCCCAGAGGATTGGGTGGGGAGTCTAGACATTTCCCTCTCTCGCTTGCTCCTTTTCTAGGCTGGCCTCTGGCCTTCAGAACTTAGGTGCACTAAGATTACGAATGCATGGCGTGAGAGAAAGCAGATGGGGAGGTGGACATTTCCCCTCCCTCTCTGATGATACTAGAACTCAGGGCCATCCGAATGAAGCTGAATTCCGGAAGATTCAGGGCAGCCAAAATGAAGCACTGATTCACCCAGCACAGCCTTTCTCAACCTGTGGGTCCCCAAACGTTGTTGAACTACAACTCCCATCACCCCTAGCTAGCAAGGCCAGAGCTCAGGGACGATGGGAGTTGTAGCCCAACAACATCTGGGGACCCACAGGTTGAGAACCATCCCAGCACATCATTAAACTAAAACTGGTTCCCACAAGTTCGCAGTGACAGCCACCAACTTGGATGGCTTGAACAGGGGATTAGACAAATTCATGGAGGATAAGGCTGTCAAGGGCTCCTAGCCCCCCAATGCCCCTGGGTCTCCCCTGTGGGGTGCACTTTGCTTCTGTATTCCACTTGCTGGAAGCCACAAGTGGGAACAGCGCCGTTGCGGTCAGGGCCTGCTTGGGTCCCCTGGGAGTACTGGATGCTGAAATAGATGGGCGACTGGCCTAATCCCACAGGATTCTTCTTATATTCTTACTTCATCCAGGTGCAGAAACTGTGATAAAGAATAGCTGCATTTTGTGAGCTGTGTAAGTTCACAAAATTTGCTCATTTTGTTGGCAAAAGTAAACAAAGAGCTGGGGCACCAACGGCCCACACTCTTGCACTGGGATTCTTGCTCAGCTGTCTGAGTTGCGGGCAAATGACCAGGCAGGTTTTTGTCCACACAAGTGCTAGACTAATGCATAGGAAAACTCTTTTTTAAAAACTAGCAGCCAGGTTTGCAGGTTCTACTATAAAAGCCAAGTGGTCTCCGTTTAAACCACACACTGATCAGGGACCTTTCACTCCGGACAGAACAGAGACCCTTTGCCCCCCAAAACTGCTCCCGTAAAAGGGCCCACTCACCATCGCTCTTGGGGTTCCCCAGAACTTTCATGACTTCAGCATTGGTAGGATTCTGGCCCAGGGCTCTCATGACATCGCCACACTGGCTGTACAGGATCTTCCCATCTCCAGTTCTGTCAAAGAGCTGGAAAGCCTCCTTGAACTCTGCAGGGAGTCACAGAAGGTGAAGAGGTAAGACGCAAAACAATTGTGGGGAGGGAGTGGACAAGCCACCAAACCACATATTCCTTTCACATCCTCCACACACCCCCAGCATAAAGCTCAAAACAAACCTTAAGATGTGTATTTCCTAAAGCAGAGGCCATATCTTGTGTCTCCTTTTTTTAAAGACAGCCTACTTGCACCCACACAATTAACCCACATATTTTCAGGCTACAATAAGATGCCCCTTCCCTAGGCATGAATGCCACCGGACACAGCGGGACTCTCCCCTGCCTGCCTGCCTCCTCCGGCTGGGAGCGGGGGCCACGGCACACGCGCCAAATGTCACTCCCCCTCAGGATGAGACCCGGGGCGGACCACACACCCCTCCCTACACCACTGCTTCCAGAAGCCTAGAATTCAACCTTCCTATTAACCAGGCAGCTAGATAATCTTCCATTTAAGGCACAGGTGGTTCTTCACCAAGCAGGATCTAGTTTCTTCAGGCACAAAGAAACTGGAGCCTTAAAAAGTAACAAGATCTGTATAGAAAGACTAGGACAGACAGGAATGATCAGAGAATGTGGCTATATACCCCAGAAAGACAGATGGATGGATATTTGAAGGGGGGGGGAGAGACAGTCTTGGCAGCGACAAGGGGTGCAACTGCCTGGCAAAACAATTTCCCCTCTTCTCCCTCCACATGCTATTCTGAGGGTCCCGTCCCCCCAAGTCAACTGGGGTTCATGAGGGAAGGTAGAAAGCACCATCGCGCTAGCAGGAGTCCATGCGCTGGCTCCTGTTTAGTTGGATCCGGCCTAATTTTATTCGGCTCTAAGAAAATTAGCTTCCATAGCCTACAGTACACTTGGGTCAGATGCTGAAAAGACTGTGCCATTGTACAAGTAGCAGAGTTTTAGAAGAAAATGGAATCTGTAGCCCCTGTTGAGTCCACCTTTATCAGATCTTGCCCTGCCCAGCTTGGACAGCCAAGCTGATGTCACCAATGCAATGGCCAGGAAGGTTAACAGCACTCAAGCATTAATTTGTTTGTATTCCTATTTCATTACATTTGTGCCCATTAGCAGCTTCTGATATCAAGATCTCATACAGAATATTAATTATTCCATGTGCAGAGAAAGCTGGGTAAGTTTGAGAACATTTCTGGGGCTGTATGAAGTCTAGTTGTCATATGGACAGCTCATGGAACCACCTGAATGATGTTTCACTTTTAAGCTGAGGGGATGACATGGGAGGGAGAGTGTGATACACATGCATCCAATAAACTGGAGATGTCAAGGACTGGTTTCATGGCCTTTCAGCACTCAGCTATGGCCTCTCCTAATTGTGGAATGCTTTTTCAAAAGCTGCAAGCTTAAACCTACCTTGAAATAATTCCAAATTAGACTACTGCAGCGTTACAAAATGAGGCAGTCCTTGAAGACTACAGAAACTACAACAGGTGCAAAAATGCAGCCGCCAGAATGCAAACAAACCAAAACTATTTGACTCATATTACACCAATCTCCACTGACTTGTTGGTTCAGACTGCAGACCACCATATAGCTGCTGCTGCTGCTGCTGCTGCTTCTCTCAGGCCAGCTCAGCTCTCAAGAGTGGGGCAGGAGTCAATTTTGGGTCCACTGCCAATTGTGGGCGGGCAACCACTCTCCCCAAACACTTGAGCACCCCACTGCACCCCGTTCCCCCAGAGCATACAGCTTCTGGAATTCAAATAGTTGCTTATGTGAGTTCCCACAAGACCCCCAACAGCAGAGGATTTTAATGGGGGGTGGGGTCCACACTTAATATATAGTTGTATGCAAGGGTACACCAGTGGGGCTTAAGTGGTAGCAAATCAGGGGGTGGGGAGGAGACAAGATTTTCGCATACTGCAGTGCCTTGTCTGCCCTACCCAGACTGAAGACCTGTTTTAGAGAGATTATCCCCATCTGCTTCCAATGATGCTTTTGCCTAGCCACAAATTCCAAAGCAGCTAATTGCTCTGGACATTCAGCTGAAGATGCTTGCGTGTTTATTACCTCAAAGCCTCCCACCCAGCAGGAAGCGCCAGGGTCACCCCCGCCTTTGGAAGGCTGGCAAAGGACTCAGCCCAGGACAACTGTGGCAATGCCACCTAGGCTAGCAGCAGGATCTCATTTGTACCAGACAAGGATTAGCAAAGGGGAAGTGTGTGACCCAGAGAGAACCACAAGCCTTGTCCTGCTTGGCAGAAGGTACCAGAAAGGATAATCACGGCCCGGATGAAGGGGGTGGGGAAAGCCGCAGCTCAGGGATGGAGCATCAGCTTCTGCCTACAGAAAGTCCCAAGTTCGAAGCCGGGCATCTCCCTGTCCCCTTCCTGAATCCCCGTAGAGTCACTGCCAGTCAGTGTAGGCAATCCTGAGCTAGAAAGACCAACATTCTCACCCAGCGTAAGGCAGTTTCCTATATCCCTAGAGCTTCCTCTATCACTCCCTTTTCTGGAGCCATTTAGTGATTGTTCACTTTTAAACCAGGAGGAAAGGGCACGAATGTTGTTCTTTGTGGGGGTGCCATTTTATGCTTCCCCACCCTCCTTTTTTCTAATATGTGCAGAGATGGTGTGATGAAAGATACACATGCATCCAATTAACTGGAGATGTCGAGGATTGATCTTAGGGCCTTTTACTTGCAAACACTGGGCTACAGCGTCTCTCGATTCCGGAACATTTCCTCAAAAGCCGCAAGATTACACATGTCCAGATGAGACTCCTGCAACATGGAGCACATAAGGCTGCCCTTGAAGACTGTACAGAAACTGCACTAAGTGCAAAATACAGCAGCCAGAATGCAAACCAGCCCTCGGTCACTAGAGCATGAGATTCTTCATCTCAGGGTTGTGGGTTTGAACCCCATGTTGGGCAAAAGGATTCCCGAATTGCAGGGGGTTGGACTAGATGACCCTTGAGGTCCCTTCCAACTCCACAATTCTATGACTATGATTCTAAGCAAAAGCAATTTGAGTCCTATTACATCAAGCCATCTGAACTGACTTGTGACTTAATTCAATTTTCTAATTGTTGGGATAGGAGCTGTTGTCACTGCAGCTTAGCTTGCTTTGTTTTATGGTAGAGCTGTTAACTTGGGTTTTTTATTGGACTTGGTCTTATGGTTTCTGTAATTTTTTTATACGGTTACCTCTTTATTAAGGAATTAAATGTTCAAGGAAAGAAGATTATAAATGCTTAGAAATAATAAATGGTGACACAGCCTATAATAACAGAAGATATGGATTTTAAATTATTTTAACTGTTATGTTATTAGTTTTGAGTTTTAGTTTTAGTGTTCTCAGTTTATTGTACCAAAATAGTATTTCATGGTTGCAAAGCACCTTGGGAAACACAAGGCAGTAAATAAAAGGTTTCTACAAATAAAAAAGGAAGCTCAATTTGTAACACTAAGCACCTGGAACATTAGTTGCAACTAAACTCCCTGAAAACTATAACCAAATCTCAAAGTCTAAAATTAGGAAAACCACAGAACCCCTTGCCGGCCTTAGTCTCAAATCATGCACACACAAAACATGCAAGCATCAGCTGCAACCCTTGCGGGAAGGAAGCTTTAGGGCTCCTCTCCAAATGCACAACTATATTAACACTAATGGAGCCTCCCCGCTTGCTTCCGACGGGGATGTGAACTAAGCTACAGCCACAGTGTAGCTGCTACTCGCCGCCGCCCCCCCGGACCTTTAGAGCTGCAAGATTCCCTTGCCAAGAGGAATCTCTCCTCCTTTGCCTCCGAGCGCCTGGGATCCGGGCTGGAATGTAGCAGTGCAGCAGCAGCAGCAGCAGCTCCCAGCCCGGGCTGCTCCGAAATGAGTTTCTTGCCCATATAAGGAAACCAAGAGAACACAATCCCGGCGCCCATCTTTTGCTGGTCCGCTCCTGCAACCCGGGGGGGCCAGAGGCTTCCTCTTGCGCGGCCCGCGGGAAAGATCCCGCCCCGGCTGAAGTCTGGCCGCCTGCCGGGCACCAACCGCGCGGCGCAAGAGGAGGGAAAGCAAGCAGCCATTTCCACCCGCCTTGCCCAATCGCGCATCCTGCTGCTGCTGCTGCACAACCGGAGAAGCCGCGACCGGCTCCTCCGGCTTCGGGAACGGGCTGCCCGGGTCAACTCGCGCCCCGGCGATTCCCAGATCCCGCCGGCGCGCAAAAGCGGAGCTGGCATTTGCCCCGCGCAGCGGCCGGGAGGGGATCTGGGTGGGTCCTTTCCCGAACCAGGAAATGCATCGTGCATGAGCCATCAAGCGGGCGGCGGCGCCGACCTGAAGTCCAATGAATTCCCATGCAAAAGGGTTGGGCCGGGGGGGGGGCACAACTTTGGAGAAAGGCTCTATTCGAGCAGCCGGCTTCAGACACACACACACACACACACACACAGAGGCCTAGCTTCACAAAGCTCAAATGCACAACTCCCCGCGAGGAGGGAGACGCGGCAGGGCGTATTAGCAAGGAGGCCGGGAACGTGCTAGTTAACACGGGGCTCGCTTTTGTCCACACACGAACTCACCATTGCGGGGTTGTGATGGAGAGGTGGGTAGGAGGGACAGAGAGCAGCTAGAAGGAGAAAGAGGGGTGGGGGAAAGAGTCGTAAGCCCCAAACCAGGCTCCTAAGCAGATCTAGGGCGCCCACGGTTTAAACCTTAGGATTTCGACGTTTAAAAATGAAGCCCTGGCCCGCCGCCGCCGCCCTCGGGGTTCCCAAGTGGTGCCCAAAGTGGGAGCGCCCGGAAAGAGATGCGGGCACCTACCGGCGGTCTGGTCTTCCGAGAAGTCACACTGCGAAGGAAATCAGAGAAAATCCGATTACTATTTGGGGGTTGGGGAGAGAGAACAGCAGCAAGGAAGTTCAGGAGGCGCGAGAGAGCGCATTTCTGCCCGCAAGGACCCCCTTGGCAACTTCTGGGGCGCACTTGGACTTGCTGCTGCTGCTGCCGGCTCCCCGCCGAGCCCGACCATCCCCCAAGGTGACCCCCCGCGGGTCCTTGGCTCAGAATAAAAACAGCAGTCCCCGGATCCAGATCCCTTGCTTTTGCTGGATCCTAACCGCACAGCCTGGGTCCCCCCCGCCCCTCCCGCCGCGCTCAAATCTGCCACAAAGCACCCACCATGATTCGGGCTGCTGGCAGTTCCTCTCGCCTGGCGCTCTGACGCTTCCCTCCTTCCGCCCTGAACGTGTGCAAAGTCTTTCTGCGGGTTGGGCTCTGAGGTCAGCACGCAGGCACTCGCCCCCGATTGGCTGGCGAGCAGCAAAAATGGATCGACGTTATGCTAAGCAGAGGCTGCATTTTTCAAGAGACAGGAGTGGGCGGAGTTCCCCCGATCCCTCCTCTCCTGTGCAACGCTAGGAAGGAAAGCACTCGAGCTTTTTTGCCTATAGATGGGCTGCTGAGATGACAGTCTCGCGGGCGGAGGCTGTTGCCTTAGAAGGAGCTGGTGCGTTGCATGCTGGGAGATGTAGTTCTTTTTTACCCAAAAAAGAAAAGAAAACATGATGTCTGTAGGTCTGAGCTGTAGTTCTGGTTTATTGGGGATTAAACCAGGCTGGGTAGATGCAAAAAGAGAGCCAGATTCCTGAAGGGTGTAGAAGAGGAGATTTCCGCAGGTGTGGCTTGCATAACGAGCCACACCTGCTGAAATTCTTCCAGACAACTCTTAAAGGTGCAGAAGTCCTGCCTTCTTTTCCACCTGGCCACCTTCTTTAAGTGCAAACTGCAAGGTGCTTTGCAGTGTTTGCTTCATCATATTTCCTTACATGTCAGCAATGTGTTATATATTTTTCTAACTAATACACAGTTTAATACACATCAGCATGGCCAGGCACCTGCCAAGGATCCAAGGACTGAGGACCAGTCACAGGTGGTGTGATGGGCTGGCCCTGCTCACCTGATCTCCAGTCAGTTGCATTGCAGCTGCTTACCAGGAGGAGTGAGCTGGCACAGTGCAAATGCACGATTGGAGCCAATCCAGGATTCCTGATGGTGTGTTTGTGCTGCACCAACCTCCCTTCTGCCTCAACCCTCTACCTCCTAGTAAGCAGCAGAAATGTTACCTCCCAAAGGACAGGTGAGCAGCAGCAGTGCCCCACCACACTTAGCAGAACTATTGCCTTTGACGGGTCGATCAGAGAGATGCAAAGTCTCTCTCCCAAGGCTAAGCAGAGCATCCATGGGTAGGCTGGAACTGGAACCCAGCCTAAGGCTGGCCTGATCATAAGGTAGGCTGAAGGTCCCTGCTTTGGGTGGGTGGAGACTGAAGTGCAATGCAAGAGGGGGGATGCATTTGTCCGACTCCAAAATATACTGCCCCGGGGCCCTAACCCTTCCCTAGTTCTTGCATAATGTGTTTCATGTGACAGAATGAATCCAGGAGCTTTGTAATAACAGGCCATTTAATCAATCTGAATTGCTTGCATTAACCAGTGAGGTGGCCTTTCCTGTGCTAGGGAGAAAGCAGTCTCTCCCACATTATGGAAGCCAAGCTAATACAAAAGAGAAGCCTTTTATGGTTTGGGTGTTTATACTCATTCACAAAACTCATCGGTCCAAGAAAGGATATTAATTGCACCTACTCCACTTTGTCACTGGGGAAGTGAAGCAAAGTGAAAATGGTTAGATTTTGGGGGCAGTGAGCTGGAGGTTGGTGGAGGGCAAACAGTGAGGTGAGAGTCAAGAAAGCAAATGGGACTCATAAAGGTTAGGTATGCCTGGAGTTGCTGTTTCCTGAGATGAGAAGCATGGCAACATACTGTTTATCTGGGGAAGGATCTGGTTTGATACTGATTTTAAAGTGAACCTAATTGACTGTTATGTACTGAGTTGAATAGGATCCAAAATGCAGCAGTCTGATTGGTCTGCAGGAGCCACCCAATCCAGCTCCAGATGGAAGTGAATCCACAACCTGATTGGCCTACAAGAGAATTCTGGAATTAGCCAATCATGTGCAGCCCATTGTGTAAATAATGTACCGGTATATAAAGCAGATACTTTGGGGGAACATTAATTCCTCCTCACCACTATGAGCTGAATAAAGAGCATGAAATCCACTCTCGACTCCGAGTATATTTCATTCACACTTCCCATAATGGTACGTGAGCTGTAACACAGCCTTCAAAATTCACAGTTCTGTGGAATTCGCTTTGCAGTCCTCTAACCAACAACTGTTTTAGAAAACATACATGTATTAACATTAAGTGTGCAAATGCATATATCATTAATAATATTAATGATAATGCAGCCTTCACCAGCTTGGTGCCCTCTAACTCTCTCATCAGCCCCAACCAGCACAGCTATGGAGGGCACCTGGTTGGGGAAGGCTGACCTAAGGTATGTTACAGGGCCTTCTTGTTGAGCTGTGATTCTGACTGGAACATCAGAGCCTCTCCAGCAACAAAAGTCAAATCTCCAGGGCACACATGCGCTAAATGCAACACATTCATACAGCTCATATATCAGCAGGCCTGGCTGTGTACTAATGTGTCTCATCTGCGCTAATGAGTCCAGAGTATTCCCTGACGTGGGAATGGCCTTTTCTTTTTAACCTTCTTGAATTTGACAGCTTGTCGTGACTCTGAGCAAAGTGCGATTTGATGGTTCTTCTGTCATCACTAGGGGATGGGGGTCCAAAGAGGGTGACGACACATGGAGTGGCTGTTTATTGAGGGGACGGGGAGATATTGCATCCTCCTATAAAAATTCCAAGTCTGGTTGTGACTTTCCAGTTGCAACAGTTAGAGGCAAACTGCTTAATGAGAAGTTCCCTTGTTTTGAACAGGACTTAAATACTTGCAAGTAAATATGATTGGGGTTGAAGCCTTACCGTGCAAGTCCTGAATGGGGGGAGGCTGGGGATATATGTCAGTGCATCACGGGGGGAGTGGCTACAGATGGGCTGCGCACATCATAAGCCAATGTGTTGACAACTCCTTTGAATCTTGGGCTTAGTGTGGATATTGAATGGCAGCAGCCGGACAGATCCAAATGCACACATTTCTCTTGTGCCACTTTAAATATTTATTCTGGGAAGGGAGAGAGGGTCGGGCAGATAAGCAAGCGCCGATTGTATTCATTACCCTTCCTGTGCAGCCATTACACACACTTTAAAAATATTGTGTGTGTATTTTCTGCAAGTGTTGCAAATGGACAAAATACACCAATGAATCAGCACAGAGAGGAGAAGCAAACAGGAAATATAGAGCAGGAATACAAGGAAAGGGGCAGTGGTTCAGACCACTGAAAGAGAGAAGCAGGGAGACCTAAACAGGCAGCTACTGGACATAAACCTCAAGGGAAGCCCTTGAGTGTCCTCCTGCACTCATCTCAGGACCAGTGAGTTCAAACCAGGACAGGGAACGCACCTTGTTGATCCATTTACAGAGTGGAAGGTGAAGATTTTTCATTTTTCTTGAAGCACCAAACATAGGGCTACCCCAGTTCATGCACAGCCCATAGTTCATAACCTGGCAGGAGGTTCCATGTAACAGGGATAAAGGTAAAGGTAAAGGGACCCCTGACCGTTAGGTTCAGTCGTGGCTGACTCTGGGGTTGTGACGCTCATCTCGCTTTACTGGCCGAAGGAGCTGGCGTTTGTCCGCAGACGGCTTCCGGGTCATGTGGCCAGCATGACTAAGCCGCTTCTGGCGAACTAGAGCAGCACACGGAAATGCCGTTTACCTTCCCGCCAGAGCGGTACCTATTTATCTACTTGCACCTTGACATGCTTTTGAACTGCTAGGTGGGCAGGAGCAGGGACCGAGCAACGGGAGCTCACCCCGTCGCGGGGATTTGAACTGCCGACCTTCTGATCGGCAAGTCCTAGGCTCTGTGGTTTAGACCATAGTTTTCAGCAATAAATGTGTGTTCCCACTGCATACATTTGCAGTGTGGTGTAGTGGTTAGAGTGTCAGACTAGGACCTGGGAGAACAGGGTTCAAGTCCTCAGTTTACCATGAAGCTCTCTGGGTGACCTTGGGCTACTCACTGCCTCTCAGCCTAATTTACCTCACAGGCTGGTTGTTGTGAGGATGGGGAGAACCGTGTAGGCCACTTTGAGCTTCTTTGAGGGAAAAGTGGGATATAAATGCAACACATAAGTAATTAAAAAAATAAAATATCCTAAATTAACTAGCAACTCATGGATAATGTTTGAGTCTAATGGCCCTGCAGGAGTCAAATGAGACCAATGAAACGGAGTCTGGGTGGAGATATAAATATACTTTATATTCCTACTGATGTTTATTTACAATAATGATTTACTTGGCAAATAATATATTGATATGACTTATTAAGTAAGCACGAAATTCCTCAAAATAAGATATAGAACTGTGATGCAGTGACTACATTGTGCAGACACAGGGGAAGATTTAGGGCTGGGCTTTGGGAAGGAGGCCTGAGGGTCTCACAGGTTCCTAGAGCCCTCCTGTCTCCTCCCCAAAGCCAGGTGCCTCCTTACTTGCCTTTGCCTCACACTGACGTGGCCCGTGGTGGGCGGAGAAGAGCTCTGATCTCTTGTGTGGGGGTGCCTGGATCGCTCCCCTTCAAAATTGTGTGCCCAGGGTCACGGCCCCCCGGCACACACCCCGCGCTACACACCCCTGATCCTGTATTAGTAGTAGTGGCGTTAGGGGATGGGTAGTATCTCTGGTGGGGGACACCTACCTCTGGTCATGCTCCTTCTGGGGTAGTTTGTCCGCCTTTGGTCCCCACCCTGCACTCAGCTCTCACCTGCAGCTCACAGAAGCTGTCAGCAAGTGACAGCGGCCACACCCTGCGAAACAGCTTTGACTGGTGAGGGTAGCCAATGGGTCTCCAACGCTTAGTGGATTAGGGATTTCCCCTGCATGCGAAAACAGGCTCTAGTGGATTGGGTGGATGAGATCAAAAGTGCATCCAGTGGCCAAGAAGGCAGTTTCTGCGCATGCTGTAGAGGAAAGTGAGGGATGGATGGGGCTCATCCACCTGGGAAGGTAGTCCATCTAGGAGAAGGAAAACTCTGGTCCTAAACCTCCTCTGCCTTGTGGGATATCTTCAGGAGAAGAAAAGGCTAAGGAGTAAACCCTACACAAATCCAGAGTGGAGTCCCTAAGACAGTTGGATGGCATCCTGTCTGCCTCCTTCCGGCAACTCCTACATCCCAACTGGTGCTGAATGTCTTGCTCTGCTTTCCGTTGGACCACATCAGTGAGGTTCAAGACAGATGAATGCCAACAACAACATTTTCTCCAAGCTGGCATACATGGTCTCTCCCCAAACACCTCTATTTTATCCTTACAGGTTTGACAGTCTTGCCAAATTACCCAGTGAGCTTCATGGCTGAGTGAGAATTTGAACCCTGGTCTCTCTGCTCCTAGTCCAACACACTAACCACGACACCACACCGCATAATGTTTGGTCCTGGGCAGACTTGAAGCATTGTGGAATGAGCATGTGTGGCACAGGCAGCCCACCTGGCAGAAGGGGACCCCATGGCAGCTCCCTTTCTATTTCAGAAGTCACTTTGTGGAGTTTTGTTCTAAAGCAGTGAACCAGATCTGGATGTGTGTGCAAATTCACATGCTGTTGACAGATCCTGGCTCTCCTTCCGCTTTCCAATATGGTTCGGAGCTTTTTGGCTGTCACACAATTCCCTGACAACTTGGTGCTAGGGGGAACCTCCTTGCATTCCCCCACCACAAAGATGCCAAAGATACATTTTTTTCTGTTTTTATTGTGCATACTCTTTTGGTGATTTTACGCTTTGCAGTGCTCTATAAAAATGTGTTTTCATCATCATCATCACACAAACTCAGAGACCAGAAAGAGCTGAAAACCAACGACTTTATTGTCCAGTGGAGTAAATGTATTGTTTTGGGAGAGTCAAAATGATTTAAAAATTTGTTTTTCTCATAGAGGCTGTAGCATTCAGTGGTGCCCCCTTCTGGTTCCACAGAGGAACGTGATGTTCCCACGTTGCGGTATAAATGAAGCATCATTTGCAGCCAGCACTCTGAGCGAGGGTTGGGTGGTCGATCGTGTTTATACAAAGGTAGAAAAAGGGGGGAGTTGATTCCACTGGGGAGTGACGGGTTTAGCAGTCCTGCCTGAAGGGTGCAGCTATTCAACCCCACCGTCAGCAGGTCTGTAGAGAAAAAAAGATGGTGTGTCCATTACGGTCCGTATCAAAGATTAGCAAGGGTTAGCATGAAGCAGCTCTTCAAGACAAGAGCTCTGATGAGAAGGTGAAAATTCTTGGTTCACCAGCTTGGCTACATCAGCTCTGCAATGCTAGTCTTTGCAAACATCAGCACTAACAAGTTATAGCGAACTGACTTTATATCAACAAGCAACAGCAACAATTAACTTTTCCTGGAGTGTGCACACTTGATAATAGTAGGCCTCCAATCAGGGGTGGACTATGGTAATCTTTTATAATATGTCACCCTGTGTGAAGCTAAAATTTGGTGCCCCCAAATGGACCTTCTCAGTTATGGATCTTCTCAATTACAGATCTTCTCAATTTTGCACCTTCACGGCTCCAAGATACTGCACACAAATGTAAAACTTCAGAAGAGAGCTCAAAGCTCAATACTGAAAGAGGTTACAGGGAAGGAAATGTTTTTTCTGATGGGGTGGAGGAGCAACACACATCACTCCACAGAATTAACCACTCTCTTTTCTGAGGCACATACTCACTCTCTTCCGCTTAGACTGCCATGATGTGTTTGACAAAGGCTGTGGAGAGAAAGGAAAGAGTTGTGAGGAAATTAAAACTACCTGCCACCGCGTTCACATGCACAGTATTTTGGTCCAGTGAGCCTTTTACACCTGTCCCCCCCCATATATGTTTTCATCATCACATTTTCTAGGGTAACAAGAGTACATACAGAGCCTCTGTTTCAAGTCATAGAATCCTTCAAACAAGTCAGTGAGACATTACTATTGTAGGAAATGTGGAGTTGAGGGGAGTAAAGGGGAAGACAGTAGAATTTCATTATTTTGTATAGTATATAAGCAAAGCTTTTGTTTCAGTGTCACGCAAACAGGGACTTTATTTTTGTTTGCTGTGTGAGAGACCAGAAGGCCCAGGGTGTGGTAGGTTGCAGTCGGTTGGTTGCAGTGTATTTTGTCTGTGTGTGCAAGGGGGGGGGGTATTGCTGGGTCAGGTTAACCATATTGATTTGTATGCTGTTGGTGGGGGGATTGGCTATTGCCTTGCTGGCTTGCATACACAATGAAGGAGAGCCAAACTGGGTGAAGGCATCCTCCTGTTTTAGCTTTCCTAGGAAGGCTGTTTTCCATACCGTTTGGTACCAGTGGTCCATGTTCACTCCCAATAGATGCCTCCAGTGTCTAGTTATGGCACTTCAAGCAGCTGAGAGTAAGTGGCTTATGAGTTCTTTGTCATGTGTGTTACACCTGATATTTTAAGGTAGCAGTCTACCTTTACTGCCTCTTGTCCCTCCCTGACAGATGTTTCATTAGCAAAGCTATTGCCTCTGGTGACAACTGGCCCACTTGCTCACTTGCAATCTGTTTTCCTGCCCTCACTTCTCCTTAAATATTAGGAGTTTCCTTTCTGGCATTAGCAGGTCATGAAGTGCCTAATTGCTCCCTGCATGTAGCATTGAGGCCCTAATTGTCGAATGGGGCAGTTGTGGCTTCTATATTACCAACAGTACTAGGCACTTAAGCACCTCATCCACACAGTGTTGCACATTTGTTTGCATATGAAAACTGCAACAAGCAAAGTCCAGCATCCCATATAACTTAGGAACAGAGGAAGCTGCCTTGTACTTAGACGGACCACTGGTCCAGCAAGCTTGATACTGTCCACACTGATAGGCTGTGTCTCTCCAGGGTTTCAGAGGGGGGTATAATCCCAGCTCCACCAGCAGATGCCAGGGATTGACCTGAGACTTTTCACTTGCAAAGCATATTCTTTACCACAACTTGTAGATAATGTGTGCAATGTTCTGTACAGTACCTACTTTTTAATATTCATTTGTAAACGGCTTAGAGGTTTTTCTACAGTTGAGTGATATATAAATTTAGTTAACTGCGATATACAAGCTTGCAGGATCTACACTTTTATCACCACATTTCCCTGTGAAACTGGGAAGTGTCGCTGCTTCTCTTGAATCAAACTAAACTATCTACTCACCTGTTCTAAGTGATCATCCATAGGCAGGCTGTATTTTAGGGGGCAGAACTGAGTTATCTGCAACGCAATTGATCAGTTACTTAAGTATTTTTATTTATTTACTTGATTGGGGGGAGATGCCCCCCCCCCCGCCAAGGTCATGGGCTCATCCAGACTTCCTTTTGTGCCATACTTTCTAGGCACAGGTCGATGTTTTAAAGCACTGTGTCCAAGCACTCTTTTTTATTTTCCCGCCACTTTCCCCGTGAGAACCGCTCTTTAATGCTGAATCAGAACAAATGGCAATTTGTGTTACCCACAGATTGCCATTTGCTCTGATTCAGTGGTAAAGAGCGGGGTTTCTCTGGGAAAGAAAGAAAAGGGGCAAAAGTGTGTGTGGGGGGGGAGAACGCTTGGATACAGTACTTCAGAGTGTGGCCCTGTGCCTAGGAAGTCTGGATGAGTCCAATATGAGTGTTCTGACACTGGGCCTACCTGCTCATGCAAAAACAGACCCAGTCTCTCACCTTCATAATTGATGCAGCCATTAGCATCTTCGTGCCCAGCTAATAGAGTGTCTACTTCCTCTTCAGTCATTTTCTCACCTGGAAAGAGAAGGAGGAGGAACAGCACATGGAAGAAGGGGTCAGGGTACATTCCCTTCAGTCCCCATCAATCCCAGCCCAGCACCTAGCATACCAAGTAGTTCAATCTGCATCTTGTGCTGAAATACAGTAACACCTCAAGAATGTGTATGTAACTGTGTCCTGTGGACAATTGGATTCTAAACAAATACCCGTGAGTAGAACGGAAAATTGGATTTTTAAACATCGTAATTTGGCACCGAAACGGGAAGGTTTCAAACAGGAAGTCCGCCTTCCCTTTTTGTAAATAGATTAAAGCAAAGACGTTGCAAACTAAAGTCTGGAAAGCCTTTTGTAAAGGATTAAATCCCCATCGGTTAAAACTACTAAACCCCCCTTGGAAGCAGGAGAAGAGGGGGGAAATTTTAGACTGCCTAAGCCTGCAGGAGAGAGAGTGAAGGAAGATAAATTACCATCGCCTTGAACCTGGGAACGGGCTGTCAATAAGATCGACTTTTTGAGAAAGTTCATTGACTGCGAATAACGTATGCTGACAGATAGCTAAACAAGAGAAATATATTGTTTCCATTGTTTCCTTTTGCACTTGAAAAGAAGCAAATGTAACTGAAAATTGATCTAACTTTGCTGCCGGATCTTTACTTAAAAGGACGGATACAAACAGAAATTGTTTCCTCTAGAGGGAGTTCTTGAAACTGTTGCGGGAGTGGATCTGGGGAATTTTCCAGCTGCAGAGATTAAAGACCATGGGAAACTGAGATTTACCTTGGACAAGAATGTTGACAGAAGAAGCCCTAGTGATTGCATTTTGCAAAACAAGTGCTTTATTGGAACAGCTCATAAGAAGATAGATGTGATGATTACTAAAATTGACAATATGGGACAAAAAATGACTGAGCTGGGTCTAAAAGTGAATACCTATACAGAAATAACTCAGGATCTGATTCAGGAATCTGTTTTGACATTGCAAGCTGTGGAGAAGAAGAAGGAGAAAGTTGTCGTGGAACCTCAAGTAATTCAAGTGGATAGAGCCCTGGCCTTTCAGAGGCAATTTGACGAATATAAGCTGTTGCCATTTACGATTGAATCCAGAGAAAGCCAGATTTGGAGGGATGGAGTCCCACTTGGATTGGAGAAGGAAAGTTGGATAGATCCCCTTATGCAGGTTTGGGATCTGGACTTGGGTCAGGAGGAGATTGGAGTTGTGGGGGCCTTTAGCTTTGGAGGGACTTTGAAACACGCTCAGAAATATCGTTTGGACTTTAGTTCGGACTATGGAGAGTGGGCTGACCCGTCGAGAAGGAATAATGATATTGTTAGGTTGGAGTTTCCCCAAGACCTACTCCTCAGTGCCAAAGGAAGGAAACTAAGAACAAGATCAGCAGAAGACAAAGCGAAGCTCATGCTTAGATATGAAGAAGACCTGCAGAAGGGACATGGAAAAGAGTTAAGAGCCTCGGATAGAAGATCACCAGGTTGATGGACCATATGGAATTGATAGAAAGGACTGACAGAATCCGAGTCCAGGGTGAAGAGACGGTGGAAGAAGATTGGAAAAAAGTTTTAAAAATTTATTTAGAGAAATATTGTTAAATTAATGAGTGTTAGAAAAATTGTTGGAATGAAATTATACGGCTTTAGTAGAAATGTTATAAAGAACTAAGTAAAAATAGATTGTTAATGGACCAAAGTGGAAAATTTAAGGTTAGACTGTCTTAAGTTAAATTTTAGATTGAAAATTGAGAAAGATGGAAAGGACTTGCTGAAATAGCTAATTGAACTAGAATACAAAGAAGGGAGGTGTGAGGAGGTCGATGAAACAAGTATATGAAAGGTAAAGACATGGAAAGGTTGGATGTGTTTTTAAATGTTTGTGGGGTTTTTTTGCTGTTTTGCTGTTTTATTGTATTTTTTTTGTTCTTTTTGGGGGTTTTTTCTTTTTTTGATGTATTGTAAGGTATTGTTTTGTTTTGTTCAATTTTTTTATTGTTCTTTTTCTTTTTCTGTATTTTCCAAACCCTTAATAAATATCATTAAAAAAAAAAAAAGAATGTGTATGTAACTACATTGTTTGTTGCACTGAAGGTGGGTTGATGTAAATGGCATCAACAATCAAATCTGATTTTGAGATATTTGTGATAGACCATATTTACCTTTGTTAAATTCTAATCAATTGCAGTTGATCTTCAAAACAGAATGTTGGTATGTGTTGTGTGTATGTATATAAACAGGTATTTGAATTTCATTTTTTAGAGGGTCATACTTGGAATCAGGAGACCTGGGTTCAAATCCATGCCATTTGCGATGCTCGCAAGGTGACATTTGGTCACTATTTCTCAGTCTAACCCATTTCACAGGATTGTAGAGCAAATTCTATCATATGCCATTGTGAGCTCCTTGGAAGGAGCGTGGAACACAGCTGTGTAGCTGAGCTCGGATTTGAATTCAGTTTTTCCCAGTTCAAGCCTGATGCTCTAGTCTATCAGCATGACTAGTTTTTTAGGCTGCAACCAAAACCCCACTTACCTGGGAGTAAGCCACATTGAACTCAGTTGCATTATTATGATAGATATCATTCATCAAGAAACAGTAAAAGGGTGCAAACAGCTTTAAGAACCTTTTTCTGTGAGTTCTGGGTGTGGTTTTCTAGGCTGATTAGACACAGCTGGTAATGTGTATAAAAGAACAGAAGTCGCAGTTTGAATTTTGCCTGCAGAGAGAGAACACCCACATGCTTTGTGTTTGTTGTTTTTGTATAGCTGTAATAAAACCTTTGCTTGAGTGTTTTACACCGGTCTTGTGGTTCTGTTGTCAGCCACCAGAAGAAAAATCCCCTCTAACATATTATAGGCTTAGCCCTCTTGCACTGTAGATTGAAGGGTAACAATGATCATGTATCCTTTCTTCTAAAATAAAATAAGAGAAAAAGGGCAGCAAAAGTATCTCTCCATTTTATAGACTTCTCACTTTTTTAATAGTTCTTTGCAGGCTGTGCACTGCACCTCCCTGGAACAGAAGCGCAAGTCCTTATTTATTAATGCACATATTCTATAGTGGATGAGAGTGCAAAAACTCACTGCCACAAGGGCATCCTCTCTATATGAAGGCCACTCCCCCAAACCTTAATGGGGAAGAGATACTATGAGTCTCCAGTGGGGCTAGTGTTAGTACCAGGGCAAGGGGAAATCAGGATGCAAAACCGTACCTGGAGAGACCAGGGCCAGATTTAGGTTTGATGAGGCCCTAAGCTACTGAAGGTTATGGAGCCCTTTATATGTCCAGCTGTCCTGTGTCAACAACAAATTGTCACTGTTTTTTAGGTTGAATATATGCTATATGGTAATTTATGGACCTAATAGGTATCTAAAGCCATTTGCACATAACAAATAGGAGCCTACACAACACAAAACACTGTTGCTGAATGTAGGCTTTATTTTATTTGTTTTTTATCTTATATTTTGGAAATGTACATCCAGTTGTTTTTTCCTTTAAACTTTTTGGGGGCCCCCAAGAGAGTGGGGCCCTAAGCTATAGCTTCTTTAGCTTATACGTAAATCCAGCACTGGGAGAGACAGTACCTAACCTAAGCAACACCAGCTTGCCTAAGGCCATCCAGTTCATTTATGAATGAACAATCATTTCAAACAAGGATGAATTGCAGCGTTGCCCATTGGCTAGTTTAGCACATCCACCTGCACCCAAAGCTGAAGTAAGTGAATGGGATGATGGCTGCGTTGAAAATGGGATCCTTCTGGGCTCTAGCATGGCTTCCTCATGTTTGGTGTGCCCCCAAAGCTGCTTGGGCCTTCTGGCAACAAACTGGTGAGAAAGTTTTGCCTTTTCACTTGGCAGCACTTACCAAGTGTGGCGAGGACGTGGCGCAATTCTGCGCCCATGACGGTGCCGTTTCCCTCTTTGTCAAAGACCCTGAGCCCCTCCACGTAGTCTTCGTAGGTTCCCTGGTCTTTGTTCTTGGCAATAGTTTGTAACATGGGCAGGAACTCTTCAAACTCTACCCGCTTAGAATTCAGCTCTAGTGGAGGAGGAGGAGGAAGAGGAAAGACTGTCAACAGCAAACTAGTCCCAAGCGCTTTGCCTCACAGATTTCATGGGGCACTTCCCAGCCTACACCCTCAGAAATATGTGTCCGCTGATTGTATGCATTCCATGAGGACTGCACTCCTTCACTTGGAATGTGAACCCGAAACTGTATTTGGCATCCTGAAAATTGCTTAGCAGATGGTTTTGGGGGAGGATGGAGGACAGGCTTAGAACTGGAAGGAGGTGGTCACACATCAGCTTCTTTTGCTACACTGTTTACACTGGGTTTCTATGTAAAGGTAAAGGGACCCCTGACCATTAGGTCCAATCGTGGCCGACTCTGGGGTTGCGGCGCTCATCTCCACTTTTGGCCGAGGGAGCCGGCGTACAGCTGGGTCATGTGGCCAGCATGACTAAGCTGCTTCTGGCGAGCCAGAGCAGCGCACGGAAACACCGTTTACCTTCCCGCTGGAGCGGTACCTATTTACCTACTTGCACTTTGACGTGCTTTCGAACTGCTAGGTAGGCAGGAGCAGGGACTGAGCAACAGGAGCTCACCTTGTGGCGGGGATTCGAACTGCCGACCTTCTGATCGGCAAGTCCTTGGCTCAGTGGTTTAGACCACAGCGCCACCCGCGTCCTTAAATTATATAAAGTATGGAAATTATACAGAAGTAAAGAAAGAAAGAATACTATATTCTATGTTTATGTTTCAACTATTGTCCTATTTTCTTTCCTTATTTTTCTCCTTTAATTGATACAATATCTCTGTTTCTGATATTCAAGCATGAGTGCGTAGGCTAATGCAGCCAAAAGGGCACCATCCATTCACACGTATCTCCTCCTTGCATGTTGGTGGTACCATTTTGGCAACATAAGCATCAGCACTCAAGCTTGAATAGTAGAACTACCGTATTTTTTGCACCACAACACTCACTTTTTTCCTCCTAGAAAGTAAGGGGAAATGTCTGTGCGTGTTATGGAGGGAATGCCTATGGGTGGCATGCCTACGGATTTTCCTCCTCTAAAAACTACGTGCGTGTTATGGTCGGGTGCGTGTTATAGAGCGAAAAATGCTGTATTAAGAAAGCTGAAGTTCTAAATGGATGACAGCCTCATGTCTGAAAACACCCTTCAGGGCTGATGTGTCCTGCACAGCTTCCCACCCTTCCCCCCCATTCCTAACTAAAGATGGACAGACCTCTCAGATTTGTTTTCCCAATCTTAAATTCAGTTCACCATATTTCCACATCAACTTACTATTTTTTTCTATTTAAAAAGGTTCTCAGGAAAATTCACCAGCATTTTAGCAGCCCTTTCTCCTGATAGACACATTTTTGTATGCAGTTTTTGCCTAGTACTACTCTGTACTGTACGCTTGCTTGAATTTGGAATCTATTGCCCTCAAGTGGCCATCCTGTCCGTTTCCCTTTCTACTTGTGAGACAAGGAGCAAGACTCACCGTCCGGCTTGGGGTGTCCCAGGACTTTCATGATCTCGGCATTTGTGGGATTCTGTCCCACGGCCCTCATCACATCTCCGCACTGGCCCAACTGGATTTTGCCATCACCAACCCGATCAAAGAGCCCAAAGGCCTCTTTGTAATCTATGGAGATTAGACCAAAATTTTAATGTGGTTATTTTGTGATGAGGTCTCAGAACTGGGCAAGCTGCCGGGGACCGGAGGGTTTTTTGGGGATAAAGTGTCAAGCTTGCCATGCCAGCTGTCAACTTGATGGTTCACATAATCCCAAGAAACTAGACACCGCCGTCTGCAAGGTCTGTTTAACCTGCCCAGTTTCTATCACTCATCACAGCCAATATGAAGGGAGGGAGGGAGGCTGCTGCCTACCCAAAGGGCAAGCTCCGCTTGGGATGCGTCTAAAGAGAAAACGATGATGGCGATCTTGAAAGGAAGACACTGGCTATTCTTGCTCTAAATGAAAGAAGGATCTCAGGGACCTTCCTTCCAAAGGGGCATCACCTTGATCTTGGGAGGGTTTTAGTTGCCAAGGAATCATTTTTATATTTAGACAGCACCTCTAATCCCGTAGCAACCTTGGACAGCACAAAGGCATGGCTAATCAGGCACACCAACAGGAACTGCATCTCTCAGATACCCAGGCCCCCAACTCCTCCACTAACTGAGCTTCAAGTTGCTAAAGAAGGTGTCAGTGGTAAGGGCAATTGAAAGTGCAAGATAGTTAAATCAGGCACCTATAGGTGATTACAATGTTCTGTTTGTTGGAAATATGTACACTCTTTCTCTCACAATGCTTAGGGCAGCTTTCAAAATAATAGAGGGATGGTTTGGTGAGCATGGTGAGGCTTCCTAAGGACTTGCCTGCATTACAAGTGTAAATGTAAAACCACTTTCCAAGTTTATTAATGCTGAAGTCCTGTATATGTCTACTCAGAAGTAAGCCCCATTGAGTTAAATGGGACTTGTTTCTAGGAAAGTGTGGCAAGGATTGCAGTCTAAACGGTTGCTGCTCCCAGCTAAAGAACCCACATATATTGTAATCCGCGTCAGGGCTTTTGGGGTAGAAAATCAGTTTATTGATATAAGATTTAAAAATAAGAATTACTGTTAAGTGGTCGTGGAGAAAGCCAGAAAAAATATATAATTTCTTTTGTGTCATGAGGGAAATTATGAATGCCTTTGAAATAAAAGTGTGTGTGTGTGCATTTGTGCATGGAGATGTCAGATCAGAAAGCTGAAACTAAAGGTGTGACAATACTGAGTGGCTTACAAAGGTGTATTGGGGAAGAAAGGACAATTGTAATTACTGTTTGCTCAGTCTGAACCTGGAGGACTGGAGTCTATGTGAGGAGGAAGCTGGGGCAGGGATACATTATGTGACTGTCCAAGAGGATGGACTAGGCTTCTGTGTTTCCAGTCTCTTGACTCTAGCAACTCCTTTCTCCGCTGCTTATGCCATGAGACCAGAAGTAGCTGTAACTCCTCTCCCACTCCCGGTTATATCTAGTACTACAAAAATTGTGATGTGATCTCATCACCACTTCAGGTTTCCCAGCAGCCAGTTAAATGAAGTGGGGGTGGGAGGACCTTGCAGAACACTGGCATCATGTTGTGCTTTTTGGTGTTCTAAATGTTATGGGGAGAGAAGGTGATACGGGGCCATTGCTTTTGATAACAGCTCCCAGTCCCTAAGAAACTAAGAGGTTTTAGGAAGTAAAAAGTAAACACCAAGATGCACACAAAGCAGTTACAGTTGTACCTCGGGTTAAGTACTTAATTCGTTCTGGAGCTCCGTTCTTAACCTGAAACTGTTCTTAACCTGAAGCACCACTTTAGCTAATGGGGTCTCCTGCTGCCGCCACGCCGCCGGAGCACGATTTCTGTTCTCAGCCTGAAGCAAAGTTCTTAACCCGAGGTAATATTTCTGGGTTAGCGGAGTCTGTAACCTGAAGCGTATGTAACCCGAGGTACCACTGTATTTTGTTTGAGGTGGGCTGTAGAAGTGAATCAGAAATAGTTTTGCCACCAGGTGAAAGTTCATGCACTTATGTGCATCCAGGCACACCAACTTAGCCCCGCGACTGTGGGTGCAGGGCGCATGCATGTACAATGTCAGCATGCTGCAGGGTGCATGCGATGTCAGTGCTTCTGCATCTATCTCAGGAAAGCTTGATCCTGCTGCCTTTGGACAATCAAATTGGCTTACCTTCCAACTGCTCCTTAGTGAATTCAATCTACAAAGAAGAAAGAAAGTGGTTGGAGATCATGACAGTCACAGGAAATGGTATTGAAGTGAGAGAGAGACTGGGCAAGGTGACAGGAAGGTGGTCAAGCCCAAGTTGTTGATAGAAATGCCAAGTTATAAAAAGGAAGCATTAGGACTCGCAGAAAACTTCTTCAGCCAGAGATGAGTGGCCAGAGCAGATGCTAAAGCTCCCAAAGAGAAACTAAAGATGGAACAGGGCAGCTATGCTATGTATTTTGTCCATTTTAACATTTGACCATTTAATTTTCATTGGCGAGTAGATGTGTAAAAAATGGTCAACCTGTTTAGAGTTGATGGCCATACTGGACATTTGTATTGTTGCATTTTTTCAAAAATACCTACACAATCCATCAGGGTTAGGGATTTTGCTTATTCAGATCAAATTCTCAGGACTCTCCCTAGGCCACCCCCTTTCTGCAGACGACTCCTCGCTCTGTGCCTTCGTCAAACTCTTTGACTGTGATATTGGCTCTTGCTAGCCTGGATATTGAGATGAGTGTAGAAATCTCTGGCTTTATTGTGGCTGGAATCATGAGCGTAGCCAAGGGGGGGTCAGGGGGGATGCCCCCCAATCAAGTAAAACAATAGAAATACTTAACTGACCAATCACGTCGGTTCTGCCCCCCAAAAAAGTCCTGCTCCCCAACCAAGTCCTGTTCCCCCCAACAAAAATCCTGGCTATACCCATGACTGGAATGCAACCTCTTGTACAAAGAAAAGAGTCACACCCATTACTCTGGCCCTGCCTATCACTAGGAGGCCCTCAGAAGTTACCTCAGGAGAGAATGCAGCCCTCACACTAAGAAAGGTTCGCCACCTGTGTGTCTATATATCACAAATGTCTCCTCCATGGTCATCTCTGAATGGTTCATTTTTACTCTCGTTCTCTGTCTCTCTGGTTTCTTCTCCAATTTTCAGTTCTCCTCAGACCTCTCTCTCAATCTGTTCAAACAAAGGGTGTTTCCAAGACAAGGAGCGCCTAGAAAGATACAATCTTGGTTTCTTTGTGGTAAACCAGAAGTGGAATTGCAATTGCTTTTCCCGAGTACCAGGGATTTTATTTTGTGTGTCCACATTCTGCTATGTTCCATTCATATCAGTGGGTGAGACACAGTTGTGTGCGACAATTCATTCTCCTTCCCCTCCCTCCATTCTATCACTCTCACCTCAAGACTTTTAAAGAACTTCCAAATCCATATTGGAGTATACCATTTTTCGTCCAACCAACCTGTCACAAAAAAAAGCACGCAAGCTTCCCAAGTTCTCCACAATTCTTCATCAGGCCAGGTGGAAAACAGTTCTGTGGAACTTGAAAGCTTGCACACTGTTTTGTATCATTTTGGTTGGCCTCTTAAAGGCATTGCCCTAAAATGGGTTTTGGAATTTTCCTTGTGAGCCAACCCAGCTACTTTCTAATGTTTTTCTAGGTTCTTGAGAGATGACTGCCTTTCACAGTTGAGGTTATTAAAGGGCAGGAGGAGGGCCCGTGAAGGATGGAGAGACAGAGAGAGAGTAAACAGAGTGTTGCAAAGGCAGTGCATGCCAAGGAGATTTCCACACCCTCCCCTCCTACCCCAGCTCCAAGGCAGTTGGGGAGTTGCAATTTCACCTCTCTCTCCTTCTCTCTGCAAGGAGGCAATTCATCCCACCCTGCTCCCTGCCCACTCAGCTCCTCTGAAGCCTTGGGCCAAGAGGTCTGCTGCTGACTGACTGGCTGGACTCCCGATGAGAGATCCAGCAGCTTTTCACTTTCCTTCCTGCCACTGAGAAAGGGCAACTTGCTTCCTCAGCCTTATAAAATAAAATAAAAAATACTCACTCTCCTGCAATGTTGCGCAAGTACTTTGTCAGTAAACAAACAAAGAGGCAAAAATATGCTTTCCCATTTCTCTCCCTTCCTTCCCAACTGTGGAGACTCAGTTCCCCAGAACTCCTCCAAATTTTATGCTAAAACCTGAATCCCCTGAAGAGTCCAGAGGAGCCAGTGGTCAGGCCAGGTCACTCTCTCTCTCTAGCGATGGTGCCTGCTGAGTCTTCACATGTTCATTCAGAGTCTCCCAGCGGCTGCTGGATTTCTTCACTTGCCTCTTCATCTGCTAATTCACTTCCTGAGTTCAGTTCCAGTGGGACAGCAGAACTGCTGCATATTGTGAACCACTTTGAGATTCATAAATGCATTAATGAAAAGGGTATGAGAGCTTTTAAGATAAAATATATAAATAAAATGAGACTGGCAGCTTTTCTCAGAGTTGTGCAAGGTAAAGCTGTTTACAATGTTATAAATATTTCACAAATTTAAAATTACACGGTTAAAAACCCACATTTTAAAGCAGCACAGAGCAATTAGATAAGATATAGGGCTTACTGTATGTTCATTTCCAGCACATTCATTCAAATAAGTAATCAGTGTTTTAAAATATGTGGAATGGCCTTACCAGATAGTCAAAGCGTGCTTAGGTATGGGAAGTGGTGGGGGGCAGAATGATAGGGCTCATTTATGCCCCCAATGCTGCTGTACACATAGAAACCACACCTCTTGCACAAGTTGGAAGAGTACCGCTGTGAGCATCTTTCCCTCTGGAGACTGTGCTTCTCTTCTGGGTTTAAAATGATAATAATGAATTCTATCCATTAGGGGTAAAGTATTACAAATGGATGATGATGCACGTGGGTCCCTATAAAATGTCAGTGCAGAAGGCAGGTCAATTCCAGTTTCAATGCCTCATGCAGAAGCTGTCCAGGGATGCTTGCAGACCCAGGTGTGGAACTGCCACTCTCCATACACTTACTTTTCACAGGACATGCACATGGCATCACTGTCCATTAATGTCTATCCTCTGTCTTCCCTGCATTATATATGCCTTTTTTTCCGACAAAGTCTTTGCTTTTTTCAGAAGTACAGAAGAGTAGAGCACTCTCTGTAGCTGCAGATTCCCTTAGCACTATCTCTTAAAGGGCAGAGTTTGCATGTTGGCAGGGACCAACAACTCAGGCGAATCTCTCACACTTTCACTATAAACTTTGCAGTGGGTGTCATTTTATCACATTTATTCATTTTTAAATTGATCCTTTTAATTAGGATAATATGTGTTTCTGGTTTGTTTGTTTTAATGCATCACATTTTTTGTTTAAAAACTGAACAAAATATAGCCAGAAAAATGTTATATGCTAAAAAGATCAGTGGGGGAAATGAGCAGGGTGATAAGATGTTGGCCACCACAAAGGTGTGCTGAGCTTCAAATGGTGAATTGAAGCTTCCCCATTGTCACTCACAGGAGCTGGTGTGGACGGAACATGGAAAACTATGCACAGAGAAAAAGTGCAGGAAGGCTCATGATCATGCGGAAAGACAACTGCAGTTCCGCTTATTGCTTACAAGAGAGGAGCAATCTTGGAGCCAGAGGATGGAATTAACGAGCATGACTTCACTTACTAATGCCAATGGGTCTACTCTGTGTAAAGGTTAGGTGTATTCCACCCGGAGTCTGAAAGCACCCCAAACCCCTCAGTCCCCTGTGGCAGCTCCCAGGGGCCCAAAAAGGCTGTGATCCAGGCATCTCACTGTACAGTACAGGGCTCCATATATTTGTTCCGTCCTGGCCTGCCCCAACTGTGAGGTTTACAAAAGATAACAACTCTTGCTTCTGTTCATCTTGCTTCCCACGGGCCTTGGGAGTAGATCCTGGAGGCAGGAAGCGTTTCCCCCAAGACTACACATGTGTGGCTATGTGTGGCTGGAGATGGGACTCAGCCTAAGGCTGGCCGGCTCATGGGGAGGCTTGGAGCACAGGGCAGGAGTGGAGGGAAAGCAGGGTGAACTCTGGATTTTTAGTTTTGCGACATGTGACACTGCAGATGAAGATATAGAAGCATGATTAGTTACACCAACAGGGTAAAGAACAGCTTCTATCCGTGGGCTGTTAGGCTGCTGAATGAAAAGATAACAACAGGGCAACTGACTTTCGGGTTTGGTGGGTGTGCGTCAGTAAACAAGGGGAATTAAGACTAAGCAAGATGAGTGGGGGGAGCTCATGTAATCTCACTGTATACAAGTTGTAAAGCTAAAGGTAAAGGGACCCCTGACCATTAGGTCCAGTCGTGAACGACTCTGGGGTTGCGGCGCTCATTTCGCTTTATTGGTCGAGGGAGCTGGCGTACAGCTTTCAGGTCATGTGGCCAGCATGACTAAGCCATTTCTGGTGAACCAAAGCAGCGCATGGAAACACCGTTTACCTTCCCACCGGAGCGGTACCTATTTATCTACTTGCACTTTGACGTGCTTTCAAACTGCTAGGTTGGCAGGAGCAGGGGCCGAGCAACGGGAGCTCACCCCATTGCGGGGATTACGAACCGCCGACCTTCTGATCGGCAAGTCCTAGGCTCTGTGGTTTAACCCACAGAGCCACTCGCGTCAACTTGTACAGGTTGTACAAGTGACAAAAAAGGATTTCTATTTCTATTTATCATTGTGGATCTGCACATTTTACAGGTACTCTTTTTTCTGGTTGTTCTGCGGCCCGTGGACAGTGCAAATGAACCCTGCGTGTTATGTGGGACCAAGAACGGTTCTTCGCCGCGCATGCAGGTGCTGCTGTGGCCAGGCCTGGAACTGCTAGGCCAGACTGCCTCTTCCTGCATCAGAGGCCGGCCTCTCGCTGACTCTTTCAGCCTTGTGACCAGCAAAGACATGAGGAGGAGATGCTTAAGGCGCCAGGGAGGCCAGTTCAGCAGGAGGTTTCTAGGGCTGGAATCTAGAGTGGGTTTAAATAAGGGCTCGCTTTCCCCTCTCTGCCATCACTCTCCTTATTGAAGCCCCTACCTCACTGTTTCAGGAATCCCGCAGCGTTACGAGGACATGGCTGTTGACTGAATGCCCCAATCCTCCCGCAACTTGATCCTCCCAGTCTCAGAAGGTGGCATCCCAGCAAAGGGACAGAGGTAGGATTGAAATAACTGTTCCCTGTAAAAAGCGGGGAATATGCTAAGTCCCACCCCCACCCCACCCCCGCTGGTGGCCACCTGTCCCTGGCTGGGCTTTCTGAGAATGCAGGCCAAATACCAGGCTTTTGCGCCTGCTGTTCGGACCTGTCGTTAAAATAACAGGAGCCCTTTCAATTGCTAAATTTATCTTGCCCCTCTAACCCGCTAACCTTAGCTTGCTGCCCTTCCCACTCACCATTGTCTGTTGAGATGGGGAAATGGACTTTATTTCCTGGCTGCCTAAAAGCAGCACTAAGACAGGGTTGCCATACTTCAGAAAGTGAAAATCCGGACACAAAAGTTGTTGAGCTTCTTTTTGCAAAATCTTGTTAGGGAGAAAAGAAAATTCGCCAAAAGCTACACTTCCAGATTTCGCCAGACATTTCAACACTTTCTGCCTGGACACTGCTTCCGAGGGCCTGATCCCGGTTATGTCCAGATGTACGGCAGGCAGCCCTACACTAAGAACTGAAGAAGAAGCTCCAGCTTTCCATGAAGCTATGAACCCTAAAGGCCTTGAGGTCTGGTGTGGTGCAGAGGTCAAGGAAGGAACTTCCTTTTAAATACTGTATGAAAGACCCAGACTCAACTCTATGCTTAGCTACCTAGCACACTGTAGTGCAGCTTTGCGCAGGCTGATAGTCTTCAGCCATTTCAGATGTTTCACCCACCTTTAGGCTAAACATGCATAAGGAGACCCATTTCTTAATTTTGTTACCATTTATTTGTAGCCTTACCCAGCTGCATGGCAGACCAAAATCCAGCAGGTACAGCTTTCCCCCAGCACAGAGAGATAGTGATGGGGAAGCGGCACCTGTTGAATTTGTGCCAGCAAAAAAGTTTGTGTCAGGAAAAAAATAATGATAAACCTAGATTAAGCATCTTTAAATATGAGGATATAACTATATTTATATCTCGTATGCACCATAAAACTAAATTCAAACTGGGGAAATTCACTGAATGTCAGCACAAAAGTTGGAGAACAAGGGCAATCGAATTCATCATTCTGTTCCCAATAGCAGTCAGCAAGAAGTCTTTGGATGCCCCCACCACCTGGAACCCCAAAACACACTGCCTTTTGACATGGAGGGCTAATTATTTATCATGACTAAAAGTCTAGAGTGTGATCAAGTAGCCAACTTAGCTTCACACAAATCCACACCTTGCACAGTGATTGTCCTGCCTTTTCTTTCTTTCTTTCTTTCTTTCTTTCTTTCTTTCTTTCTTTCTTTCTTTCTTTCTTTCTTTTTAAAACTAGAATTCATTAGCAGCCTTGAAGGCACACAATGAACTCAGAATGGACTGAGAAAGAAACATGCCTGATTTTAGACATTCTCATTTCCCATATGGAGCTCCAGTTCCCAACACTGTATCATTTAGTCCACAGATAGTGTTAGCCTTGAACCAAGGAGACTTAGACCCAAATCCTTGCTGATGTACAATTCACTAGAGCTTTTTAACCAAGCGTCTATGCTCCTTAGCTGCCTCTCTGAAAAACATGGAGCAATAGCTGTGAGGGTAAATGAAACAAATCATTTAAAGAGCAGCAAAACTCAGGGAGATCAGCTGTCTCATCTGGAGACAACGAAATAAGTTGCAATTAAATCCTACGGTAGTTCATTCCATTTTATTTTCTGTTGCTTCAGACCCAGTGCTGACCACTTCCAATAAGAGAGGCCAGATTTCCCATGTTTTGGTTCCAGCCACAGTTAGCTGGGCAAATTTAAACACATATGAAGTTTCTGCAAAATGTAAAACTGAATATGGGGATTCAGTAAAAAGGAATGAAAATAAACAGATCAGATAAGAGTTATACATGCCATCAGTACCTTTCAATTGACACCCAGTTGACACCTACTTGGTCCCTTGCTGTTCATGAGAGAGGCTGTCTAGCTTGGAGATAATGCAGCGGGATCTTGCCAGCTATTTGGGTATCCCATAGGAATGGGATTGTCTGGTGGCCAGCTTTATAGGTAATGTGTGTGCATAAGCACATGCTGCTCCTGTCAATTGAGTTTTACTTTGGCTTTGACTCATTCTGATCTTTCTGCCAGGGGGAAATACCTGACTGCTTCAAGGGAGTTGGAAAGTAGTTTACGGAAGCCTGGAGCCTGACAAGTTTTTCAGAGAGCTGGTGGTCTGAAAGAAGAATCTCTTTCCATGGTATGTTGTTCATTCATCCCACCATTTGCCTCAAATAAAGTGGCTTTGTATCGTTTCAAAAATCTGTTTGATAAGAAAAACAGGCAAACGAAATGTGTGTACCACGAGAAGTGAAGCCTCTTTCAAATCACTTTCAATTCTGTTAAAAACTATCGTCTGTCTCTGCCCGGGCTGAGGATATTATTCAAGCCCAAACGTATTTAATACTCCAAACACCTTCTGTGGAGTTGGGCTGGGTGGGTGTCTGTGAGTGGAACAGGGCTAGGCTTGGCTTCTAAAATGGTGATAGCTGCCTTGATTTATTTAGGCCCCTCTTCGCACCCACTAATTCATATAAGGGTGCACCTAATTAATTATTGCAACCTGTAACCTCCCTTTATCCACTTGTAATGCCCTGCTGCAACACTTCTCAAATTAGTTCTCTTCTACAATAATATCATCCCACAAAGCACTATTTAGTAAAAGGATAGAAAACACTTTAGAGCCAGATAAAATAGCCTAAGATCCTGGCCACCCCCTCCTGCTGCTGCCTTTAACCGGCTTCCTTCCCAAGAAGAGAAGGGTTCCCTCAGGTGTCCTGTCCCTTCAACCGTGTCTCACTCACCACAACTTTGGAGAGGTCAATTGGGGGATCCTTGGGCTTTGCTGGTGCTGCTGGTGCTGCTGGCGCTGGTTCTGGTGCTTTGCCTTTAGCTGCCGGGGCTCCTGGCTTCGCTAGAGCTGGCTTAGCTGCTGGTTTGGCAGGCGGGGGTACTGGCCGTTTCACTGGGGCATCCTTCTTTGGGGGCATGTTCTCTCCGTGTCTCCTGCTGGGAATGAAGCAGAGGGGAAGTCAGCAGATGTAGGCAGGATCCTCAGCTCAGGCTGGCTCTGCCCGGCTGCAGTTTAAATAGCTCTGTGGATCCTGTGATGTCAGCCCAAGAGGACTAGCTGGGTATGGAGTGGGAATGCATCTAAAAATGGGAGCATCAGTCACCTTCAGCAATGCTAGTTCCTCCCTCCATTCAAGACAGAGAGATCTCAAAGGGCTTTGCTACAGCTAAGCATCCTTTCTGAATAGCCAGGCCTTGGACGTGCCTTTGTGGCACCAAGCCAGCCAGCTCACACAGCAAATCCTCTGGCTCTCTGCACCAGTCATATGGGCTAGCGGAAGGCAAACGGGGGTGGGATTCTCCTTCTATTAACATTGCATCCAGCCTGCCTTGACTGCTGTTCTAAGTAAACTGCAGCAGCATAGGACCCAATCTATCGCGGGGAGGGTGTAACTATGGCATAATTATCTAGGAACTTCTCCATTGTGGAGTATGTTGATTCTTCTTGTTGCACTGATCTCTACACACACACACACACACACACACACACACACACACACACTTCTTGGCAACTCAGAATGCAGGGACTGTACACATCACAATACAGACACTGGAAAAAGCAACAACTTGTTTAGCTAGAGGGTGTTTTAGAATCATTGCAGCCTGATTGGCACAATAAACACAATGCTTTTCGTTTTGCAAAATATTCGGTTTGGGATGGATGGAAATTGGAGATACTTAGACATGGATGTAAATAATACTTCACATGAATTAGTTGCACGATCCTGTGATCCCGGCCTCTGTCTGACTGTAAGAAGTGTTTTATTTTGGGTGGGTTTCCCTCTGTGTGCAAATATCAACAGAGGTAAAAGCTTGAGACAGACATTCATCATAGTCCTCTTTCCCTCTGCTGCCCTTAAAAGTTGGACTAAGATCGCTTCCAAAACAGCTAGTTTAATGAGCGTTTATCCCAATTTGTTTGTGGTGAGATTAAATGACACTGTGTCAAGTAAGTGTTATCCCAGAGCATTTCCCCATCACCTTCCTTATTGCAAAATATCTGATCTTTTGGGTTTGTTTTGCAAGAGTCCTAAATGAGCTTTAATTGTGCTGCCTGAATTTGCCAGGGTGCGATTGAATCCCACCCCAAAACAGTGACAGTCTGAAAGTGCCCCAAATTCCTGGCAGCAAATGTATCTGCCTTTGTGTACATGCATCTGTTTCTGGCCCTGACTCTCCCCTTCCTCTGTTTCCCTCCCTCCCTCCCTTGCTGTTGCAATTTTAGAGTTTGAGCAGCTTGGGGCAGGCACCTACCAGTTTCACTTCCGCATGAAGGGCATTGTTGGCACACTCAATAATTATAATTAATACTTAAGGTGAGGATAGTTAGTAAGAGGGTGGAGTAATACGGGTTGTCATAGGCTCCTAAACATTTTTAAAGAAAAAAGCACTGAGTTATACCATAAAATTATATATCAATGGAAAGATAATTTAATGAAGAATGTAATGCGAAAACTTTTATGAAGGATTATTTATTACAACAGCAGTCATAAAGAAGAAACGTGAAAGACACAGAAAAAATGAGATATACAGTACAGTGGTACCTCGGGTTACATATGCTTCAGGTTACATACACTTCAGGTTACAGACTCCGCTAACCCAGAAATAGTACCTCGGGTTAAGAACTTTGCTTCAGGATGAGAACAGAAATCGTGCTCCGGCGGCACGGCAGCAGCAGGAGGCCCCATTAGCTAAAGTGGTGCTTCAGGTTAAGAACAGTTTCAGGTTAAGAACGGACCTCCGGAACGAATTAAGTACTTAACCCGAGGCACCACTGTACAGATTAAATTGCCGTGTTGGCACTTTGCGATAAATAAGTGGGTTTTGGGTTGCAGTTTGGGCACTCGGTCTCTAAAAGGTTTGCCATCACTGGGCTAGGGAGTAAACTCTACACAAATCCAGAGTGGAATCCCTAAAACAGTGGGATGGTGCTTTGTATACCTCCTTCTGGCAACTCCTGCAGCCCAGCTGGTATCAAACATCTTGCTCTGCTGGGAAGTCACCTCTGTGCTGCTAGTGCAGCAAAAACAACATGGGAGGTAGCAGTTGCGAGTTACTGGTCTCTGCAGCCACAGCAGGCGCTGTGATTCTCCAACGGTTTGACTTCCCCCCCTGACGCGCACTCACTCCATTGTCTCTTCAACAACAAGCGCAAGGAATGCAGAAGCCACAGTTGTGCAACCCCAATAAGCTACGCTTTGGCGGGGGAGCATGACACAGAGCGCATGCACGGGGTGACACCTTTGCCTCATTCGGTGAAACAGGATGGACAACCACTGTTGGTTGTTATTTAAGATGGTTCTGCGCTCGTGAGCACTTGTTGTCTTCTCATCTTCTGTCCTGGTAGCCAGGCAAAAGCAATCTGGGTCTAAGCAGAGATTCTTGATTCTGAAGGGCTTGTACTGGAAGGAGTCATGGGAACTTTTTCATACTACAGTGGTACCTTGGGTTACAGACGCTTCAGGTTACAGACTCCACTAACCCAGAAATAGTACCTCGGGTTAAGAACTTTGCTTCAGGATGAGAACAGAAATCACGCGGTGGCAATGGGAGGCCCCATTAGCTAAAGTGGTGCTTCAGGTTAAGAACAGTTTCAGGTTAAGAACGGACCTCCGGAATGAATTAAGTTCTTAACCCGAGGTACCACTGTATGTCTATACAGATGTCGTTCCCCCCCTCATCTGTTGTGGTGTCAGTAGAAATAGGAGTTGGAATGCTAGTTTCTATTATTGATGGATCCAAAATAAATTATGTCAAAGAAGACAAATACTTACATCTTTTGCATTCAAGTGGTATGGGCCATGTGAGTGATCCTCTATACATATCAACAGCATGCATAGAAGATCATTAATGTGGCCCATACAAAAGTCTGACAGAGCTGGCGAGGATTTTGCTGGGGGTGGAATGAGCAGCTATGATGCAGCACAGTGCTCATGTATCGAGCTATCAGGCTCAATATTTCTTCTGTGGTTCTGTCCTTAAAGGTAAAGGGACCCCTGACCATTAGGTCCAGTCGTGGCCGACTCTGGGGTTGCGGCACTCATCTCGCTTTATTGGCCGAGGAAGCCACCGTATAGCTTCTGGGTCATGTGGCCAGCATGACTAAGCCACTTCTGGCGAACCAGAGCAGTGCACGGAAACACCATTTACCTTCCCGCTGGAGTGGTACCTATTTATCTACTTGCACTGGCATGCTTTCGAACTGCTAGGTTGGCAGGAGCTGGGACTGAGCAACAGGAGCTCACCCCGTCGCGGGGATTCGAACCACCGACCTTCTGATCAGCAAGTCCTAGGCTCTATGGTTTAACCCAGAGCGCTACCCGTGTCCCGGTTCTGTCCTTAGGGTGATACTAAAGGCCAACTTCAAAGCAGGCTGTCATCTCAGTTTGTTAACTTACTTTTGTTCTCATCATTTTGTTTTTATCCGCTGGACGTAAGCAGATACCACATCCCTCTCCCGGAGGTGCTCGCAGGAAGCGGCAAAAGCACAGGTGCAGGCATTTGGGGAGATTGAGGCCATCTAGGCTCCTCCTTAGTTGATTCTGGTATTTTTTTAAAAAAATGTTGCCACACAGCAGACACCTACCTTGGCCACTGACTCGTTTTACTCCTAGGACTTTGGTGGTAAGGTTATGCTTAGGAGAAACAGATTGCTGGCAGAACTACATGTAGGCTTGCAGTTCCACATCAGTTTAGGGAAACTGCAGAATATGGTAGGGGGCTGCAGAATCCAGCTCTCTCTATCCATTTAAATAAAGGAAGTTTCTAGCCATTATAGTGGTGAAGATGCATTTGGAACTGTGCTTGAGCAATGCTTGCTGATGCAAGAGAGATGTCTTAACAAGAGATCTAGTAATTGTGGGCGGGGCTAATGCACCCACACAGAATCGCTCCCCCTGCCCCTCATTGACTAGCAAAGCCGGAGCAAATTTAGAAAAAAATGGTTTAAAAAATGCAGAATAAATGGAGGCTGTAGAATTGAGTTTTTCTTGGGGCAGGATTTGCATTTTAGTTTTAGCAGGGAGAATACCCAGCCTTGAGCATTAGCTGCTCCTACTGTAACTTAGGGACGTGGGTGGCGCTGTGGTCTAAACCACTGAGCCTAGGGCTTGCCGATCAGAAGGTCGGCGGTTCGAATCCCCACAACAGGGTGAGCTTCTGTTGATCAGTCCCAGCTCCTGCCCACCTAGCAGTTCAAAAGCACGCCAGTGCAAGTAGATAAATAGGTGCAAGTAGATAAATAGGTAAACAGGCAGGAAGGTAATCGGCATTTCCATGCGCTGCTCTGGTTCACCAGAAGTGGCTTAGTCATGCTAGCCACATGACCCGGAAGCTGTACACCGGCTCCCTCGGCCAGTAAAGCGAGATGAGCGCCGCAACCCCAGAGTCATCCGCAACTGGACCTAGTGGTCAGGGGTCCCCTTTACCTTTACTGTAACTTAAAATGAGACAAGCCCAGGTGCATGCAGTACATGGTAGTGGTGGCGAAGAGGCTAAGCTGTTGACCAGGGAGTCCCTGCTTCCATCTCATTTTCGCCATTCTTTCACTGGATGGCCTTAGGCAAGCCACTGCTCTGTCAGCCTTCGCTTCAGCCATGCTAACACACACAACACAATCTGTAACAGAGGAATGATTGTAGTGACCTATTGCACAGGCCGTTTGTAAGGATGTTGTGATAAGCCAGCTGAAGTGTTCGGAATAGCAGAAACGTGTTTAAACAATTGCTATTGTATTAAGAGCAAATGCAGCCATTGCCAAAAAAGCAGGGGAACCTGAGGACCTGCCAACGGAGACAGCCTCCGGAATGCCACCCTGAGCTGCGCCTCGTGCATGTATAGGTGCGCCACCCCAGATGTAGCTGCATCTGCTTGGTGCTCAGAAACAACTAGAAGCCAGCATTGGGTAAAAGAAGCCATTGAGTCCCCACGAACGTGTTGATTTTCTGTCCAAATCAAGAGGCTTGGGGAATGCCCTTTGCAACTCCCAGGTGCCCACTCCAGAACAGACACATTATCCTATAGCCGCTAACAAAAGAGATGAGGAGTGACAGGGCAGCTGAGAAGCACAAGGCAGGCCTCCTGCCGGAGTGCTAAGGAGGACTTGATTGATGGCTCCAGTTGTCCTGCCAAAACTACCTCCTCCACACATTCCAGAAACAACTTTATTAGAGGAGGTTTCAGGCTGGTGCAGACTTCTCTCCACCGCCTTCCCTTTAATCAGATTTGTGTGTTTGTGTGCGGGCATGCATGCTAATTATCGTCATCCTTTAGGCTGGCTAAGATCCTAGCAGGGTTCTTTGACAGGTGACAAAGCCAATGGCAGTGCAGGCATTTCTCAGCCGGGCTGAAAGACATTACTGTATAGGCACCAAAGGAGGGTGAACTTTGAAAAGCCTCCCTTTTGCGGTCCTGCTGGTTGCCTGCCGTAACATAGCCTGCTGTTTCTTATGTGGGGTTCAGCAACTGGGGAGGCCCTGCCCCATGGACATACAGGAGGCCGGCTGATTCCTGGAAATGCTGCTCCTCACAGGCCTGGGAAATCCCCCTCCCTCCCTTAGTGGGTTGCATCTGGCTTCAGGGTTGTTGGGCCAAAAAGGAGGAGGGCCTGCAAACTGGAGAGTTCTGGTGGCTTCTGATCCCGTTGCTCACACTGGTTGCTCCACGCAAAATGAGAATAGCAATAGTGTTTGGAGCGTGGATCCTTTGTTGAACTTGGACCCCAGGCAAGTGCCTGCCCACAACACCTTCTAGAGCTGGCCTTGTCTGCTGAGGAAGGGAGAGGAGACATAGGAGACGAGGAAAAACATTGGTTTAGGGAACAGAACTACCACCATAAATCTCAAAACAGCAGGTGGTTTTTAAAATGCTGGTGAATTTGAGGCAAGTCAGCTAAAAACAAGTCATGGATTGGTTGACATACATACATACGTGTGTGTGTCACTTTTGCACAACAGATCCACTTTTAAAGAGAACAGCAAATGGTATTTTGTGGTAAGAAAAGTGACTGGAAAATGGAAAGTGTGAGATAATTACTGTTTGATGGTGATGTTGTGTAACCTCCACTCAAATCTGTGAAAAAAACTTGCTTGTTCAGTAAATGCTTTGTCTGGAAGTGACCCCAGATGCAAAGCTGCCTTGCCAGATCTGCATGTACAAACGCACCCTTATCCATACTAGGGGTGGGAACCATGTTCCTTTTTGCCACTTAATTTTGATGAAGTCACCAATAAGAGGGGACTGCGGGAGCACAGAAAGACGCAAATTATATTGTAGCTCAAGGCTGAAAACAGAAGCAGATTCCAAGAGATGGCGCTTGGCTACTACCGTATATTCCGGCGTATAAGACGACCCCCAACTTTTCCTGTTAAGATATAGTTTGGGATATACTTGCCGTATAAGACTACCCCCGCCTGCAGCCAACTAGAGGCAGCCTCTTCCTGCCCCAGTTGCCGCCTCTCGAGCCCGCAGCCGCTACCTGGCGACCCACACGGGTTAACTCTCTCACGCCTGCCGCCGCCACCCGCCACGACCATACCCGGCGTATAAGACGACCCCCGACTTTGGAGAAGATTTCCCGGGGTTCAAAAATCGTCTTATACGCCAGAACATACGGTAGTTAAGTGATGGGATGCCTTTTATCCGGGAGAAGTTGACCTTCAGAGTGGACATGAGAAATGGTGGTGATTCCTCAGGGGTAAAGTAATGGTCCGGAAGTAGTGGGGTATGTCTGTCTGTCTCTTTGAAGGGCAGTCCTCTTCTTTCCTTCCAGAACATGAATCAAGTCACCTGCTTTGACTTCACGCCAGCAGAAAAGAATGCATGTGTTATCTGCTATGCCCTACATCCGAGGGCTTGTCACACTCCCAGCTTGCTAAAGCACAGACATACTGTTCCCACAGGGAAATGGTTACATACTATTTTGAACTGTATCAAATATATATATTTAAAAGTCCAGATTGTTCCCCAAGTGTGGGACAAATGGGCAGATTAACTTGTAACACAGTTAAATACTGAAACATGTTTAAGAAAGCGCAGCAATTGTAGCTTCAGTGTCTCTGGCCCTGTTCCTCCACAATTCAGAACCACCAACTTCACCCATGCAAAATTTATACCAGCTGATTTGATGGTGCCATGCTAGTCTCACTCTCAGAATGGAGAGTCGGATACTGCAAGCTTCAGGTGCGAAGGCTTCAGCATGCAGGTGAACTGGAGAAGTGAGCTTCATGTTTTATTGGCTCTAAAACACGATGAGAGTGGCACAAGCTCAATATCAAGAAACAAGTTTGAAATTTAGCAAGAGGTCATGGTGTTTTTTCAAGCCATTTGGACCAAAAAAGAGAATTTATTTGTTGAACCGCAATAACTCATCCTGAACAAGGTGCAGCAGTTGTGAAGGCCGTAGAGTGAATCAGCTCTACTGTGCCAGTTTTGTTATTTAAAATAGTGAATTTCAAGTGGTATGCTTCAGGTGGGGTTGCAGGAGAGGCACAGCAGTAATGCGAGTGGCACAGTAGGTCAAGCCTCACCCTATTTGCTGCCTAACACGCTTTCAGTGTGCAGTTGGTCCTCTGATTCCAGCTCCACACTGAAAAGCTACCTAGAATGGCATTAGATGCCTAGGCAAGCCCTGTGGGATGCACACAGGGTAGGAGGGGGGGTCTTGTGTAAGAACCAGCCTGAAGAGATTTTAAGACATCATCACAAGGAGGTAGCGCACCCCCCAAAATACCCTGGTGCTTCAAAATGTGAATAATGTTGTCAGTCGCTCTTTGGACCTCACTGTCCTAATGTGCATACAAACTCTCAAATCCTGAAGGCACACTCTGAGCACTGAAATTGCAGGACCTCAAACTGATTGCATGCATAAAATCAATTTTTCCTACCAAGCTTTCGTTTGGGAGTGCTTGGGTCATGGCGGCGGCGGGAGCAGCAGCAGAGTAAATAAAAACTAGAGCAGAGTCACAGATTCCTCCTCTCTTTATTTGCTACAACAAATTACAGTGGCTGCTACAAGAGGCACAGGCGCCAGAAACACACTCGTGCAGTGAAGCCGTGCTTTCGGGAGCTTTGATTTGGCATGGAAGGCAGCAAGTGATTGAGCTCTTTGCAGGCACACTCGGCACCCCCCAACCCCAAATCTTTCAACGTGCTCTTGGGGGGGGAGGAGCAACGCAGATTCAACAAGGAGGTGCTTTTGCTGTGTCAGACACATTCGCTACGGTCGTACACGTAGAAACAAGCACTTTAAAAAACTCTTCATAAATAGACCACAATTAATGGTTTTGGCTTCTTCAGAGACGGAAGAGCGAGTGCACATGCGTGGAAACGAATTGGGGGCTAGGACTTGAGAGTTCCATGTTGGTCGCTCCCAGTTGTGAAGCAAAGGAACAGTAGGAACAAGGCGAGCAAAGAGGCAAGATTGCTCGGCAGTGGAGCCTCAGACAGAGCAGCAAATACTGTGCTCCCCCTCCCTCCATATTTTGGAGAGGCTAGAGCACGCCCTGCCGTCTAGCTGCTCTGCCACAATGATCCTGCCCACCTGGCCCAGATTACAGGGTCTGTGAAGGCGGAATAAATCTAGCCACTGTGAGGCATCTATCAAGATTTAGCTTCCTGTGGGCTTAGCCATGTGGATTTTTAAAAAAATCGCCAAAGCGGTTTGATTCTTTCTCATAGCAACACCGCAGACAACAAACCTCCACAAAAGCAAACAACAACAACAACCCCAAGTGCAGCTGCTGAAGAGCTCCACGAGGGGAAGTCCATGCTGCCCACAAGCCCTCTGGAAGGGGCCTCCGCCAAGCCCAGCTCAAGCGAGAATAGCCTGGGGATACAGGAAAGGCAAAGAATAAATGGAGGCCCGGCCACTGGGGTCTATTTTGTAAAAGAGCAATCAAGACATTTCCCCAGCACTATAGTAGGAGAGCGCTGAAATCTGCAAGCAGTGATTTATCGCTCTGAAAAAGGAGGGGGTGTCTAAGGGCCCTTTAGTCTTCATGTGTGCAATGGTCCTAAAAGCTCAGCTCTAAAAATTTCATGCTAGCAGAGGAAACCTTAAAATCATGCATACAGTGTATGTTGAGAGACGTACCCTCTGTGTCCTTTTGCTTCTTGAAGCAAATCTCCTCTCCCTCCCCAAAGCCTTCATGCCTATCCTTCCTTGCAAATATATTTTCAAAGTCAGTCAGAAAATGCAAATATGGCAAGTTAATTCTGTGTACAGGTAGATAGATAAATTCTGCATATCTGTGAATCTGATTTGGAGCACGGAATATGAATTTCCTGCTACAGAATACACACGGACCTAGAACTTGGTGCGGGAGGTTGGGGTGGAGGAGGTTTGACACTCCACACACCGATTCCAGGACTGGAGTGCAAGAAGGCACCAAACAACATTCGTTTTTCAAAACAGCAACGTGAGTGGCACAAATAACAATACTGCAAGAAAGCTGTCTGTCCATTTGGACCAGCAGCATAATGCTGGGTGGGACAAGAAGCCAAAAACAAACTGATTCAGTTTAAAGGAGCCAGAATCAGAAAGAGCAGGTGATGTTTGGCGAGGTTAGCGTGAACTTCTACCAGGAGGTTGTGGGTCTGCACACAGTCAGGGCAGGACACACCACGACACTTGACAGGCATCAGCTAAATGCACAGAGGTCACAGCCATGGACTCCCCATAATGGGGAAAGAATGATAAAAAAGGCAAATAAAAATGGCTTGGCCACTGCGCTCTCCACCCCTCAAACCCTGTCACTCAAAACGACTGAAAGCCATTTGAAAAGTGTATTAGCAGGACAACTGAATTCAAGTTGCTTTTCCCAGCCCAACAAGCCCAGGACGAGGGTTGTTGCAGAATGTTCCCTTTCTAGATAAAAGATCTGGTGTGGAACCCTTTGTTCCAAAGGAGGTTATTTGCCCAAGTGTTACTCTGGGGAAATATTTGGTCCCTCCCTGCGGAGCTCCTAGTACTTCTCTAGCTCACCCCCTCGCCCCAGGCTCCCTTCGCTCCCGGCCCTTTCAGCTTCTTCTCCAGTGGCTGCTGAAAAAGCGTCAGCCTACAGCATCTGCAGAGCCTGAAAGGAACTTCATCCTCAACAGAAGGATGAAAAAGGTCCACTTCTTTGGTCAATTAAAAAAAAGGCAGCATGCGGTATGCAGTGTTGAGAGAAGCACACAGGGTGAATGCAGGGTGCGAATCCCTCACCGCCTCAAAAACCCACCCAGGAGTCACTTCTCGGTGAAAAAAGAAGATTCTAAGAACACGACACTATGATTGCTTAAAAAACAGATACAACTGAAGAGTCCGTCCAGCAGGCGGGTGAGCTTGGGATCCTCCAGCGAAAGGTGACGACGGTGGTAGCAGTGTCAATGCCAGCTCTTCAACTCCCTGGATGGTGAAGTTTCAAGACAGGAGGCACCGTGGAGATTAGGAGCTGGTTTTGTCATCTTTCAAATCGTACCTGCAAGATAAGGAGAGCCTTTGCTGAAGACCTGGCACAAAGCCACCTCAAAGGAATGGTTCCCAGGCTGTTAAGGCACTCTGAAACCCTCCAAATCACTACAATAAGGGAAACCACATCTCAGACCACTTTGGGGGAGGCAGGAGGATGTAAATCCTGGTATTTGTAAGTCACTGGATGCACCCTAAAAAGAACCATGGGAGCTCACATTCCTCCAAGCTCCTTTCCTTGTTCTTGGATTTACATGTCAATAGGCAGCATCTGTTCCGCTTGTAATACACAGAGGATGCTCAAGAATGCCTAATTATGACTGTGGAAAATTCACTAGGAAGTCTGAGGGAATTTGGTACAGCATCTCATGTTCCACATCTTCCCGCTATCCTTCTCCTTCCAACATGCCCACCAGAAGAAATGCCCCCATACTGCTAGATGGTTGTGTGCAAGCTGCTGGGCAGGGAAAGAGTGAATTAGGATGTCCCATAGCTGTCAACCTTTCCCTTTTCTTGCAAGGAATCCTATTCAGAATAAGGGAATTTCCCTTAAAAAAGGGAAAAGTTGACAGCTATGGGATGTCCCAGCTTGCCACCCTGGGTAGTCATGCAATTTGTATCACTCTATTCCAACCACAGAATTAATGCTCAATGTGATTTTGTGACAACTGTGGCTTTACTCTAGATATCTCGGCATCTGTGGGCTTATTTTTATGCTTGTTAGTTGATCCGGGTGTTCACAAATGGATTCAATTTACAAGAAAGGAAATTCTGACACCAGGAAGACCTTTCTGAGGGTAAGAGCTTGCAGCCTAGCTCCAAGTTCAGGAGAGAGTTTTACGAAAGAGCCACATTCAAGGTGGGGTGGAGGGGAAAGGGATAGGGGAGTGAGGAAAACAGTGGACAGTGCCTCCAGGACTAGGGTACAATCCATATTAGCTCTGCTCATTTTTGTTCAGTATTCTGGTTCCTTTTGCTCATGAGGCCACCACTACTGTCCCCCCCCCCAATGAATTGCAGACCCCTTCAGGACCTCTTTTAGCTATTGCATGATTCTTTCACTGGGTACTTCCACATAAAACAGCTGCATGTTGTTTATTATCAACAGGCGTGGCTTCACAAAACTAGTTTGGCACCTTCCCCTCCCCCCCCAACCTTCCTCCCTTGCTCCATCTTTAATACCTAACCTTGTGTAGGTGGGCGTTTTATCCTCCCATTTTTCTTTGACTGGAAAGACATCACGGGGTTGTGTTTTGTTTTGTTTTTAATGCTGCTTCTTTTAAAGTGCACTTGTGCAACTGTGGTTACCTTTAAAAGCTCTTTCCCCCAAAACCTTCAGTGTGACTAGGAATGTAACTGTGATGGTGGCTGCATTCACTCTACAGTTGTTTTGGGGGTGCATCCTCTTGTCCCCTCCTATGCAAGTTCACTGAGAGCGTGATCCCCTCCATTCACCTTCACAGTGGGGGGAAAGAGGCTGGATCTCAAGAAACAGCTTCTGAGGTTGGTGCGAATCCCACCTCCTCAGCAAGGGCCCTGTCATTGCAAAGGTCCTGGGTGGCAGTGGGCTTCTCCTCCTACCAGCTGTTTTCCACGATTCAGCATCTTCTTCCTCCCAGTGCAACTTGCATAAGGGAAAGAAATAAGAGGCCAGAACCCCAGAAATCTTACCCCTCCTCCAAGAGGGATCCTGGGGGTAAACAGGGTCTTTGCTAGGTGGGTGAAGTTCCCCCACCCACACCAGCTTCTTCTAGGAATCTAGCCTCTCCTTTCCTCCTATGCAAGTCAATGGAGGGATTGCTCCACTAACGCTCCAAGCAGGTGGGCAGACAAGGGAGGCACAATGTTGTATTCCATAGAATGTGCCCATTGAGCAGCAACTGCATTGGTGAAAAACATAAGAGCCACCACAGTGGCTTGCAAGTAGAGGGGCTTCAGTGTGGATTCCACCTGGAATACTTCACTGTCCCTTGGACAGAGAAAGACCTTTATGGTTCACTGCTCCACGTAGTCAATAAGGGTAAAGGTAAAGGGACCCCTGACCATTAGGTCTAGTCGTGGCTGACTCTGGGGTTGCGGCGCTCATCTCGCTTTATTGGCCGAAGGAGCTGGCGTACAGCTTCCAGGTCATGTGGCCAGCATCACTAAGCTGCTTCTGGCGAACCAGAGCAGTACACGGAAATGCCGTTTACCTTCCTGCCGGAAGCATACTTGCACTTTGATATGCTTTCAACTGCTAGGTTGGCAGGAGCTGGGACCGAGCAATGGGAGCTCACCCCATCGCGGGGATTTGAACCGCCGACCTTCTGATCGGCAAGCCCTAGGCTCTGTGGTTCAACCCACAGCGCCACCCGCGTCCCAGTCAATAAGGGACAAGAGACTAAATTTTAGAATCTAGACTCATAGAATTGTAGAGTTGAACGGCACCACAAGGGTCTTTTGGTTGAACCTCCTGCAAGGCAGGAATCTTTTGCCCAATGTGGGGCTTGAACCCACAACCCTGAGATTAAGAGTCTCATGCTCTACCAACGGAGCTATCCCAGGTCCATCCTCAGTGCCACGGCATACGGAACCATCTGTTTTCCTACCCTAGTCCCAAGAATGAGAGGATCCCTCCTTCAAATCACGTTTTGCATCCTCTATGAAAACGACGGCCCAGGTAGCAAGACCTCCTCTGCCTGCCCAGTGATACTGGAGACGCTATGGGGCAACTGGCCCTCCTGCTGTACTCACCACTGGGGAGCGCCCTGCGACAGGTCCTTCTGCGAGAGGTCGATGTGCACCTGGGAGGGGAAAGCACAGACAAGCAGTCACATGCCGGCTCCTCTCCAATGAGGAGCCTGAAACAGCAGCTCCTCCCGAGTTCCATACCTTCCCTATCGGCTCCCCTCGGGACATGAAAGACACGCTGTTTTTGATGTAGGCCTCCAGCTTCCTCCGCTGGGCATCGTCCAACGTCAGATCCCATTCAAACCTGTGGAAAGGGCAAGCAAGTATCAAGGCCTGTTTCACATAGATTACCCCACAAATTTTAATTGCCCTTTTTGGCCAACAGAAGAGTTACTTAATGGTAAAGCTGTGAATCCCAACCCTCCCACCGATGAATGCATGCATAGGGCTGGAGCAGGGAATCTAATCTGTGTTAGTGACTGCCAGTAGGGAAGCAGGGAGTAATAGTTAGCACTGAGTTAAGTAACCCAAAATAACATTATCTGATGTCATGGATAGAGCTTGGTAATGGCGACCCCACTTCAGCAGTTATTATTTTTATGTAGTGATGTTGAAATTATTTTTATTAAAATTTGTATACTGCCCTTCATCTAGATATCTCAGGGCAGTTCACAGCATAGAAATAAAAACACAGAACAAAACAAACTCCCCCCCCCCCATTTAAAAGGACATAAAATGTTAATCAACCAAAGGCCTGGTTGAAAAGGAACATTTCCACCTAGTGCCTAAAGGTATATAATGAAAACACCAGCCGAACTTCCCTGGGGAGAGCACCCCACCGCAGAAAAGGCCCATTCTTGTGTCGCCACCCTCTGGTCCTCTCCACACAACCTGACTGTTCACTATAAGCTAGAGACAGCTCCAGTTCCCTGGAGCTGGTGACCCTTTTAGACACCCACCCACCCACCCTCACACAATGGCACCCTCCCTTACTTCTCATTGAACTCAGGATTGTGGGTCTTCTTCCGCACGGTTGTCTTTCTCTTGGTGACACGGGATTTGTCAGGCAGTAGGATCAGGGAGACATAGGGGTCAGGTGTATCCTTGGTAGATGACTTAAGGTTTCTGAAATGAAGGCAGAGAGGGTTATTACGATGGGTGGGAACATTCAGTGCCCCTAAATCAAATGGAAGGAGGGATTTGAAGAACCTAATGACACATATTGGGCCAGATTCAACGAAGTATTTGGGCAAGTGGGAGCTGGTTCAGCAGGACTTTCCCCTCCTCTCAGTCAGTTGGGGGTCAGGGTCCACAGAATCCCCAGAACAGTGTGGGGAGAGGAAAAGGGAGATTGTTCCATCTGGCAGGCAGAAATGTTTGTTCTGATGCAACAATCAAATTAGCATGGAAATGAAATCCTCTCTAGGGGTTGTACCCAATCCTGGTCCTTTCTCAGAGTAGACACACTGAAGTTAGTCATGTCAATCCATTGCAATGGGTCTGTTCTGAGTAGGGATTAGATACTAACTATATGCTAACTATAGCATTCACGTTGGGCTGTCTTTTATTAATTATTATTCCAACCATGTACCAGCAAATTCAGGTTGCACAATTATAGCGGATCTGGAGCTCTTGTGCAGCAAGACCACTTCCCTAAAGATCAGACTTTTAGCTATAAGGAAAGTGACGGGGAAACGTTCTGGAAAGTGTGGGATAAAGCTTGTTTTGATGCAGCAGCATCTACATAACATCTTTGCAACTAGTTCAGAATGAATGCTCATCAAGTAACCAATGTTGTCGGATCTCTCTGCAAATGAACTGGGACGAGTGTTCAATAACCAGGTCACCTGGGAGTGCCCTTTTTTTTTACTGCCACTTGGTGTAGAAGCCAAGAGTCAAAGCATACATAAAGTAAAAACCCTCTTTGGGTGGTAGCACAAAATTCAGCAAGATGGCTAAGAATGTACCCATTTTCTATGTGCAGTTAAGAAAACCTCTTTTTGGGGGCTCATGCCAAAGCCATCTCTTTGTCCCACTCCTCCCAAATCAAGCCACCCTCCAGCCCTTACCTGCAGGCGTGTATGATGACAATGAGTTTGCGTGCATCCATGTTGTACCAGACAGTGAGGCTCATCTGGCCCAGGGGCGAGTTTGACAGCTCCAGGTTACTGCAGGGCAGAAAGACACAAGCGCAGCTGATTATTAGGGGAATGGTGGTAGTACATGGGGCTGGATGAGGAAAGGGCAAGACGTTTTGACACTTTTTTGGCAGCACGTGCAGCTGGAGGAAGGAAATGTGATGGTAAAAGCCTCGTCCGTGTTGTCCCCACAGATGCTAAGGGAGCAGAATGCATGAGCGATGAGTATGCTTAGGTACAGCGGTGAGGGAGGGCTGAAGAAGCAGGGTGGTTAAGAACTTCCCTGCAGCTCTCATTGCTGCAGGGGGGTGAGGGGGGGGAAGCAGACTTGCTGGTGTTCCCAAAGCCCAAATGAGCACCGTGCTGCAAGACATGGAGCAGAGTAGTGCTCCCATCTTTTAAAGTATTAAATATATTACGTACATAAACAGCAAGCGTTGTTGTTCCCTTTCTGGCAAAAAGCTCCAAGGCCACTCAGCCGATCTGCATCAACAAGATGTTATTCAAAAGCCCACAGTGTACTGGCTTCGATTTCACAAGCTGACCCTGGACCCTCAGAATTCAGACTCTAAAGCAGAAGTGGGGAACCTTCTTTGGGGCAAAGACTGTGTTACTCTGGTGGAAAGCTGTGGGGGGGGGATCCATTCCAGCAGCAAGTAGGGCCAGACCCCCACACAGCCACACACAATCCACACCACAAGTTACTTCCAATGGAAACAGAGGCCTATATTTAACTCTTAGTAACTCCATGCAAGTTTCACCTGGTATTTTCTCCCGTAGACTTTTTTTTTAAAAAAAACAAGGACTGTAACACATATAAACACCCTTGATCTGTCTTAACTGTGAAAAAGGCAAAAGGAACTCAGTATTCCCGGTAGAATGATGCAAATAACACCAATAAACAGATGGAAAACAAGTCCCACATTAGAGCTATCCAAAGCATTAAATTTCAATAAACATTTGCATCCCCAAAACCGTACACTACTTTGGAGCTATGGAGCCTTGCCCAGCTGCGTAGTCAAACACCTCAAGTGCCACCTTCCCCTGTATAAACTCACTCAGGCTCAGAGATTAAGCTCTGAGGCTCTCCTCTGCAGTCCGTCTCCCAAAGATCTTGGAGGGTGAGAACAAGCCTCTCCTGTGGTGGCCCCCGCTTGAGGAATGTTCTCCCCAGGGAAGCTTTCCTGGCACTGACTTTGCCTTCCTTCTGATGCCAGGAAAAGACCTTCCAGGCACTTGGACAGCTGTAATGACCCGGCTTTTGGCTGTTGTAGGGTGGCTTTTGTGGATGAGTACTTTTTAGTATAGATTTAGTTTTAATCTATTTTTATTACATATTTGTATCTTATTGTCTCTGCAAACCACTTCTGGTGATGTGAAACAATGCATACAATGAACTGAGACAAATTTTGGAACACAAGTCTACCTCTCTGCCAGGGCCAACACAAACGGTGATGCCACATGATGTGGGCAGTCTACCCTGATACTGCCTCCTCTTTGCAGCAGCTGTGGCAGGAATGAAGGAGTGGGTAAAGTACCAGCAGCTATCAGCTGCAGCATTGGCCAACCCTGTGGCAGCGTAATCCTCTTCTCACTGAGCCACATGGCTCAGCATGGCTCATGGTGTGTGTGGCCAGGGCTGTTCTCCACCTTGATCTTCTTGCTGAGGAAAGAGCTGCAACTGTGAAGTTTGCATGGCAGGGCTGAATGAAATCCGACAGCCTGTGAGCCAGGGCTCCCCATCCTTGTTCAAAAGTTGCCTCCCTCTAAACAGGCCTCTGTGAGATCAGCAAAGACAGGCCAATAGCAGCCATAAAGGCTGTGACCCCCACCAACCACCCTCCTGCCAGTGGGACAGCAGAGCAGATCAGCCAAACATGTCAAGAAAAGTGGGCCCAAGCAAAGGAGACAGAGAGCGAGAGTCAGGTGATCAGATGTGGAGGAAGGAGAAGTCAAGACGGTCAGGAAAGCGATCTAATGACCCTCAGCCTCTCTTACTGATGCATCAGAAAATGTGGTATCCTTGCAGCAGAGGCACTAAGATAAGGGCAGGGTATTTACCCTCTGCAAGGAGCTAAGGCAGGGATATAGAACATGTGGCCCTCCTGATGTTGTTAGCCTGGATAGCCAATGATAGGAGTTGTAGTCCAATAACCCCTGGAGGACAATCCCTGGACTGAGGAGCTCAATTTTATTGTGCAAGATCAAATTGTTTGCTGGGTTCCACACCCCACAGGGTGGCCCTTCTTTACCTGCTGGCCTGTGGCAGGCGCTGGCGCAGCTCTTGAGTGGAACCAGAGTCTCCATCCTCCCGGATGTACAGCTCCGTCTCAGATCCCTTCTGGGAGCCCTCCTCATTCTCTTCTCCTGCCACAGCATGAAGGGCCTCCACGCCGGAGTGCTGAGAGATCAGAACCTGCGGGACGAGGCAAACAAACACGGAAGGTGATTTCCCAGGACAGTGGTACGGATTCATCCTGTGGTCAAGAACAGGGACCTCAACACCAGCCTCACCAGAACTTTGCTGGAGAGACCCGATAGGTGAAGATAAAATGAAACACTGGCTCTTCACATTTCCCCTACATATTATGAAAATAAGAACAATGGCACAAAAGGTAGTATTATGTACCAGACGAACCAGACCAGACCTGACTTCTCTGTGTTGCAATTTTTTACATATTGTTACGTACAAAAAAACAATTTAAAAAAGGAAATAATCCGTAGGAAAACAGGTCAGAGTCTGTTAGGCTGTTCAGAGCTGCTGTTCCCCACATCGTCACTTACCCCCAGCTGCACTCGCATCAGGACCTGGATGGCAGGACTAGAGTTGTTGAGTTGGAACCAGCGGTCAAGGACAAGCCCCTCTGCTGACAGCAGCTGCTCAAGTGGGAGTGACAGGGTACCCAGGGTATGCCCATCATCTTTCACCTGTGGGAACGACAGACAGGTGAGGACCGATCAAAATTTCACAGGTGAGGTAGGCAGAAAGGATGTGGGTCACACATGGTGTGAATTGGAATAACCCCTTTCGTACCCTGCAATCTTTGAAACTATCAAGGGGCAGCCTGGTAAAGGGTCCTCTGGTAGGAACTGGGTTGAGAGAACGTGCAAAATCTCCAAGGCTTCTTCTCCCTTCCCTGCCCTGCAAGGACGTAGCTCACAGAAGAGGGAAGGGCTGAAAGGAAGCAAGTTGCAAGCCAGTGCTCCCTGTCCTGGCTTGCCAAGAGCTCACACATACCCCCTGTGCTCTTGGGTTCCCTGGCAGCAAACCTGCATGGGATCTGCTGCTAAAACACAAAAGAAAAAACTTTCATTCCTTGCAAGGTATTTGAAGTCCTAACGTGAGGACTTCAAAACACTTTGAACATGATGGAATGAAGCCACACCCACCTCTCAAATTTGGCCTGCAAGCAGGCTCTTGATAAGGATCTGGCCCTTGGAGGCTGGTCCATTAGCATGTGTGGGGCACTGCCCCACCAAGCTCAGTCTCCCCCCAGCCAGCTCCCACCTGCCTGCCTTCTTACTCATGACAAATTGGGGGCGGCTCTGCCTGTCATCTGCTCTGGCTCCACCTACTGTTGGCCTCCCTTGCCTTCCGCCCTACAAGTCCCAAAGGGCACCAGCCACCACTGGTTCAGAATTCAGGGCAAGTCACCTATATTATCTCAGCAATCCTTACAAGTACCCAGTAAGAGGGCTAAGGCTCAGAGTATAGTGACTTCTTTGCGTAACTCCATCCAGTGAGTTTTGGCTGAAGCACAGAAATCCACTCTTGAGGTATGAAGTGCTCAGCTCCCAGAATGGCTTTGACTTTCTCACCTGATGTTGTGTGAATTGGGCCATAAACATATCTCTTGTGGGTTTTGCTGCTTGCAGATTGCCCCACTGTAGCAGGGGAGACCGGAAGTTCTACCCAACAAGGAGGACAGGCATTCTGGGGGGAGGGAGAGCGGGAAAGTGCTACCTGCAACTCCAAAGATTCTGCATGGGGCCTCTTGATAAGGAAGGAAAAAGCTTCATTCCACACTGGCTCTGCAGTCTGAGAGGAGACCTGAGGGCAGAGACACAAGGCCGTGATAAAATCTCTCCACATTTAGAAAATACAAAAGGGAAGAAAATATCACAATTTGAGGTTAGCCAGCTGTTTATAAGACAGTATCAAACAAATCCCACTAAGAATGGAGGGGAAAGCTAGTTCAAACCATATTTAGATGACTGCCTTGAGATTAAGTTACATAAGAATAGTTGATTGATAAAGCTATTCTTTCCCTTTGTTATAGCAATTTAACTAAGCACAAGTACTTGAATTTACTTTCTCACCCCGCCTCCCAAACTTTTGCGATGTGTTGTTCTGGGAGTCTTTTTTGGCTAAACAGCCAGGTAAAAATGCTTCAGATATTCTGCTCCACCTGTGGGCTAATCTATTTCTATCAACACTCATTTTCACCATCACTGAAGGAGAGCTATCTATAGCTCAGTAAGGGTTTCCAAATACTTCTTATTTTAAAATAATTCAAAATATGCTCAAACCTTAGTTCTCCCATCTTTATGCTACCAATTTAGGATAAGATCTGATGTGATCAGTGCTTTTTTGTAGATTAAAAATGAGGACTGATACGTAAATACTGACGTCACATTTTGGGACTAATGATCAAGTGCTCTTTTTTAAATTAATATTTTATTAAGAGAATTTCATTTGTAAAAAGACAGAGTGAGGAAAAAGAAAGAAAAAAGTGAGAATAAAAAAAGAAAAAAATACTGTTACATTACCATACACTAATATATGATCATGTCCCCAAATGATCAAGTGCTCTTAAAGTTTTATTTGTTACTTAATAATAATAATAATAATTTTATTATTTATACCCCACCCATCTGGCTGGGTTTCCCCAGCCACTCTGGGCGGCTCCCAACAGAACACTAAAAACAGAATAAAACTTCAAACATTAAAAACTTCCCTAAACAGGGCTGCCTTCAGATGTCTTCTAAAAGTCAGATAGTTGTTTATTTCTTTGACATCTTGTGGGAGGGCGTTCCACAGGGCGGGTGCCACAACCGAGAAGGTCCTCTGCCTGGTTCCCTGTAACCTCACTTCTTGCAGTGATGGAATCACCAGAAGGCCCTCAGTGTCTGGATTGAATGATGGGGGTGGAGATGCTCCTTCAGGTATACTGGACTGAGGCAGTTTAGGGCTTTAAAGGTCAGAACCAACACTTTGAATTTTGCTCGGAAACGTACTGGGAGCTAATGAAGGTCTTTAAGGACCAGTGTAATATGGTCTCGGCGGCCGCTCCCAGTCACCAGTCTGGTTGTCGCATTCTGGATTAGTTGTAGTTTCCGGGTCACCTTCAAAGGTAGCCCCACATGGATCACATTGCAGTAATCCAAGTGGAAGATAACTAGAGCATGCACCACTCTGGCGAGGCAGGTAGGGTCTCAGCCTGCATACCAGATGGAGCTGGTAGACAGCTGCCCTGGACATAGAATTGACCCAATTAACTCAGTGGAGATCAACTGACACAGAAGAAGTCCTTGCCCTTTAAATAAGGGTGAATGTACATGTGCACACAAACACATTCGCACACACATGCACACACACATTTACCCCAGCTATGCCACGCCCTCTAATATTGTGGCTTCGTCTTTTCACCCTCAACCCTCCACCTCACCCTCTTTGCCAGTTTCCTTAGACTGCTCATGTGCCACCTACCCACATCCTGCCCCGAAGCAATTCTTTACTGCTCACTCCAGCACAACCCTTTCCCTATTAAAACAACCACCATGTTTTCCCCCTTGCCTTCACCTTGGTCTTGTAGGAGACACCACGGACAGAGAGACTGGCGTAAGGACTTGGGGGTTTTGAACCCTTCCGCAGCTGGAAAAGAGAAAATGGTTGAGAGTTTCTAGGATGCTCGATTATAAGTAGACATTGTGTGTATTTTGAGCATGTCTAAGCACGTAGCACAGGCCAACAATTTGCTCCAGTGGGAAGCCCTATATTCTGTTTTCGAACATGCCTTATGTATTCTCGTAATGACTGTCAAGCACCTCTATACACTATTGATTTCATACAGGTGGAGGAAGCAAGTGGCTTTCCCAAGGGCATGCAAGCGAGGGGCAAAACTGATGTAATGGTGACACAGCAGTGCATGTTTTTTAAATCCTTGTGCCTTCCCTGTTCATTTGTACAGTGGAGATGGAAGGAGTCTGATTTTCGTAGCTCCCCAGCCTTATCTTGCTGCGCCCTGTCTGGCTTTAATCAATTTCCTACCCTTATGGCTAATTTCCTGTATTGGAGCTAGGATGGGGGTGGGGGGACGGCTTAGGTAAGACAGGGAAAGGACTGCCTTTTGCTCCCTCCTCCTGCACCACCAGGAGTGGTTTGCTGGGTGGAACAGAACTGTGGCAATAGCCTCCCAGCAGCAGCATCACTATTGCTGACCAGGAGGGGTAGAAGTGAGGAAGCAGAGAGGTCTGGGCTGTGCAGGTGCTCGGGCCAATCCCATCCAGCACTCCCACTGGTAGGGCCAGTGCTGCTGCTGCTGCTGCTGGGAGGCCATTGCTGTGGCTCTGCCCCTCTGAGTGAGCGATTCCTGACTTGCTTTTAATTTAATATGAAGTGCAGACTGCAGCAAAAGGGAGAGGGAGGTCTAACTGAACAATTGTAAAAACATTGCTTTAAGTCTGCACTGCTGCATTTAATTTTGCATTATTATACGCTGCTTTCACAGCTGTGAAGTGGTTTATAAATTTGCAAAATAAACTGAAAACCCTGCCCTTCCCAGCCAGGATCCCAGTGAAAATCACCCCGCCCCCACCAGCACAGCAATGAGACTTAGGCTAAGAAAATACTTCCAGGTGGCACCCAATGTGTAGGGGGGTGATTTTAAACCATCTCAACATACACTGGTGCCCCCGCTTAGTATTAAAAGGGAAAGGGGGACCACAGATGAAGCTATACATTATACATTTCACAGGATGTATAATTAGACCTGGAGTCTGCAGCTGAGCTGGGACTTAGTTAAGGATCCTTAGTTAAGGTCCAATACAATATTCCACATTAGTCCTCTGCTAGACCTGAAGGAGCTCTTTAGGATGTCCAAGGAGTGATTGGCGGCTTCCCGGTTCTCTTGGCCTGTGAAAGGAGCTCAGAGCCCCAGCAGGGAGAGGGGATCTGTACTGCCACTCACCGGCAGGTCAGTTGCCCTGTCAAGGAAGACTGATAGCAGGGCGGATGACAGCTCCTCGCTCTTTGGTGTCTGGATCAAGCTATTCACCATCAATACCTGTGAAAAGTGGCACACATTAAGGACTATGCTTAGACGCAGCATCCTTCAAAACTATGACTGTCACATGATAGTTTGGTAATCTGCACTCATCATGTGAGCAACTCATCACAAGATGGCCTTCTTGCATCGAAGAGAGGCAGTTGTCAGCGGGAAGATCCCCGGCAGCGGTCACATGAATTGGCCTTGTTCTTGTAACTCTTGTAACTCTGACCTGGCCTTCCCCTCGTGCCTTCCAGATGTCATTGGACTCCAGCTGCCATTAGCCTCTGTCAGCATGGCCAAGGATGGTGGGAGTTGTAGCCCAAAAACATATGGAGGGCACCAGGTCAGGGAAAACAGCTCTGGCCTGATATGCAGACCCTTTAAAAACCTACCGCCTGTGGCTGCCCCGTGTTCCCTCTCCCAGCTCTAATATCCTTGGGGCTGGACATACAGTTTCCAAATGTCTGAGCTAACAGAAGGAGTAGTTTCATTTATGCCTCTATGAAGGTATTGGGAGAAAACACAGTTTTGCTTAAGCACAACCACCTCCCTCAAGAAACTCAAAAATCTGTTTTTTGAGGGAGGCGGTTGTGCTTAACATAGGGACTGAACAAGTTGCAGGACTCTTCGCTGGTAAGATGGACAGGGCTTCCTGGAGTGACCATGTGGTCATGCAACGTTACGTGGTCACTCCAGGAAGCCCTGTGAGGCAGGAATCTTGTGCTCAAATAACCCTGAACTGCTACCAGCAAGCAACAGGCCTTCCTAAAGCCAAAAACAAGCTCTTAAAACATTAGAAAAACCCATGTTCCCTCGCAGTGGCGTGGTCTTTCTTGACAAGGCTTTCTGAAGTGACCACAAGATATGGCATGCTCTCATGGTCACTCCAGAAGGCCCTGAAAAGAACCTCATGTTCCCAAGGTAAGAGCACGCATCCTGCCCTGTCCCTCAGTTGTTATTATTTTGCAAAGTCCTCCTACTTCTTGTGCAAGAAGTAAAAACAGTACTTCTTTCACTGGGAGTGAAGCATTCTTTGAAAAACCAGCAGGGCTGAGGCCCAGCTCTCCTTTCAGAGTGGAGTAGCCTAACCTTAGTTTGAAAGCCTTTGGGGAGGACTTGTGCTTTGCTTTTAATGCTTGTATAGTTTTTAGTAGTGTTAAGCTGCCCTAGAGGCTAACAACCCCAACCTCCACCCCTATGGGGCAGTTCTCTCAATGCTCCTCCCTCCTCTCTCCAATTACCTGCTCCAGCTCAGCAGCACTGGGCGTGGGGGGCAAGCACTCCAGCTTCACATGGAGCCGTCCTGACTTCACATCCTCTAGGGGGAGCCACTGAAACCAAGAGCAGGGGGTAAGACCAGCACAGCTGCTGCACATCTCCTGCCCGCCCTCCCAGTGCCATTGGTACCACTGACTTACCTCGTCAACAAACTTTTGGCTTAGCACTCGTCTCAGAGGGATCTTACACCTGAAAGGGGATGGAGGAGGAAGAGGTGAGTGAGAAGGACAAATGGCTTTCTTTCTGTCACAGGTTCTACTAAACTGAATTAACACCATGATCCAGGTGACATGAAGCACACGGCCTCGTCCTAGTTTGCAATCCATGCACAGGTTACTAGGAGTTACTAAACGTCGACAGAAGGTGTAAACTTGCAGTCTGGTAACATGGATCACTGCCTTGTCGTGGCGAAGGGGCTTGAATAACTCAGAGAAGCTATGAGCTATGCTGTGCAGGGCGACCCAAGACGGCCAAGTCATAGTGGAGAGTTTCGACTAAATGTGATCCACCTGGAGCAGGAACCGGCAAGCCACTCCAGTATCCCTGCCAAGAAAACTCCATGGACAAAAGAAGACAGGCGTGCCTGGCGTGCTCTGGTCCATGGGGGTCACGAAGAGTCGGACATGACTAAGCGACTAAACAACAACAACAACAACATAGGAAACTGCCTTAAACTGAGCGAGACAATTGCTCCATATACTGTTTAGCTGCAGCTCTCCAGGATTTCAATTAGCCTGCCCTGATTCACAGGCCCAAAGGTGGGCCTGTGAGAGTGGTTTGATGCAGGGATACGAAAGAAGGATGTAAAAAATGCCAGAGTGTTCAATTCTAGTGCTTTCTTGGAAGCGTAAACTTACAACCCAGTCTGCAAAGCTTCACATTCAGAGCCCTGGGTCCTCCAATTCTAGTATGGTGTGGCGGGCAGGGCCTTTTTTCAGTCGAAACACTCTGGAACTTAGTTCCGGAACCTTCCCTGAGGCAGACCCTGGATGGACTGGGAGTTGGTGCTGCATGCGTTTTCAGCACTTTTTAAGGTTGTCAATGCAGCACGTGTTTTCAGCGGCTCCCTAAAAAAACCTCAACCACCTTGGTGCCCCCTAAAAATGAGCCCAGATCCACCAGGAGGTGGGGGCTATGGAGATATCTAGGCTCCTACCTTGAATGTTCAGCTTTCATTAAGAAAACGAAGTCTAGTTGTTAAGCTAATGAAGATACAAAGACAAATGTAGAGGTCGTATTCTACCCAATCTCTGTGTAAGAAGCAAAATCCACTCCCAATTAATGTCAATGCATAGAGATGATTGAAAAGTATTTCACCTATAAAGCTGTAAATTAATAAATAACTATGGGTGCATCCAGATGGGGTCTTAAGATTGCAAAGGAATGGTTCACATTTTGAAAGCAAGCCATTGGCAACGTTTTTCTTAAATTTTCTGAGGAAAGTATAAATCAAGATTGGCATATTGATGCCAATGACATCATGTGGATGCTGCAAAAAGATCTCTGAATGCACGAAGGGCACCGATCGTAAAACAAACGCCCATCTGGAATGACTTGCCTTTAGGTGTTTTCTGCTTCACTCTGATTTACTAAGGCTCACCAGTATAAATTCTGTGGCTGTGGGACTGAAGACGTTCTAGGAAGGGAGGGGAGTGCTTTTCGCCCTCCTCCCATGTCATGGGGTACTCAGGCAACTCAAAGGAAGAGAGGTGAGCGTGTTTCTGGCTTGTCCAATTTTTCATTTTGCTCCAGACTTACCTTCCCAGGAAGTCATCCTTGTCAACATCTTTGTCATATAAATCAAACTCCACATCCTGCCCTGGGACGTTACTCACAATGACCTGGAGGATATAGCAAAGTGGGTCACAATACAGAGCCACACAAACCAGAAGCAGCACACATTCAGGGATCGACTTTAGTAGATTAAGAGTGAAAGCCAAGGTTTGTTCTGATCTTGGCTCTGGAAAGCAAACAAACTCATTAGGCCAGCAATGGAGGGGGGAGGGGGGGACCTGGTTTCCTGGATTCCGTCCCCCACCTCTTCGAAAGGGCCTAGGTAGGGTTTCATGTTTGGCCAAATAATTGGTTAGATTAGCCAATCAAACATTGGACAGCACTATGATGTGAATCAATTAATTAAAAAAGACCAGACAGCAGATTTTTACAAATATTTTTAAACCATAGCTTTTATGTCTTTATCGATGGGCCAAGTTTGTGAAACTAGGTTCATACACTGAAGAGGCTGGGTGTTAACTGAGACTGAGAGTGAGCAATGCTTTATTGATCTGTTGCCTATTTTATCTTGCTGATTTTTTGGAGACAATTCTCTGCTGACATCTACCTTAGATTTCTTGGCAATGGGTGTCTGTGCATGATTAAGTAAATGAATGTGTTGTATTGTGTGTGTATAAATAACATTTTAAGATTCCTGGTGACAGATCTATATCCTCTAGGGAACAAAAGATGAAGGGCATATATTTGGGACTATTGGTTTCTATCTTTGGCTCCAGCAGGAAGTGGGATTTGGCAGGAATTCATACAGAAGCTCAATGCAAAAATATTTCACTTCAGGCTCCCATTGGCACATTGCAGATGGAAGCTGAGTGCATATGAAAGTTTGAAAATCGCTGAAGATATATCCAAGTTGATCTTTCAGATGATTTTATTATTTTGGAAGAGGGAGTTGAGAGACAAGACATGTTGCTGTACAATGTACCCTTTAGATGGTATGGCATTTCTGAGTATTCTTGGTCTTAGTGGCATTTAAGCAGCACTGAGAATCCTCTATGGTAAGCTGAGATTGAAACACTGCATTTAGGTTTTATGGCCTTCCATTCTGGGGCCGTCTGTGCATCCCAATTACTCCACTAAGCTGTGAGTGAGCACCGCCTGTTGATGTGGAAACTTCTATACGTAAAAAACTTCCACATACATAATTGCTAGGCAGAAGTAAAAAATGTTGAAACTGACTGACAGATGCTCTAGACAGATGTTGGGAGTCCAGATGCTGGTAGACTCCACCTTCCATCATCCCTGACCATACTGGCTGGGGCTGATGGGAGTTGGAGTCCAACAACTTCTAGACAGCCATAGGTTCTCTATCCTTGCTCTGTATAGAACCCAAGGTAAAAACCTGAACAGGCTTCATTTGGGTTTTCTACAATTTGTGTTATACTGTAGTTATTCTCAGGTGTGTGTCCAAATCAGAAATATGCAATGCTCTGTTGGGTGCTTTCCTTTCATCCATCTGATTGCAAGGAAGACATCTCAGAACACTGTGAGTTATCAGATACTGTATCAGTCCTGTTTCAATTAAAATAATCTGACTCTGTTGCAGAACAATTCCCCATTAAACCCACCCTCCTCCACCACCACCACCACCAGCCAAGGCCGGAAGGTCCAGCAGATCCAAGCTACGTGCATTCTCACCTCATAGATCTCGCTCCAACGGGGGTTGAGATCCTCTTTGATGACGCGGCTACGGAACTTCTGGCCCCCCAAGCGCACTTTGACATAAGGGTCTGATTTGCCCTTTATCATCCCACCCATGAAGTTATCCTTGGCAATCAGATTCTCAGCTTCCAGCAGGTGAATGCGAATCACACTCTGAGGGGAAGATGAGAGAAAAAGAAGAAGAATTTGCCTGAGGGAACTGCAGTCATCATCCTACAAAGCAACAGGTCTCTTATCTCGCTTTTCTGGGGTCCCCAAACCATCCTAGGTTTTTACGAGAGCAACACAATAATTTTCATCACAGTAGCTGGAGCACCTAGCTTCTGTAATACAATTATTTTTGCTGTAATCAAATAAAATTTCATCAAAACTCAAAAAAGCCAAGCTATATATGAAGGGGGAAATCCCTAATTAATGCAATTTATATTAAAATCTTTCATATCTTTAAAATATATAAATAAAGAACATAAAACTGGTGATTTAGAAGGGTCCTTCAACTTAGTACTGTTATTTTTACTGAAAGAAGCTGAACTGTTAACTGATTAGACTGTCTATAGCATTATTATTCAGCATTATTGTTTGTGACTGGTATCTTTGTTTTAGATATTTCTGTCTGCTTCTGCTTATTTTATGAACTTTTCTGTAGTTTGTTATTCTTCTGTGGTTTTATATGTAACCCATCCTGGGATTGTAAAACCAATGAAGGGTAGGATGGACATATATAAACACATACATTATATCATTTCCTGCTGCTGCTCAGGAAACATCAACTCTCTCAAGGAGACGACCTTACCTCAGTGCCAAACTCAGCATCTGGGCTGGCCTTGGTGGGGCGAGGAGGCCTGTCAACGCTGCTTCCAACATAAGTTCCCTCAGTGACATTCAGATTTCCTGGGGGGCATGGCCGGGTGTTGAGGCAAAGTTCAGGGGCATCCAGATACAAGATCTACAGAAATATTGGCATACAGTGAAGCATGAGGTTAGGAAGCAAAGTCAAAATAGTTAGGAAGCATCGGACTGTTGAACGAAGAGGACAAAACGTAACTGCAGGGCCAGATAACATAAACACTGGCATGTTTGACGGACTCTGGATAATCAGTGAAGAAGGGGAAAGGATAGCTCATGGAAAGGGACCCTTTCTCAAACAGCTGGTTTTCAAAAAAGAAAATGCAGCTGGAGATTCACTCATAGATCTCCAAAGTTTTGCCTTTAGACTCCACTTGTGTTTAATGCTCAATGCTTAGTAGCTCCATGCTATATTCCGGGTCCTTTCTTCACTCCTTTGTGGCCCTGTATCACATGTCCGTAAGGCAGGGGTGGTGGACTTCTAGATATTCTAGATCATCCTTGCCCTGGCTGATGGGAGTTGAAGTACATCTGGAGGGCCACAGATTCCCCATCCATGGTTCCATCTCAGGGAGAAGGGAAGGAGACAAAGAAATCCAACTAAGAGTAACAGCCACTCAGAAAGTCACTCTACCCGCAATCAAAATAGGCAGCTCATACATTCTGTAGAGTATATCTTTCCCTTCCTCACGCTTGAAAAAGAAGCTGAAAATGCTGTTTGCTTTGTTGCATTTTTAAATAAAGGACATTGAGCAGTAATTGTTGAGCTGGCATGGAAGGGTGAATAGGTGAATCATCATCATCAGAGACACATTAAGTCTTTAAGTCCCCAATCGTCAAGTGTTTTACCCGCATAACGAGTTTCATGTAGATGCGGCTGTTGAGTCCAGAGTTCTCCAGCTGGAACCATTGGTCAAGAACCAGATTGTCGGCACTCAAAAGGCGGGACAGATGGATCGTGAGGGAGCCCAGGGTGGTCTGGCGGTTGTCGTCTTTGACCTGCCGGAGGGTGAAAACAGCTTTTGCATTTTTGTGCAGGCAGAACTATGGGAAGCATTTTGGAAAAGGTGGGAGAGCCTACCTGTATATCAATGTCCTCAGTGGTTGGGTCTTGCAAGAAGAAACGGAAGGCATCATCCCAGACAGGAGAAGAAGTGTTATAGACAACCTGGTGGTGTGAGGGGAAGAATGACAGTGAAGAGGTAAGAAACAGCACCCATTTCTGTGGAACATCAGTCATTCGAGCAGCAGACTTCCTGAAGCTGCTACACTCAAAAGAAGAGGAAGAAGCAGCCATGAGCCATGTCCTGACCCAACTCCACCAGAGAACCCCTCCAGTAAGCAGCTGTCACTCTGTTTGTGGCAATTAAAGTGCTGGACTGGGTAATGGGGGATCAGGGCTCATACGCCCTCTGAGGCATGAAGCTTCCTGGGTAACACTTTCTCTCAGTCTAACCCTGCTCACAGGGTTGTTGTGGGGATAAAATGCAGAGGGGGCAGGGGAGACAGTGTATGCCAGCTTGATCTCCTTGGAGAAAAGGTGGGAAATAAACACAATAAAGAAATAAGTATCTTAGGTAAAGGTAAAGGGACCCCTGACCATTAGGTCCAGTCATGGCCGACTCTGGGGTTGCGGCGCTCATCTCGCTTTACTGGCCGAGGGAGCCAGCGTACAGCTTCTGGTTCATGTGGCCAGCATGACTAAGCCGCTTCTGGCGAACCAGAGCAGCGCACAGAAATGCCGTTTACCTTCCCGCTGGAGCGGTACCTATTTATCTACTTGCACTTTGATGTGCTTTCGAACTGCTAGGTTGGCAGGAGCAGGAACCGAGCAACGGGAGCTCACCCCTTCGCGGGGATTCAAACCGCCGACCTTCTGATCGGCAAATCCTAGGCTCTGTGGTTTAACCCACAGCACCACCCGCGTCCCAATAAGTGTCTTACTTGTTATTAAACGATAATTAGTAAGTGAAGGTTACAGCCAGAACCCCCCTGCACCATCCATCCTGGCCTGTGATACAGTGCACCATCCAACAAGACCTGGATTATCATGGGATGTTACCAAACTGAGGGAAGGGGAGCTAAAACCTGCCAGGTACCTTAAGCTTGCCACCTCCGTTGTGACTGTTGTATACACCCCATCATCAGCACCCCAAGTGGTTACACCTGGAGGTGTCCAATGAGAAATAACTAACAGACAAGAATGAATTAAGCCCTTACCTTGCTCTCACGGGTGACATCTTGAACGGAGAGCTGTACCATAGGGTTGGGCTCCTTACTGGCCTTCTTCAGCTACGTACAGGATGAGGTGAGAGAAATGATGGACACAGAACTTATCCATGAACTATACAGCCCTTAACAGGTTTATCCCAACATATCTAAGAGGCCCCACTCTTTCCTTCTTGGCCTAAGATGGGGCTCAGTGAAACATCCAGTTCCTTGGTTAAATTGTGCCAGGTGGCGACAGGGAACCCATTGCCCGCTCCCCATGTTGCTGGACTACAAGCCCCATCATGGTGCCATGCTGGCTGGGGCTCATAGGAACTGGTGTCCAACATCTCAAGGGTTGCAGAGTAAGAGCTGAAGGACCGCCAGCTCCAGCTTCACCCTCTTGCGTGAGCTGACATACAAGCAAAGGGCACTTTCACCCTCGCAGCATCAGCAAAACAAGTTAGTTTGGCAAAGCCCTTCCCTTCCTTCCTTCACTCACTCTGAGACAGAAAGGGCTCCTTATTGCCTCTCCCACATGAACAGAAACACAGGCTCTGTCACGAGTTCTTCCCTTACGAAGCCTGGCTGCTGATTTCTGAGCTCTAGTAAATGGAAGTGAACAGCACTGCTGTGTAACAAGGGGTAGTCTCTGCCAAAGCCTCTACTGCTACTTACACAGGGGAGGAGGGTTATTTTAAAGAGCTAGTTGCCCATGTCTCCGCTTGCATGGAAATGCCAGTTTGCACCTTCTAGGCCACCAGGTGTGAACCCACCAGTTGTTATTCTGGTGCTGCCTAATAAGAAGCCCCTAAAACTGCCATCAGTTTATGAAGCTGGACAGCAAGAGCACACAGAAGCACATTTTGGGTGGCCCCCTTACAATTATGCCATGCTGTTTGCCAAATCCCAAATATCTAACAGGAGGTTAAATAGGGCTGCCAAGGAACTGGAGACTTGGGACTCCTTCTCTTAAGTGTAAGGTGGCTTACAATTTAATAAACAACAAGCTCCCACTTTTGCTGAAGGGAAAGGGCCATCTTTAATTTTTTCTTCTTCATCAAATTTGGGAGTATGTGGAGTCTTTTCTTTAGCTGTGCACCGAGTTGGGAGGTGGGGAAAACCTATTAATACAGGAAAGGGCTAGCATTTTCAACATATATTATTTGGAACAGGGAATGGGAGTCTGTGGCCCTTCAGATGTTGCTGGACTACAACTCCCATCATTCCTGACTATGGGAGCTGGAGTCCAACAATGAAGCACCAATGGTTCCTCATTCCTGATCAAGAAGAATATTGCAATACTTGTTTTAACCCCCCCCCCCCCACTTATATCTGTTTTGGGATATGACAAAGTAAGACATTTAAACACACAACCTATCCACCCCAACCAGACCCAACTAGAAGAGATCAGGAAGCCTGTATCATCAAGGTTTCTGACTACTCACTGGGAGCTCTTGTGCCCTGTCAAGATAGACAACCAAGATGGCTGCTGATGGTGGTTCTGGTTTGGAGGAGATAGTTTTGTTCCACTGGAGAACCTTTAAACGGCACGCAAGAAGCAAAACAAACATAAAGTCAGCTCCACCATTTCTTCCCAAGATACCTTGCTGTCTTTCACCTTGAAGGACATCTCCCCCCACGCCACCCCAAAAAAACAAACAAACTGGGGAGACACAAACAATGGGAGACACAGATTTCTCCAAAGGATATCTTTTTATTTCCATCTCTCTGTTACTGATGTGTTCATCTGAGCCCAGACCACACAAGAGGTCCAAGTATTGATTCTGCCCCTAGGTCTTCCAAGCCAGTTTCCCACAGAATCCGACTTGCCTCATGGAAACAGAACCAGGAGTCCTGATTTCCCTGCTGTAGTTACTATATGACTTGGGAGTCTGAATTTGGAATCCTCCACCCAGGGTCATCGTCCACTCCTCACATATTGCCCATTTCTGAGGAAACTCTTCTTCAAGGAAATACCTCATAGAAAAATGGGGGGGGGGCGCTCTAGCCTTGCTCAACCAACCCAAAGCATCCCCCATTTTAAAAGGGTTCAGAATTAAAGGGGTGGGGAGAACTTTGCCTGAGACCTTGGAAAGCTGCTACCAGAGTAGACAATACTGGGCATCTTCCTGCTTTTTTCAGAAAAGCATCAACTCAGGCCCAGCCAACTCCAGACACATCCCCTGAGCTGAATTGGCCTCCAGGTCAAATTAGATCAAGGTTACACTCACCTGTTCCAGCTTAGAGATATCTGACATGAGGGTGTGCCACTCCAGGCGCAGGAGCACACGAGCGCGACCACCATCTTGCAGAGGGAACCACTGCCAGGTGGGAGAAAGAGGGAGAGGATTAGGAGCACAGGGACAGACTTTGAATCTGAGGTACCATCACACTTACAGCCAAGGGACTCTTCCCTCTAACTATATAGCCCAGCTCTACATGATATGGCCCCCTCTGCCCCCCTCCCTCTGTCCCACCGCTCTTCTCATGAGAGACTTCAACACCACCTCTTTACCAATCTATGATGAAACACCATTCTTCCTTCTTCCCCACAGATCAGATATCAAACTCAAAGGCTATCCTGTTGTCTGGCACCATGTATGAAACCAGCCCCGTCCCCTCTTCTGCGCTCACCTCCTCTAGCACACGAGCCTTGAACACCTCCCCAAAGTCCAGTTTCATCCTGAGGAAGAAAAGAAGGTGGTAACATTTGCATAAGTACCATCTCCTCACTTTCAAGCCCAAGGGGCAGCAGATCAAGTGACCCTCATCCATAGAGATCCCATCTCCCATCATGAAGAAGAGAAGAAGAGTTTGGATTTGATATCCCGCTTTATCACTACCCGAAGGAGTCTCAAAGCGACTAACATTCTCCTTTCCCTTCCTCCCCCACAACAAACACTCTGTGAGGTGAGTGAGGCTGAGAGACTTCAGAGAAGTGTGACTAGCCCAAGGTCACCCAGCAGCTGCATGTGGAGGAGCGGAGACGCGAACCCGGTTCCCCAGATTAGGAGACTACCGCTCTTAACCACTACACCACACTGGCTCTCCAATTTCCAGAGCTGGAGATGAAACCAATGTCTCTGGGGCCTGAACTGGCCCTGCCTAACTCTTTAGCCCCCAAGTCCTCTCAGCATCAGAAAAAAGAGCAGAGGAGCTCCAGTTCCTCCCCTCCCCTCAGCTACTCACCCAGCTAGGTCTCACTCCCCTCATAGAGCTGGGAACAGAGCCCAGCCAGCCTCTCACCTGCCCAAGAAGTCATCCTGATCGGGGTCCTTGTCAAACAGCTCCACCTCCAGTTCCTGCCCCGGTACCTCGTGTACAATGAACTGTGGGGATAGTGAGGTGGGGGGTCAGAGCAGGCACCACCTATTGTGCAGGCCGGAGGGGCCCTCTTCAGACAGAGAAAGGAAAGGAATGACAGTTGTGTTGCGTGAAGAGGACAAGCTAAGCCAGGGAGGGAGGATAGAAAGAAAGGGGGCTGAGCGTCCCCCTAAAAGTTTGCACTCAATTTTGCCACCTCAGTTGGCAGCCAATTACCTCATACATCTCATTCCACTTTGGGTTGAGGTCTTCATCAATGACTTTGCTGGTGAAGACCTGGGTTCCCACACGCACAACGGCGTATGGGTCTGACTTGCCCTCAATCATCCCTTTGATGTACTTATCCTTGGACTGCAGGTCCTTGGCCTCCCTCAGAAAGACACGGACGACACCCTGCAGGGGAGAGGCATGCGTCAGGCGCAGGGCTCTGGCCCACTCACAAGGATAACACCCTTCCCCAGGGCTTGCCTTACCCTGGGAATCGGGGAGCGCAGCTGAGCTGCTTCGTGGAGATCGGGGACCAGCGGGATGAGCAGGCGGTTGGGGAGAACCAAGAAAGAGGCAATGGAGTCCATGATCATGGTGTCAGACAATGAGCTGCAGAGAAAAGCCTTCTGTTTTAATGCAGTATACACCACCCTGCCTCTTGCCTACCATGCATCCCCTCCAATCTTCCAGAACACCTTTCTGTCCCACTGCGCCCCAGAAAGTTCTTCTCCAGCAAGACCCAGTTCTCCCACCAACCAATTTCTTCTCAAATGTTCTCACCTGTTTTCCATTGCACTCCTCACCACTCCTATTGACTTCAGTGGAGCCAACCCCACTGGAGTTAGGATTGAAGTCTCCCCCCTTTACCCTTCTTGCTCTGGTTATCTCCAAGAGAAGAAGCGCTTGAGAACATAGAAGCCTCATTCTTTTACCAGAGCGGTAAATTTTGATGGAGGAAGCAAACAAGACAACATCCTCTCCGACCTCCTACAAGAGCTGCAAGTCCAGAGGCCAGAGGTTCCCCATCTCTGGTTTTATCGTCAATCATCAAGCATTTACCTCAGTCCAGGAATGTCCAAGAGGTTGGTCATTCCAGTCCAGTTAATGTCCAGAGTCTGGGAAAGAAGGGAGAGGTGTGATTTAGAACCAGCTACAGAAATACTGGATGTGGGGGTGAATTTGGGTGGGGGGTTGAGAAGAAGCAATCAGGACTGAAGATATCCAGGTTCAAATCTCCATTCAGCCTTGAAGCCCACTGCGTGACCTCAGGCCCCTCACCATCTCTTTCAGCCTAATCTTCCCCACAAGATTATTGTGTGAGAGAGAGCCTTGCTAAGCCACCCAGAGCTCCTTGGACAAATAAATAAATTCAATTAATAACTCCTGTGGGGTTTGTCAAAATCACTTGGGAGATCTCACAGCTGCAAAAATGTATGAATCCTCCTGTACTTCATTTTAATAAGAGAATTTACTAGTTGCAAACCAAGACTTCTACTCATGTGCAAGACATCTGCACTGGAATGACCGGCCCCTTGAATGTAGGAACTGATTCTGCTGCATGTTTTTAGGGAGACAGCATGAAAATTCTGCCTATGGTGTTGTTACCTGCGGCTGTAAAAGCTTTCATTAAAGTGGGGGTGGGCAAGTTTCTAGCTTTTGTGGTCTCAAGAGATACGCCTGAAAAGTACTGATAGTAATCAAAGAGCGGTTGCACAACATTTCCATAGTGAGGGATTTGGCTTCAACCTTATGCATAGGTCAGTGCCCCTTCCCAACATTTGCAAAACCAGAATGGGACGTGGCAGAAACATAGCTGTCAAGTGTCCCTTATTTGAAGGGACAGTCCCTTATTCCAGCGCCATGTCCTGCTGCTGTCCCTTATTGATAGATGTCCCTTAAATGATGTCCCTTAAATTTCAAAGGAAGCAGCTCCTCTCCCTCCCTCCCTGCCGGCCAGGGAGGAGGGAGGCTCCAACTGTGTTGCTTGGCTGCGTTGCTCACCCAATAAGAAGTCTAAGAACGACTGGGGCGTGGAGCTTGCATGCCTTGTGTGCCGCTAGTTAATGCAAGCTGAGGGGGTTTTTGAATGCTGGACGCCATTTTGTTGCACGTGCTGCTGCAAACTTTGCAGTGCAAAGCCAGGCCGGGGAGCCATCTTAAGTTGAGGCTGCATAGGCCTTGTGGTGCATGTGATTCAGATTCTATTCAGTTGAACCTCTGGTTACAAAGTTGGTTGGACAGTATTCTCGAAGCTACCAGCATGAGTTTGACCAGACTGCAGGAGGACAGGAAGACTGGAGGGCCTGGAACAGGTGAGGCTGCAGGTCCCTTATTTTGGCTGCTGGTCCCTTATTTTCAAATCTGTAAGTTGACAGCTATGGGCAGAAAACTTACCGGACGGCGGATGAAGAACATGGTGAGCGCCCCGACAATTGGGACATCCCCAATGAGGGGCTCCAAGATGACCCGCAGCATGCCGTGCAGCTGAGAGAAAAAGAGAAGGTTGAGGTCGGATTCTCAGTCAATGCTGCTTTAGTCGTTTCTCATATTCCTGTGCTCTGGGACAAGCAGAGGATACAAAGGCAACAGCATCTGGTACAAATGATGCACCTACCATGCCATCCGCTAATGCAGGCTGACAAACAACAGGGGCAGCCTGACACAAATCACAGCCCCACGGCAAGATTCACCCTTAAATTCAGGGATTGTGGGAGGCTGAGGAAAGGGAGGGAGGGAGGGTTGCCTCCACATGCGGCTTCTTGAAGGGAAGGGAAGGGAAGGGAAGGGAAGGGGCACCCAAAGATTTCTGCTTTTAATTACCAGGAGTAATTAAGGAGGCCTTCATCACTGCCTTCCTGCAGTTGCAGTGCTTTCTAAATAGTAGCTCAAAGGAATTAAGGAACTGGGTGGAAATGATACCCTTTCAAGGAAGGCCATGGATAAGAAGGAAGGCCTGTGGTTGCTGGGAGCTTGGACTGATCCTGTGCCATGGCAAAGGAGAAGTTCCTTGGGTTAAAAAAAGAAGAAGCCAAACTGTCCCTAAAAAGGCAAATCCATTACTGGGAACCGTATCAGCCTCTGAGATTTCTAGCCTACCTTTATGAAGCCAAAAACAGGACCACCTTACCTGCATGCCTTTCACCCCGGCCTTACAGAAAAATTTCTTGACCTCCACATCAATCTGGACGTCACCCACATAGCTGTGTTACAGGGAGGGAGGGAGGGAGGGAGAGCAAGAGACTAGCATGAGGCTCCCAGAAACCAAATAAAGCCATAAGACACTGCAAGAATGAAACACCAAGGCCCTAAAAGGGAACAGTTCCCCCCTTAATCTCCACCCACCCTGTTGGACCATTTTTTCAGGGGTTGTTGATTTTGTATGCTCTCCTGTCCCACCCGGTTCCTCTCTTTTGGCCAGGAAGTGTGTGGGGAAGAGGTACTGCGGATATCCAGCATGGTCCATAAATGCAGCATGAATGAGTCTCTGGCTCTGCATAGGAAGAAACATTATCTTCACCCAAAGCAGAGCCTCACAGCAGAGCAACGGATTCTCCCTTGTCACTCCCTTGCAAGTGACTTGTCTCTTTAAAGGAGAGTCAGCTGTGACAGGGCCAGTGGGATTGCAAAAAAGGAAAGGGACATAAGAACACAAGGAGGCCCCCGCTAGATCAGCTCACATGACCACCCCGTCCAGTGCCAACATTGGCCAACCTGGCGCCTCTGGGAAGCCCACAATCAGGGGATGAGAACAATAGTGCTCACACCTTCCCTCTGCAATGCAGCTCAACCTCCACAGTGCAGGACAAAACTTGCCCTCAGATCATGCGCTCTTCCAGGAAAGGGTGTAGAAAAATGCTCAGGTTCCAAAATGCAGCTTGTCAGAGTGACAAGTGCTTTGTGGGCCATTCAATGAAGAACAATCCGCTCCCCCCGCCCCATCCCGCCTTGATTCTGCTCCATTTATGAAGCTAACACAGCAACGTAAGAAAACCTTAGAACTTACCTAATGTTTAGGTCCAGCAAGATTTGCTTCTTGTTCAGGCCAGTGTGAACCTTAACTCCAATGACCTTGAGGGGCTAGGAGCAGAAGAAGGGTCGTTGTTTAAGCAAATAAAAATAGACTAAAACAAGGGAGGCGATGCCCCACCTCTCACTCCCCAGCAATCTCTGTTAAGGCAAACTGATGGTCCGTGGATGTCAAAGCTTTGCCAAAGATATACCTGCATCTGGGATAACCCTCTGATCCCTCTTCCAAGACACTGCTGCCACTCAGTGGGTCAACTGAGACCCACCAAGAGGTAAAATGGTTTTAGAAGGACTGAAATGAGGCTCCTGCACATTTCTGGCTCAGCCAATAATGAGAGGGCAGCTCTGGTTCAGGCTCAGGCGTGGGCAACCCAGGCTTTGGCTTGGGCTCGGTGGCGGGACTCGGTGGGCTCAGCAACTTTGTGTCTGGATTTTTACCTCTTGAAATATGGCAACCCTAAGGTTAGAGGACCAGGAGCTAGGGAACATTAGCCAAGAGGGAGAAACACGGAATTAGGTTAGATCCCTGTAACATGAACAATTGACAGTACTGCCCAGCCACCCCAGGTAACCTGAGCTTTCAACAACATTCATCAAAGTCACAGAGACCAGAAAACTTCATTTAGAAATAATAATAAAAAAGTTTTAGTGTATTAGCTGAAATGTTGTTGCTACTTAAACACCTTGGAGACAGGTCCATGGCACAAATTTGGATAACACTAGTTAGATTATATGCATACGTGTTTCTGGGCAAATGAAACTGGGTGGTTGGGGTCTCCACCAGCATGGAGCTTTACAGTGCTTCCAGCAAAAGGGTTGTAAGTAAATAAATGAATGGAAAAGGGGCAGAAGATCTAGAGGCCAGCACAAAGGACCTTGGATTTGAGTAAGGAGGCCCCACCCACCCTAACAACACCCCTGCAAAAAGGCAGCGTAATAAACGCAATGTGTATATTAATAAAGCACTGGCTTCTGTTCTAGAAACAAAACCCTCCAACAAACACACAATAATCACAGAACTGCAAAACTTATGTAGCTCTAACTCAAATGTGGAAGCTGGAAGGAAATAAATACGATAGCGACGATAAGACTAGGATGGAAAGGCAAGATATGAGATTGTGGTCCTTAGTCCATTAATAAGGAATCACCCCAGGAGTAAGTATAATGATTACGCAGCAGAATGATTGGATTCACAAAATCTTATTATTGGATTTTCCGCAGCGATACAAAATGCAAGACCATAAAATGTTCCAGCAGGATTATAACGTAAGGTTTCAAATAAACTAAGAAAAAATGTACAGACTACTGCTAGCATCCCAATAGGCGAAAAAATCCATTGCACTAGCGATGCATTAAAAAAAGATATCATTCAGTGCTTTCAATAAATACTAGCCCAAGGTGTGTCTGGGGCGGAGAGGAAACCCTCTGCACATATGGGATGAAATCTAATGATTTCTTTCCCCTTATTTATGGACTTGTCCCCTGGAGCATGCTCTCCCTTAAAATTTATTTTTCAGCTGACAATTACCTTCTCTCCCATGTCAACCTTGGTGAATGTAAAGGTCTGCAAATGGGTGTTGGAGGCTCGGATGCTTGGAGCAATGTTTTCCACCAACAGCTTCTCCATGTACTGGCCAAAGAAGGGCCAAGCCTGGGCCAGGATCTACCATGCCGTGGGGTAAGCAGGGAGGGAGAGGGAGAGAGAGAGAGATGTTAGTACTGTCGTGATGCTGCCATGGCTGGGCAGGAACAATTCAGCCGACTGATTCTCACCTTGTTGAGCCATTCAGCTTTTTCAACATCTGGGAAACTGACCTAGATAAAAGAAAATATATATATAGATTAGCTCCAGTTGCAAGGGACCCACCTGCTGTGGGTTCCTAGACAGACTAGGAAATACCTCCTTCATTCCCGCAAAGAGAGAGAGATTGTGCATCACTCTTAGGCAAGATCACTTTCTCAAGAGGAATTGGTGAGACTTTACTATAGAAGAGTCAGTGTGGTGTGGGGCAGGGGGAAGGGAACCTCAGGTCTTGGGGCCCAATGTGACCTCCAGGTTTATCGGGTCCTTGGGACCCTCCTCCCCAGGACACAGCCCTCCCTGACCCACACCCTGCCTTAGTGCCTCTGCCTGGCAGGAATGTGCCCTTGAACTGCAAATGGCTCTTGTTGTCTGGATGGAGGGATGTGTGTGTCTATGGAGGAAAGCGAGTGATGGGTGGACTGAGGAGGCTGGGCTTCAGATCCTGGTTTAGCCATGAAGATCACGAGGTGCCCTGGCCTAGCCACCATCTCTCTTCCTGATCTCTAACACAGGGTAAAATGGGATGAAATCATTTGTGCTTCTTGAAGGAAGGGCACATTACAACTGTGAACCATGAAAGAGAGGACAATTTGGGTACTTGGTGCAGGAAGGAGCACTGTAAAATTCCCAGCATTTTTTTTAAAAGCAGGTTGCAATATTTAGCAATACGAGTTCTCAACAGTTGGCTACAGTACAGTGGTACCTCGGGTTACATACGCTTCTGGTTACAGACTCCACTAACCCAGAAATAGTACCTTGGGTTAAGAACTTTGCTTCAGGATGAGAACAGAAATCGCGAGACGGCAGCGGGAGGCCCCATTAGCTAAAGTGGTGCTTCAGGTTAAGAACAGTTTCAGGTTAAGAACGGACCTCCAGAACGAATTAAGTACTTAACCAGAGGTACCACTGTATTTCAAAGTGTATGCCATAACATTCCGCCAGCAATGACAAGATGAACCACCCACGATTCCACTTCTTCACCACCAGCTAAGAGAGGTCTCAACTCACTCTTTAAAACTTTTAAGATTATCGCTAAAACAGCAAACCTGAACTTAATTCAGCGTATTCACGTATAGAGCTGTGTTGCTGCTGACTTGGAAACCTCCAACACACCAGATTCCCTTTAACACACACAATTGACTGACGTTACGCTCCACACAACAGACTCATGAACAAACAGGAGGGTTATCAGGAAAATATGTCACTGAATATAGGCAGAGCTCCAGATGGGGGATCATGAGCCTGGAGTTCAGACCCTTGGACCATATTATGAGACAGTTCTGCACTTAGTCATTGTCTATCATGTCAGCTGTTTGGTGGAGTGATTTTGGGGGAGGCAGAACTCAAAGAGGACCACAAGGCTGGAGTTCAGACCCTGGGCTGATAGGATGAGCCATTGCCACACTTAGTCATCGTCCATCCCCATGTCAGCTGTTTGGTGAAGCAATTCTATCTTTGACCCTGCATTTTCTTAATCCGCTTGCTCAGAATTGAGTGGGGTGGAATTGAAGAGGAGCGGCTGCAAGAGATTCTTTGAAATCCTGCAGGGCGGGTGGGTGATGGGGGACATAAGGAAAGCAGCTGATCATCAGGCCATGGTTATCAAGCACACGCCCGTCCTCTTCCTCAGGAATCATGCTACTGGCAGCTTGAGCACAGCCTGCAGTTTCTTAGAGGGTGTGAGCCCTCTGCTATGCGCAAGTATATATGCGCAAGTGAGAGAGAGAAGAGAGAGAAGGAGGAGAGGCCTGGCACATTACAGACAGAGGCGAAGGAAGGTCAGGTGGTACCCAGTATGGAAAATTTCTTGCCACCCCCCCCATTGATATATATATTTTTGCCTGCAAAAAATGGTTTTACGTTATTTCATATTTTCTTACAAAGGAATGATAATAATGATAATAATAATAATAATAATAATAATAATAATAATAAATCAACTTTTATTTATATCCCGTCCTCCCCGGCCAAAGTCGGGCTCAGGGCAGCTAACATCAAATACAAAACATTGGTGTAAAATCAAACAATAATTAAATTACCTCCTAAAAAACACGTCAAAATCAAATTAAAGTCTAATTAGATGGCTTTCCACAGGGTTAGGGTTGGGAACAGTAAGTGCTCCACTGAATTGAAATTTTAGCCTTCACGACATAGGAAAACGGCCAAGTAAACAGCTATTTTCATGGAGAAGGGTCACGATATTAACAGATATGCATGAAATTTCAAAAATAGCTATATAATCCCTAGTGTAGTATGATAAGACCTTTGGAGCAGGCATTTTCAAAAAAAAGTTTTTTATGAACCGCCCTAGTAGGGCAGTTAATTGTTCCTTGATAATTTGTCACCCCCCTCCAATGATGGAACCTGAGAGCCCCCCCCCTTCCTCCGCCCCCGATTACAGATGCCCTATGCAGAGCTCAGTTGTTAGTAGGAAATAGGTGAGGAGCCTGTGACTAGATTGTCGCATGAAACTAAGCAGACACATATGAACCGAATTGGAGGAAATTGCCACTCACTAAGGTCATCACTGGAGGCCCTCTTATGTGCTCCATCAATCTGTGTGGCTGGGATCAGAGAGAAAGACGGAGCTTCTGAACTCCCTCCCCAGAGGGACTCACCTTGCCTCTTTTCTTTCTGCCAGGTGGAAAAGACCTTTCCTTTCAAATGATAATGATGTATGCCTAGGGTTCCTGGACATACCCGGAATACTGCAGTTGGTAGCAGTGTCCAGGTAAAAATTGGTGAGATGTCCTGAAAAATCTGAATTTCCACAAATATGGTAACCCTATATATAGAGGGACACGGGTGGCGCTGTGGTGTAAACCACTGAGCCTTGGGCTTGCGATCAGAAGGTCAGCGGTTTGAATCCCCGCAATGGGGTCAGCTCCCGTTGTTCGGTCCCTGCTCCTGCCCACCTAACAGTTCGAAAGCACGTCAAAGTGCAAGTAGATAAAATGGCGGGAAGGTAAATGGCGTTTTCGTGTGCTGCTCTGGTTTCGCCAGAAGCAGCTTAGTCATGCTGGCCACATGATCCAGAAAATGCCACAACCCCAGAGTTGTTCAGACTTAGCTGTCAGGAGTCCTTTACCGTTACCTTTTTAACCCTATATATGCCAGCCCTGCTTTAACCTTCTCTGATTGTGTCTTGTTAATGCTTGTTAATGCTAATGTCTTCCTGCTGTTGCTTTAGTTAAACAGGATGCTAGGATCGTAATGGTCTTTCCCAGCTTCTGTTTTATGATGCCTCAGTCATTGTGAATGATATCTTATTCTACTGCTCTTGTTCTGCTTTTTTGAAAAAAGTATCTGGTTATTTTCTAAAAAACTGAATTTAAAAATACTAATGCGAACAAGAAAGCAAATGGAAAATTAATTTGTTCCCCCAATTTTATCTTCTCCATTCCCAAAAGGTGAACTTCAAAGACACGACAACTCCTCATTCTCAATGGCTCACACCGAACAGAGTGATCTGACACTTTCATATAGCAAGTACATGTTATTTTGGGGCGCAGTATCACAGGAAAAGCACATCATTTCCAGCAAACTTGATACCGGTAAGTATGAGAAATCTTTTTGTTTGTTTGTTTTAAGCTATAGATGCATTTGAGAAGTTTCATAGGAGAATGGTGAAAATACATGGCTGAGATATGAATTAGCATCAGGACTTGTAGATGCACACACACAAGAATGCATCCTGCTGCCTTTTTTCTTCAACTGTGAAGAAAAGCTTAAGTACACATGAGTAAGGTTGCACCTGATGAAGTCCACAGAAATTCCAGTGTTGGGGCATGTATGTAGGAGAAGAAACAGCCCCGGACCTCCTTGCCTAACACTAGAAGTCTCCCACACCCTGCCGCTATTCCACAGCGCATTCCTCTTCAAAGTCTGGCCCAAACTCCTTTTTGTCCCCCTCAGAGATTTCTATTTTTTTAAGTGAAGATTAAAATGAATGAGGAACTAGCATGTGGAAGCAAAGCAAATTCCTTGACACAGAATGTGGATCACAGTAGTGCAGAAATTGAGGTGTCCCTATCTCCGGCACAGGAAGCACAAAGCTTTCAATTACTCAAGTAAAAATTGTTGTGGGTTTTTTTGGGGGGTGGGGGGAGAACAAGCAAGCAGATGTCAACCTTTGCCTCCCTCTTGACATGATTTTTAAAAAGCTATTGTATAGAATGGTAAAGACTGAGTTTTCTTGTCCATGACTACCAAGGAAGTACAAGCTGAAGTAAAAATAAAAAATCAAAAATCAATTGTTCCACAATTGTGACAATCATTAGGCAATGAAGGAGTGCAGACTTCATGCAATGCTGGAAAAACAGATTATAAAACAACAATGGATGAATTAAGTCTGCCTCATACAGAGAGAAAGAAATGATGGGATGATACCAGAAATCTGCTTCAGTGGCGCAGAACAACTCCTGCCTCTCTGCAGACACCTGCTCTCTATTACTCCCACTCAGCTAGGCTTTTGCACTCCTGTGCGGTGCCTGGTTCACTGCAGCCAACTTCAGTTAAATTGCCATGGTAACTAACACAAACAGGAATGGCCTAGCACAACAAGGCCACAACCACAAGCTCCACCACCCTTAGTCGGAAACCCACAGCCAGTGAAAATGAAAGTGGCCAGTTTCCCCCACCCACTCCACTTCCGTGTAATTTCAGATTATTTTTTAGAACTAGGACTCGTGAACCCTATATTTTGGTTTCCAAACAGTTAAAGAATAATGTTCAAAGTATTAGAAGCAAACCACAACTGGGGGTGGGGAAACAGATATGTTGCCTTACTCATTCAGATTTACCTGGAGCCACCTATTTTGCACCCAGATCCTGAACTCTTTCATTCTTGCTCTCTGCTTTTGATACAACAGGCATGAATAAGAAAAGTGTGGACTGATGTGTGAAAGACCCAGCTCAATTCCCCTCCACCCCACGCAAAAAAAGTTCACTGTTGGTCTGGAGAAGAGCTCATATTTATTCCGTATTTACATTCCACTGTAGCCTTGAAGCAGCTCACACAATTTTTTACACCATTAAGAAGGTCAAGAAATCAATGTCAAAAGAAGAGTTTGCCCTAAACCAGGGATGGTGAACTTTTGGCCAGCCAGACGTTGCTGGGAACCCTGGCTGTTGACCGACAGTGCAACTTACAGTGCAAGCTGGGACTAGTGGGAATTAAGAGTCCAACAACAGTTGAAGGGCCATGTAGGTCCCCCATCTCTGCCCTAAACCTTCCACAAATAGCACCCCACACCAGCAGGGCCCTCACAGAGGGGCAAGGCGCAGAGTTTCCCATCAGGAAGTGGTCCTCTGGTCAGTGGATGGGAGCTCCGGGCTGTCCTTCAGCTCCTTCTGTAGTCAGCTGCAATGGGGGTTCTCCCCAGGAAAGAAGAAATAAGAAGGAGCAAGCTGGAGAGTCAAGCTGGTATCTAAGGCAGTGGTGCATTTCCAGCCCAGAGGACCTAATTTATATCAGACAGGTCAGACACAGAACAGCGTGGTGATTAAGAATACAGTGCAAAAGCTGAGTTCCTTTTTATTTATCTTTAAATAGCTCTCATGCCGACTCCCAGTCTGCCTTTTTGAAAAAGCATATGGATTGTAACTGGGAGAGGCTATGTGGCTCTGTCAAAAGTGGTTGTGGGTCTTATTTCCACTGCTGCCTAAAATGTACAGATTTTTTTAAATGATGCTTTGAGGACTCCAGTTGAGATAAACTAAATCAGTGCTTGGAGAGCACACTGATAACGGTCAGAATAGTCCATACTGGGTCAGATCACTGGTCTTTAACTGGTGGGTCAGAACACACTGCCAGGTCACAGGAAGGAGGGGGAGGGTTGGAACAGCAGCACAACTCCCATATGTCAAAGAATTAAGAAGCCCCCCCCCCCCCATGCAGGCTTGAGTTAAAAGCAAGCCCCAGTTTGAAGACCTTTAAGACTACTGGGCTAGATGGATGGTATTCAGCATCAAGTACCTTCATGACTCAGTATAGTAGTTTCATGTGCTCCCAGGAAAATGGGCAAGGGGAGGTGGGGAAGAGAATGTGAAGAGGGCAGCAGAGATTCAGTCCCTTTTGCCCACCTGGGGAAGCTGTATCTCTCCAATATAAGAAAAGAGGTTCTCCCTTGTGAGTGCTGTCCCATCACGGCCCCTGAATGTACAGCAGCTACTCGAGGTCAATTTGTTCTCTATAATATTGTCAAGAGGAGAACTAGGACGGGAGCAAGTCAATAGACGCCTTTATCCTCTGGACAAAAGGGACCTTATGTTCTGCTGCGTGGGCGTGAGGCCTCCAGGAGTACACAATGCAAGCAGCATGGCCAGCCAAACTTTTAAAAAGGAGCCTGCGTGCATCCACTTCTCTGGCTGATTATGCTCCTCGCTCTTATCCCAGCTGCCAGCTGGGGGAGTACAGTTGTTTTTCGGGCTGTCATCCATGCGCCTGCAGTAATTTCTCTCTCTCTTTTAGATCTATAGAGCAATAGAAGAAAACCACACTGTCCTTGGGCGAGGGAGGAGCCAGCAATCCTGGCTCCTTAAGCCAGAAGGGAACATCCCTGGGCAGCTGTTTCCGCTTCCTCTCTGTGCAGAGAAATAGTAAGGTTGCAGGCGGGGGGTGGGGTGGGGATAGGAAAGAGAGAAAAGACCAAGGACAGAAAGGCTTTTTACAGCACTGCTTGTTTAAGATAACCTAACACCCTGCTGCAGACATTCAAGGACAGATGATACAACTGCAGCTCAAAGCCAAGCCATCTGCATCACCATACAAGCCCACAATGCTTATTTCTCAATAGCTGGGTGATTTATTTTAACTCAGTGGTTTTGTACCCAGTTTACCCACTTCCTCCTTCCATAGTAATCAGGGCTCTGTTATTTCTGTGCTGTGTGTGTGTGTGTGTGTGTGTGTGTGTGTGTGTTTTGGTTTTAAGATACATCATATTTGCATGCATGCACGCCAGATATGTGCCACTATTGGGCACAGCTAAACACACCAGACGGTGTGCAACACCCGGAAGGGAGAGTGTGTTGAAAATACGCTTGTGTTGCAGATGGCAAAAGAGGCATTAAGTGCACAAGATTAAGGAAATGAAAAACAGGAGAGGGTCAGAGGTCTTCGTAAAGGATTGTAGAATGTTTGTTTAAAGAAAATACTGTTGAACTACTGATATAGAAGTGGGAAAGGGAGATACGAGGGTTACGGATGGGGGGGCTGCCAGACATTTACCCACATGCTTCTTGATAGCGGCAAGATCCTCCTTGGCAGTAAGACTAGCACTTTGGAAATAAAACACCCAGACTTTTGCCACGGGGATGAACAGGGTCAGCATTAAAAGGCGCTCTCTTCTCGACAGTGGTGCAAGATGATTCGCATGGGGAGTTTGGAATGCACTGATTTTCTTGTTAAGTCCCAGATCATGAAACACAGTCAGGGACCGGCCCACCTATGAGACAATTCATACCCCCTCCTTGCTCCTGATGTAGACCTTCATTCTCCCCTTCTTCCCTGGCAGGAATGGAGGAGGGGCGCCATTTTGTGGTTCGCCTCAGGTGCCAAAATGTATTGGGCTCATCCTGAACACAGTATCCACAGTTTTTGGGTACTGTGTGAGATGAACTGGTGGGACACCCTGTTCCCTATCTGTGGCACATGCAGAGGCAGATAGGAAGCCAAGCACATGACAACAGCTCTCTTCCATTATCTTTAAACGCTTTCAGAAAGATGGTAACTGTCTTTCAGTGTTCAGTGTCTTTCAGTGTTGCTATAGGGGCTGAGAAAGAAATAACCCTGGATATCAAAGCCGAATCCCAACAGAATTAAAGTATCCCCTCTCTCCTTATTTATATTTATTGAGAAATATTTATAGCCTCACCTACTCACCAAAGTTCTCAAGGCAGCTGTAGCCCCAGTTCAATACACCCTAAAACAGACAACAGTACAATACACAAAGGTGTGCATATATAAATCTGACCCCCAGTTCCCCCAGGTGGAAAAGGGTCCCCCCACAGCTTAGCAAGATTTGGAGAGAGCAGGCCAGGGGGGTGAGAGAAGGACTGTTTTCTGTCACCTCAGAGCACCTGATTAATGTGTTATTCTGATTAAACATGAGCCAAAGGCAGAAAGCACACAGAGAAGCAGTGAAGAGAGGAAGGGCCATCTGCTTCTGGGAAAGGAAACTAAGCAACCCTCAAGCAAAGGGATAGCAAGCCGGATGGGCTAAAGCCAGCCTGGAGCTCCATCAACCTATTTATACCGGAATAATGCAGAATCAATGCATGACGCTCAATAAGTATAAAAAGCACGCGGTTAAAATCAAGCCTCGTTCCTTTTCTCGTAACACACATACACAGAGTTCCCACTGTGGATTTGAGTATCACTTGGGGGACACATTGTTCTCCAAAAGCTCACCACTTGAAAAGAGTAGGTCAGTTTGTAGGCATTCCAGCCAAACATTTCAAGCATCAAGCTGCAACACCTGCTCCTAAATGGGTGGTGAAGAAGAGGAAGAGGAAGAAGAAGATGAAGAAGAAGAATTTTGGACTTGATATCCTGCCATTCACTCCCCTTAAGGAGTCTCAAAGCGGCTAACAATCTCCTTTCCCTTCCTTCCCCACAACAAACACTCTGTGAGGTGAGTGGGGCTGAGAGACTTGAGAGAAGTGTGACCAGCCCAAGGTCACCCAGCAGCTGCATGTGGAGGAATGGGGAATCGAACCTGGTTCACCAGATTACGAGTCCGCCGCTCTTAACCACTACACCACCTGGGTTAACACAGCTGAGTGCCAACTCTCAAGCACACAGGCAAATACATCCAAAAATGCATGTAGCTTACAAAGTGTTCTGACTCGAGCACACATCTCTGTTTGCCATTTTTCCCTTGAAAGAACAATTATTATTTTTTAGTAAGAACATTTGCAAAGCTTCTCTACCTGGTTGGCTGGAAGCAATCCTTACTCCTCATAGGCAAGCAGCTACTTAAAGGCTACCCTCATGTTAATTCCTCCTTGCGTGCATGAATGGCGTGTGTGGCAAAAGAGCAACACAGAGACAGGGAGACACACCCCACTTGAAGAGTCAGGCCACTGGTCTATCTAAAGCAATACTGTCTGCACAATGCCTGGCAGAGGCTCTCCACGCTTTCAGACAGGAGACTTTCAAATCATCCCAGGGGGTGCCAGCAATTCAAGACAGGACCTTCTGCACACAAAGCCGGTGTTCTACCACTGAGCTGTAACACCTCCTCTGTGAACTCGGATGGCAGAGGTCTAGTTTGTATGTGCAGGAGAATCAAGCAATAGAGCCTTTCCAGATTGTGCCACCCCGAGCTGCAGGTGGGCATCTGCATACTTGAAAGTTGCCCCGTAAAATAGAAACAATTTGCTCATAGAAAAACAATAGTCCAGGGTCATTTCTCTACAACACTTGTGTGCTGTCCCAGGCTCCCAGAGCCAGGGTGTACTTTTAAGACTTTTAAGACTTTTTAGTTGAAAATGGAATGTGTGCCCTAAAATACAATCCCCCTGTGGCTGCATATTATAATAGGCAGATCAGGAGTAGAAGACAAGCTGTTTTTCAGTTAAGCCTGTCCATTAATTATCTTCTCACTGGGAAAATACCAATAAGTTTCCAAAAACCTCAGAGTTTGCTAGAATAAAGTATTAAAAAACTGCTATAGTATTTCATAAGCCAAACCTGGGAATAGACTAACATGCAGCAATTTCTCTCTTCCCTCTTCTCCAACTTAACACACAACAGCCACAAGCTTTCTCATTGCATTCAGGCAGCAGCACTTTATTCTGTTTTCCCGACATTTCCTCACCTGAACATTTTCATGTTGTGTGTGTGATCTTTCACACAACATACAAACCACTTCGGGAAAACTAGCAGAGTCTATCAGGAGTTTAGCACTCATTTCAGGATATTTGCTTTCCTCCCCCAACCCCCCACCCCAACATTTGCAACCCTGTTAACCTGGAAAATCACTAGGAGTTTTTACGTTGTAATTTCAAGCAATGAAATTTCATGCAATGTTCAGCATATAGTTATTTCACATCATTTAAAACTTAGTGTGACATGGTGGCATACATCAGTCAAAGAGCCACTGCTCCATAAAGCAACAGGCAATGCAGTGTAGAAGGAAGGTTAGAATCCAGGATAGAAAGCGTTAGTATTATAATCAGGAAAACTAACACAATAATTCCCATGTCTGAATGCACCCACTGATTAGTTATGAGATACAAAAGACATTTTGACCCAGTGAAGCCCTCGCTAACGGAAGGGGAGGGCAATTTTATCTATCTCCAACCCCCCCCAAACAGCCCCTCCTACTGCCCCCCTCTCTCTTTTTTTTTAGAAATAAATATTTACCGGTAATTGTCTGTGGTCTCGACTCTTACTACCAACTACTACAGATGTTATTCGAATGCTACAACAGAGTTTAGACTGCGACAACTGTTTTTCAAATATATTTTAACTACTTCTCACTTTGAAATAAATACATGTTTTGGTTTATTTTTCATTTTTTCAGATAGATTATCCAACTACGCATATTCAACCAGTTTTTGAGTCCATTCTGTCCTTGAAGGAACTTTGTCACTATTCCAATTTGATGCAGTAAGCATCCTGGCGGCCACTGTGGCATAAAGGAAGATCTCTCTTACGTTTTTAGGAATATCCGAATCTATGATTCCCAATAGGAAGGCTTCTGGTTTTTTCAAAAAAGGAACATTTACTCCTACTGCCTCTTAACCCTCCAGAGCATATTGCAATGGTTGTGGGGGGAATGACAGGAATTGCAGGTGGGAGGAACTGGGATAAACGGCCTTCCCTCACCCTTCTGGGTCAAAAGCCCTTTCATGAACCAAAAGAGTGTTCTACAGTTGCTTAATACCTCTCAGCATGAGAGACTGAACCAGTATAGAAAAGGGACCTCCCTGGGTGGGAAAGCAGTGGGACAAATGAGAAGTTGCTGCTTTCTAGGCACAGGACAAGTAGAAGAGTGGATGAGCTGGCTGTAAATTATTCTTTTATGCTAACAAAGGGCTTTGTTGGTGGAGGAAGGGTAGGGGATGAGAGAGAACTGTGGGTGCAACTTCCACTTCATCCATTTTGTTTAGTTATAAATTATATTTATATGTGGAATTTTATTGTGTTTGTGTGCTTGATTTGTATATCTCATCTTCTTCTCTAATACTTAAAAGAATATTGTGCTTTATTGTTAATGATAAGGTGGATTATTTGCATCTGAGTCTCCCTTGTGATGTTTTGTTTTGATTATCTTGCAATGTTCTACTACTTGATTACTTAAGCCTGCTGAGAGATTCCCTTGGAAATGTGAAGTATAGAAATGATCTAAATAAATAAACCTGGTATACTTAAATTGCCCACCAAATTTTGGCAACCAGCTTGGTTGCAGTGAGAGAAATAACCCAACTAAATGCAACAGTGCAATGCTGAAGATGGTTCACAAAGAGTGCATCCCACCCTCCTCCTTTTAACTCTGCCCCATAGCTATTAAAATAAATAGAAAGTTTGCCCAGGTCCACTTCCAAACCGGCTGGGCTTGTTCTGGGACTGAAGAACTTGTCAAGATGTTTGCTTTCCTAAGTGAAGAAACTTGAACTGAACATACAAGTAGCTTTTGAGGTTAACAAATACTGTGGTTTTTCAGGATATCATGCTTCAACTCCTGTATCAACTACCTAATATTGTTCTGGGCAAGTTGTTTCTGGCCACCTCCCCATGTTGCCTCGGGACAGTGCACTGTAAGGCGATAGCAGCAAGGAGATAAAAGCCACGAGATGAACCGTTCTTGCAGTTTGGGGTCTGTGGTCATATGCCTGCGCTGGTCACCACCGCAAGTACCACAAATGCACCAGAAGCAGATGCTCGACTCAGTCCGCTTTGCTACGTGCAGAAGGAAATCGATTTTTGCAGAGACTTCAGCTGCAGTGCCACCTGACAATATTAGATCACTGGATATGTGGTGTGGGCGGGCCTGCTGGTGGGCAAACATCTGCCTTCCTCACGCAGTCATCTCACAAAGGAGAACGGCAAGACCGCTGCCGCTTCAGGCTTTCTCAAATTCAGAAAGTCAAATGACCTGAGCAGCCCATGACTAAGAACAAACAACAGACTTAAGTATATTTGCTAAAAACTGCTGGCCGTCACAAAAATACAGACCTAATGGAGAGATGTCTGATCCACGGGCTGCTAGAGGAAAACATAGAAGCCTAACAGGGCACCCGAGGCAGACCCCAAAATGACGCCCCCCTCCCTCCTTCCAGGGAAGGAAGAGTGACGGACGGTTTACATCAGGAATAAGGAGGGAAGGAAGATCAACTTCAGGATCTGCTGCCCCTGTGGATTCTACCATCTGAGGCAGTCACTTCACTTTGCCTCATAGGTGGGCCGGCCCTGAAACCCAATATAATTTATCCCCATTAACCCATAAATAACAAGCTTTCTCCCTACCATGCCATCATAAAATGAAAGTGTCTGAAAGGCCTCTTTCAAAAACCTATCCCTAGGGGAATTATACAGGGAACAATACAGTACATAGCAAACAATATATTCCACCCCCGCCCCCCCTTGGCAGCAATGCATAAACACTTTTTAGGTATTCAAACACATCACCTCTCTGAACATGTTGTAGTGTGCAGGCATACTGTGGCACATCAAAGAGTAAATGTTTTCTTTATTCCACTGACAGATCATTCCATAAACTAATCTGGCAGATTTCGCAGAACATAACAATGGAACATTGCATCGTTTGAAGATAACGTCTACTTAACAGTCCCATTACACCAACAGCCCCAGTCTAGTTTTCTTTCTTTTTTATTGCAACAGATTTGCAGTTAAAGGAGTTAACAGCCTTAATAAGCATATTGGGAATCAGTCCCTACTTAACTGTAAGGGCTTTGCATTTGTTGGTTAAATTTTGTACAGATTTTTCAGAAATTTGTTCCACCCAACTATTCTCCCACCACGGCCGGAAACTGCATATGCTGTCATTTCAGCCAGTACAAAACAAAACACAATATGATCTCTGGACAATACTGAAGAAAACCCACCCTCAAATCTTATGGTGGCAACAGGAGTGCCAGGTGGTTGGCTCACAAGCTGTGACAACCATTGCCTAGCTGCATACTTCTGTATCACTTTGTGGAACGATTATCCCCACAAAATATATTGAGTAGTATACAACTAACTACTCTAGTTCGGTTTGCACAGGGATTTTGCTTGCGTGATGGAACTCCCCCACCTCTCCCTCCAGGTCTGTTCTGGGGGTTCCCCCAAACTTCTGGAGCAGATTTGCAGAGGACACAGGGCACATGTGGAGAGAGAAAGCAAAGAGAAGTCCATTGTGCAAGCAGAAATCTTTGCACTGATGGAATGAGTTAGGTGGACACTGCCCTTTAAGTGAAGGAGGCACTAAAATTACCTACTCACAAGGAAGCAACTGAAATTCCCCTTGCCACGCACTCCTGACCCCTCCGCAAGATGTTTTTACCCCAAGGGGATCCAAGGCAAAAGCAGCAAGTGGAAGGGGAGGGAAGAGTTCAACTGGAAGTGCAACTTGCATGGGAATGAATTCATCCTGCGAATGAATGCGCTCTGAACAGCCCCCAGAGCACTGCAAGGCAGAAGGGGGCTTGGGGGCTCCATACACACAAGTGACAGTGAAATGAATAGCTTACCTCAAAGTCACTCCTCATATACTGTAAATTTGTACTCACATTCACTAAGCAAGTATATTCCTCCTGGTCCAAACAAGCAACACCCCCCCCCCCGCCCCACTGAAGGACCTGCCTCAGTCCAAGGTTGCAATCACTGAGAAAGCCACGCAATGTCTCCTTTATTTTTTAAAGACATTCAGTGTGTCTCAATGAAGTTACAGGAGTGTTTCTGCTATCTGATCTTTTATTTTATATATTTATTTTTACAGTCCATCTTTACTGCCAGGAGCACAAGGTGGTAGACAGGTCTCCCCCCCCCATTGTCATTTTATCCTCACAACAAGCTTGTGAGGTAGGTTAGGCTGAGAGAGTGTGTGACTGGCCTAAGGTCACCTAGTAAGCGGCATGGCTGAGTGGGGATTTGAACCCTGGTCTCTCGGGCCCTAGGCCAACACTCCAACCACTGCAGCAGACAGGCTCCCTTTCACCCTGGTTACCATTTACAAGACTAGTGACTAAGCCATGGGTAGGCAAACTAAGGCCCGGGGGTCGGATCCGGCCCAATCACCTTCTAAATCCGGCCCACTGATGGTCCGGGAATCAGCATGTTTTTACATGAGTAGAATGCGTGCTTTTATTTAAAATGCATCTCTGGGTTATTTGTGGGGCCTGCCTGGTGTTTTTACATGAGTAGAATGCGTGCTTTTATTTAAAATGCATCTCTGGGTTGTTTGTGAGGCATAGGAATTCATTCCCCCCCCAAAAAAAATATAGTCCGGCCCCCCACAAGGTCTGAGGAACAGTGGACTGGAAACGTTTGCTGACCTCTGTACTAAGCTGTTATCATTTACAAGACTAGTGCCACATTTGTAATGTTTTACACTGCTCAGATAATGGAGCACTTTGCAGTTTATATCAGCCACCTTGAGCTTCTTTTCACCACGCCAGGGCATAAATAGGCAAAAAGCAAAGCCTACTTGGGTCCTTCAGGCCCTGAGTCACTCTGCACTGAACTCTGCCACCCTATTCCAAGTGGAAGTCTTTTAGGGAGGAGGGACAGGGTCTGCGTGCAAAGCACAGGTCACAGTGAGACCCTTGAACACGGTTGGCATATTCCTAAGCCAAATGTCTCCGGTATCTGACTCCATACAGAAAGATGTGGGTACATCGTTTCGATGGGGTTCATCTAACGGCTCGCTAGTTCCTGTAAACACAGCTCACACGGACTCAGAAGCGTTATTCATTTCTTCTTAAAGAAGCTTAGCTGCCAATGGCAGCATCTAGCTCAGAAGGTCTTCAAAAAAATGGTAGGAAGATGCCAGACCGGCTTATATTTAGAAGCTCCCTTCGACAGCCTGCCCCAAATGCGACACCCACTATTCTTAATCGTGTGGCCCTAAAATGAGCAGCAGCAGCATTTCCTGTACAGGAGAAAACAGAGTGAGGAGTAGGTGGTGAGTCAGACAGAAGCATTCCCCAAATGCCAGTGCTGCTAGGCCTGCCGAGACAGATTCTGTGGCACAGAGAAGGGGATCTTTTTCCTATACTGTGAGATTTCTGATCTGCTTAGACAGGCACCTAACAGGATCTAAACTACCAGCCTTGCCATACACTTCGGTAACAGCCACCTGCCTGCTTGCATGTGACCAAAAATAGCCTCCAGGCAATCTGGCAGGGAGGTTCTCATAAAATTAAAAGAGTTGGCCCATTTTTTAAATCTTTCAGGCCATCTATGCTACAAATAGCAAAATAATATATGTATATGTGGGCAGACAAGCTCATTAAAAAAAGGGTGACCTAGTAACTTTGGGGGACTTGCTTGCAAAACTGTGTGTATGTGTGTCTGTATCAGCACAAACATTTTGGCTTGCCCAACAGAACTACCTCCCTTCTACTCTTACGTTCTGTTATGGGGGTTCTCCTAACCCCAACCCCCAGATCTGACCGAGGGCATGCAAGGGGAGGAGATGGGAGGAGGCCCTGTGAGGCTAGCAGGAGCCCTTGCACTGACCCCAGTTAGCAGCTGAATTTGACCCCTACTTTAGATAGTTGTGCTATTTAAAACCACAATTCTTACTCATTCCATGCAACTCAGAAGGCTATAATATCAATTTTAAAAACCTTCCAACTTCCCCTTAAAGTATCCAACTCTTTGGCACAAAGGCTATTTGGAGACATATCTGAGATTTTCTAAACTTCTGATAGTGGAGATTATTTTTCTGAATTAAAATTGGAGGCACTGCTCCATGCTTACTGCTGAAAAGATTTACCGGTATTTTAACAGTTTAAAAATAAGAAACCATCTGGTCAAAAGAGTCACATCCACTAGGTATGCTCCCTGACTGGAAGCAAGAAAGCCCACAGAAGTGACTCATGGAAATAGGAAATATATTCTCTGCAAGGTGGGCAGGCAAAGAAAGCACAGGTAACTCAACTGGATCATTGCAACGGACAGATAATTGCTCTCTTCAGAAAGGGAGCCCAGTTGGGTGGAGGCGTGTCCAGAGCAGTGAGTTATGCAGATATACAGCAGGCAGGTGAAGCTTTAGGAGCCTTGAGTATTAAATCAAATGCTACTGTATTGGGCCGAATATAAGCTGCACCTGAATATAAGCCGCACCTTTAAAATGGGGGAAGAATAAACAGAAAAAATACTCAAATATAAGCTTCTCCATTCCTCGCTGCTCCTGGCTGCATACCCTTCCCGCCTTGGGGGAGAGGAGTGGGGACTATGCGTGCGTGGGGCAAGGCACCGCTTTGCCACGCTCCTGCCGCTGTTTGCCCCACACTTCTGGCTGCATACTGTAAGGTTGCAAATATAAGCCACACTTTAACTTTTCATGATCAGAATTTGGGGGGAAAGTGAGGCTTATATTCAGGCCAATACGGTATTTCTGATGGCACACCAGCAAATCTCATCCAGTTACTGGTTCTTCAAGGTTCTGCAGTTAAGTGAAACAACATGCAGCCTCCTGGTTCAATCTTGGAACAGGGAAGGTGTGGGTTCAGAAGACAGAAGGCGTTCAGAAGATAGAGTGCCTCCTGTTAGCTTTGGCTGGTGGCCCAGCTGCAACCCTATCTGGACAGGGATGGCCTAACTTTGTCTTCTGTGCTCTGCTAACTTCTAAGTTAGATTACTGCAACACATTATACATGAGGGTGGCGCTGAAAACGGTTTGGAAACTTCAGCTAGTGCAGAATTCAGCAGCCAGGTTGCTCACTGGGGCAAGACGGTTTGAGCATATTACACTGATCCTGGCGCAACTGCACTGGCTGCCAACTGGCTTCTGGACCAAATTCAAAGTGCTGGTTTTGACCTATAAAGCCTTTAATAGTTAAGGACCACAAGACCTCAAGCACCGCCTCTCCCCATATGAACCAGCCCAGATGCTGTGATCATCCTCTGAGGCCCTTCGTCATGTCCCGCCCCCTTCTGGAATGCTCTCCCCAGGGAAGCTCACCTGGTGCCTTCATGGCATGTCTTTAGGCACCAGATGAAAACATTTCTCTTCAGCCAGGCATTCAGCTGATTAACATTCTATGGCTTTTTAAATATGTTTGTAGGAGAGGCTTTGTTTTTCATTTTTTTATTATGTATTGTGTGTTCTCATTTTGTATTTTAATGTTGCGAACCACCCTGTGATCTTCAGGTGGAGGGCAATATCCATATTTAATAAATAATAAAACAATATTAAATCCAGGTAAATAGGTCATTTTGGACAGACCCATGCTAATCCCAGCTTAGAGGAAAAATCCATCAGAGAAAGGATGCTGTCATATCTGCAAAGGGGCTTGCTGCCCAGATGAACTATTAATGCAGAGAATTCTTTGTGCGGCTGCCAGTCTCAGAACATTGTCTGACGAGCCTTATTTTTTTCAAAACATGCAAGAATGGTTTCCCTCTCCCCCACCCGCCCCAAAGTAAGATAATATCTTGCTTTCTGGTTTAAACACTCAGAACTCAATCTAGCTTCTTCCTATTAGCTGCAAAGGTTCAAGTCTGATCCAATTATCTCCTCTCTCTCTCTATCTCTCTCACACACAAAAATATTAGCAAGACAAAGATAATGCATCTCCACTTAAAAACACACAAGACATTTTGCAGGTTTTAAAGCTTCAGGGTTTCTCACAAAAGTGGATCCACGAGGAAAACTGACCAAAGAGAAAGGGGGCATTGCTACCCTAATTATTGCTGGGCCACAGAAAGGAGTACAGTGAGAGAGAGGGTGTAAGAGCTGGGGAAACACAGCGGTGTGGTGTGTGGGTTTGCAGAAGGAGACAGGAACGCAGTGGGTGGATCAGAACAGTAGGAGCTATGGGGTTGAAGAGCCAATGGGGGGAAAACAGAAGGGATGTAGGAAGCAGAGCCATTGAGGCTTGAGGAGTGAAATGTAGTAGCAAAACATGCTCTCATCACATTTAAGAAACGGTGCCAAGCTTCAATTGTATACGTATTTTTCGCTCTATAAGACGCACCAGACCACAAGACGCACCTAGTTTTTGGAGGAGGAAAACAAGGGGAAAAATATTCTGAATCTCAGAAGCCAGAACAACAAGAGGGATCGCTGCGCAGCGAAAACAGCAATCCCTCTTGCTGTTCTGGCTTCTGGGATAGCTGTGCAGCCTGCATTCGCTCCATAAGACGCACACACATTTCCCCTTACTTTTTAGGAGGGAAAAAGTGAGTCTTATAGAGCAAAAAATACGGTAGCTGGAAGTAAAACTAGTGGGATTTTGCTTCCAAGTAAATCTGAAGAGGTTTGGGCTGCACAACACCATAATCCTAAACCCTGCTCACTGGCAGAGAACATTTTTTCATGAAGAAGGTGCCAGGTTCAATCCCTGACATTTCCAGTTAAAAATACCAGATAAACACAGGGGTGGGAAACCTCACACCCAGTGGGCCAAATATGACTCTCCAAGCCCATCGACCTGACCCTTGGGACTCTCCCCAGACCACACACCCTCCTCCAGAGCCTCTCTGTGGCTGGAAGGCTTCCTTTAACTGCAATAATGCCTCTTAACTGCTGGGAAGGAGGGTGTGTGGATGAAATGTAGCCTATTGTAAAAAAGGTAAGTATCACCTCCACTGTTCTGTCCACTTTTCCTTCATGCCTCACCCACCATTGGAATGTGGTCCTGAGAAATCCCTGAGGGAATGAGGCACTTAGGCTGAAAGAGGTTCCCCACTCCTGAGGTAATAGGACCTTTCTCTATCCGAGACTCTGGAGAGCCCATGCCTTGCCACCCAAAACTGGTTTTGTGAGTTACCACTGTTTCTGCATTACATTTCCTTCCGGCCTCACTGTTTACAATTCCTCACATCCCCCAGAAAATACAACCTCAGGATAACACTTCATTCAACAGACTTCATAGAGGTGCCACATGACTATTGATTTTCCTGGAGAGTCAACTGTAGTAGATAATAGTGAGTTATGTGGACAATCTGGCCCAATATAAAGCAGCCTCCTCCTTTGCTGCTAAATGGTTCTTGGGCTGATATAAATTGCAACATGGAGTTAGGATGCCTTAAGGACCACCTGGGCTCTCCTTTCACAGCTTGTTCAGAGGTCATCCAGAAATGTGATGTTCGCTTTCCCCCAGTTACAAAGGCACAACTAGAGCTGACTCCATGCTGTGGGAACATGCTTCCAGCAGAGATTTAACACCCAGACACCCTTGCTTTTGACTTTCAGGCATCTCTTATAAAAGGCAAGTAAGCCAAAAGTCAATTCAAGCCACTTACTCCTAGGAATGAAACTTGCTTATTTTTAATGCAAGATTCCAGATGTTAGAACTGCAACCCAAAGGCCTCAGCAAATGAAGCTGGCCAAGCGCAGCAGTTCAAGTTCTGGGCATCTGTGAGCAAACTTAGGAGCCTGATGTCATCAGTGCAGCGACGAGCAAAAGCAGAAAACTCTCCATTTATGGCATGCAATGAATCGTTTTTATTTTCCACCACTAAGTGCACACGCACACTGTAACCACTCTTTCCTCACCACAGACACAGCCAACCTTCTAAAGTGTGATGGGGGAAAGCTGGTTTTGACTTCTTTCTTAACTCAGAAACAAAAATAAGTCTGCTGTTTTGCACAGACATTGTGCAGCACTAATTGATTTAAGGAAGATTCTTTCAGGCCCTGTGTCTCATCTTTCCACGTTTTAAGCTAGATAGGATTGCAGACATTCAATTTAAAGACAACTGACAGTTGTGTTATTGCACAGCACAGCATCACAAATCTCAGCTAGAATGACACCATCCTTAAGTTTTGCCGCCCCCGGATTATTAATTATAACAGGAAAAAGAATCAATTTTAGACTCTCTTTTTAATGTATTGCCCATGTTTACTGCTGTCTATTGTCAAGGGCTATTGTTATTATCCTAACAAAGTGAAGTCAGCGAGTTTCATGCAATATGAGAGCTTTGACAGTTTCACTACAGAATCAATTTCAAGGGACGATAAGCTTTCGAAGTACCTGGAACATGACCTTCTTTCCTGCTGAAAGCCACAGCCAAATGGACAAACCTATTCCATCTTTAACAGTTCTGCTCCCTCAGCAAGATACTAAAATATATCCACCAAGCCACTGTGGCTTCAATAGTTTCAGAGTCAGCAGTTCCACCTTCCTGGCCCTGGAGTTTGTTGTGCCCCAGTAGATCATCCTCTCAGTTTCCATTTCAAGGGTTCTCTGCATTCCACAACTCCATTTAAGAGGAGGCAACACGGCTACCTGCACCGCATTTGACAACTTGGAAATCTCAGTTTGTTTTTATAGGCTTCTGGTCCTCAATCCTACAAAGACAGAAGTATGCAGGTCGCCAACATATGGTAACATCTTTGCATCATCAAAACTGATCTTCACTTTGAAATTCCTTATTCCCCCCCTATTATGAACAGAAGTAACCAGGGCTGGCACCTAAGGCAAACCACATAATAGTGTCCCCTCGCTAGGGAATAAATATCCACATTGGGAACAAGGATGGGAAGAGCCCAGGAATGCCTCCTATTCTCCAAGAAGCTGCTGCAGAAGTGACATGGGGGGGGGAATGCCAAGGAGGAGGCAGAGACCCCAAGGAGCACATCACAGCTGCCAATGCCACTGCGGGAGAAGCAACAGGCAGGGTGTTCCTTGGAGGCTGGATCCGCTGCCCCATGGACCCTGCCACTTGAGGTGGCTGCCTCACCTTGCCTCATGGGTGGGAGGGCCCTGCAAGTAACACTAAACAGGTTACGTTATTGGCACAGGTTGGACATTTTAGCTTCTTTTGCCATAGAATCTGGATTACTTTGGCACAGAATTTTTATTCCAGTGCTCCCATTCCTGCCCATAACCATACTAGTCAATAGCTCTGAGGTACCCACTCCCCATCTCTTAGCTTCCCGGAGACCAAGGAAACTAGCACCCTGCTGCAAGTTCATTTGTCGCATCTATACTTTCAAGCAGAGAACGCTTGCTTATATCCCTATAGAATCAGGTCCTCTGTTGCCACTATGCAACAAAGCCATACTCGTTGCATCAGGCTGTAAAGAGAAATATTTCACTTTTCCATTTTCAGCAGCCACTGCAAAACTGGGTAGCTATCTTACCCAGGGACCTAACAGCAAGGCCATCTTTCAGTAGCGAGTACGTTTCTGTATCTCTTGTAAGATTTTCTTTCCTCCTTATCAGTAAGACACTGGGCTGAAGGGGGAACCTCAGCGCACTTCCTGCCACAACAGATTTTAACATGCTGCATCTCCACCTTATCTTATTTTACTCCACCCATCACATAGAAGGAGAATTGAGACTGATGATCAGGCACTAGAGGAATATGTTAACACAAGATCGGAAGGATGGAAGGTGATCAAGCAAAACATAATGGACAGAGTTTTTTTGTTTTTTAGCTTAAGTTCCAGCAGAGGAGAGTTAGAGGAGACAAGGGACAAGCAAGTAAAGCCAATAATAGGAGGCAAGGTGGTTTGGGAGTTATATTTGTTAATATAACTCAACCCTGTTAGGCATCTTTTGGCCACACCTACACTTTCCAACGGGTTAGGGTGGCGCTGTGGATTAAACCACAGAGCCTAGGACTTGCTGATCAGAAGGTCGGAGGTTCGAATCCCCGCGAAGGGGTGAGCTCCTGTTGCTCGGTCCCTGCTCCTGCCAACCTAGCAGTTCGAAAGCACGTCAAAGTGCAAGTAGATAAATAGGTACCGCTCCAGTGGGAAGGTAAACGGCGTTTCTGTGCGCTGCTCTGGTTCTCCAGAAGCAGCTTAGTCATGCTGGCCACATGACCCGGAAGCTGTATGCCAGCTCCCTCGGCCAATAAAGTGAGATGAGCACTGCAACCCCAGAGTCGGTCCCGACTGGACCTAATGGTCAGGGGTCCCTTTACCTTTACCTTACACTTTGCAACAGCACATTTAATTCTACCTTCCCACATTTAGGGCAATTTATCAGGGCTTTCCACATTGCGTTTTCTGCTGATGGAATGGGGCAGCTAGAAGTCTAGAATAAACACAGGAAAACTTGGGGTTGAATTAACCACTTCTCTTCATTTTTATAGGGCCCCCCCATTTTTTTCCCATACCTTCACATCTCTAGAGATGCCCACAAATACCATTAAGTTTGGACTGGGTGTTACAGAGCCGCAGGAGCTTGGAACTGAACAGTTGTTGTTTTCAGTGACCGTTAAGCATTCAGTGTGATGTGCAATCCCAGTTTCAGTTACAAAATATCCAATTAAAATGGAATTAAGGCAAGCCAGCATGCACATCGGCCATTGTTAGTGCCTAGCTGGAGACCTAGTTTAACAGTGTGACCCTTAGGACCAGCAAGGGTTGCAGCCCCTGAAGCAATATGGATCTTTCAGCTTGTGCACAGAGGTTTCAGGCTACAGTTAACCCAGGGCAAGTTCACAAGTTCCATTTGACAGCAAGAGCAGAGCTAAGGTATCACATTCCAAAACTGTCTCCCAATGTTAGCTGATTTCCTGAAGAGACAACATTCTATTCCATAATGCTGACACCAGCTATGCACATCCACATTATCTCATAAGAGCAGCAATTACCACATGGAAAATGATAACCTGTGAACTCACTTTAGATTAGGGTGCTAAAAGCCACATTACAGAACTGAGAGCTGAAAGATACGATCATCGATTTCCAAATACTCAGGTTCTTTGAACATCCCCTGAAACTACAACAGCACTCAAATCAGGGGACACAGTAAAAAGAGAGAGGGGCGGTCTTTTTCCACCCAGTCGCCTGTTTTCATCCCTGTTGGCAGTCTGTTCTGTTCCCCTGTGGTTTTTTGCTTTTTGGACCACAGATATGGGACTAGAAATGTTCCACCATCACACCCAACTAAATACTAGCTAGAGTGAGTGAAAGGTACAGAGAGGTGTGTTCCTCTTGTAAAAAGCCATGGGCTTAGGGGGGGGTCACTTGCCCCCCATCAAGTAAAACAATAAAAATACTTAACTGACCAATCACGTCATTTCTGCCCCCCCAACAAAAGTCCTTCCCCCCCAACAAAAAAACCTGGCTACGCCCATGTAAGGTGCCATGTAAGAGACCAACGTAAGATAGAAGAATATTGCGACACACAGAGATTCCAGAAAAAAAATAGAGAGAGAAAAACTAAATTCCTGCTGTTTTACTCCTTTTCCTGGCTAGATATTCTTGTCCCTTACAGGGTTGCTCATTCAACTCCTCCTTAGTATTTATGTACAGGGAGGGCAGAGAAAAGACAAGAAAGAAGCAAGACAGGTATGGCAGAAGACAATGCCAAGATTTGTGCATGAGCTAGTTAATAGGAGGATGGGAAAAGGTACCCGTCTCCAGGAAGGGCATCTACACTATGGTTGCCAGATGTTCCCGTTTCCTGGGGACAGTCCCCGGATCTACAAATCTGTCCCCAGACAAAATCCGTCCCTGGATTTCATTTAATGTCCCCAGATTTATATTTTAAGTGTTGTAGATTTATTAGTAGGGAATGAATATTGCGTGATTGGTTCAACAGCACAAGACACATCATATGGGGACTTATGGCGAATGCCACGGCAGCGAGCAGCTCCTGAAGCCAGCCAGAGCCAATTGCGCTACCAGGCTGGCTCTGGGCTGCTGAGACTGCCGCTGCCACCGCCACTGCCGAGGGGGAACTGGGGATGCCCGGCGCGTCAACTGGGGGAACCGCTGACACACACACTCATGACCCAAATCGAGCTGGGAGCAAGAGCGCCCGGCCACCTGGCTGACTGCCCAGTGGCACTCCAGGGCCAGGAAAACCCCAAAGCCAGCACAGGGAGGGGGAGGAGAGGAGAAGAAGGAAGAAGAAGAGGAGGGAGAAAAAAGAGGGGAGCCCCGACCTTGCCGGGCCGCTGAGGAGGAGAGGTAGGAGAGCATTGGGAGGGCAAGGACACGTGGCCGAGCCCAGGCCCGACCCGAGCCTACTCCACGGCAGCTAGTGCTCCAAGAGAGCAGGCTGGGGCCCAGAGGAAAGCTGCGCGACAGAGGAGACCACAGAAGAGAAGATACTACTTCTTTTTTAAAAAAATAGTAACTTTTTGAAAATAACCTTTTTTTCTTTTTTTTTTAAAAGTGTCCCCAGATTCTTAGAAAAAATCTGGTAACCTTAATCTACACAGATAGAGAAGCACTGCAGAGAGATGGAAAGCAGGAAAATCAAATAGGATTCCCTCACGGGGGAGGGAGGAGGGTTCTGGAAGGAAGTTGTAAGGGGAGCTAAATAGGGAAGCAGATGATAAAATGATGGATCAAAATAGTTAAAGATGCAGAAAGGAGAGCTTTAGAAAGCAGGAAACCTATCAAGAGAGCAGGAGCAGTTACAAATTGCAGGAGGGTGCTAAATGCAGCAGCCGTTTTGCAAGAGGGTGTGAACATGTGCTTCTCCCCAAGCCACAGCATCTAGCCAGAGGCTGCTGCCTTCCTCCTTCCACTCCCAGATGCAGTTTCATTTCTTCCCTCGTGCAGAGCAGTGAAACATGGAAAGTTACAGGTTGATGGCTGCAAACACCCTTCTAAGACAAAGCAGCTGGAAGGTGAGCAGAGGGAGATAATACTACTACTACTGCATAATAATACGTAGCATTTCTATTGCTCAGAATCTTTGCATGCCCGCTGCTATCCTTCCAATAGCCCTGTGACATATGCCAGTATTATCCCCATTTTGCAGATGAAGCCCGAGGCTAACTGCCTCCTTGTTTTCTTTGCCATGGAGAAGGGGAAGGAAAAACCTGGGATGCCAGCAGAAGCAGTGAGATTCACCCACAGATATTTTGCTTTCCATAGGCCTGGTCAAGACACCCACAAGCAAACTAAGGATGGAGCAGGGCACGGAGTTAGGCATCAAAAATGCAGGAGTGCAACAGTGTATACTACTCAGCATCACTTAATGCAGGTCAAAAGACGCCTGATTGATTCTTGCAAGAAAGTAGGTTCTGAGGGCAGTCTGGGGCCACACCATGCAGCCCTCAGCAGGTCTGGACAGTATGTATGATGAAGGAAGGTGGTGTTATAAATGCACCAGATAAAAAGCAGCCTCTAAGTGACCAGGAAGGGAAGATTTACAAAATCAAATCTTTACAAGCTTCAGAGGCAGCTGGTACAGGCATGTGTGTCAAGGCAGACAAACAGAGAAAACATTTTAGTGGGCAAGTAACTTTCACGTGCTCCCTTCTTGGACCTGGGATCACCGCCCTGCAACCGTATTTTTACCAATATTTGCCTACTCACCCACCCCTTTCAAAATAAGCCTTGCAGGAGCAGGAAACCGACACCCACGGAAGCAGCCACGCATGTGAAACCGGGAATGCGTAAATATTCCGTCTGAGCGCATCCAAGGCGAGGGGATTTGGGCACGGCTGAGGTCCTGCGATCCCAAAGCTCGCGCCTTGTTTTGCTGCTCCTTTTCTTCCCTGGGGAACTTCCTCGGCGTTGCGGGACGCAAGGGGGAATCCCGGAGCCCCCCCGCCCGCCCGCCCCCCCCCCCATGTAAAAGGGCATAGCACGGCTCTTACCCAGGCGGGCAGCTCGCTCTGCCCCAGGCTTCGGCCCAGCCCCGTGGCGCTCAGCGCAGCCTCCTCGTCCCCCAGGAACAGCCCGGCCGCTCGCAGCGACCGCTCCTTGCTCATCCGCCGGCCCCGCCAGCCCATGTAGAGGGCCACGCCGGCCACCACGAAGCCCAGGCTCAGCCCCGCCCGGCCCGCCAGGTACACCGGCAGCAGCCACAGCAGCCGCCGCCCGATCGCGCCCAGCGCCGCCAGGGCTTCCGCAGAGCCGATGCCGCCGGGCAAGCGAGAGCCGCCGGAGCCCGAGGAGACGCCCGGGTCCGGCGCCCCCGCCGCCGCCGGCGCCGCCTCCTGCTCCGGGGCCCGCTCCATGGCGCTCCCGCCACAGGAACCCGCCAGTCTCGCACTGCGGCGAAGCCAGCAACTCGCCAGCTCCCGCGGCTGCTGCAGTCCGGGAACGAGGCTCGCTCGCTCCGCCCGCCGATTGGAAGGCGAGCTTGCCAGGGCGGAGCCGAGCTCGAGGCTGGGCGGGACGCCGCGCCCCGTGATTGGGCAGAGGGGGAGGAGGAGGAGCCGGGCGGCGGAGCGAAGCCGCGCCCCTCCATTCCGATTGGGCGGCTGCCGTTCCGAGAGAAAGAAAGTAACGAAAGGCTGGCCCCGCCCCCTTTTCTCTCTCGGGCTGCAGCTCCTTCGGGCTGGCCGCTGTCCACACGCCCCGCCGACAAAAGAATGGACCCTTCTTTCTTCGAAGGGCTCCGCTGGGTCTTGGGCGGGGAGAGAGGGAGGTAGCCCTTCTGTGGCTCCTTAGCCTGGGGGCGCAAGTCGAGCTGCTGCTGCTGCTTTTAATTACAAGAGGTTCCAAAACAAAGTTTCCAAGCACATTACCAGCACGCAAGGCTTCCTCGCCCTATTCCAGCCCAGTCAGAGAATCGTAGAATTGTAGAGTTAGAAGGGACCCTAAGGGTCATCTAGTCCAACCCCCTGCAATGCAGGAATCTTAACTAGATCATACATGACAGATGCTTAAAAACCTCCAAGGAAGAATTCCCCACCTCTTGTGGGAGTCTGTTCCACTGTCAAACAGCTCTTACTGTCAGAAAGCTAGTTAGTTAGTTAGTTAGTTAGTTAGTTAGTTAATTTCTGTACCGCCCTTCACCCAAGGAGCACAGGGCAGTTTACAATAAAAAAGCACAAAAATACACAACATAGTAACAAACAAAAATAATATCCTCCCCACACAGAGAATCTTCACAAACTCTACAAATCAAAGCAATGCACACCTGTGTTACAGCAGCAACAAAGGTGAGGCACCGCGTGTGAATGGTGTTTGGATGTTATTGTTTAGTCATTTAGTTGTGTCTGACTCTTTGTGACCCCCTGGACCAGAGCACGCCAGGCACTCCTGTCTTCCACTGCCTCCCGCAGTTTGGTCAAACTCATGTTTGTAGCTTCAAGAACACTGTCCAACCATCTCGTCCTCTGTCGTCCCCTTCTCCTTGTGCCCTCCATCTTTCCCAACATCAGGGTCATTTCCAGGGAGTCTTCTCTTCTCATGAGGTGACCAAAGTATTGGAGCCTCAGCTTCAGGATCTGTCCTTCCAGTGAGCACGCAGGGCTATCTTTCTTCAGAATGGAGAGGTTTGATCTTCTTGCAGTCCATGGGACACTCAAGAGTCTCCTCCAGCACCAGAATTCAAAAGCATCAATTATTTGGCGATCAGCCTTCTTTATGGTCCAGCTCTCCCTTCCATACATCACTACTGGGAAAACCATAGCTTTAACTGTACGGACCTTTGTCGGCAAGGTGATGTCTCTGCTTTTTAAGATGCTGTCTAGGTTTGTCATTGCTTTTCTCCCAAGAAGTTTGGATGTTACTGGACTCCAACTTCCATCAGCGCCAGCCAGCAAGACAAGCAGGAGGAATGATGAGACTCATAGTCCAGCAACATCTGGAGGGCTCTGTCCCTGTGCAGTGCAATAGTGACTATTGTGTGCAGAGTTAATTTTCCCCACTGTGATTCAAGAAGCCACATTCATCTTTTTACACTTCTTTTTTCCAGTGTAGCAAGACTTCTAGATGGCGTTGAATCTTGCTTGCTTGCTCTTTATAGCCACTAACCAGAGCTATCCTTCTGTTTCTGGAATTACAGTATATGAAAATAAAAGTGTAGTTTGGAATGTTATTCAAATTAGCTGCTCAAGAGTTTGAGAGAAAGGAAATGACTGAATAGGCCATTGGTATTGTACTTTTCTCAGCACCAAGTGCTTATATTAATACAAATGGTTTAATTTCACACTCATTTTTTAAAAATGAAGTCTAAATATATAGGAACTATCCATACAGCATGCTACAGTTTTGAGGGCCTTGTCAATATTTGCCTCATTTTAACCACTAGCTGTCAGTCCAAACTTTGCTATCCCCTCTTGATTCATGAAGGCGATCCTGTATCTGTAGGTATTTTAGAAATGTGCCCCAAGCACATCTGTTGCCTTTGCATAATTCTGATGTAAATCTCATTTAGTCTTGAACCAAAACATGAAGTGTGACATGAGGAGCCTCTAGAATACCCTCTCTGTAAAGTTAGAGAACTTCTCCCTTTAAACAACACTTGTTTAGACTTATGAGAATTCAGTGAGACCAATATTTCTAGTTGGAGTCTGAGGCTTCATTTAAAGTCCAATTCTATAAACTGTTCAGGGACCTTTATTACTGGGTAGTATATTTCCACTGATTTTCATTTAAAAAATAAATGAAATACATACATTCCTCTTTAAACCTCAGTAACCAAATTTTTTAAGCGCTCAAAACTATCCTTGGCAAGGTATATATTCCAATTAGTTTTTATTTCATTGACTCTACCCCTTTCATTGTGGCTTCTCAGCTTTCTACTACACCCCTTCTTCGAGAGAACATATGTGGTTATGTTAAATAACCACAACTTTTGTAGTAAAATTCTAATGTCATGTTGACGGGTATCCTTAATGCTGGTGAATTCTCTAGATGGGTTCCACAGACCAGTTGCAAGTTCAAGGGCTGAATGTCCAATTACAAAAAACATAGTAACAATTCATATTTTATCAGGCAAACTGTACTGGCTTTATCTTATTTGCATGTTGCAGCTCTGCGTACATTTCCTCCTCTTTCCCACTACCCCCACACTAACAACTGTGTCATTTCCCACTTCCCTGCTATTTACTGAAGCACAAACAAACAACACACTTTCCCTACATCTGAATTCCCAAGACTGGTGCATTTGCCTGCTTGTAACACTGTATTAGTTATTTCCCGCTTGGACTACTGCAATGCGCTCTACATGGGGCTACCTTTGAAGGTGACTCGGAAACTACAACTAATCCAGAATGTGGCAGCTAGACTGGTGACTGGGGGCGGCCGCCGAGACCACATAACACCGGTCTTGAAAGACCTACATTGGCTCCCAGTACGTTTCCGAGCACAATTCAAAGTGCTGGTGTTGACCTTTAAAGCCCGAAACGGCCTCGGCCCAGTATACCTGAAGGAGCGTCTCCACCCCCATTGTTCAGCCCAGACACTGAGGTCCAGCTCTGAGGGCCTCCTGGCGGTTCCCTCATTGCGAGAAGCAAAGCTACAGGGAACCAGGCAGAGGGCCTTCTCGGTAGTGGCGCCCGCCCTGTGGACGCCGTCCCATCAGATGTCAAAGCGATAAACAACTACCTGACATTCAGAAGACATCTTAAGGCAGCCCTGTTCAGGGAAGTTTTTAATGTGTGATATTTTAGTGTATTTTTGGTTTCTGTGGAAGCCGCCCAGAGTGGCTGGGGAAACCCAGCCAGATGGGCGGGGTACAAATAATAAATTATTATTATTATTATTATGAATACAAACACTGTCCATGAGGATTTGTGCGACTTCTTCGTGCTCTGTCAAAGAAGGTTTAATTTAAGCAGGACACTGAGGCTCAGAACACATTGATAATAGAGCAAAAATTCATATAAAAAGTTGTTTTCCTTACTACCAGGTACAAATGCGCAGGTCACAAACGCTGGAGAAGGGGGGCAAGACCTTCTGAAACAGGCTTGAAGATCTGCATCTTTATTTTCAGAAATAATCTCTCTTGCCATTCTTTAAACAAATGTGGTCCAACAGCATCCTCTTTCCATGTCTATTGTGCTCATCATCTAGGAAGCTGCCTGACACCATGCTTGCTAAACAGCTGTATGAATTCCTCTAATGCAGTGGTTCTCAAGCTTTTTTCTCTGGGCAACAATTTCAGAATAAAAACTTGCTTGCGCCACACCAATTTTTTTATTGATAAGAAATACATTGGAAAACAAAAAGAAACAACTCCTAGCAGTGCTTGATTTATAACATAGAACACAACTACTTTATAATATGATAATGGGGACATACAGAAAGTTTAAAACAATGCAGCTACAGTACATAAGAACATGAATCATTCCTAAAATACAATATTGATTGTCCTTGAATCTCCCTGCCACACTTGCCACCTCTCCCGCCACACCAGTGTGATGCACCACATCCCTTCAGAACCACTTTTCTAGTGAGTCCTCCCCTCCCCCCGCAAAAAAAAAGCCATATAAAGGGGCAGAATTAAGTCCTACAAATTTCATAGGAGCTACACTGACCTGCTGCTTGGGAGGTTGTCTTACCATTCTGCCAAGGAATGCTACAGTAATACATTTGATATTTGGGTGTCACATTACTGGGTGGGGATTTGAACCTAGGTCTAAACTGACTCCTTGACAACGAAAATATGTTTGGTATATTATATTGCAGTTGTTTATCTGGCATGGTCCTGCCAGGAAGCAAGTCAATTTTACACGTGCAAAGGTAGCAAACAGAGCAGTTAAGAGATTAACAGACCAGTCCATCAAAGCACACACATTCCTGCAGGGATTTATTTTGTGGAATTCCAACTGAAAAGTGTGTGTGTGTGTGTGTGTGTGTGTGTGTGTGTGTCTGTAGCATTTGGATCTTCCATCTTAGGCAATAATGTACCTTGCTTTTGCTCTCCTGATTACTATTGTGGCATAACACCACGGTCTCTGCTTACCATCTGCTAAGGCAGCTTCCGCATTGGATTCTTTGGGCTCCTTCCTTACCTACACTAGACTTGAAGCAGGCACAGGCAAACTCAGCCCTCCAGCTGTTTTGGGACTACAACTCCCATCATTCCTGACCACTGGTCCTGTTAGCTAGGGATGATGGGAGTTGTAGTCCCAAAAACACCTGGAGGCCCGAGTTTGCCTATGCCTGACTTGAAGTAAGGAGTGGGGGGAATGAAAGCACCACCGTGTTTTCTCTCCATGGCTAACCTATTTGGGTTTACGAGGTGGTGCAGATCCCAGGGAAGTCCACATTTTTACTTCCGTGACCTGGAAATTGTGCCACAGAATACACAGACGTTACAGAGCTAAAGAGGGCTTTGGTTTGCTCAGCCATTAAGGCTCTGCATTGTCATTGCTGTCTGAAGCAAAAGGAAAGCACAGGAAAGGGACAGGATTCCTCCCAAGGTCACCATGCGCATCAGTAACCCTATTCTTATGCACAGTGAGGTGTGCACCCCTAAGGCACTGAATCCTAATTTCTGCACAGGATCAGGCTCCATTCCCTTTGCACATTTATAGACTATTCATGTGGTGCTTGGCAGGAACAAATAAATAAATAAATACTTCCTGCATTAGCTGATTACATTTCTCATAAGCTTATCTTGCTAAAAGCATTTTTTGTGCAACAGAGTAGCTGTTACTTGCTGAGCAGATATCACAGGACGAGCAAAGAAGCTTTTTAATACACAGCCGGCAGCTGAGGCCATCTTGGCTTACTCATTTTACTGTTTAACCTAAATTACAGACCGTTCCAGAACACTGTTACAACACAAGAAAAAGCACCATTAATGATGCCACTTACTGAGGTCTTCATCAAATATTACTGGCAATGAAATTCAGAGTTCTGTATTAAATTGCCATACGATTAGTGTCATGGACTGGCTGGACACAGAGGAATCGTGAGAAGCACCAGTTGAAGAAGCCCCAAGGGAAGAAGGATCAAAACCCGGGGAGCGGTGGTGGTGGGACAACAGTGAGTGGTCAGAGGAAAAAGAGAGAACAGATGGGGAGGAGGTGGTATTGGAAGCTGAAGAGGTAACAGGATTTAGTGAGCAGGGAGAGTCTGTGGCAGAGAGAAGTCTGGAAGCAGAAGCTGAAGCAGGAAAGTAGGAGGACGGAGGCCAAGAGGCAGAGATGACTCAGGCTGGTGAAGAAGCCAGGGTGTCTTCCCCTCCTGCTGTGACAGCCTCCTCTCCCCCAGGACCTGGAGAGGCATGAAGTGAGAGGAGCAAAGGCGGGCATAGCAGTGCAGTCTCCAATTGGTTGGGAAGGACCCTGGGGAGCAGGAGTCAGGAGCAGGTCAGCAATAAAAACACCAGTGTCAGTGATGTTAATTCTTTGTTCAAAGAAACCAAAACAACTTAGGCCTAATGCTCTCAACAACTCTTCCCAGTAGGTTGCAAGGACTGAAGGTCCCCATCTTCCCAAAGCTGTCTAGGTTCCTTCTTCTCCAGAGTATTTCCAAGCAACCAAAAAATAAAAGCTAGAAGACAATTTTCTACCTGCAGTCCCTTAGGAGATGTTTGCTCATGCTGCCACTTTCAATTACAACCGGGTAGAAATGATGGGAGGAACAAGAACATCTTGTTATAGGGAAAGGGAAGAGTACAGACACCCACACACCCCTCCCCAAAAGCTGGCTATGGAAGGGTCAGGAGAAACTCCAGAAAAGCATGCTGCGGAGGAGAATTTCCTGTCTCCCACTCAATGAAGAATTCGAACTCAGGTTGCAGCATCTACCAAAATCTTTAATGCTCAGATCAGTGTGCTACATGGGCAAAATGCCGTTCAAAGGCACAGCAGGTGCTACACATAGCCAAGTAACCAAAGACATTGATCCAGGAATGACACATACCCCAACTTAGGAGCTAACCCCTCTTAAGCCCCCTCCCCAATAAAATATTTGAAGGGACTAGCACTGGCGGAAGAACAGGGGTGAAGGGGGGAGCGCACCGCCCCCAGTGGCATGATCCCGGTGGGGTGCCATAGTGGCTGGTCCCCCCTGCGCTGGATGCCACGCCCCCGCATGCGGCGCACCATGCCCCCGGGACGCATGCCACGCCCCCGAGATGTGCCAGTCACACCCCCGCCTGCTCTCCACACCCCCCCCCCCAGATCTTGAAGCTCTGCCACTGGAGACTGCCCCCCCCAAAAGAAGTTGATAGGTATTGCCATTCAAATGGTGTGTGTGTGCCAGGTCATGTGATTGATTTATGTAGGGAGTAGCTTCCCCCCCCCCAATATTTTATTCAAGTTGGCACCACAGCAACCTTGTTATTAGGGAGTGGGGTGGGCACTAATTCCTTACCCATGCGCAATGATGCCATGTTGAAAACAAACACATTTGTATCCACTGTATTAATGGGCTAAGGGACTTTTTTATGTGTCTTTATGACCAACAGGTGGTGGAAGGAGCGAGCCAGATTCTAGTGAGTGAGACTGTCCCTGGCTATAGTACTGGTTTTAGCCCTCTCACTGGTCAGAACTGAAGGAGCTAATGGGCCGAAGGATTAGGACAGGGAGGCTGGGGGAATAGGTTTAAAATGGAAACTAAAACCAGCTTAGGTTATATTTCTTTTTAAAACTATAGTTAATATTTATTTTTTAAGTAAACAAAGGAATCGTACGGCACGGAAGAATTATTATTTACAACTTTAAAAAGAGGTACAACAAATCTTAATTTAGTGGCTCCCTAAAAAGTGTTAGGAGAGGCAATAAATTTTAAGTTAAAGGAAGCTGAAAGAAAATAGAAGGCCATCAAAGAATTAATCCTAATAAAACAGGGAGAGTAAATTGTGGAGAGATGATGGAGTTTGAGAAAGCCCCCAAAAGAAAGCTTAGCCAAGCAAAATTTAAACTGAAAACTCATAAAAATACCAAGATGAAGATTTTAAAGAGAATCAAGAAAAACGAAAACACCTGATGACTAGAAAGGCCAAGGGAAAACTAAGACGAAGGAATGTGAGGGGTGAAATCAAGTTTATATATCTTTCGACCAACAAATCTTTGGATGTGAAAAGGAGCACAGGAAAGGACAAGTAGGTGGATATGAAGTCTGCTTCAAGCAGAGTGAAGAATAAATACAGAAAATAGAAGGCTTTTCGTTTAAAAGGCAACTGGAAAAGCCATTTAATAAAAAGAACAGGCTGGGGTTTCTGTTGCCAAAGTTGTTAGCATCATCATCATCATTAATTTAATTTCTATACCGCCCTATACATGAAGGTCTAAGGGCGGTTCACATAAAATATCAAATACACAAAATCAAAACAAAAATAACCCAATAAAGGGTCACCAGAGCATTTACAACCGTGGTTAGGCTATCCCTGTCCAGATAGGGGAGTAGATGGGCCACCAGCCGAAGCTGATGGAAGGTATTCCAGGCCACTTGTCTCTCTCTCGACAGAGGTCATCGTACAGGGCGACCAAGGCAGTTTCTGTGCCAAAACCAGGCCTAAACCCTGATTGAAATGGATCCAGAAAACCAGCTTCTTCCAAGAGCACCTGGATCTAGTCTGTGACCACTCGCTCCACAAGTTAGAAAAACCAAGATTGGGAAGATTTTAACACAGGTGAGCCTTAGAAGTGAGAAGGGGAGGGGGATCCAGGGGGAAAGAAGGCTGTGCATGTGATAAAGAGCAAAGCAGAGGGGGAGAAGGCAACATAGTTCCTTCTAATTTCATGTTAGCTTGTTGACAAAAATACTTTGCAGCCATTTTGTGATAGCGTCTTGGGGACTATAGAGAACCTCCTTCACTAATGGGCAGAACTTCATTTTATTTATAATGTGGCTTCCAAGGAGTAGAATAACACACCCTCTTGAGCAGCTGGCTAAAAAGTGGTGGAATTTGGCATAGGAAGCTAGGAAGAGGCATCATCATCATCATCATCATCATCATCATCATCATTATTTGTCAGGGAACTGCCATCGGAAGGAAGGGAGGTGAAAGGACTCAGACAGGTTGGAAGAGATTCAGCAGCTGAAGAGGGAACCAGCAAGGGGAGAGAAGCTGAACTGAGGGAGGTGAAAGGGCTCAGACAGGTTGGAAGAGACTCAGCAGCGGAACAGGAAACCAGTAGGGGAGAGAAGCTGAACTGAGGGAAAGGGAGCTGGGGGGATGGCTCAGAGATACTTCCAGCGAAAACAGTGGTGAGGTTTCCGGACCTCCTGTAGCGACACCCACTCCTCGCCGGAAACTGTCACGCAGAGAGTCCAGAAGACGTGTTTCCGTTAAGGAGCTTTTATGTTGGAAGCGATTACGAAAGCAACCACTGTCGGAATCTTCTAGTGACTAGAGGAGCCATGTCAGAGGGGCTCAGTCACAGACAGAGGTTTGTGGACTTGAACAAACTCTGAGGGAATACGATTTTACGCACAAGCAGCTCATAATCCCATCACAGCATTCCGACAGTCTTTGAACGCAGCTTGTGCAGGAGAAGGCATAATGAGCAACCCAGCAGGAACCGGAGAAGCAGGGGCTGGAGCGGGTCCAAGCCTGGAAGAAAGGTACCGGGTGTTGGAGGTCCAGCTGGCGCTGCAGACGGCGAGGCTGGAGGAGAGGAGGGCGCAAGATGCAGACCAAAGGGAGAAAGCCACCCAGCTCGCCAGAAAGGTACCAGGATTGGTGCAGAAATTTGGGGGGGAGCCCAAAGACTATCATAGCTTTCGGACAGAAATGCAATATGCCCTCAATCTGCAGTTTGATGATTTCCCTGATGAGGAATCACGAGTGGCTTTTGTGATTGGGCATCTTGAAAAGGGGGCGAGAGACTGGGTGAGACCCCTGATGGCAGCGCATAGTGACGTCCTAAAGGACACAATGAAGTTCTTTCGCGCCATGGATTTGATGTTTTCCAGCGATATTGAAAAGGGAGTGGTGCGCAGACAGTTAATGGCTTGCAAACAGGGGAGCCGATCTGTACGTGAGTACTGGACTGAGTTCACCATGCTGATACACAGATTGGGGTGGGACTTATCGGCGGAACCCATTCAAATGCTCTTTGAAGAAGGGCTTTCTTCGGCTGTGAAAGATGAACTTTCCCGGGCGCCCAGGGCGGAGTCTATGGACCAGCTGACCAAATCAGCGCTGGCCATAGGAGCGCGCCAGGAGGCGAGAGCATTGGAGAGGCGGGAAGGGAAGGGGAACGTTGGAAGGAGTTCCGCATTCCAGACATTCCAGAGCCAACTGTCCCGCCGGCAGAGCCGATGGAAATCGGAACAGCGCGCGCGCGCAGTTTCAAAGCCCAGTGAGGGGGAAAGAAGGATGGAAAAGGCGCCCGGAAATGCTATCTCTGCCAACAGCCAGGGCACTTTGCCAGAGTCTGCCCCCAGAGGAAGGAATGGCAAGGGATGGTGGGAGCTGTGGAGGGAAGAGAGGAAAAATACCGGAGCAACTAAAAGCCAACGCCTGGCTGCCATTGTCGGGGCACAGCAGCCAGGCCAAAGAGCAGTGAAAGTGCCCACTCCAGAACCTCCTAAACCCGCCCTAGTGATAGAAGTGACACTAGAGCTGCCAAACGGACACCCTCTAAAGATAAAGGCGCTGTTGGACTCAGGCAGCTCCTGCAATTTCATGAGCAAAGAGTTTGCAGCTGAACACCAGATACAGACGCTCCCTTTAAGCAACCCCTGCAGGTAACCACGATCGATGGCAGGGAGCTGTTGGGAGGAGAAGTCAGCTTGCAGACCGTCCCAATGATAATGAAGGTGGCAAGGCACACCGAACTAATAGCATTTAATGTGGCCACCTTGGGAGGAGCTCCCATTATATTGGGAATGAGCTGGCTAGCGTTACATGATCCGCTGGTGGGCTGGCATCAAAGAGTGGTTTCTTTTGGGTCAGCACATTGCTTAGAACATTGCAAAGAGGGAAGGGTTTTGGCAGGGGCCCAAGCCACTCTAGCAGGGACTGAAGTGACGGAGAACGTGAAGGTACCACGACAATACGCAGATCTCCGCGACGTTTTCAGCGAAAAGGAAGCTGACCAACTACCACCGCATAGAGCCTTTGACTGTCAAATCAATTTGCTCCCTGGGGCACAGCTCCCTGTAGGCAAGCTGTACGCCATGTCAGACAGAGAGATGCAGGAGCTAAGAGAGTTCATTGACAAGAACCTGAAGAGAGGGTTCATCAGAGAGTCCAGGGCGGTGGGGGGCAGCCCAGTGTTTTTGTGGACAAAAAAACACGAACAAGCCGAGACTGGTGTGTGACTTCAGGGCCTTAAATGCAGTGTCAGAACCAGTGGCCTTCCCGATGCCCAGGATTGACGACATTTTGACAAGGGTGCGGAAGGGAAAGATTTTTACCAAGCTGGATCTAAGGGGGGCGTACAACCTGATACGAATAAGGAAGGGGGATGAATGGAAAACCACCATGTTCACCCCTTTAGGGGCATTTGAATACTTAGTTATGCCCTTCGGTCTACAAGCAGGCTCCGCAACATTTCAATCGTTTATGAACCACGTCCTGGGGCCGTTGCTTTACAAGAATTGTGTGGCCTTCTTAGACGACGTGTTGGTGTATTCTGAGAATGAGGAGCAGCATGTGAGAGACGTCAGAGAAGTGTTGAGCAGGCTGCAAGCCAACCAGCTGTGGGTGAAACTGGAGAAGTGTCAGTTTCATACCAAGGAGGTGGAATTCCTGGGGTATCGCCTGTCTGACAAGGGGTTGGCCATGGATCCCGACAAGGTCCAGGCGGTACTGGAATGGAAAACACCCAAAACAAGGAAGGATGTGCAGAGGTTTTTAGGGTTTGGGAACTTCTATCGTAAGTTCATCCCAAACTTTGCCCACCTGACGGCGCCCATTACGGACTGTCTCAGCAGTAAGAAGAAGTTCGTTTGGACGGAGGAGGCGGAGCAAGCATTTGAGGAACTAAAAGGGCCTTCGCCTCGGAACAACAGCTCCTGCATGTGGATTTACAAAAACCGATGAGAGTGGAAACTGACGCATCAGACAGAGCGGTTGGGGCGGTGCTTCTCCAGCCAGGGAAGGAGGAGTCAGAGTGGAGACCGTGTGCTTTTTTCGCGAAAGCTGAACAAATCCGAGAGGAACTACACGGTGTATGACCGAGAACTACTAGCCATTCATGAGGCGTTCCGGAGATGGAGGCACCTGCTAATTGGCGCACAACATAAGGTGCAAGTGTGCACTGACCACAAGAACCTAGAGTATTGGAGGACGGCACGAGTGCTCAACCAACGGCAAGTGAGATGGGCCCAGGAATTCTCCAAATTTAACTTTGAGATTTGTTACGTGCCAGGCCCAGAGAACATTAGGGCGGACGCTCTCTCACGCAAACCTGAATATTGGGAGGGGAGGAGCACCCGAAGAGAGACATGTCATTCCAGAGGACCGCTGGGTGTGTGGGGCGGCATTGGTGGGACAAAGAGAACTGGTAGAAGAAACAGAGAATGATGAATACGCCCAGAATAAGCTCAGAGGTCTTAGGGATGAGGGAGAGGAATCAAGGGGTTTCGAGGAAAGAAATGGAGCTTTGTATTACAAAGGGGCACTGTATATCCCTGAAGGAGACTTAAGGGGAGGGTACTCAAGCAGTTGCATGACAGCCCCACGGCGGGCATTTTGGGCAACACAAAACCATGTGGTTGGTCACCAGGGAATTTTGGTGGCCTAAGGTGAGGGAGGATGTACGTGAGTATGTAAGAGGGTGCGAGCAGTGCCAGCGAGCCAAGGGGAAAGGCGGGCGCCGGCGGGGCTATTAGAACCCTTACCAACACCAGAACGACCTTGGGAGGCAGTGTCGATAGATTTTATGACTGATCTGCCGAAGTCCAAAGGGAAAACAGCCATCATGGTGGTGGTAGACCTACTAACAAAGATGTGCCACTTTGTAGCTTGCTCGCATGCAGTCACGGCGGAAGAGACAGCGAAGTTATTTGTAGAACACATTTTTAGGTTGCACGGGGTGCCATTGAGGGTGGTCTCAGACCGAGGAAAACAATTTACTTCCAGGTTCTGGAGGAAGCTCATGAGCTTACTGCAGGTGGAGGTCAACTTTTCGACTGCCCGGCACCCTGAAACCAACGGGCAGGCGGAAAGAGCAAACGGTGTCCTCCAGCAATACCTGAGGTGTTATGTCAATGACAGAGAGAATGACTGGGTAGAAAAGTTGGCGCTGGCGGAATTTGCCTACAACAATGCCGAGAATGTGTCCACAGGGATGAGCCCCTTCTTGGCTAATTATGGGTGTCATCCCAGGGCTTTCCCAGGGGGGAAGGGGAGAGATGGAGCGTACCGGCAGCCGAGCATTTTGTAGAAGAAATGGAAGCAATCCACCGTCAGCTCCAACTCAACTTAGAAAGGGCGAAGGAAGAATACAAGAGGCAGGCAGACAAGAACCGAAGGGAAGGTGAAACCATAAGGGTTGGAGATAGGGTGTGGCTGTCAACCCGAGGGTTGCCGTTCAAAGGAGGTTGTAAGAAATTACGACCCAGGAGGTTGGGTCCCTTTGAGGTCATTCAACAGGTCAACCCAGTGGCTTTCAGGCTCCGGTTACCCAACCACATGAAACTGCACCCAGTATTTCACAGGTCGTTACTGTCACCGTACGAGGGGACGAGAGGGATGGCCACTCGGGGACCGGTCATAGAAGAAAGAGAATGCAGCAGTCATGTGGCAGAAATCCTTGATGCCAGGTGGAAGGGGAATCAGGTGGAGTATTTGGTAGCGTGGGAAGGAGAACCGGAGTCAGAAAACACGTGGGTAATGGCCAAAGATATCAATGACGAGGTATTGATAGAAATGTTCCATCAAAGGTTCCCGCGGAAACCTCAGCCTGTGGAGAGGTTCCGGAGGGAATACTTTGGGACCACTGAGGAGGAGGAGGAGTTGGAAGGATTCCCAGAATCGGAAGGGGAAGGGAGATGGACTCGGAGGAGGAGGAGTGCTTCGAGACCAGGAACCGCAACAGGTGGAGAGAAGTGTTCGAGACATCGGAAGATGAAGGAAGTTCATTCCGGGGTTTTGCCTCCTCACCGCCCGTAGAGGAGGGGCGAGAGGGGGTGAAGGGGGCCCTGGAGGGGAGGTGGATGTCAGGGAACTGCCATCGGAAGGAAGGGAGGTGAAAGGACTCAGACAGGTTGGAAGAGATTCAGCAGCTGAAGAGGGAACCAGCAAGGGAGAGAAGCTGAACTGAGGGAGGTGAAAGGGCTCAGACAGGTTGGAAGAGACTCAGCAGCGGAACAGGAAACCAGTAGGGGAGAGAAGCTGAACTGAGGGAAAGGGAGCTGGGGGGATGGCTCAGAGATACTTCCAGCGAAAACAGTGGTGAGGTTTCCGGACCTCCTGTAGCGACACCCACTCCTCGCCGGAAACTGTCACGCAGAGAGTCCAGAAGACGTGTTTCCGTTAAGGAGCTTTTATGTTGGAAGCGATTACGAAAGCAACCACTGTCGGAATCTTCTAGTGACTAGAGGAGCCATGTCAGGGGGGCTCAGTCACAGACAGAGGTTTGTGGACTTGAACAAACTCTGAGGGAATACGATTTTACGCACAAGCAGCTCATAATCCCATCACATTATTTCTCACCCTTTTCCCTGATGGGAATAAAGGCAACAGGAGCCACTTCAGATTGGTGAAGCTAGAAAAGAATGAAGGCACAGAAAGAGAAATAACTATTGATCCAGAAAAGGTTTGGAAGCCACTAGGATCAAGAACTGGTTCTGGGGGAAGCATAAAAGGGGGAAATAACTGAGAAAGCCACAAGGAGGAGCAGCAAAAAGCAACCAACCAAGGGTGAGAGTATTATACCTAACTGTAGTTACTGGGCAACTGCAGAAGAGGGTCACCAAACTATTGTTGAGTTTTTGTTCCTTCAGAGGTGTATAAATCCAGAAGGTTCCAAACATGCCAGCATTTTGGATCCTCACTAGTAATTCTGTTCCTAAGGTAATACATTTAGAATACCCATTTTAAAACCGGATGCATCAAACTGCTTCCTTTGTCTGTAACAGTTGCCTTGCTAATTTCAGTGTGAATAAGCAAATAAGGCATTTTGAGGGTGGATCCACTGTGGGCAATGGTAGAGGTGGCATTGGAGTGAGTAGAGGTTTTCACCATTTTGTTGGCCATTTTTAAGCAAAAAAAGTCCAGCAAACATTTAAGCACATCCATATTCGTAATCAGGAAAGATGAGCCTTGACCATTTTTTCCTGTACATAAAGGGCAGAAAATTTTGTCTGCTAATGGTAAGGCTGAAATGACTGAGAAAATATTTGAAATCTTATGAATCCTGACGCTCTGGCCATTTTTACTCACACATAAGGGGGTGGCTAATTGTTCCACTAATGACCAGAGAGTGGGCCCATACAAAATAATAATAGCCCACATTTGTGAAACATTTTGGAATAGAGGTCTGTACCCCTATCTTGATCACTGCAGATGGTGACAGCAGTCACGAAATTAAAAGACGCCTGCTCCTTGGGAGAAAGGCGATGGCAAACCTAGATAGCATCTTAAAAAGCAGAGACATCACCTTGCCAACAAAGGTCCGTATAGTTAAAGCCATGGTTTTCCCAGTAGTCATGTATGGAAGTGAGAGCTGGACCATAAAGAAGGCTGATCGCTGAAGAATGGATGCTTTTGAATTATGGTGCTGGAGGAGACTCTTGAGAGTCTCATGGGCTGCAAGAAGATCAAACGTATCCATTCTTAAGGAAATTAGCCCTGAGTGCTCACTGGAAGGACAGATCCTGAAGCTGAGGCTCCAATACTTTGGCCACCTCATGAGAAGAGAAGACTCCCTGGAAAAGACCCTGATGTTGGGAAAGATGGAGGGCACAAGGAGAAGGGGACGACAGAGGACGAGATGGTTGGACAGTGTTCTCGAAGCTACAAACATGAGTCTGACCAAACTGCGGGAGGCAGTGGAAGACAGAAGTGCCTGGCGTGCTCTGGTCCAGGGGGTCACGAAGAGTCGGACACGACTAAACGACTAAACAACCCCTATCTCCTGTAGATAAAGGAGGCATGTAGCTCCCAATTTTCTTTGTCTGGGGTACATGTATGTCTCTTTAATGCAGAAAACATGATCCATTAATGCTGAGACTTTAATTAAAAATTTAATTTGACCAAAATTGTATTACTGGCTTTTTGGTGAAAACCTGCATGATAGGATTGATAGTTGCCGGGTTTCCGACAAATACTTAAATTTGGATCCTCGCCAGTACTTCTGTTCCTAAAGTAATATATTTAAAAACCTGGTGTAGCAAACTGCTTCCTTTGCCTGTAATCTCTTGTTACCTTCAACTGCAATTGTAGCTTCTATAAGAAAACTTTTGAATGATCAGAGGGGCAATAGGCACTAATAACTAAAAAGTGATCTCTAAATGCTGTATTGTAATTATAGCAGCAATACAGGTGTGTGTTTTCTGGCTGAAGGTCAACTAGGTGAGTATCTTGTGCTTGGCTGAGGAGAAAATCTCTGTTGTGTTCTGCCTGCAACTCTTTGTATAAAGATTCTTTCAGGTTGCAGTGAGGGGGACCATTCAAGCACCCTGAGCCTGTTGGAGAAAAGGCAGGCTCTAAATGGAATAATACATCCAATATGCAAACTAAATATTACAAAGAGTTTGTATTGAGCAATGTTGCTTATTCAATCACTTTTTCAGAAGAGCCGTGAACTCGAAAGCCTAATGCGGTCGCTCTCCGTGCTTCTACCTGGAGGGACTTCTCTTGTCGGGACACCACTGCAGGGGAGGCCCTTTCCTGTGCCATCACCACACAATAAGGTACATCTTTTGGTGGGACAGCCAGCCTTGTTTTGTTCCAGCTCTTTTTTTTTACAGACCTCACAGAGCTACCTGTGCCTGAAGCAGATCTGCTCCATTGACAAGTAAGAGGCAGTGTCAGAGCTCTTGATACATCAAGTGAACATCTGCAGCGTAGCACTGAGAGACACCTGCATCTTGATTGCGCTGCTTTAGGTAACCTGCTGTTTTTGCTCCTGGAGGGGAGGGCTGCTGAAGACCCTAGTCTCTTCCAGGTGCATCTCAGTGACACAAGAAATAGAATTTTGCAAGCCTTCAGGAACCTTAATGGCAAGTGAACTTCACACTCCACAATTCAGTGATCTTTTTCAGTACAATCCTTTTGTGATGGCCTCTCAATTTCCCCCCGCTTGATCTCTTCACAGTTCTGTCCAAGAGCCCACCACACTCAGGGGAAGCCAGCTCTTCCTGCAGAAGTCAGGTTAGTGTAAGAACAGCTGTGTTCCGTTTCTCTGGAATTGGCGGGAATGGGCCGGGGACAGACTAATCAGTCCAGATTGCTTTTCACAGACCAGCAGAAGGAACTGCCAGGCCCATGAATTCACACTTCAGAGGGACAAATGAAAAGGTGAGCATAAAGGCAGAGTTTTAAGACTGGAACCAGTCTCTCTCTTCTGCCCTGCAAATTAATGGCAGTCAAAATGGCACTCTGTGACTTAAACACATCTAGGTGAATATCCCTTGCTCGGTTGTGTTCTCTCTGCAACTTTATAACTCTTAAGGGTTTTCTTTTTCCTGAGAGAACATTCTGTATTCAGAGTGTTCTCTCAGGTTTTGCTTTTCACCTTGTTGCATTAAAAAAAAAAAGCAAAAGGTGCTGGTGGTTGGCACTCCTGGTTTCTAGGACGGGGTTCAAGTCCCTGCGGTGTCCTTGCTTACTTCCAGTGCAACCCCTTTCTCTATCTATCTCTCCCCCCCCCCCCAAGAACTAAATCAAGTAAGGTGCTCCTTTGATGCATCACTGGTGTGTGTCCAAGATAAGATGGATTACATGGATGCTTCCCATCCTAGCACTCCCAGCCATGGGGGGGGGGGGGATACTTAGTCTTTTTATATATAAAAAAGACTGTCTCTTAATTTTGCATTGTTTGTTTAGGAAGTAACCTAAATATACAAACAAATGGATCCTATTTAGATTATGCAGAATGTGGAAAAAGCTAGGATGAAAGAGAAATGGCATCACGTTCACTCATTAGCAGAAGAACAACAGCAACTATCAGACGCTCAGGTGTCCTATTTTACAGAAGACAGTTGTCGATTTTCAGAGCTATCAGAGGCTTAGGATGAGGACAGGTGGCAGTTTTCTGTATGAAGGTGGCCTATTTGAATGGCCGTGCATTCCAGGTCTGGTTGAAAGATACAGAAGGAAGAGCAGGGGTGCTGAAGTTGCCCATCAACAGATAGCACCTTGGCAGCAGACTAAGCACAAACACACAGGCCACAGTCTTCCCCACTACAGTGAGATGCATAGTATTCCTATGTAGAATTATAGAGTGACATAACACATCAGTCATACTCAAGGTAATATCATATACCCAACTAAGCTGTACTTGGAATCACTGAAATCAATGGGTCTAGTGACTATGACTTGGTAGGATATAACCTACTAATATTTTTAAATGTGCATCTACATGCAGCACATGCAAATTGGTGTCCATTCATTTGACCAAGTGTCAATGGCTACTCTAAGCAAAGACATGTCCAATTTCTGCAACTGGGAGTATCTAGGGATGCAATACTGCATGTTCAGTCAGGCCCTTTTGTTTCCTCCTGATCCTGAGGATGTTCCGTCTAACTTGGGGATTTTACTCAATCCCCTTGTGGGTTTTTGAGATTTCTTACAACACCTAGCCTATCTTCTCAGCCATAAGGATCTGATGGGGGGGGGGGGCTTTCAGATATTCTTGGATGGCAACTCCCTACATGCCTGATCATTGGCCATGCTGGCTGAGTTGATGGGAGTTGTAGTCCAAAGCAGCCAGAAAAGGCACCTGTCCTTCACCAATGAGGAATCTGAAGCCAACTTACTTGGGAATAAGCCCCAATGAATTCAATAGGACCTACTTCTCTGGATACAGGATTGTGCTGCATTTTGCTTATTCAAAGAAGCTTTTTTAAAGAAAAAGAGGAGGAGGAAGAGGAAGCGGGAGCAGCAACAGCTGGAATTGTCAGGCTGCACAATACTAGAAGCCTGAATTTGCACAGAATAATTAGGGGTCAATATAAGTCATCAGCTGAACAGTAAAAACAAATGTGGCTCCATTTTACATGGCACAAAGTGTTTTTATGTACCAGGTCTGTGCTCTTTCCTTTAGAAGAAGCCTGTAGCAGATCTGATTACAGAATATGCAACAAGCAAATATGGAACTGAGCCAGGTTTATGTTATAAAATACTCTGTCATAGGTGAAAGCTCAGCTCCAGGCGCTCAATCCAACTCTTGGTAAATAAATATCACCCAGGGGCTATCGTGCCATCTAGTGGCAGAAGAGTATTGCAAGACTGCCAGCTTGTTTTAATGCAAAGGAGCGGCACAGACATCTGTGGCCCCAGGGCTGCTTTGAGTATTCATTAAGATTTCTAAACCATTATATTTCTTGCCCCAGGGAGGATGGAGATATATCACAACATCCCCAGCATTCTTAAAAAAGGTAAAGGTACCCCTGCCCTTACGGGCCAGTCGTGTCTGACTCTAGGGTTGTGCGCCCATCTCACTTAAGAGGCCGGGGGCCAGCGCTGTCCGGAGACACTTCCGGGTCACGTGGCCAGCGTGACGAAGCTGCTCTGGCGAGCCAGCACCAGCGCAGCGCACGGAAACGCCGTTACCTTCCCGCTAGAAAGCGGTACCTATTTATCTACTTGTACTTAGGGGTGCTTTCGAACTGCTAGGTGGGCAGGAGCTGGGACCGAAAGACGGGAGCTCACCCCGCCGCGGGGATTCGAACCGCCGACCATGCGATCAGCAAGTCCTAGGCACTGAGGTTTTACTCACAGCGCCACCCACGTCCCAGCATTCTTAGTTATTCCAATTAAATGCTGTTAAAAATCAATCCCACCAGAGAGGCAGTTCCTCGTAGCTTAGCCTTCCCCTACCTGGTGCCTTGGCTGGGGCAGATGGAGCTGTAGTTGCAGCCCATTTTCTGTGGCAGCCCCTGGACTGCGGGACTCCCTTCGCACAGAGGTGCATCTTGCACCTTCACCAGGAACCTTCTGCTAAATGCTGAAGACACACCTCTTCCACCTGGCCTTTGACACCTGACATTTGCATTTTCAGGACTCACCCTGTTCCTGTGACTGTAATATGTTTTAGCATTTTTTAATATTGATTTTTAAATTGTTGTGACCAGCCATGGGATCTGCTGGTGAAGGACAGGTAAAACAACAAACAATCATAGCATCACTGCAATTCGTGCTCCTCTCATGTAGCACACAGTGAGACTGAAGCATAGGGTTGCACTCTAGGAAACAAAACAGTTTGCTCCCAAAATTCTCAGAGATACAATTTGTCTTTTTAAAGTGAGGGTGTATTTTGGCCAATTATACTATTGCTGCTCTGACATATTCCTTGTTTTAGTTTGATTTAAGTTTTGATCTCATGTTTTTTAAAATACTGATTTTATATTTGATCTTCGTTGTTGGTAACATTATGTTGAGCATTTCATGAAAAGGTGGTAAATCTATTTACTGCAAGTTAGATTCCTTGGTAGAAGAAAAACTGGTACTTGCGTTCCCCAAGCATGCACTTCAGCAGTTATCAGAATATTCAGCTGTGTTTAATATTTCAGATTCACCTACTTTTTAAAAAATCTTAGAATATTCTGTGCAATTCCAATCTTAGATACAGTTTATTACTATTAAAATAGTGTGCAACTGCTGTAACAAGTAAAAATAAACTTTTAAAAATTTAAATTCTGCTCGAAGAACACTCACATGATGTGTTCAAAGTAAAGTACAGAAACCATATATAAGTTTGTGTGTTTATCTGTATACAGTTGGGCAACCTTAATTTTCTTATTCTGATTCCAAATATTTTTTTAAAACCTGAGCAATTGTTGGTTGGTTGGTTTCTAAAGCAATGTGTTAGAAACATCTGAAATATGGGTGGCTACAGGACAAGGCCAATGAATGGGTGAATTGCGACCATGCCTTCTTCCCTCCCTACCCAGAATTGTATTCCTGACATGGCTTGCCTGTGGCCTTCAGATCTTGCTGGGCTCTCAACTCCCACCAGCTCCGGCCAGCAACACCCAAAGGGCCATGTTCCCCATTCCTGTCAAGGGGGCTGGAGATTTAGGGACTCTCAGGAAACAGTCAGTTATTCTGCATGAAACTGAGCTCATATAGAACTGTAAAGATGATTCAGTCTGGATAAGCTGCAATTTGATACAATAGCGATTTTTGGGAGAGTATTCCCAGAATCACAGCACATACTTTGATTGATTATTTCAGCTGCCATGGCTCCTTACAAATGATCCTGAGGAACTCTTTGCTACAGATATGCAGCCTAATCTCCCTCAACACGGATTCCATGTTAGAGAGTAAATGCCACAAACCACAGAAGCAGGATTGGTGCAGACGCTCCTCACAGAGCTGAAGGCCATCTAGACTGTCTTCGTAACACGGACTGACCAACCAACCATTCGCCGCTCACAGATCAAGCTGTAGATGATCCAGATCACATGTCACAAGCAAGGAGAGCGGTTGATGCACCCCAGAAAACAGGCCTGTGCAGTGGAAAGCTAAAAACAGTGCTGGTCACAGTGCCCTGTGCAAGATACCAGAAGCAGAGAGGGCTAAAGAAATCCAAATTGGAAGCTATATAATGGTCCCAATGCATGTCTATTGCATTACCCATAATGCATGTAAAAGGAGCAAAGCACCAAGGATCAGGTGGGGAGAAGGGCACAATTTAAGGTCACCACGACCCCCTCTGCATGCATGGAGGTTACATTTCCTGGCTACAGTTAAGATAAAAACCATGGTTTGTGGTGCATGAGTGATATGTGATCTCTCTGCTCCTCCCCACTGGAACATGGCGGAAACAGGGCACAGAAACGCCAGAAGTCAAAGGTACAACCTTAGCTGATCCAGGTGTGTTGCCTTTGTCAGTAACCGACTGGTCCCTTGGTAGGTGAGGAAGCTGGGGCCCTTTGCCCAGAGACTGGCTTCCTCCCCGGGTGCTGAGATGAAAATGCCCTGGAGGGAGGAAGAGGAGGAGCTTTAGAAGGTGTTTGCTGCAGCTGCCAGAGTGGCCATCACAGCCTCCAGATGCTCCCGGTGGATGTAGGCCACAAGCCCTCCTTGGTTGGCCCAGCGCTCAGCCCCCAGAGCGCCCTCCACAGGCTTGTTGTAGGTCAGTTCCGGTAGCGGCTTGCGTTGCCCAGCCTGCCAGGACTTCAAGGCCTCCGAAAGGTCAACCATGCCTCCGCCAAGGGCTAGCAGGATGGCATGGGGGCCGCAGGAGTCCCACTTAAAGGTGCTGCCCTCCGAGAGGACGTAGGCGTCGGCCAGCCCCAGCGCCACACACAGCATCTTGTACCCGGCACCGGAGGCAAAGCACAGCTGCTGCCCATACAGGGGGGTCAGGGCTTCCTGCAGCGCCACTTTCTCATTGCTGCTGAGGACCACACGAGGGGAAGTCCGCAGCTGGGGCCGGCTTAGCGAGCTCAGGCGGGTGCCCCCATAGGAGATGCCCCAGTGATATTTGCTCTGCCACCTGCAAAAAAAAAGGGACGTGTCAGAGAAGGCTAGCCAGGAAAAGCACCAGAGAGTCACGCCACGCTAGGACCTGGTGGAGACAGCAACCAATTGATGCTGCTTCCCCCATCCCCAACAAGAACCTTGATGCAAGGAAGATGAATGAGGTGGTCATCAGTGCTGTGTGAGTGGAAAGCCAAAGTGAGAGGCTGCAGCACACTGATTGCTAGAAAAGAAAAACACAACTGGGATGGAGGCCTGGGATAAGAGGACGACCAAGGATGCCCTGTCTTGAGCAGGGGGTTGGGCTAGATGAGCTCCAAGTACATTCCAACTCTAAAATTCAACCATTCTATTATTCTAAGGGATGGGACAAAATGCCCTGGAATCAGCTCAGCAGGGTATTTTTAATAGCCAGACTGAGAGCTGGAATTTTTGGAGGCACTGTACACTCCTTGCATGTAGCAAGATGTATCTGCACGGGTGCAGTCGGTATGCATTAAGAACACAGGAAGCAGTTTTATACCAAGCCAGACACTTGGTCCATTTAGATTAGGATTGTCCCCACTGATGGGCAGGGGTTCTCCAGAGTTTCAGGCAGGTGATGCTGGGGGTGGCATCTAGACCTGCTGCTGCATAAGATGCGCTCTATCCCTGAGACACACACCTGGCTTGAGAGGGGTTCATATGCAGACATGGGCTAGATCAGCTGATAACGCCAAGCAGGGCTGTCTTTAGAATATGTGCCGCCGGGGTGCAAAGATCCGCCCAGTGCCCCCAAATTTAGTGCTGCCCACATCTACTCCCAAGATATACTTCTCGGTGGGTGCAGGTGAGGCCATGGCGGCAGCGGCGGCATCCTGCTCTTCTGAGTCTCGCTGCTGTTGTCCCTCAAGAACTGGGTGCCCGAGCTCCACAAAGGCACGCAGCTTCACATCCAGGTGCTTTTAAAAGCTCCCCAGGAGGAGGAAAGAGAAGAAGAGGGACGCAGTAACCGAACCAAAGGTGGGCGAGAGAGCAACGCCTCTCCACGCAGGGTGGGACTCCAGGGAGGAGAAAGCGGCCAGGGTGGAGGTGGCAGCAGCGTCTGGCTTTGAAAATATTTATTATTTCATAACAGGTAGATAGTTAAGAGCTTAGGCGGCTTCAGCGGCGGGTGCCTGGCACCCCCCAGAAGTCAGCACCTGGGTGCCCCGCACCCCTTGCACCCCCGGGGTAAAGACGGCCCTGATGCCACGCCTCCCCACTTGAGCAGTGGAATTGAAAAGCAACAACTTCTCTAGATGAAACATGGATTAAAGCGAAGCTTCACAGTAGTGAGTCTGGGTCAAGCCTCTTCCATCAGCATGCGCTGATGGGTACCCAATGGGCTAGCCCACCTGTGGAAGAGTGCCCTGTGGTGGTGCTGTTACCTGCGTGCTGGTAGCTTTTCCTGGAAGAAGGGCTCATTGATGATGCCCAGGACAGGCTCGCCTGAGTGACGGTTGTATACGCCTATCAGCACCAGCGCCGAGCGCAGCCCTGAGGGGTAGATGCCATCCACAGGCAGGACATCTCCACGCCCACGGATGTACTGATTGGTGGAATCTGAGGAGAGAGAACCCGTGAGATCGCCAGTTCCAAGTCTGGTGAAGGAAGTTCAGAGTAAGGCTCAGAGAGCTCCTCCTCACGGCAGAATTGCCATTTTTTAAATGGGCAGCAGAAGGGCCCCTTCATGGCGGAAGGTCCGTAGCTCAGTGGCAGAGCACCTGCTCTGCATGCAGAAGGTACCAAGTTCAATCCCAAGCATCTTAATGTAGGCCTGGAGAGACCACTGCTGGAACCCTGGAGAATCACTGCCGGCCGACTTCCGGGGTGGCGCCATCGGCAATGGGGGACTCCCTCTGAACTGGAGGGACTAGCTCCGCGGGAAACGGGTCTTCTCCGCTACGGCGAAGCGGGGACCCTTTTAAAAATCACAGGCGGATGAAGCCTGTGACCATGGGACTCGGCGGGCACCTTTAGCGCCCCCCCAACTCGCTAAGGAACCCACTAACGGGCTCCGAAGTGAAGAGGGGGAGTGGCGCGGTGCTGTGAGTCAACTGCTATTTCCGTGGAGCGAAGCCGCATAGCCCTTGCCGGAGAGCGCTGCCCTTTTCCTGGGACAATTTGGACTCTAAAATAAGCACCCGTGAGTACTTAGACTTTGAACAACTGGACATTAGATGGGGACTTGCGAGCAGAAAGGAATTGGATCTTAAAAATTTATTTCAATTTGGTACGGAACGGGAAGGTCTAAACAGGAAGTCAGCCTTCCGTTCTTCTGTAGACAGAATAAAGCAAAGACAACGTAAACTAGAGCTCAGAAAATCGCTTTTAAAGGATTGGATTTCATCATTTAAAATTGTGGAACCCCCCTTCGACAGGAGAAGAAGGGGGATTTTTTTTTTGGACTGTTTAAAGTGAGTTTAAAGTAAAGCAACTTTCCTCCATCCTGATCCTGGAGCTGGGTGTCAGGACTGACGTTTGAAGTTCATTGACCAGAGACAAACGTTTTTGACAGATAGCTAAAAGAAGAGAAACATAGTGATTCCACTGTTTCCCTTCGCATTTCAAAGGAACAAATATTGACAAAGTATCTCAAAAAGGAAACTTTGTTGCAAGATCAAATAGAAGTTTCCCCCTAGAGGGAGACTGTGAAACTGTAACCAACTCCAGGGAGCCGGCAGCTGTTTACAGATTACAATCGTGGGAATAGGCATTTGACCTTGCAGGACAATGTATTCAGAAGCTTTGTTGTGTGCTTTCTACAAAACAAATGCCCTACTGGAACAGTTACATGAGAAGGTGAATTTGATGACGACTTCGACTAGAAATTTTGAACAGGCAGTGGGAAATTTTGAACAGACAGTGGGAAAATATGTGGAGCCCACCCAGGAATTAAATCAGGAGTGTGTCCTGACAGAACAGGCCCAACAGGAATATGAGTTTTCGGATTTGACAAATGAACTTGGAAAAAGCCAGATTTGGAAAGAAAAAGTTTGGTTTGGCTTGGAAATGGGGGGCTGGATTGACCCCCCTATGCTGGGATGTTTGGACTTTTCAAATCTGGCAATGGGCCGTGAGATGTTTGGGATTGTGGGGGCTCTTAATTTTGGAGGGTCTTTGAAACATGCTTTTAAATACCATATGGAATTTAGTGCTGAATATGGAAAAGGGGCTGATCTGTCGAGAAGGGTTAAAAATATTGCCAAGCTGGAGTTACCACGAGCAGGAGACAAGGGAAAATACAGTTACAAATATGAAGAAGAGCTGCGGAAGGGACATGGAAGAGACTTGAGGGCCTCGGATATAAGGTTGCCAGGTTAATGGGCCAGATCGATGGGATAATAAGGACTGACAAAACCCGGAACCAGGAGGAAGGGACGTTGGATGAAGATTGGATCTGTTTGTATTTCTTTTTCTACCATTAGAACTGTTTTATAAAATTGATGAATGTCAGAAAAATGTTGGAATGAAATTACTCGGCTTTAGTAAAGATGTTTAAAGAATTATGAAAGAATATTATGGTTATGAGAAGTTGGTAAGGATAAGATTTAAGTTTTAAGCTTTAAGGTTTATTTTCTTATAGAAAGATAAGATTAAAACTGTTTAGGGTAATGTAATGACAGAATATTATGAAATATGGAAAGGATTTGCTGGGATAATTAATAACTAGGATACAAAGAAAGGGAGGAGGAGGAGGTCAAAGAAAGAAGGTAATGACAGTTGAGGATTCGAGAATAATGAATTTGTTTTTAAATGTTCTTAAATTGTATTTTTTTTCCTTCTCTGTCTTTTTTTTCTTATTTTTGAATTTGTATTCGTATGGTTGGAAGGGGTTTGTTTTTTTTCTTTTTCTACTTTGTTAACTATTTTTATTTTGTATTTTCTTTTGCTTTTATTTTATGTTGTAACACTTTGAAAATTTCAATAAATATTTTATTAAAAAAAAAAAAGAGAGAGAATCACTGCCGGCCAATGCAGACAACACTGGGTGAGATGGACTAAGGGTCTCACCCAAGTGTCGGGCAGCTTTCTCTGTGTCTGGAGCCCAGACTTTGCAGGCAGAAGGTCCCAGGTCCATTCCTTAGCATTTCCAGCTAGGGAGGTAAAAAAGGAGGTAGCAGGTGAAGGAAAGACCTGTTTTTTACAGCTTTTTAAAGCTTTTCCCTATCTCTCTTTCTCTCTCTTTCTCTCTCTCTCCCCCTCTCTTTTTTCTTTTTTGTCCTTTTCCACTACGTTTTTATCTTGTTTAGACTAATGTTGGGTTAAAAAGATATTTGATATTAAGTTTTGTATTTTTCTCTATAAACTCTAACAAAATTTATTGATTTATTTATTTTTAAGGGCCCAAGTCCCTGGAGAGAAGACGAAGAAGAGTTTGGATTTGATATCCCGCTTTATCACTACCCGAAGGAGTTTCAAAGCGGCTAACATTCTCCTTTAGGATTCCTTTGAATTCAAATAATATATTGCCTACTTTTTATGCCCTTTACGAATAAATGTGTTGAGGGGTGTGTGTGTTTGTATGCATGTATGGAGAGCCACTTTTAGTCAGAGCAGAGCAGCCACTGCCAACCTGGTGCACCACCCAGGGGCTTCGGAGTAAAGCTTCCATCCGTTTCAATCAGAAAAGCCATGCTGGTTGAGGATGATGGGAATGGTAGTTCAAAACATCTGGAGAGCACCAGGGTTGGCAGAGGCTGAAGAAGACAGTACTGGGCTAGGAGGACAAATATGGTACTTGGGCCTGGTGGTATTGTTGGTTTCTATTTCCTTCACTGAGCAGCATCTGCTTGTCACGAGACAGGTGTTTACATTCCACAGTCTGTACTGTTGGAGTTTCTCACGGGAAAGGGAGACTGGATGTGACGTACACTGGTTTCCTGTTTTTCACTGTGTGATTCTCTCCGAGCTGTCGAGGAGAGAGGATGCATTTTCTCTGCTCCGGCAGAGGCAAGATGTCTTTCTGTAATATACCAGCTTTGAACTGTAAATAAAGCAATATAGAGTATGGAGCACGTACTCCTCATCCTTCCGCTGGGCACGACAGACTCTGCTTTAAATCAACACGTGGTTATGGGCCCAGAGGTCGAATCGGAGTGCCGGCAAAGGATCGGAATGCAGAGGGACAGATCGGAACGGAATCTGCTCTGCGCGTAGAAGTGATTGATGAGGTATGTGCTACTGCTCCGGGCAGCCTGCCAGCTTCAAGTTAATGGCTTTATGGCTGGACTTTGAACTTTTAAAGCCGGTTTGCCGGGAATAGGCAAAAGGCTCCCAGGCACAAGTCACTATGCTGGGAAATCGAAGTAACTTTTAAGTGCGCCTTTGTAATAAGGCAGCTGCAGCAGTGACGCAGCAAGATTTAAAGCAGCATATATATGACGCTGAAGGCTAATGCCAGAGTCATGATGGCCCTTCAGGATGCTTGTGGGATTCCTAAGCTCAACAAGAAAAATTACAGCGACTGGGTTCAGTATGCAGAGGCAATTCTGCGGAAGAGGGTTTGTTTGAGGTGATTACAGGAACCCCCCCAGTTCCGGTTACAGATGCATGGGAAGCTAAGGATTCCAAAGCAAGGGAACTCTTACATTGATAGTATCCCCAGAAGAGCTCTGTCTATTGCGTGATAAGACCTCAGCCAGAGAAATTTGGGACGCTCTGAGAGAGGCTCACTTAAGGACAGAAGCTGGATCCACTATGTTTTATTTTAACAAGCTGCATAATATGGCTCTTGCTGAAGGTGGAGATGTGCGTTTACATCTAATGGAGATGCAAAATCTGAGACATGAGCTGCAACAGAGAGGACTCAACTTTCCAGAGGCTGTGTATTCTTTCATGATACTACAATCTTTGGGTTCAGGTTGGGAGTCTGTTGCAACCCAGATTGCTGTGCAACCAACTGCTCAGCTGACAGTGGACTTTGTTACTGCCGTGATTTTAAATGAAGCAGATCGCCGGGGTGCTAGCTGCATGGGCAAGGGAGTCTTCACAGACGTCATCCCATAGTGCAGTGGAACCACCAGATGGCGCCAAAGCTTTGAAGGCAGTGAAATGCTACTCGTGTGGACGTCTAGGCCATATGAAGAGGAATGCAGACATCCCAGGGCCAAGACAGAGCAGCGCAGCGAAGCTCATCGCGCGGAAAAGGCCGAGGCAAAGGCAAGGTCCGGTGTCTAGGACAACGCAGCACAAGGCTATGGTTTCACGCTTCACTCCAAAGGTTGCAGAGGTCCAGAAGACGTCTAGATCTTTCTTCGTTGTTGATTCAGCGGCCACCCACCACATGTGCAACGATAAGAGACTGTTTGTGTCTTTTACACCGCAGGAAGGTGCGATTCACCAGGCGGATGACCACACTATTCCCAGTAAAGGCTACGGAACTGTTGTTCTTCACAGTTTGGACTTATCGATACAGAATGTGCTTTACGTGCCAGACGCCAAACATAATCTGCTCAGCGTTGGACAGCTGAATGAGCGGAACATTGACGTTTCCTTCAAGAACAAGAAGTGCATCATCACAAAGAAAAATGATTATGTATTGCATGCAGAATATGTTGATCGTTTGTTTGTTTTGTATTATGATGATGTGGTGCAGGATGACACTTGTTGCATTGCAGGTTCTAACAAAAGTTTGCATGCAGAATGTATTCACGATTTTCATCGAAAATTTGGTCATTTGCATTTTGAGGCAGTATCTAAAATGCCTGCCTTGGTTGAAGGTATGACTATTAAACCCTGCAGGTACCACATGAAGTGCAAAGCATGCGCAGCAAACAAAGTGAAAATGGCTGCGAAAGGTAAGGTGTCTAGTAGGACAGCTACAGAACCATACCAGGTTGTTCATGCTGATTTGGTTGGACCACTAGCGCCCTCTTTGGGTGGAAATAGATACTTCATGGTTCTCATTGATGCATTTTCTAGATATATTTTTGTGTACAATCTCAAGCAGAAATCGGAGGCTTTTCCTAGGTTCAAGGAATTCTGTGCTTGGTTGGAAAATGTGCATGGTAAGAAGATAAAGACTCTTTTCAGTGATCGCGGGGGAATTCACTTCTCAGCAGTTTGAAGCTTTTCTGACTGAGAAAGGAATTCAACACGATTTGTCTAGTCCTCGCTCGCCATGGCAGAATGGACTTGCGGAGCAGGCAAATCAGACTTTGCTTCAAGGGTTAAAAACCTTGCTGCATGATGCCAATCTTCCAGAGAGTTATTGGGCCGAATCTCTCTCGTGTTTTGTTTACAGTTACAATCGCAGGTTATCTTCAGCGATTGGTTGTACCCTATGAGAAGATGTTTGGCAAGAAGCCATACATCAAACACATGAAGATTTTGGTTCTGACATGTGGGTTCGCTCACCACAAAACTCCAAGTTAGACAAGCGTGGATTGCATGGTATCTTTCTAGGTTATCAGAAAGGGTCTTACAGAATAATGATGACTGACTCTAAGACAATTAAGCTCACGAGAAGTGTTGAGTACAATGCAAAGTGGGTGGAGAATGTGGGAATTTTCCAATGTTATCCTGATGACGGTGATGAGACTGAGGATAGTCAAAAGCAACCACAACAGCCCACACCCACTGATGAAGGTTCTGAGTCTGAATCTGAAACTGAATCGGGTGATTCAGAGGATTTCAAGAGTGCGAAAGCCTCTATGCGACCCTCTGAAAGCTCTGATCAAGAATTGGAGGAACCATTGTTCACAATAGGTCGTTTTCTCCTAAGAAGGAAGAGGAGAGTGTTGAAGACTTAAGGCTAATTCGTAGGTCACAGAGAGCCACAAAGGCAAACCTCCAAAGAGATTTGCTGATGAGTTTGCTACGATAGCAGTAACAGCTGTTAAAAGCTCCAAGAAGGTATTTGAACCTTCAAGTTTCCAAGAAATCCAGGGTTTGGATTCAAAGGAAGCTGAGCCATGGTTAAATGCCATGAAGGCTGAGCTTGATTCCTTAGAAAGGAACAAAACATGGGAGCTAGTTCCAGTAGTTCCAGGAATGAAACTGCTTGGAAGCAAATGGGTCTTCAAAGCGAAGACAGATCAAAATGGCAAGATAGTCAGACACAAAGCCAGATTGGTAGCCAGAGGTTTTGCACAGGTACCAGGTCAAGACTATCACGAGACCTATTCACCCACAGTGAGATATGAAAGCATTAGGCTTATGCTCAAGCTAGCTGCAGAGGAAAATCTACACATTAGTCACCATGATATTAATACAGCTTTTCTGTACGGATCTCTAGATGAATCACTTTATATGCTTCCACCTGATGGCGTACAGGTAAAACAGGGATTTGTTTGTGCTCTGAAGAAATCCCTTTATGGTCTCAAACAAAGTGCACGGTGTTGGCACACAAAACTCACTGAAGTATTGTTTTCTCTAGGTTTTCAGCAAGGAAAGCTGATCCATGTGTATTTGTCAAAGAGGAGGGGCAAAAGAAACTGTACTGTTTGTTTTATGTTGATGATTTATTATTCTTTTGGAAAGATGTTGCAATGTACAATAGCGCCCTAGCTCAACTGAAAGAGCACTTTGACATGAAAGATCTTGGTGAGGTAAACAACTACCTATCTCTGGAAATAGAGAGAGATCAAGATGGTAACATTCTAGTACACCAGTCACGGAAAATTGCTGATGTGTTAAGCAAACTAAATCTGATGGATGCTAACCCTGTAGACACACCGATGACAACAGGTTATCAGGTAGATGACACTGAAGAAGCATTTTCTGACACTACACTGTACAGGAGTGTGCTAGGCAAGCTAAACTTCATTGCCAGATGTTCAAGACCAGACATTGCTGTTAGCTGTAATTTGCTAAGCAGACAAGTCAACAATCCTAGTGTCAAGCATTGGAAAGCTCTGAAACGCATAGCGCGGTATTTGAAAGGCACTATGCATTACAGACTGAGATTTAACAATCAGAAGTCTGGTGGTCTTGAGATATTTGCAGATGCAAGTTTTGGAAGTGACGCTACAGACAGGAAAAGTACGTCTGGAGTTTGCTACATGTACAATCAGAGTCTGTTTGATTGGTCATGCAAGAAGCAAACAACAGTTAGCTTAAATACTTGTGAAGCCGAACTGAATGCACTGTCTTATTCACTTAAGGATTGTGAATGGTTAGTACAATTGTGCAAAGATATGAAAATTCCTGTCAAATGTCCAATCCAGGTTTACCAGGACAACAAAGCATGTTTGGCTTTGCTGAAGTCTGAAGGTTGTAAGCAAAGCACAAAGCACTTACAATTAAAGTTGCAGCATGCTAGGGAATGTATTCAGAAGGGACTCGTAACGGTGTCCTATATGCCAGGTAATGAAATTCCTGCTGATGTATTGTCCAAGATTGTATCAAGGGATCAACACTGTACCTATGTGCAGAAGTTGGGTTTGTACTGATATTGTGCAAACACGCTGCCCAGTGATGTTCACAGAAAGGGGGAGGATGTTGGTTTCTATTTCCTTCACTGAGCAGCATCTGCTTGTCACGAGACAGGTGTTTACATTCCACAGTCTGTACTGTTGGAGTTTCTCACGGGAAAGGGAGACTGGATGTGACGTACACTGGTTTCCTGTTTTTTCACTGTGTGATTCTCTCCGAGCTGTCGAGGAGAGAGGATGCATTTTTCTCTGCTCCGGCAGAGGCAAGATGTCTTTCTGTAATATACCAGCTTTGAACTGTAAATAAAGCAATATAGAGTATGGAGCACGTACTCCTCATCCTTCCGCTGGGCACGACAGACTCTGCTTTAAATCAACACGTATAAGGCCGTGAGAAGGGAGCTGGAGGTGGCTGAATGGATCTCCGCTAACTTTCGCCAAAAGCTAGTAGTCCCCACAGAGGGAGGATAGTAGAAGCTGTATCCCCTGGGTTCCCTGTCCCAACAACTGCAGCAAAGCAAGAGAGCACGTGCTTCACCTATGGGACCTCCAAGGTTCAAGCCTTGGAATCTCCAGGACTGAGGAACCTCCAGCATTCCCTTCCAAGGGCCATAGGCCAGGGGTGGGAGCAGAGGCAGAACTGGGCAAATGACCTGAGGCAGCAGAAAAAGATGCCTGCCACCAGAGCACTTCCATCAGAGTACACAGTGACTGGACAAACCAATAGTCTGATTTAGTGTAAAAGTAACTCCTCTGTGAGAGGTAGCCAACGAGCCACCTTCTGAATGTCCAGGATCTGCCATCATTTTCAGTAACTGGCCATGCTGGCAGGGGCTGATGGGAGCTGCAGTCCAAGAATGCCTTGAGAACTTGATGTTGGCTATCCCTTTCCTGTCTTACATTGTTGTTGTTGTTGTTGTTCAGGACCGAAACTAGGCTTTCTTAAATTGGGTCAAAGACCCCATTTGGCACCCAACCCCCCGGATGTGTGTTTGTGTACATACATACACATACATACATACAAACACACCCACCCCTCAACACATTTATTCGTAAAGGGCATAAAAAGTAGGCAATGTATTATTTGAATTCAAAGGAATCCTAAGGGGTATTATGACTGTATGACCAAAGGGAAAACGAGCATCCCTTCCAGTAAAAGCAAATTGTTTGTCAAAAGTAGAACTTCCTTGTGCAGTAATTGTCTATCTGAGGTCAGGGTTTGAATTGGATTTATTTGGTCATAGGATTATTAAAAGATTGCATTTCCATAAGATCAGCCAAGACCCTCTGGTTTCCTTAAAAAAAATATTTTCCCCCTCTTTGAGGTTTTTTGCCACCCACCCCTCCTCTTGGTTCTGTGCAAACCCTTTCAAGGAGTTTTGACGTGTAAATTTACTCCCAAGCATCAACAAGATTCGTTTCAATTTTATTTTTGTTTGATTACTCATTTTAGGAAATGATAATTTTGTAGTCATTTTAGGTTCCAGGTAAGGTGAAGAAATGCTTTTGCAAGTCTAAAGTAGAAAGCGCCCTTCCATTACAATCCTAATGCAGCCAGGCTGACCAGCGCTTGCCAGGGAACTGCCTCTGGCAGGAAAAATGCTCTCACACTTTCCTGTGTGTAGATCATGTACAGTCTGAAAATGACTCAACCTTAGCTATTGAAAAACATTCAAAGTTCTGAAGGGATTGTAGAATCAATAGAATTGTAGAGTTGGAAGGGACCCTAAGAATCATCTAGTCCAACTGATTCTCTTCCTCATTTTTCTGCCCCTCCAGAATTTCTTTCTCACACTAGCAAATCCACAGGGGATCCTATCTTCTGCTTCCAGTGGGGAGAGCCAATCAGTCTCTCCAGATTTTCCGACTCTCCCTCTCCCTGAAATTGTGTTGTAAATAAGCCTTCTTCAGCTTCATGGAGAAAGGGGAAGGAGCTTGTGGATGCCATGCTCTTTTTCATCTTTCTCTCCAGCTGAAGCCCAGACAAAATGGGAGGCTAGGGGCCTCAATGGTGCCCCTCTGGAAGCTTCATCCAGGGCAGAAACCTTGGCTAGATCCCCACTAGCAACGGCTCTGTGTTGTTCTTGTTATTATTTATTGGTTGAGTTTTCTTGCCCAAGGCAACTCAAAGCAACTTACCACCAACCCCCTAAAAAGAAAACACCCTCACGGAGATACATTCAAGCAAGCAAGCAAGCAGAAATCCTCTGGGAGGAAGATCCCCTTGCCCAACTGAGCCCAAACTCTTATTTCCCGACCCCATCGAGTGCTCAATCCAACATCCACCCATGACACATGGCTTACCTATGGGATCAATCCACACAGCCATGCTCTCTGTGGAGATAGTCACAGCCACATCATCCAGGGCTGGGTCTGAAAGCACCACTTCCTGATGAATAGCTGCAGCCAGCAGCTCGGCTGCCGCTTGCTTCCGGTCAAGGACTTTTTCCAACAGGGCAGCAGTTTCTTGTTGTGTGGGGCAAACCTGCACCACCACCGTCTCCCCTAGAAGTCCAAAAAATAAAGTTTTTATGCTGGAGGGCTTTTCCTTGGAGGGCGGCTTGCGGGCTGGTAAAACGACTCCCATGGGCTGCTTGTGGCCCATGAGCCTTAGGTTGCCGACCCCTGATCTAAACACATCTCAGAGAGACTACAAGGGGTAATGCACAGGGGTTCCTCAGATGACTAGTTGTTGTGAAATGGGTAGATTTGAAAAATATAAGGCTAGAAGAACAGTAGCCAATAAAAAAGGTCAAGTGTGGTTCAGAAAAGTCTTTCGCGTGCAACAAAGGGACCTGGAGTTGGGAGAACTGACTTTAGGAATAGAAAACGGAGTCCAATTTCAAGCATAAAGTACATCAGAGTGTGCAGCAACAGAAGATGATGGCTCAGTCAATGATTCTAATTAAGATAAAGCCGAGAAAGAGGACCAGCAGTTTGATAGAGCAATTAATAAAAATTTGCCCTCTCCCTGCCACTTAAGGACGCCATCACTCACCGAGGCCATTTTCAAATTTGTTGGACTCCTCACCACGGATATGATCTTGTAATTCTGGAAACTGGTAGCGCCAACAATGGAGAAGGGGAAAGGAAGAAGAGAGAGTGGCTTAGTCACACTAATGAGTCAGGTCTAAGAGAAGGTTATTTTGGTCTTTCTGCCCCATCATCCCTAGTTCCCACTGGATCAGAAAGAGACAACTGTGCATCAGGGCTTGGAATGAATTAGTTTGGTTTAATGATGTTCATGGAATTAGGACAAATATCTCTAAACTGCACATGAGAGCGGCTTCCATAATTGTCAGGTGAACTGAACATAAATTATGTTCATTTTATGACAGAATTTTGAACAATTTGTAATTCATTTTCAAGTTCATTTTCTCATATGTGTTTTTAGCTCTTTAACCCTTTAGGGCTTTTATGTTTTAAGTTCATAATTGGTGTGTGTCTGTGTTGACGGAATGGAGTATTTAAAATAGTAATAATAACCTAGACTTTTCTCCTGAATGCACTAGCACTATTTGAATGGCTGGTCCTGCTCTGACATGTCTGCGTTCTGTAATGTCCTTAGTAGGTTGGGCAACCACACACACACACACACACACACACACAGGCTTGTGGCTAGATCTAATTCTTCCCTTAACCCCAGGGAAAGAATCCTCTCTACAGGCACTCCCATGTGTCTAATAAACTGAGTTATGGCCTAAAAAATTGCCTCCCCATTTGATGACATTGTTTTATTATTATCTTTATACCCTGCCTTTCCTCCAAAGAGCTCAAGCAGGTGTACTTGGTTCTCCCCCCCCCCCCCATTTTATCCTCACAGTGACTCTGTGAAGTGGGATAGGCTGACACAGGAAAACTGGTGCAAGGTCACCCAAGGAGCTTCATGGATCTGAGCCCTGGTCTCCCAGGTCCTAGTCTAACACTCTATACCACACAACTCTTAGGCAAGCCACTGTTCTCTCAATCTACGGTAATTTGCAGATAGTAATAATGGCCTACCTTCGTAAGGTAGCCTTACAGAGTAATTTTGAGGATTACTGGGCAAATTATGCAAAGACCATGCAATATATGACACTTTATAGATGTGAGCTGTTATTATTCCAACAGGAGAAGGATGAAGGCACCTGGTTGTTCCCACTTTCACAACCATTGGGAGCAGTGTGGCTTAGCCACTGCAAAGGGCCGTAGGTCAGCGACAGCGCATCTCCTTCACATGCAGAAGGTCCCAGGTGCAATCTCTGGCTTTTCCTGGCAGGGCTAGAACAGGAGCCTGTCTCAAGCTCATGGAAACCAAGGGCAGCCAGTGTGGGCAATGCTGAGTTAGATGGTGCGATGGACTGATTCAGTATAAGGCAGCTTCCGATAGTCTTATGGCTCCAGCTCCATCCCAGGTCCTGCTTCCAATTTAGTATAAGTGCAGCAGCCGCTATGAGCTTTTCCCCTTCTACATTTCCCCTAGCTCTGGCCTGCGATTGCTATATAAACCCTTCTTTACGTATCCTACAGTGATGGGGCCCCTTCCCCGCAGCAGATACCTTTTGCCCCACATCATGCTTGATAACCTCTTGGATCAGCACGTCGGCCAAAGTCTTGAAGTCCTGCAGGAACTTCTTGTTCTTGTCCGCCCCTCTCTTCTCCTCAATGAGTAAGCTGAAGAGGGCCTCCTCTTGGCGGCACAGCTGGGCGATGCAGGCTGCCTTCTCCGATGCTGCAAGCAGACTCTTCAGAAGAGCCGCCATGGTCTGGGGCAGGGGAAGGAAGAAGCAACCGTGAATGCAAATTCAAGAGGCAGGCACAAGAGTCACGTTCCTTCATCCTAAACCCCATCCTCTCTGATTGGCTACAGTGCCTGGAGGAGAAGAAGAAGAAGAGTTTGGATTTGATATCCCGCCTTTCACTCACCAAAGGAGTCTCAAAGCGGCTAACATTCTCCTTTCCCTTCCTCCCCCACAACAAACACTCTGTGAGGTGAGTGGGGCTGAGAGACTTCAGAGAAGTGTGACCAGCCCAAGGTCACCCAGCAGCTGCATGTGGAGGAGCGGAGACGCGAACCCGGTTCCCCAGATTACGAGACTACCGCTCTTAACCACTACACCACACTGGCTCTCAGAAGCCCAGAGGGAAAGGGGCAGTGATGCAGGAGGCAAGATTCCTAGGTTATTGTTCCATCACTTGGGGTATAGTGGAAGTCAGCATGGTACTGTGGTTAGAGTACTGGACCACGGAGGCCCAGGTTCAAATCCTCAGTCAGGCACCAAGCTGCCCACACCACCTACTAATGAGATGGCAAGATTGTTGTGAAGGATAAGGAGGGATGGGGAGAAGAACCTTGTATGCAGCCCTGAGCTCCTTGAAGGAAGGAAAGGATTAAAATACGAACAAGTACAGCTGCAATCTTATACTCCTGGGGAGCAAGCCCTATGGAACAAGGGTGACTTTGCGCCAAGTAAAAAGGCATAGGATTGCAAAGTCACCTATGTACAGACCAGTAAGGAGCCTTTTTTTGGGTGGGTGGGGGAATTCTGTGTCGCTGCTTAATTGCTCCAGTGTAACTCAGTTAGCTAGCCAGCCTGAAGAGAATAAACCCAGAAAGATACAGTGCTACCTATTGAAAGCGGAGAGGCAGAGAGAAAGATTAACAGTGTGGTCCTATGCATGTTTACTCAACTTCTGAGAAAGTATGCACTGTTGCACTGCACAGCACTAAAGGAGGGAACATGTATTTCCTACCAAACGGAGTTAGAGATGTAAACAGCAGGAAGACCTAATGCTCCTTCCCATCTCTGAGAACAGTGCTAGAGTGAATGACGAACAAAAGCTCTGGGATTTTGCCCAGGCTTCTATCATCTGATAAGAATAATGGATGGAAGCATAGCACTTTGCGTTTTTATGAGCTCTTAAAAGTCCTTTCACTGGTGTTTCTTGCAATTAGCACCTCTATGCTACAGATGCCTTGTGCCAACAGCATTCAGTATCCTGGCACACCTCTCTTGCTATGATTATCTCTCAGTTGCAACCCCAACATAAAAAGATATAACGCCAAATATTAGGTAGTTAGGGGAAGAACACTAGGAACATTCCAGAGTAAACCCTTGGCAATATTCTTCTTGGTCCACAGCCACAGGAGACAGAGAGACACAGAAGGAGGAAATGGGGGGCAGAGGGTGGGAGAAATGTAGCAGGAAACAGTGGAGTTGAATGTCCTTTCCTATGAACTGCCAGAATCTCTCTTTACACTTATACATATTCAATAAAGGGGCAAGAACCTCTCTCCTAGCACAATAGCGAGAAACCTCTGGCCCTCCAGAGGTTGCCAAACTACAACCCCCATCAGCCCTTGCAAGAATAGTCAATGAAAAGGGGTGATGGGAATTGTAGTTCCGCAACATTTTGCGGACCAAAGGTTCCCAACATCGACTTTAGAACTTTTTAAGCAGCCTTGAACTACCTATTCATAGCCCGTGTAAACCATGTGCCCATGGCGATGTGTCCTAAATGTCGACCTTCCTAGTCAGCACCATCCCACTCCGATTATTATGACTGGGGCGCGCGCGGGGGGGGGATCCACACCCCCGCGGGACCCCAAAGAAGCCCCCCGACCCCAGGACACCCCGCCGTGCCACGTCACGGAAATTAACGCCTTCGCCGCCGGATGAGAAGCCGCTCGGTGTTCCGCCCGCTGCCGCGCCCTGCGCCAGTTTCCGTTCCCCGGCCGGGCCGGGCGAGGCACCCGCTCCGGAGCCAGGAGAGGGGCAGACCTGGAGGACCCGCGCCAGCCCCGCCGGGCCAAATCGAGGGGGGAGCCACGGATCGAAGGCAAGCCCCGCGGCGCATCTTTCCCCGCGCCTCACCTGTCTCCCGGCGAGGGCTCCGCGCACCTCTAGCGCCTGCTCCGGGGGAGGAACCGCCACCGGCTGGATCGCAGCGCGCAGCTCCTGGAGTCCACGCCTGCCGGGCCAGGAGGCGGCTGCCCAACTCTGCCCCGACGGACCTGAAACATGTGATTGTGTGCTCGGCCCTCGCAGGGGCGGGGAAACCTCAGGCGACGCGGCGCTCCGCTCAGGATCTCCTAAACTGAGCCGGCGCGCTGTTTTAATCTCCCCGAAGGCATCCTTCACCCTGACACCGAAAAGGGGGCTGTTGTGCTTTGCAGGGCTGATGGGGGAAGAGGCAAGGCAAGAGCAGGAAATCATACCGAGACACGGTGCCATCAACTTGGGGATCAAGGGAGTCTTTGATAATTCAATTCATTCATTCAGCATACCGTTTGCAAATTACTGGCACGTAGCCCATTCCCGTGCACATTCATCTAGAGAAGAAAGCCCCACTGTGTGAAATAGAATACAACCCCTGGGTAAATACATTGCGCAAAGAGCTGCAGGCAGCATTGTAGTACAATCCTATACAGTAGTCACACTGAGTTCAGTGGACTTTGTCGCAGGTAAGTATTTATGGAACTGCAGCATTAATTTCTAACAGAAGTAGTGTCAGGGCTCATGCCTGCCCAGAAGTCACTGCATGCCAAGCAAAAGTTATTGGTATATTATTCCTAAAATTTCCAGGTGCTGTAGAAAAAGTGACAGTGCAACCCTACACATGGGTTACCAGAATTAAGTCCCACTCAGTGGGGTTTACTTCCTACTCCCAGTGATTATGTTTATGATTTTATGCTAAAAACAACACCATCTTTGGTTTGCACTTTAGCTAGAATATCCTAACCCCAGATTGGTTGTAGTTTTATTTACTGCTGTAGAAAAACGTATTCTGTAGGTACATAGTCAAAGTGGTGAGTTGTTTTCTAGTTCCTTAAAAAAAAAAATTATTAAAGATTTTCTTGGTTTACGAAAGTACATGCCTTGTCTCTTTTTTCAGGTTGTACAGTCTTTCTTACAAATTAGTTACATTTGTTGTGAGACATTAGTGTTGAGTACAGTATAAGGTTGGGGGAGAAGAGGGGTAGGGTGTTGAGGCTTATATTCTTTTGCATAGTGTACATGTGGGGTTTTGTGTCAGTGTCAACTGGGTATGTTCTCTTTCTATACTACAGGGGTCAGCAAACTTTTTCAGCCATGGGCCGGTCCACACTCCCTCAGACCTTGTGGAGGGCCGGAATATATTTTGGGGGGGAAATATGAACCAATTCCTCTGCCCGACAAATAACCCAGAGATGCATTTTAAATAAAAGGACACATTCTACTCCTGTAAAAACACACTGATTCCTGGACTGTCCGCGGGCTGGATTCAGAAGGCAATTGGGCCGCATCCGGCCCCCAGGCCTTAGTTTGCCTACCCATGGTATCCTACATTTCTTTGGTAGTGAGAGGTATTAGGGGGCAGGGTGTGGTTGGTTGTCTGTGGTTGGCCACAGTTGGGTTTGTTTGCATGGGGGGCGAGGCTTGTTGGGTCAGGTAAGCCAGATTGATTCGTATGCTGTCTTCTTGTTGGGCTGTGTATGTGATATCCTAGTTCCTTATTTGGCAGTTCACAGATCCTTTATCAGTTTAGAGCTGCCAATACAGTATGGATGAAGAATTAAGGTTTATTTATTAATTAAGGAGCTCAAGGTGGCATATGTGGTTCTCTAATTTTTCTGAAAGATAGTGACTGGCACAAGGCCACCCAGTGAGCTTCATGGCTTAATGGAAATTTGAACCTTTTTAAACAACATCTATTCAAAATTACTCCCAGGCAAGCAGGGTTAGGATTATAGCCTTAGTCTATAATTAGCCGTGATTTCATATGGGTGTGGGATGGTGTTACTTTTATTCCTTAGCATTTTTACAGGGGGAAAACATATAATTTGCTTTGGAAGTTACATATGGTAAATCTGCTAACCTGTAGCACAACCCGAACCATGCCTGCTCAGAAGTAAGCGCTATTGAATTAAACTGAGTTTACTCCCAGGTATATTGGATTAGGATTGCAGCCCTAGAGTGGATGTTTTAATAAAGACCGGATGCTGTGCAACTGTAAGGCATCCTTCTCTGAAACTGGTGCTCTTCAGGTGTTTTGGGCTACAAGGACCAAATTAGGGGATACAATTGGGCTAGAACAGGGAATGTCCAAGTGCTCACTGGCCCCAGGGAGCTGGTAGTCCAACACATCTGGATGACCACAGCCGCATCCTGATCCCTTGGGTGGTTGCCACAGTGAAAGTCACAACTCAGATGCTTAGGAAACTGAGGTAATTTTAACCCGTTTTAGATTTAATGGTTTTAATTAGATTAAAATCAGGAAGTGGGGGCTTCCGGGTTACTTTTGGCACCATTCCCCCCTGGAGGCAGCTGCCCACAGGAAATAGTGGAAACATCAGGGGAGAATTTAGAAGCCAGGAGTTTATTCTCTTTCTAACTTGGGTCTTATTTTGTGTGGTGAGGACAACTGATGTTGCTGTTAATGAATACCTTCAGAGAAGCCGGAAGCCCGTGTGGCCCAGCAGTTAACTGCTAGCATTGCAGGGGGTTGGACTAGATGACCGCAAGGATCCCTTCCAGCGCCTCGAGCGAGATTTGTGCCCAGGTTTGGTGGGTGGAGCCATGGAGGTAGGAGGCGGGCGGGCGCGGAAACCGCCTTATTTTTACGTCCGGACGTGGAGCGGCGCCCTTTTCTTTTTGTTCCTTCCGCTTCCGTTCACGTGACGCGGCGTTCTGGCGGAAGTGAGGGCAGTGATGCGTCAAGGCGGACGCTCAGGTTTATGCTTGGGCGGTAACTGGCGCGGGAGCTGCCACCCCTTCTCCGGGGGCAGCGGCGGGGATCATGGAGGCGGTAAGTGGCAGCGGGGCTCGGGAGTTTCCGTCTGGTGCTCGCTCGGCTCCTAGGAGGGAGGTTTCCTGCTGCTCCTCCCTTTCCCCGCCCTTAAGAGAGAGCTCTGGGGGCCGCCCGGCAGGGACTTCATTGGGTGGGGGTCTTTTAAGCGAGGCTACAGAATCATGGCTGAGTTGGAAGGGACTTCGAGGGTCGTCTAGTGCAACCCCTTTTGCCCTGCACGGAACTCGAACCCAGGACCCGGAGATTTAAGAATCTCGCGCTCTACCGACTGAGCCATCGCATCAGGGCTAGATGGTGTGTGTTGTGTCAATACCTGTAGCTGTATGTCTCCGTCTACTTTATTTCGTAAAATTTATGCGCTGCTTGATTGTGAAAAAACCAAATCAAGCCTCAAAGCAGTTCACAAAAAGATAAAACAGTGAAATCGAGAAAGGTTCGTGACCCTCCTAAGACAAGCAGAAGTTAAAAGACTAGAACAGATTAGAATCACTTCAACTTCCTAAGCATCTGGGTCGGCTTGTCTAAACAGGAGAGGTTTCAGCAGGTGCTGGATCTTTCCAGAGTACAGTGGAGGCGCCTGCTTGAGCTCTCAATAGGCTGGGAGTTCCGTAGCTGCCATATTACGAAATGGTCCAGTTATTACAAGTGCAGAATGGGTATTACGTGGCACCTGTAGTAGTACCGTATAGGCTGATCAAAATGGTCGAGTGAGCCCATGTATATATTATATATGTGTATATGTGTGTGTATAGATAGTGTGTGTGTAATTGCTGCTTTTATGTAGCACTTTTAGAGCGTGCAGAGTGCTCCATGTGAATTATCTTAGTAACCTGCACCTGCATGATGACACTAAAGATAAGTTGGTTGCTATCCCCATATTGTAAATGGTTGGGCTGAGGTGGAGTGACAGTAACTTGTTCCTGGTTGTCAATGCAAATGTTACTGCAGCCTGCTTGTAACTATTCATGCTTAAGACAGAACTATAGGGGTGTAAAAGAATGTCTGGGGTGTTGGTGGGGGCACATAAAGATGCTAGCAGCTATTTCTGTGACTGATTTGAAAAGCTTTAAGATGCAATTAGCTCCTCAAGTACATTTGCTGATCTGGATCTCTGTTGCATATCTTCTCCTTAAGGATACCTTGGACCACAATGAAAAAACCCCACTTACTTTAACTGGGTATAGGATTGCAAGTTAACTTAGCCACCTCCTTCCCTCTTTGGGAATGAAAAGGAGGCAGAGCCAGAGCTGCTTCCCATCCACTGTGACCACAAAGAAGCCATTTGCCTTGGCAGCAACTGCTGTCAGTAAAAGTAACTTCTCTGCAAATACAGCCTTAATCTCTGAGAACTGTGTGCACTGATGGGATGCACAGCAGCAGTGTCTTCTGATTCCTCCTGGAGGGAACGTGTGGCAGGCAAAGGTCACAGTCCTTTGCACAGTTAGATTAACTCCATGAGATTTACTTCTGAGTAAACATGAGTATGTGGTGCGATGTGGCCTAGCATGTTGCAGCATCATGAAATATCTGCTCTGCCTCTGTACTTATCCTCCTTTCAAGGTAATGTGTGTTCTATTCATAGCGATGCTTCAGTGCAACAAGCATAATGCAATATGCCATTAACATTCTTTTATAAAAATAGTTATGAGGCATTATTATGCCAGAAGCATCTTTTTTAATTCACCTCAATTTCTCTTTTTAATATTTCTTTTCATTAAATAAAAAACATGGAATTCTGTATCATGTAAGAACTAAGGAATTGGAGAAAGAAAATACAATTTAGTTAAAAGTAAAAATTAAACATAAAAAGGAGAGTGGCTCAAGTTTGGGTTGCATTCAGAATCCCAGGAAGAAGAATACTTATTGGTATTGGAGCATAATAACATGCCCCTTTTTGTTTTGCTTTGTAAGTATCAGTCTGTTGTCCTTGGAGGTCTTGTGATATTCTCACTTGAAGCATTACTAATAAATCTTTAAGTCGTGGTGTATCTCACTAGAGGCATTTGATCTAACCTGATAATTTGCCAAAGCTTTGCGCCCCTGGAAGGAATTTGAAATGTTGCCTCTGCCCTGTTCAGCTGGCTTAATTTTTTTCAAAAATCCTGGCTGCCGGGTGCCTCTTTCCTGTGTTGTGGAGGCTGTGGGAGAAACAATGGCATGGTAGAAATTGTTATTGGTGTGCTCAGGCGTGGCCAGGAATAGGAAGCCATAAAGCCTGCTCAGCTTGTTTTCTGTACCAACTGGTGAAATTGTGGCCAGAAGCCTTTACTGTAACAGCAAATGTTCAAGTTCTCTGAAAAGTCTACAGTTTTCAGAGTCCACGAGGAGGGCAGTTTATCCAGCTGCCTTTAAATCCAATTATCTATGCTCATGAGAGTCTGTCTCCTCTCTGATTCCATTGCTGTTTGCTACATGTGAGCAGAGGCTTGTTGCCACTGAGCCCGTGACCTTCCCTAGTCTAATCCCAATTCTTATTTATATCCCCCAATGGTGCCTCCTGCATGACGCACAAACTGGTGTGGAACTACAGCAGGAGTGACAGCCCACCAGTTCTGGACACTGGCAAGCAAAGAGAGCTAGCACACATGAGTGATGATGGCTCAATAGGTTTGCAGGCTACATATATACGGGGAAGTGCTGGGTTGCAGCAGAACAGTTTTCTTTTAAATGCAGATATTTATCTGTATTGCTTACGCTATGTGAGATTGTCTGCCTGTAGTTTTTTTTTTTTTAAATGATATTTATTAAAGTTTCAATAAAAGATTAAACATAAAACATAAAAAAGAAATACACAATTCAAAATATACAATACATAGTCTAAAAGAAAGAAAAAAATAAAGAAACAAGAAAACAAAAGACAAAAAAGAAAGTAGAACAATTAAAAACAATATCACCTTTTCGTCTCCATTTTTAAATTTACTTATTTTCTGGACCTCCTCGTACCTCCCTCTTTTGTATTCCAGTTCAAATTGTTTGTCCAGCAATTTCTTTCCCTCTTTTTAATCCCAATCTTAACTCTTAATATAATATAACATTAAAATTTTACCTTTTAAAAACCAAATTTCCATTTCCTTAAACTTTTTTAATCCTAATCCTTAATCTTAATCTATCCATAATTTTAAATCCTAAACAGCTGGAAGCCACTTATTTTTAATCCAACATCACTCTAACATTCTTTAATTTTACAATGTTTCTGCAGATTGAATTTCTTCCAATCTTCCTCCACCGACTCTTCTCCCTGGTCACGGATTCTACCAGTCATTTCCGCCAATTCCATATAGTCCATAAGTTTCATCTGCCATTCCTCCAGTGTGGGAAGCTCTTGTGTCTTCCAGTCTGCCTTTAGTGTTTGAAGCCAGAGTGTGTGTTGAAGCTAAATGCTGGGTTTATGTACAGATAGACACTCATACAGAGACTGTAGTTAAGGAATCCCTGCACATAAGTGCCTGAGTTGGGAGTATGTGCAAGTATATGGAGGCTTCTGTAGTGCAAATTATATTTTTAAATGAGACATGAAACAAAAAAAAAGTAATAATCCTTTTTAAAATTATAAAGGTGATGGCAACTGACATTCAAGGAATTATAGTTACAAGGAGCATGAACTTGGTGGTAGTAGTAGTAATAATAATAATAATAATAATAATAATAATAATAGTGCCCTGCCTGGGTTGCCCAGCCACTTTGATCAGCTTCCAACTAAATATAATAATATAAAAACACAGTGAAACATTCAAATATTAAAAACTTCATTACAGTGGTACCTCGGGTTCCATACGCTTCAGGTTCTATATGCTTCAGGTTACAGACTCTGCTAACCCAGAAATAGTACCTTGGGTTAAGAACTTTGCTTCAGGATGAGAACAGAAATCGTGCTTCACAAGTGTACACATCCTTTACATATCCTTTACTTTCCCTCCCTTCCTATTTGGTCTATTCCTTTTGAACAGGTTATATCCCTCAATTCCTACATTCCAGTCTCATCGCACCAGGTTTCAGTAATGTCTACCAGGTCGTATTTGCCATCCTGTATTAAAAACTCAATTAATCTTACTTGTTTCCCATACTCTGTACATTTGTGTAGAGACAGACAATTGAAACCATAAGCCCTTCCTCCAGCTACTTCCTTCCTGTAGTATCTTGCCCTTTAGTAGGTTTCTGGAGCAGCTTCAATTACCGTATTTTTTGCTCCATAAGACTCACTTTTTCCCTCCTAAAAAGTAAGGGGAAATGTGTGTGCGTCTTATGGAGCGAATGCAGGCTGCGCAGCTATCACAGAAGCCAGAACAGCAAGAGGGATTGCTGCTTTCACTGTGCAGGGATCCCTCTTGCTGTTCTGGCTTCTGAGATTCAGAATATTTTTTTCTTGTTTTCCTCCTCCAAAAACTAGGTGCGTCTTATAGAGTGAAAAATACGGTATGCAAAATGGAAAGACAAACTTACCCTGTGGAAACCTTCTCTTTCTTGGAAATATTTCCCCCCACATCCTTACATGAGAGGCTATGTGCAGATGTTTTCACATGCCATGATGATGATGATTTATTGAATTTATATACTGCCCTATGCCCGGAGGTCTCTTGATTAACATTTAATCGGGTGCCAGAGGCCATGTAGAATTGTTCTGGAGTTCCCATGTCTGTACTGAAGGCTACAGGCTGATCACCCACATCCTGCAGAATGTATGTTAAGAAAACTGTCGTGAAGCTTGAATGCTGCTGTGAAAGTTACGCTTCTTGAGAACTTTTGTGTGTTCAACAATCTGGATTTTCTTTGATTTGCTTGCAGTCCTTAAGACTGAGAACATGGAAGAATTTTGCACACTTCACATTTCTGAAATAATTTTGTTCAGCGCAAATTCATCTCAGAACACCTTCTTGTCACCTGCAGCAAGATGTTTGCTGGTTTTGGTTTCAACCAGTGCAATCTGCTTAGGAAGCCTGCTTTTCTGGTTATCTTCGGCTTACATTTTCTCCTGTAAACACCGTTTTGTGTGTGTGTGAGGTAGAAAGACGTCTTTCTGTAGGCAGACTCCTGGTTGGACTGCAGCAAGAATCTTTGCCCAGAGTTCAGCTTTAAATTGTACTGTACAGGTTTTGTTGCTCAGGTGAGGCTTGGCCACACTTCCCTTTGCCGTGGAGACCTTTCCTATTTTAACATGACCAGGGTCTCCGGGCAGGTTTTGAATGGTGGCAGCTTCCTTCCCAGCTTGGAAGTGGACAGCTGGGGTTTGTCATGCCCTGGAAACTATGCTGACCACTGTGGGAACATAATGAAGTTTTCGTGGGAGAGGGGACAGGAGTCACCGAGGGCACAGTTTCACCCTCCCAGCTGCTGGGAAGGAGCCTGCAAGAAGTCAGCATTTCCCCATGCTGTGCTCACATTCCCTGACTTTAAGGAGGTGGGTCTCCTGAACTGGAGGTCTTAATTGGACAGCAAAGGGACTGCCAGCAGTCTAGTTCTGGGTCAGCTGTGGGATGCATAGTTGCATCCTGGACATAAAAAATGAGAATGTCCTCCCCCCTTACGCACCCAAGCGCTCTCTGAGGGATGTCTTCCTGATGTGCCACCACGTGCTTTGTGCACTTGTGTGTGTGCATGGGCTGTATGTGCGTACATAAGTTTTCTTCCTTGCATTATCCTAACCATCCTGTGAAGTAACTAGGCTGAGTAATAGCGACAAGCTGAGCTTCATGGCTGAAAAGGAATATGAACCAATTCAAATCCCGGTAGCCTGGATGCCCAAGATGTTTCTTTCCTTTCTGAACTGTTCATACAATAGTTGCAGTCAAGCATCTCTATTGCATGTGTCTGTCTTTGTGTGTGTGTGTGTGTGTGTGTGTGTGTGTGTGTGTCAGTCAATCAATCAATCTTCCCTTAGCTCAGATTTGGGGAAGCTGTTGCTCTCCAGGTGACATTCAGCTACACCTCCCATAATCCCTGACCATTGTCCGTGTTGGCAGCTGCAGGATGCTGGAGGAGTTGTAGCTAATCACCCCTGATCTCCTATTTCTCTGTGTTTTATTCTTTGCAGGCCACTGTTCCTGAGAGTGGACTGGAGAAAAGCCTGCCCTCGTCAGAAGGTGAGTGTCACACCTCGGGAGGATGCTCTGGGGTGCTGAGCAGAGGATGGTCTATGCGTGTGATGACATTATGAAGATACGGTGCTTGAAATGTGCCTTTGGAGAGCACTGTTCACCTTTCAGTCAGCAAGACCCTCCTGGATGATGGGATACTCACAGGCCCTATTAGATCGCTAAAGTTTTCCTAAGGGATTCTCACTCACTTTGAGCATGGCTCCACCAATATGTGCTTGGCTTACAAACCAGCCTCCATTTTTCCTTGCCATCACCTCCCCATCCACAAGTCTTCTGGCATCCTTAAAGGTCTTGGGGGGGAAAGTCGGGGATTTCCCTCATTCATGTTCGGGTGGGGTGGGGGAAGAAAATAAGAAACAGCAGGAAAAGACTTCACTCCCAAGTCTTAGGTGCTCCTTTGTGCCTTCAGGGATAGCTCAGTTGGTACGAGAGCATGAGACTCTTAATCTCAGGGTTGTGAGTTAGGCAAAAGATTCCTGCATTGCAAGGGGTTGGACTTGATTAGCTTTGTGTGCCCTCCACCTCTGATTGTAAGGCCTGGAGAAGTGGAGTTGTATCTCACTTGCACAGAGGCTTGACTACGAAAAGGAATGAAGGGAAAGACTCACTGCAATTTTTTTCTTCCCAAACCACCGTGCACATGAGTCCCAAGCCCAGTGAAAGGGTGGATAAGGCTGTTGGGCATTCCTTTGGCTTGGGATCACTTGTCGCTGGTAAGATAGTGATTTGTGGACACTTGCCCTTGGCCATAGGCTGACTCATTGTCATGTGTTTTCGCACTCTGAGACTTACTGAAGTTTGACATTTTTAATACAGTGGTACCTCGGGTTACATATGCTTCAGGTTACATACGCTTCAGGTTACAGACTCCGCTGTCCCAGAAATAGTGCTTCAGGTTAAGAACTTTGCTTCAGGATGAGAACAGAAATTGTGCGGCAGCAGGAGGAGGCCCCATTAGCTAAAGTGGTGCTTCAGGTTAAGAACAGTTGCAGGTTAAGTACAGACCTCTGGAACAAATTAAGTACTTAACCCGAGGTACCACTGTGTATGCCTTCCTACACCCCTCAGGCTTACTCCTCAATCCCCAGAGTGGGTCACTCTAGACCAGGCAGGGGGAACCTGTGGCCCTGGGACTCCAGCTCTCATCAGCCTTTGCTAGCATGGCTAATGGTCAGCAATGATGGGAGCTGTGGTCCAGCCCTTCTGCTCTAGGCCATTGAGCCTGGCATTGCCACCTCACCAAATGTCCAGGGTTTCTTCATCACCGTCTTTCTCTCCAGAACAAGCCAACATATCATTTTCCCACCCAAAGTGGCTGTCTGAGCAATTCAGAGCAGAAGTAAAGGATGCAATTACTGCCTTTCCAGGAATGGCCACTACCCCTTTCTTAGGCTCATAGCTTCTCGTCTCTTTAAGACGCTTTCCTTCCCAGGGTAGGCCTTCAGCCTCCTCCTTGGTGGTAGTGTGGCCTCAGCATCCTGAGAATCTCTAGCTCCAGTTTTTGAAAGCAAATTATATTGTATGGCTGTGGAGATAAGCTGGGAAACTCAGGAGAAAGGCCTGAACCAGGACGGGGTGGTTGGAAGAAGTCATGGGTGCTCTGACTAATTCCTTGGTGGGTAGAAACAGCAGAATGGAAGGTGTAAAAGGCTATACAAAGAAATGCAGATTTGCTTGATTTCCATGATTGTTTTAATGCATGGCGGATTTAGTCCTGAGACTAATATCATTACTGTTCTATTGTAAGCTCCTTGAGGTAGGGCTCTCTCTCCCTCCCCACAACCAGCTTATATTATTCTGTAAAGCAATGAGGCTATACAAAGAATAAATAATAATGAGACATAAAAGAACTTGAAGTTCCCCATGCTAACCCTTGGATGAATGGGAGCTCCTGCTCTGCAGACTTGCACTCTTCCTCCATGTGCCTCTGCACCATAGGTAAAGGTAAAGGGACCCCTGACCATTAGGTCCAGTCGTGACCGACTCTGGGGCTGTGGCGCTCATCTCGCTTTCTTGGCCGAGGGAGCCGGCGTACAGCTTCCGGGTCATGTGGCCAGCATGACTAAGTCGCTTCTGGCGAAAACTCCAAATCTCATGCTCCTTCTTTGCCTTCTGTTCCCTTTTGAGAGGTGAAGAGCGTTTTGGCAATCTACGCTCATAGGCCCCTTGTGCTTGTTTCCGCAGCAGATGAGGATTCCGGCAGCGGCATCTACACATGCTTCATGAAATCGCATCGCTGCTACGACCTCATTCCAACGAGCTCCAAGCTTGTGGTCTTCGACACTTCTCTGCAGGTGGGTAGCACCATGTTCTTCCAGAGGGCAGAGGAGGAGGAGCCTCTAAGCAGGCTTCCAAGATTCCTAGCTAAAGCCTCATTCCTTCTTAACAGTTAGCCACAAAGTGGGGACACCCACAGACAAGAGCAGGGTTTCTGCATAAGTGGGACAGAGTCTTTGAGCTGGCTTCCAGTAACGGAATCAAGTGGTTGAATTGGCCCTGCTGTGTGACTGTACTTTTTGTTTGACTTTCAGGTCAAGAAAGCCTTCTTTGCGCTGGTGACTAATGGTGTGAGAGCCGCCCCCCTCTGGGACAGCAAAACGCAAAGCTTTGTAGGTAAGTGTATCTCCTCTGAAGCACACAAGGCAGATATCTTTTGTCTTCCTGCCCACCCCCAGTTGACTGCTTAAGCTGAACTCTTTCCTCCCTTTTCTCTGCCGTATAGGAATGCTCACAATCACGGATTTCATCAACATCCTTCATCGCTATTACAAATCAGCCATGGTAAGTACATTTTGGGCAATATCATCCCCTTCTACGTTAAAAAAAGCCAATATATACTGAGATGATTTTGTCTGGAAAGTGGTCTTTAATACAGAATTGTCAGCTGCCATTGACTATTTTGAGTTTCCCAAGAACAAGTTTCTAGCCCCTAGGACTTCTGAAAGTTTCCCTCTGCAATGAGTGAGTGGAAACATACAGATTAGAGAGGGTGAGTTTTGGGGATGGACTTTAGTTTTGGTCTCAGGAGTGTTTTTCTTTTCTGTTCAATAATTTCTATGCTCCAGTCAGTTCCAGGATGGTTAGCAGTACAAAACAGAGCGTAACAAATCTAAAAATAACACATTCAGTAAAAAGAAAAGAAAAAAGACACAGCAGCAATAAGCTCTTCACTCATTGTGGACACTGATGTTACTCTCTGGAGTCCAGAGCTCTAGTCAGCTGGGTCCTGCCTCTGATATTGGTGGGGGAACGACTTCTTCCATAGCTGGGATATTAAATTCCACCCTGAGTTCCCAAAGCAAGCAGGAGCTCCCAACACTTGCAGAGGTGGCACAAAGGCCTGTGGCTTCCGTTGCACTGATGATCTGCTCTGTTTCTGGTGTCTGCAGGTGCAGATCTATGAGCTGGAGGAGCACAAGATTGAAACATGGCGAGGTGAGGAGAAGGAGGGTAATGGTGTGGGGCAAATACAGTACGGAGCACTTCTGGAGGGGAAGAATTAAAACCAGAAGAATGTGTGTCGAGTGTGTACAGCCGTGGCGGAGAAGGAGTTGCTATGCATTTGGCAAAGCACTTTTCTTCCTCCATGGTTTCCAATTCATGCCCTCCTTCCCCTGGCCAGCAGGAGGAGCTGTAGGTTTCTCTTGCTCCCCATGCATAGAACATAGCTGTCAAGTGTCCCTTATTTGAAGGGACAGTCCCTTAGTCCAGCGCCATGTCCCGCTGCTGTTCCTTATTGATAGATGTCCCTTAAATGTCCCTTAAATGATGTCCCTTAAATTGCAAAGGAAGCAGCTCCTCTCCCTCCCTCCCTGCCGGCCAGGGAGGAAGGAGGCTCCAACTGTGTTGCTTGGCTGTGTTGCTCACCCAATAAGAAGTCTAAGAACGACTGGGGCATGGAGCTTGCATGCCTTGTGTGCTGCTAGTTAATGCAAGCTGAGGGGGGTTTTGAATGCTGGACGCCATTTTGTTGCACGTGCTGCTGCAAACTTTGCAGTGCAAAGCCAGGCCGGGGAGCCATCTTAAGTTGAGGCTGCGTAGGCCTTGTGGTGCATGTGGTTCAGATTCTATTCAGTTGAACCTCTGGTTACAAAGTTGGTTGGACAGTGTTCTTGAAGCTACCAGCATGAGTTTGACCAGACTGCAGGAGGACAGGAAGACTGGAGTGCCTGGAACAGGTGAGGCTGCAGGTCCCTTATTTTGGCTGCTGGTCCCTTATTTTCAAGGCTGCTGGTCCCTTATTTTCAAATCTGTAAGTTGACAGCTATGGCATAGAATCATAGAATTGTAGAGTTGGAAGGGACCCTGAGGATAACGCAGTATCTGTGTTTCCTCTGCTACCTCCCAACACTTTGGTTCCATTGCATAACTGAGACTTTCTCTCCCACATACAGAAGTCTACCTGCAGGACTCCTTCAAGCCCCTGGTCTGCATTTCACCTAGTGCCAGGTAAGAAGCTCTGTCATTATGTGGTTGGGGGCTAAACTGTGTCTGCATTTTTAAAAAAAAAAGTCTTGCCAAGTTCTTGCTTTCTACCATCGCCCCATCTGGCAGCCTCCTCATTTTGCCCTGCCAAAGCCGCCACCGGTCAGTGGATTCCTCAGTCATCTCTTGCCCCTGGACTGTAGTGATTCTGCCGCTTGTGCCTTGGTGGTCCTCTGCACAAACGCATTCTGATCTCCTCTCTTCTCCAGTACCTCCTGAGTTGCTCAGGCCACAAGCCCTGTGATGAAAGTACCCACACAAAAGCAGGTGACTGGTGCCAAGCTAAATGCATAAAAAGAGGGCTTTGTCTTGTATCTAGCAAAGCTCTCCCACTGGTGGAAGGACAGCCCCTTGTGCAATGCAACTCCCCCTTCCCCTCTTCTCCCCACATAATTTGTGTGTGCGCGCATGGGGTTGTAGAAGGAGCAGAAATTCCACTGGTTAGGGGGAAGCCCTTGTGCAAACCAGGCAACCTCAATGGATACAACCCCATACACTATGAGCCATACACATGTGGGTACTATATGCATCCACATGCAATATTGGCACCCTGAGAACCTCAGCTTCTCTTTTATGAACCAAGTTTCTAGCTCGCTTGGTTATGAGGAGAAATTTAGAAACAAGGGGACCATTTCTAGGGAAGGCTAGACAATAGTGGGATTCTACATAGTTCTTCCCTAGAAAGCTTTCTGCCCTGCACCTTAAGTCCATTCCTTGCCACAAAATAATTTGCAAGCTGAAAAGAAATGGTCCCTTAAGAGACAAGGCTAAATTACAGAATACACAGACACTTCATTTAAATGCTTTTGAGTGGATATCACTGATCTACAGTCTTTATTAGAGTTCCTCTCACAATAGTCCTGTTAAAAGGAGGTGACTATTACTGCTGCGTTACAGATGAGGAACTGAGGCTGAAAGATGGTGAACTTGCTTTATGGCATAGATGGGCAGCTAGCGGCCTGCAGGCTACCTCTGAGCAATTTTTATTTGAACCCTGGTGGTCCCACCAAATTTCAGTTGAGGTGTGGTAAACTATTTACTCACAGCGATACGTTTTCCAGTTGTACAAGAGAGAAGGAGGGACTGCACTTCAGTGTAACACCTCTCTCTTTGATTTTTCTCTATAATGTCACAGCTGTGCTTGATCCCATGTGTTGCTGCCATGAAAGTAAGCCCTTTCTGCAGGGGTGGGGAACCTTGAGTACTCCCGGTGTTGTTGGACTACAACTCCCATAATTCCTGAGGGGAGTTGGGCATCCAGAGCCACAGTTTCCACATCCCTGCTGTAGTTGCGCCAAGTTTCTTTAGAAACCTGGCAACCTGTAAGGATTTTGTGTGTGTGACAAAATACACTTTTGCCCTCCTCCCTCCCTGGCTGCTGTCTGGAAGCTAGAGCAGCCCCAGAGAATAGAGAATTAGGCTATTCCTGTTCTAGGCCCCCCATAAGGTCTATGAGATAATGATATTAACTCATTATTATGTTCCTGGGACTCCTTGCATTCCCATTCTGTCATCTTTCCCAGTCAAGAGGAAGGAATTGTGAGATGGATTCCCCCCAATATGCAACTGATTTTTTTAAAAAATATGTTTTTTATTAAAGATTTCTTAGTTTACAACAATATGTGCATTGTCTCTTTTTCAAGTTGTGTTTTCTACAGATGTTTCATTTGTTGTGAGACATTAGTTTTACATACAGTAGATGCAACTGATTTTCATCATCTGTTTGTGAGTGACTTTCCCACAAAATGGCGCCCAAAATGGATTACAACATATCAAATGAACAGTTGTGAGTACAGTAATTGCCATTCCACTGTGGTTCACCACAATTCACTTACATGCCTCAGATGGTGGTGCTATTCTTTAAGTATTAGTATTTATTATGTCTGTTAGTCACTTATATACAAAAGTCTCAAAGTGACTTAGCAAGAGAAATAGTAGCTACACTTCTCACTTGTGGCAGCCTTCCTTCCCAGCTCTCACTGGTGTCTTCCTTCTCCGTCTGTCTTCTCCTTGGGATAGGTTGGACCATCAATTAAATAGAGCAAAACCCAGAAGTCATTGCCTGTCCTCCAAGAATCCCAGATGCACCTCCTCTTTCTCTCTCTCTCCCTCTCCCTGAGCTTTTGACACATCCCTTGTGGAGTCAGGCTCCTGAGTGTCCTTGTTGCTTCTTACCTGTGATATGCTTCCCCCAAACTTGTGACTTCCAGCCTGTATGATGCAGTCACCTCCTTGATCCGGAACAAGATCCACCGCCTGCCTGTCATCGACCCTGACTCTGGGAACACGCTGTACATCCTGACCCACAAGCGCATCCTCAAGTTCCTCAAGCTGTTTGTGAGTGACCCCTGGCACAGGCCAGCTCAAATATTTACGGCTGGCGTTGCTGCATTCCTCACCCGTCCCTCTGCCCTGGAGCTGTTTGGCATAGCTGTGAGGTGCCATCTTGTTCCTTTTTGTCCGCAGAGTTCCAGGTTGCTATAAGAAACTGTATCTTCTTATCCTGCAGATTGCAGAGTTTCCCAAGCCAGAATTCATGTCCAAAAGCATCGAGGAGCTGAAGATTGGCACCTACGAAAATATTGCCATGGTCCATACCAACACCCCTGTTTATGTGGCGCTGGGCATCTTTGTACAACAGCGGGTTTCTGCGTTGCCTGTGGTGGATGAGTCAGGTGAGGTGCATCTCTGCAGGGAGTGGAGCTCAGCCAATGTAGACAGTTAGGGTTCAAGCATTTCTTGTCTATCAGTGGGTTATATTTTAAATCAGTCTCTTGGAAACAGCAGTGTGAATGAGAAGCTGCACTGTGTTAAAAATAAGAACTGGATAAGTTAAAGCCTTTTAACTTGAACAACTTTCTCAACGAAATAATTACAGAGTGATCTAAAATACCTTGGAAAGATTCCCCAGTCAAATGTCTGGGTAGATACAGGTAGGTAGTCATGTTGGTCTGCCGTAGTCGAAACAAAATAAAAAAATTCCTTCCAGTAGCACCTTAGAGACCAACTAAGTTTGTTATTGGTATGAGCTTTCGTGTGCATGCACACTTCTTCAGATACCTGGGTAGGTAGATATCACAAGATCTAAATAATTCATCTAAATACAATCATTAAAAGTTGATACTTGAAGTTAAAAGTGAATTGAATTGCTGGTTACAGTGGAATACACCTTGGCTAAAGAAAACCATGGTTCTAAATATGATAATCCTACCAAAAGTTATATTCATACTATTGAATTTACCATTAAGAGTTCTTCCTGAAATTCTTGATAACTAGCAAAAGAGCTTTAAGGATTTTATTTGGCAAATGAAAACAGTAGCCATAAAAACTCAGAGGAATAAAAATGGAAAGATAGCTGTTCCACCTATTACAATATATTATGAAGAGGCTATAATTGCTCACCTGAGAATGTGGTTCTATCCCGACAAGTTATTGGTCTTAGAACAGATTAATATTTTAGCAAGTTTAAAGAATATCTTATGGTGTGGTACACAATTTAATAAAGAAAGGATTAGCTCAAATCCATGTATATCAGCTATGCAGAATAACTGGTGTACATTATAAGCAGAGGGAAGATACATTTTATAATAATTAAATAAATACCTTTTTATAATATAATTATAATATAATTTTTATATTATAATTATAATTATTGTAATGTTATAGTACTATAGTATAATTATTATTATAATTAAATACCTTTTATAATAATTAAATAAAGGAAGAAAATTTGCTTGGAAACCTGTATTTTTGGAAATTATATGGATTTATGGAGCTTAGGAAATTATTTTAGGAAGATTCTGTACTGGTGTTTTATAAAACTATATGTGTGGTTTCTCTTGGCTGTTTATTTAGTTTGGTTTATTTTTTAAAAACGATTATAGAATGCTTTACGTGCTCATTTTTGTTTGTTTGTTGAAAGGTCAGGGTCTGCACCCATGAAATTATAACTGTTCACGTTCAGGATCTGGCTACTATGTGTGGGGTCAGAAAAGAATTTCTTCCTCTGCCAAGTTCTAATTGACTAGTGACCTAAGAGTGTTTTTCCTCTGTGTGGGTTGCTATTCTTCTCGGAACCACCTCCAGCCATTGATCCTATTTTCTAACACACCTGCTTTTTGCTTGTAATGCATCACACTCCAAATTGTGGGGGGTAGTGCAGCCAATACAGTCATTGCAGCAGAGATATGAACAACATACGATATCAGGGGAGGGAAGAGGGTAAAATATTGAGATCACCTCTCAAAACTCCTATCTCTGTCTTTCAGGCCGGGTTGTAGACATTTACTCCAAGTTTGATGTCATTGTAAGTATCTCCCCAGTCTTTGATGAATGCAGCTGGGATAGCTCAATCAGTAGAGCATGAGACTCTTAATCTCAGGGTCGTGGGTTTGAGCCCCGCGGTGGGCAAAAAGATTCCTGCATTGCAGAGGGTTGGACTAGATGACCCGTGGGTCCCTTTCAACTCTGCAATTCTATGTTTCCATGCATGGGAGTACATTTTGCTTTGCTTGCAGGCCCTTTCTCTCCCCAAATATTTTTCACGGGGCTCCATTTGGGTGTTAGGCATACCTGCAAAACTGGTGTGGTTTTAAGCTCTGGATGTTAAAGGGGCCAGGAAGCCTCCGTTTCCCACAGCAAAGAAAGTGTTGGTGATGTGGGCTAGTAGCCAATAGGATTTGGTTGGTGGCGCTTTCCTCAGAGTCCATTTGACTGGAGTCAGGAAGTAATGTTTCCTTGGCTCATGCTGGCTTAGACCACATTAACACCACACATTTAAGTTACTATGGGATCACCTTAAGCAGTTATAGCTTCTCCCAAAGAATTCTGGGAGCTATAATTCATTAAGGGTGCTGGGAGTTGCTAGGAGACAAACTGCAGCTCCCAGAATTATTTGGGGGAAGCTATGACCAGTTAAAGTGGCATTGCAGTACTTTAAATGTAGGGTGTGAATGTGGCCTTTGTGACCTTGAGTCCCACCTCTTCATTACCCCTTTCCTCCATGGAACGTGACTTGGATCACTCCCTTAAATCGCCTGTGGGAATTTACTTTTGTTGACATTCTTCAATGCAGCTGCTGGCTGCTGATACAACAGGGTCTAACTTGTGTTGGCATCTCAGAGCACCGATGAAAGGATGATCCTGTCTTGTTGCAAGGAATGCGCTTCTGGTCTTTCTGTCTTATCTTCTGTAAATGTGCTGCAAGCAGTCCTAGCATGGAAGCACACCATGCAGATTCAAATTTCACAGAGTGGGGAGAAACATTTTCCCACATTCTTGCAGCCCGGGGTGTGCACATGGACGTGGGGAGAACAGACTTTGGGAGTCGCATGAAAGTCAAGTATGCCGCCAGATCTCCTCACCTTGTCTGTCTTCTCTGTGACTAGAACCTGGCAGCAGAGAAAACGTACAACAACCTGGATGTGACGGTGACCAAGGCATTGCAGCATCGCTCACAGTACTTTGAGGGTGTGCTGAAATGTTACAAGCATGAGACTCTGGAGACAATAATCAACCGGTTGGTGGAGGCCGAGGTAATCCCTATCTGGAGTTGGTAACTCCCTATCTGGAGTTAAAGCGCTCAGCAAAGTTGAACTTAATAGAGGCAACTCCCCATTTTACGCTGGGATTAGGTTCCGAGGCACCCCGTGTTTAAGTGAAATCACGTATATTGGGAACACGGTTGAAAGAACCTGCAAACACTACAGTTGCTGCCTCCAAGCCTCCTTGCTCAGACTCCAACTCTCCACAGGCCTCAAAGGGCTCCTGGGATTGCACTTGCAAAGGCTCATGGGCGCTGTTTTCTGCCATTTTCACACTCTTTTTGGGCTGATTTTGCCCCTTTTCATATAGCTTCCGAGTTTGCAGTGATAGGCGTTTGCACGTGCATTGAATGTGCATAAATGGGGAGTTGCCTGTATTGAATCCCGATGGGAGGAGCACACTTTACCCTCAATATGATCACACCGAGACAGTCTTGAGTTTAGGAAAATAAGAAAGCAACATTTATTACAGGGAATATATGTTGGATAGGAAAGATACTGGTTCTTTCTAGCTACGGTGGAGATTCCTTGAGCCATGCTTGCTCTTACATCTTCACAGGAGAGACACAAAAGGTGTCTCCTCTCCCAAGTTGAGGACAACGGAGGAGGAGGTGGGAATTGAGTATCAAGTCTAGCACCTGATGGAAGGTCAGCACAGGTTAGGTCAGCAAGGACAACAGTCTAGGAAACTTGGAGGTTCCTCTCTCTGCCACCTCGTTCCCATACAGACACATCAGCCTCCGGTGCAAGCTGAGTTGTGGCACAACACTTCCAACAAGCCCTTCCTCTCCAACTGCTCCTTGGCCACTCTGTTTCAATAAGGCAGCTGTGGGGAACTTCTGGGCCTCCATATGTTGCTGGACTACAACTCCCACCATCCCTGGCTGTGAGCCCAGCTTTCTAGGGCTGATGGGAGTTGTAGGAGCTAAAGATCCCCCACTCCTGCAGTCGGGGAACTTCAGTGGTAATACAGGGTAACTCAGGGTACCCATAAGTACCAGATTTTGTCTGGGTTGATTTCCCCACCTCCTGGAAAAGGTAATGATGAAATTGAAATAGTTATTTTGGTTTCTTTGTGGAAGTAGTTAAATGAAGGTGCTTCTACAACAGCTGAAATTTGGTGCGCACATAATCTGACAACTGAATACGAGGAAAAGTTGGCCAGTGGGGCTTTTTTGTGGAAGAGTCTTGCCTGAAACCTGGGATGTGAGGATGACTTCAGAACAGCATTTGTCAGCTAGTGAAGTCCACACTTTATACAACCTTATTCAGATTGACAAGGAACCAAAGGTGCCCTTGACTTGCTGCTTAACCACAAAGCTGTTATGTAAAAGGTTGCTTATCACTGAAGGATGGGATTCTCATTTCCATGGAGAAACTTGGAAGGCTTTGAATAGCATGAGGGAATATTTGCAAGGGAAGAGGACGAGTACCAAAACACCAAATTTCTTTTTCATATAGACTTGGGGACAAATAGATACAAATTTTGTACTTATGTATTAATTTACCACAGTCTCCCCTCTGTATTTTGCCCCCACAACAGCCCTGTGAGGTAGGTTAGATGACTGGCCCAGTGTCACTTGGTGAAGTTCATGGCTGCATGAGGATTTGGACCCTGCTCCCAGTCCCAATGCTCACTAAACCAACCTGGCTCTCTAAATCACTACCACCCCTAAATCTTGGCTGTGTCAAGCAAGTCCTCACAGGCCTTTTCTGCTAACCCACAGGTTCATCGGCTGGTTGTGGTGGATGAAAGCAATGTGGTGAAGGGGATCGTGTCCCTCTCGGATATTCTGCAGGCCCTGGTCCTGCCTGGCGGTCAGAAGCCCTGACTGCAGGAGGGCTGAGCCCCCCACCGTGAACCTGAAGCGTGGAGCAGCTGTCCCTTCTGCATCGCCCTTCTGGCCAACCAGCTGAAGCCCAGAGCAGGCTATGCGGCCAGCCCAGTCATCAACCAACCCTCTGTGGGGTACTTCCCATGGTCTTTCCCACCTCACCAGGCTGTGTGTCTCCTCCTTCCCCGTTTTGGTTGCAAAGGAGCCCCCAGGCTTGCTTGTTCCCTTGAGCTAGGTGTATCGAGGGGCCCCCTCCGGCTGCAGGTTCAGGTGGGCTGTACTTGCCATGCTTGGAGGGGAAGGAAAGGGAAACAGGCTTCCTGGGACGACTGCAAAGGAGATCCATGGGGAAGGGGCCACCTCAAAAGCCCAAACACACACAGACACTCGGGAGGTGGACCTCTGCAGGTGCCTAGTGGGCAGCATAAGTCATGGCAACTCTTGAGTGGGCGAACTGTGTGTTTGCGTAACCCCTGTATCTCTGCATGCCATACGGGCGCAGAAGGGATTTGTAGGTGGGAAGTTTCTATCCTAGTGCCACTTTGTCACTTCCACCAAGCAATACTCTTTCCCTCCTAGTCTCTGCACAGGTTGAGGGGGGCGTTTCTGTTTCAGAGTTGCCATCCCCTGCGCTGCCCTTCCCAGCAGCAGAACCAAGCCCCATTCCGTAAGTTACTGAATGGCGCAAACGAGATCTTCGCAGGAGCTGAAAACCACTTTCCAGGTCCTTGTGATGAGCCTGCGGTGGCCGTTGGCTGTCCAGAGTGCCTGAATTCCTGCTGATCTGTTTTGGGACAGCCTCAGTAGCTCCTGCTCACCTTGGTCTTGAATATGTTGCCTATCAGTCCTGCCTGTCAACTTAGCAATGATAGGACTCTGTATCTGTGCTCTGGCAGAGAGAAATGCGGTTGTCCATAGGCATATTCAAGCTCTCCTTTTGAGGCAGAAACATGAGTGCTTTTGAGAATCGGCACCTAATTCTTCCTTACCAAACCAGAGGCAGTTGCCTTGTCCCTCCGCTGCACAAGAGTATTTTTCTTGCCATAAAACTCACCTCTTTGTACATTCCTACAACTGCTCCCCATGTAAATTGTACAACATGTATTTTTGTAAAGCCACGGTTCTGACGCTCCGTCCACACTCTTCCTGTTTTCTTTGGCTGGGAGGGGGGCAGCGCTCGTTCTCCGTGCTCTGCCTCAACTTGGAACTTTTAAAAATGATTTCAGGTCCATGCAGGGGATCCTTCCGGGGCCCTTCCCTTTGTGTGATGTCAACTACTATTTGTTTTATTGAGATTCTGTACTTAATAAAAAATTGAGGTATCCTCTTTCAGTTTGTGTTGTCTTAAGAGCAAATGAACCATCGCAAACAACAAATATTTTCCCACGAGGGATGAAAACTCTTTCCTGATTCAGGTGACTCCACTTCTAGGGTTGAGTTAAGCAGGAAACATCCAGGGCTCGACCAAGGCAGTTTGTTGCCTGAGGTGACCCTCTTCCCAAATACCCAAGGTCAGTTAGGTTCCTTTGGCACTGGAGACAGAAAATCCCACAAGCGCCTCTCTGTATACAGTTAAGAATAAATAACCATTTGTGGCCCTTTCAGCTGCCTCACTCTAAAAATATCAACCTACCTTCCTTCTCCCACACAAAGCAGCAGAGGCAACGGGGGTTTGTGGATAGTTTTGAGATCCAGCGGCCTGACCTATATTCTCTCTTCCCCCATCCCAGCCTCTTTTTGCCATGCCCAGGACATTTTATTAATTTGCTTCTCTAAAATGTATATTGCTATGCAAAGTGCATTGTAGTTGATGGGGTCCTCGTAGGGGAAGTGGTCGTCGTAGGTTTCCAGAGCTGGTAACCCATGTCATAGGTGCAATACACCTTGACCCTTGGGATGGGCAGCCCCTTCAGGAGGTCCTTTGTGGTGTTCCACATGTTCCTCAAAGTCAGTGCTGGTGAAGAAGCACTAGTAGTCCCTGTAGGTACCATTGTGTGAGGAGGTGGAGATGAAGACGTGCGCCTCGGGCCACAGCAGCGTGTGGATGGATGTGGCTGGTCGTGGTCCTCCACTTCTCACACAATTTGATGGTGGACATGATGGGGATGCCCTGAAATGCAGACCACCTTGATATCCACTACAGCACTAGCATAGATCTCTAGCTACACAAATCTCCCAGGAAGCTCGCTTTGCCTGGGCTTGAGCAAACTTGAGAGGGTGCAACACTTGGAAATCCTTGAGAGGGACAGTGCTGGCACTTGGGGACAGAAACTGCACCAGGGCTGACCGGTTACTTAGGGCACAGTGTGCCTGGGGGTGGTGTATGCCACCACTGGGCATCTGCCACGACTGATGTGCTCCTCTACTTGCTACTGGGCTGCCATCTTCCTCCTCCTTGCTCTTTTTGGGGCGGCCCTGGGTTGATCCCCTCACCATCCATGACCAGGCAGGTAGAGCGTACACACTATACCTTTAGAGCACATTCAAATCATGTTTCCTTCCTCAAAGAATTCTGGACACTATAGTTTGTTAAAGTTGCTGGGAATTGTAAGGGATGTGAGGGATAAACTACAATGCCCAGGATTCTTTGAGGGAAAGAAGGTGCTTAAAATGGGCATTAAAGGTATTGTGTGTACATAGCTGTAGTCTGTTTATGTTTCATACCACACAATAAACAAAGCTTATTGAACACCACACACCCTGAGAACAGCAGGAAAAACGAAGGCTGTACACATTCTACATCTTTAAAGCAAATTGAGCTTTATGAGAAATCCAAGAGAGCCATCTCTATTTTTAGCAACAATAACAAAAAGAAGGGAAGATGGATTTCCCACACTCCTCGTCCTCACACACGTGTGGCCAGGATCATGTCTAGATTAGTTTAGCAGAAGGCAATAAAAGAACGTAATTCTATGCTAGAGGCCTGAGAACTCTTGCTTCTTAAAAGTGCATTTAAGAGGTGCATAGCAGCCGTTTTGGGGTCTGGAGAGGCCTGATATTCTGGCCCACCTCACCCAGACCTTCCAAGTATCCTTAATTTCCAGGGACTTCCCTGATTTAGAGAAGCCATCCCGGATTTTTATTTGATTCCAGAATATCCCACTTTCCCTAAGGATGTCCCTATTTTCATTGGAGAAATGTTGGAGGGTATTCTCACTTGCTGGCAAGCAACTCATCTGAGGCCAGGACCCTCATGGGCTTCGCTGCCCCAGGGAGATGAAGCCCCAGACATTTTGGCTTTTCCAAGCCTGGGGCTGCTGGCTGGAGGGGAAGTAGAGGATGCAGATGTTCCCCAGGCTATGTCCAATGAGGAAGGTCTACAGTGCCCATCACTGACCATGCTGGCTGCTGGGATGGAAGAGCGTTGGAGCCCAACACCATCTCCTTCCTGAGAGACTTTGTATGTCTACAAACCTCTGGCTTCCACTGTAGATAAAGTCTCCCTCACCCTGTTTTGGCTCAGTTTCTGCTGACCCCCTTCACCTGAGGGCGTCTATAACAGGCTTTGAAGTGTTTTCAGCTGGTGACATACCTGGTATTGTCAGTCCAACCTTCAACCCCAAGAGGCAGGAACATGGTGAAGATGTCCTCTGTCTGGCGGTAGCACATCCAGTTCACCACATTGGGCTTGTCCACATCAGCCTCCGGCTGGTTTCCCAGGCAACCAGGCACTGCAAGGGGTGGCAGCCTGCCTTAGTGGTGCACCCACACAGCAATATAACAATGAATACAAAGAACAAATTGGACAAGTACACATGGTATAATTGGGGGGAGCAAAATGTCAGCAGCAGCATCCTGTGGCAGATCTGGGTTGGGGGCTCCTCCTTCCTCACAGACCTGATACTTGTATGAGAGTCTCCCCACCATCTCCTGCAAGCAAGCCGTTACATTGGCTTCCACTAGACAGGAAGAACCACCTGCCCCCTCCCCAGGAGTTCAGCCGTAGTGCAAGGACTAAATGATGTCATCTTCAGAGGTGTTATTTGGCAATCCTTTTTCTCAAAAACCTACCAGCTAAGTGAAAAGGAAGCAGTAAGGGTTAAATTGCCTGCTTTTGTTTTGCAAAAGTGTTTTGATTATAACCCACCAAAATGTCACAAAATACTGAGCAAGCTTTTGAGTCCATCGGGTTGCATATTTGGGGGTGAAGGGCAGGAGGAAAATGACTTAGTATTCCCATCCCCCGTAAAATTTTATTAAGGTTATTTCATAATATAATTAAAAATGAACTAATCTAAATAAAAGCAGAAAAATGAAATGAAATGCAGAATCCTCTCTCAAAGGTAGCTCTTAATCCTTGTCTCACACGGAAAGAGATGGACGATCCCTTCCATTTATGCTTCTTCCACTCTTTTTCCAAGAAAAGCACCAGAGGCTTGGTAGCTTTTTCCTCCGAATTCACTCCAAATTGTACAGAGAGTCCTTAGGAAACTGGCTTAATATATTGAAGCGAGAATGTTTGCACTGGCCAAGTTCACTTTTGTTGTATGGTGGTTTTTTTTTGGGGGGGGGTGGTTGTCATGAAGAATTTCCCACTACATCACTGGTGTTCGGCTCACTTGCGAAGCTTCTGGGCCCTCCCGCAATATAAGGGTGTGTCACACACCTCTCTTACATGCCTTGTGTTTGAAAGCATGGCGTTCAAGATGAAGTATTCAGCAGCCAAGTAAGGCTGCTCATGCATAGGACTTGCTTCCTCTGTGGGGCTGGAGTGACAACCTTCCCCTTGCAACTCTTGAGGAGTAACCGTTAGAAGCCTTGGTGGGGTCCAAGGATCTTCCAACCTAAAGCAGCTCCACCCTCTCTTGCAAAGGTGGCCCCTCTTGTTCCCACCCTGCCCTGAATCTAGTTACAAGGCCAGCAGAGCTGCCTGTCTGTCCCCCCCATCATTCCTCCTCCCTCCCTCCCTCCTCCACTGCCCCCGGGGCCCTTAGGACCAGGAATGTGCTGAGCCAGCATCACCGCCCAGACACCAAATCCCTGTTTGTTCTGCCCGTGGCTTTTAAAAGGGCGGAAATCCTCCCAGGCACCCAGCCGGAGCCGTGGGTGGCGATGGCACAGCCTAGCAAAGGGAACAACAGTTGGGGGCAAGGTAGGTGCTCCCCAGGCCAAGCGGAAGGGCAGCGAGGAAAGGTGGAATCGGACAGTGTGAGGAAGCTTGTGGTGAATGTGGTTGAAGCTCCCAGATGGCTCCCCCAAGTATTGAAAGAGGCTGGGGGGTCACACAGTGGGTGACGATGTTTACCTTCTGGCTGTGGGGAATGGGCTGCAAAGGTTGCTGTGGGGATGTGCTGTGAGGCCACTTGTCACAGGGAGCCTGGATTCTCAGCTCTGCACACACTGAGCACTGGAGACAGGAATCTCTTTTCCTCCCCTGAGGGGCTTCTCTTCCCCCACTGCCCCCCCAACTAGTTTGTGTGCCCAGGGAACCCTCCACTCAAGGCCTATGGAACGATCTTAAGGCCTGAAGACCCCAACAGAGCTAGGAGCAGTTGGTCTAGATCAGGCATGGTCGAACTTGGCCTTCCAGATGTTTTGGGACTACAACTCCCATCCTCTCTAGCTAACAGGACCAGTGGTCAGGGATGATGGGAATTGTAGTCCCAAAACATCTGGAGGGCCAAGTATGGCCATGCCTAGTCTAGATCCTTATGCAAGGCACCATTTACACTTGTTTCACATTGGGCAAGGAGGTGCTGCGCCTAAGCGATCTGTGGGGACCAATAATGGACTGTGTACACTAAATGGGGTTGAGGAGCAGTTGAGCAGTCCATCGGGTGGAGTCAATGGCCGTGGGCCTGGCTTCTCATGGCTTTAGAAGGTTCTGCAGAGTTAGCGCTGTGGGCTGCTGTTGACCCACAATCCTACTTTGATGGGCCAGGTATAAATAGCGCAGAGTGAAAGGGACTCACCTAAAATCATTTTTGCTACCACAGAGCAAATGATATGAGAGCAGCCCTGCACCATAGCTTGGCGCTGGTATTCCTTCAATTCTATCCTGAGCTTACCCAGCTACTTTTGAGTCCTGGCGCCCCCTCCACTCACTCCCCCCTCCACTGTTGACACAGCACATTCCCCGTAGGGTGGGAGTCGGACAAGCAGAGGGTGGCTAAGGCTGCACCCACTGGTTGGAGCGCCTTTGGCTTTAAGCGTGCTGCGCTTGAAGCCGACAGAGCTCAGAACTGGGATGACATGGAGCAGGTTGGGTCCTGAAATCTTGGGCTTGCTGGTATTGCTCTGTCTCGGATAACACAAGGGAGCTGGGAATTCGGTGACCATGGACGAAAGGAGTGGATCTAGAAGCAGATTCAGGGCTGGCTGAAGAGAATGTAAAAGATCAGGATATTGTGCACGAGAAAGCTGCCCTTCACCCTCACAGACGCAAACTCATGTTGCTGTTCAATAGGTACAGTACATGATTGCTTTGATCCTGCAAGAGTGACCTGACTGCAGAAACTGGTTGTCACACCAGTTCACCTTCCTGGATACGGTCCGTGCGTGGAAAAGCGTGCCGCTGGGAGGAGGGTGTCTGTGGTTCCTGGATTGGGATTTCTAGCAATTATCCCCTCCACCCATGGTTTGCTCTTGGCACAGACCATTGGACCTGGGTTTGGGGGAGGTGGGGTGGTGGTGGATAGAGTAGGGCTACCATACGTCTGCATTTTTTCTGGACATTGCCAGGATTTTAAGGGTGGATTTGACGTCTGGGGGGAATTTCCGAAAGGCAGTGCTTTGTCCTGGATCTTAGGCAAGTCAACTGAAATATTGAGGGGGTTATTTTTGTGTTTTTGTAAAAAAGAAAAAGAAAAAAGGCGAACAATTTTTGGGGTGCCCTGGTATTTACTTTTTGAAATATGGCAACCCTAGGATAGAGTAATCCAGATCTAGACATTCTCTCTTTTCCCCACTGTAACAGATTATCAATGCAGTCAGGTTGTTGGTGAATACAAAATTTGTACCAAATGGCTGGCACTACCTTGTGTCTGTTTCAGAACTAGCTCTCATGTGTGAAGATTAGGGTTTTGGGGGGGGGTGCTATTATATGACAATGTAAGCATGTGCATTTGTGTGAAAATACGGTTGTGACAAAGTAGGGAAATGAGATAGTTTGGAGTTTAACAATTCTTGGATGCAGGACCTCATGCAACCAGTTGTAGCAGCTCATTCACTTGGTTTCCTCGTTTCCATATTAGCAAACTGTTATGCTCTTCTCCCCCTCCCCCCACCTGCCCCCATCCATGCAAAAACTAGGGTAACTAGTTTCGTCTGTTAACCTTTGGAACGTATACAAGCCTAGTGCAGAAGAACACTCTGGAGATGGGAATAAGATGGGCACCTATCATATATTTGAACTGAGGGGCCCATTTGCATGGGCACAAAGGCTTGGCAGAGATGTAAGCCGGTGACATATACCCACCGTTTGCACACTGAAGTCTCTTTTGGTATCAGATGGAGCTGTATTCAACATGAATACCTGAGACACGGTAGGCTAAGCTTTTCCTGTGTGGCCTTGTGGCTCAGGGTTTGGTTAATTGATTCTGGAAGTTCATCTCACATGAATCACAGAATCACAGAGTTGGAAGGGACCGCAAGGATCTTCTAGTCCAGGGGTCAGCAACCTTTTTCAGCAGGGGGGCCAGTCCACTGTCCCTCAGACCTTGTGGTGGGCCGGACGATATTTTGAAAAATATATATGAACGAATTCCTATGCCCCATAAATAACCCAGAGATGCATTTTAAATAAAAGGACACATTCTACTCATGTAAAAACACGCTGATTCCTGGACCATCCGCAGGTCGGATTGAGAAGGTGATTGGGCCGCATCCGGCCCCCGGGCCTTAGGTTGTCTACCCCTGTTCTAGTCCAACGCTCTGGAATGCAAGAATCTTTTGCCAAACATGTGTCTTGAACCCACAACCCTGAGATTAAGAGCCTCGTGCTCTACCAGCTCAGCTATCCCTGTCCTTTGACACACTCCTTTTTCATACTGGCCTCATTCCTGTGCCTTCAACAACAGCCCAACCCACAGAAACATTACAGGTGAACTCTCTCCAAGCCAGGGAAAGCTTCTGGCTAAATTTTATTGTGTGAGAATTTTTTGAATTTAATATTTGTAGTCCATTTCTCAAACAAGAATGTTGAGCTCCAAGTGGCTCATAATAATAGCGTTAAAAATAAACATTACAGTCTCTATAATCACATTAAAAAGACGTCTCTTCAGGCCCAGGAGCAGGACCAATTAAAAAGAAAAGAAAGGAAAATTAATGTGTACATACTATAACAGTACATTCAAAGCACATTTTCATCCTCAAAGACTTCTGGGCACTGTAGTTTACCCCTCAAAGAGTTACAGTTCCCAGCAATCCTTAACAAACCACAATGCCCATAATTCTTTGAGACAGGAAATATGCATTGAAAGTGCTGTCCTTGTCGAGACAGCTCCCCATCAGCCAGATGGAAATAATAGTCACTTATCTCACAGCATTATTGTGGGCCTGAATTCAATTAGATTTATTAAGTGCTCTGCACAGGGAAATGATATAGATCAGGGATGAGGAGCCATGGACCCAATGTGGCCCTCCAGGTTTCTTTATCTGGCTCTCAAGAGTCTCCCCAGACCATAAAGGTAAAGGTAAAGGTAAAGGGACCCCTGACCATTAGGTCCAGTCATGACCAACTCTGGAGTTGCAGTGCTCATCTCGCTTTACTGGCCGAAGGAGCCGGCGTACAGCTTCCGGGTCATGTGGCCAACAGGACTAAGCCGCTTCTGGCGAACCAGAGCAGCGCATGGAAACGCCGTTTACCTTCCTGCCGGAGCAGTACCTATTTATCTACTTGCACTTGATGTGCTTTCGAACTGCTAGGTTGGCAGGAGCAGGGACCGACCAGCGGGAGCTCACCCTGTCGCGGGGATTTGAACCACCGACCTTCTGATCGGCAAGTCCTAGGCTCTGTGGTTTAACCCACAGTACCACCCGCGTCTCCAGACCATGCACCCTCCCAAACCTGCTTTGCTTTGCCCCCACCCCTGAGTGTTTTTGCCTGGCGGGAATATCTCATTGGATTCCGACGTGCTTCTGTCTTGCCTGCATGGAGGACAGAGAGAGGTGTGGGAGCATGTGTAGAAAGAAAGCAGCCTACCGTAAAAAGGTAAAACTTTGCATTTATTATTCTGCTCACTTTAGCCTCTGGCTCCTCCCCTCCACTGGCAGTGGCACCTGGAAGGCTGCTTAGATTGGAATGTGGCCGTTGAACTAAAAAAAAAGCTTCCAAGCCGTCCCTACTATTAGATTGGTTATCAATAACCCCGATCCCTTTTCCCTTGAGTCCGTCCCTGGCCCTTCGGGACCTAGATTATGGCTGCTTCCAGGGCAGGGGGGACAAAAGGATGCAAGGTCTCCTCTCTCTCTCTCCCCGTTCCCCCACCCCCGATAATAAATGGGGTTGTGTCACTGGCAGCTCTGCTAACCACCCCCATTCTTGCCATCCGTTGCCAATGCAGTTGCCATGCTGGCGCTCAGTTGCTAGGTTTCACTTGGAGCTGGCGTGGGAGTTTGTACTGAACTCTCTCATTTACTGGGAAATTTGGCGGGGGGAGGAGAGGCTGCATTTAGTTGGGGTGAGGGGTGAATACATTTTCCAGAGAGTAAGCTATAACGCACTGAAGGTGGGGGGGGGTGTGAAGAAGAGAGAAAGGCGCCTCCCTCTGCAGCGCGGAAAGAGGACCAGGCACCACTTAAGCAAATAGCATCTCTGAGCTATGGGTGCAGCCAAGTAGGGCACCTTGTAGTTCTGGGTCAACTCCCAGCCCCTCTCCAGCCTATGAAGCTCCATTGGTACCACCACCACCACCAAACCTGATGCTGCCAGTTTCTACAGCTGGGATGGGGAGCCTGGTGGCTGGACTGCAGTTGCCCTGCCTCCACACCTGACCACTGGGCATGCTGGCTGGGACTGATGGGAGTCCCAAGCACAGCTGGAGTTACCACAGCAGAAGGGAGGTCCTCTTTCTCAGGGGCTGAGCCAGCGAGGAATGTGGTGTGTGTTAAGTCATGTGTCCCGCCACTGATGTGTGCTGCGCCCCCAGTCTCCCTCAGGAATGGGGAACCTGTTCCCCCTTCATTGCTGCTGGACTCCAGCTCCCATCGTGCCTGATCATTGGCCATGTGGGTTGGGGCTGCTCAGAACTGGAGTCCAACATCATCTGGTGGGCCAGTTTCCCCATTCCTATTCCACCAGCTTTTGCAGTTCCTTAACAGACAGGATTTGGGCAAACGCACCTTTCCTCCTTGGTGTGTTGCAGTGATGGGAGATGAAACACATGGGGAACAGCTCAGTGGCAGAGCATCTGCTTGGGGAAGGTCATTGGTCCAATCCTGGCCACCTCCAGGTAGGACTGGAAGAGACTCCCATCCGAAAAGCTGGAAAGCCTCCATCAGCATAGACAATATTGGGATAGGCAGGCGAACAGCGTGACTTGGTATACAGCAGCTTCCTATCTACCAACACTTCCCCTGCTGCCCCATTACTAATTGTGCAGGAAGCCAGTTCTAAATTTTGAGGACTCTTGGACAAGGTCCTCAGTGGGTCTCCTTCATCTTCCCTGCTGCCACTGCCCATTTATTTGCTTCTCCCTTGAAGCCCAACCATAGCTTAGATATGCAGAGGTTACTGCTCTTCAAGACAGGGCAGATCAGGGCCAGCCCAACTCTTTGGCACCTGAGGTGGATTCCAAAATGGCGCCCCTTTTGTGAGGGAACAAGGTAGGAAGAAAGACTAGTGTTGGGATCTGCTACCCTAGTGGATCCTGCCACCTGAGGCAGTTGCTTCACCTTGCCTCATGGGGGGGTGGGGGTGGACCTGGGGCAGGAAGAAATAGCAAGGAGGCGGCACAGCAGAACTAGGAACAACCTGAGATTGGTGGCCGGCCCCCTCTTGGCGTATGGGACCCTGCAGGTGACTGCGTTGAATCTGACAGCCTTCCCCTTCCTAGACATTGTGAGGCCTGATTCCCAAGGCATGTGTGATAGTGCAAAGCGCTTGCAGTTTGGGACCCACAAATCGGAGACGGCCCAAAATGTTTTGGTACCTCAAGGCAGAAGATCCAAATGGTGAGACTCAATAGTTAAATCATTCACCATCTGCTGCCTTTTAATGGTAACCCCAAGATTTCACCTCTGGTGTTAGGGCGGGCCCAAGACATTTCGCTGCTGGAGGTGGAGCAGCAAATGGTGCCACCCTCCTAAGTCTAGGTGACCAAGTTATTTTGGCACCTGAGGCAGACAAATCTTACAAGCACCTCCCTCCCTGGCAGCAAAGATGCAAAATAACAATGAAAACTTAAAAGAGACAGCAACTTGCTGCCCAGTTATGACTCTCAGAATTATGTGCCTGAGCAAGCTGCTTCACACTGTTTTGTGGTCAGGTCAGCCCTGTCAGAGGTGAGCTGCTTCATCCTGCCTAACAATTGGGCCAGCCCTACCACTGACCTGAGCAGCTACCTCCTACAGAGTCAAAGCCACTGGTCCACCTACCTCAGCACTTTCTATACAGACTGACAGTGATGCTCTAGGGTTTCAGACAGGACTCTTGCCCAGCCCTGCTTGGAAACCCCCTGCACACAAAACGGATATTCCCTGTCAGCCAGCTGCAGCCTTTCCAAATGACATGCACAAGGTTAGTGATGTGAGGTTATTTCAAGTGGGTGTTCTATAGAATGTCAAAGGGAACAGAGTCTAGTGACACAGACAAGGCAGTCAATTCCTGTCAGAAAGCAGAGTGTGGCAAATGACACCCTTTCACATCCCTGGCCATCACCATGGCCTTTGGCCATGCAGTCACAGGGGAGTGGGGACGAAATGTAGTTAAGCTGCAACAAGAAAGCTTGCAATGGATGAAAGCTGCATCCCACATGATTCCAACACAATTTCAGTTCTTTATTTAAGGCACTTATACACCCTCCTTTATAAGGGACGTGGGAAGCGCTGTAGTCTAAACCACTGAGCCTCTTGGGTTTGCCAATCGAAGCTCAGCGGTTTGAATCTGCACGACTGAGTGAGCTACCGTTGCTCTGTCCCAGTTCCTGCCGACCTAGCAGTTCGAAAGCATACCAGCATGAGTAGATAAATAGGTACCACTGTGGCGGGAAGGTAAACAGCGTTTCTGTGTGCTCTGGCCTTCATCACAGTGTTCCGTGCACCAGAAGCGGTTTAGTCATGCTGACCACATGACCAGGAAGCTGAAGCTGTCTGTGGACAAACTCCAGCCCCCTCAGCCTGAAAAGCGAGATGAGCGCCACACCCCATAGTCACCTTTGATTGGACTTAGCCATCTAGGGGTCCTTTACCTTGACCTCACCTTACACCCTCCTTCATAAGGTTTACAATGCAAATGAAACTAAAAAGCAACAATAAAAGATACAGCTGAACAATTTAGATCAGTAAAGCAAATGGCACTATCAAGTCATGAATAAAACAGCAAAGCAAAAAAAATTCAGACAAGAAAATGTATTGCTAGCCTTCGGCTTAAGAGATAACCGAATGGGAGCAGGAAGCATTTAAGAGCTCAACACTTGGCGTTTTCTTTTACTCATTTTCATGTGAACAGTGGGAAGGAGGGCAGGGCAGGGCGATGTGGCTTGGGCGTGAGGTGATGCACGGATACCATGCACATCCTGTGTGTGGAACATTGTGAGAGACAGCACAGCGTTTGTCGGTGTGCAATCTGGGTGTCCTTGTGTGCCGTCGTGTCTTGCGTTTCTGTTGCCGTGTAACTATTCTCGCAGCAGCTTGTTAGTTGCAGAGGTCCTCTGTGTGTGTGTGTGTGTGTGTGTGTGCTTTTTCCCTCATGCACAGAAACAGTGTGTAGCAATGCGAGAGATCCTTGGTACATAGCTGCTTGCCTGATATGCCTTTGCAATATGCACATTTGTGTACGTCCACATACCTCTGTCTTTCCACTGGCTTCACCTGCGACCACCTGTCCCTGAGAACCCTACCTCCTGAGTGACCCTCGCCCTGTGCTGCCGACAGCTGCCCTTCTTCTCTGCCTCTGCCAGGGAACTTGCCTGCCATGTGCTGTGGGGGTGTATTGCACTCCCAGCTTCCCTTTGCCGGTGCTGCTGTGGACTCCGGCGGCTGCTAGATGTCCCAGCAAGCAGGACGATGTTTGAATGCCCGGGTCTGAGTCCTGGAGATGCCAGACGGCTCCATGTCTGCGAGAGGACAAACCTGCTTCTTGTTGAATTTAACACAGTTTCTTGTTCCAGCCGGGATGCCATGGAAGCCGAGCTGTGGACAGGACAAGGCTACAGTGCCCCCTGGATGTACCACAGTGTGGCTGGGCAGTACACGTGAGTCCAGGACTCTTTGTTGTTGTTTTTTTAAGGGGTTCAAAAATAGGGGGTATTTGTGGAGAAAGCTCCTGTCTTAGCTCCAATGAGCCAGCAGAGGGGGCTTAGGGGTTGGGGTTAAGGTGCTTCAGTGTTGCATCTAGTGGTTAGCATGGGGAGGGGGCATAATTTGTTTGTGTTGTAAATAATGGACGACAGCATGATCCAAAACAATGAACATGCTAGGGGTTGCATCTAGTGTTACTCAGAGCAGACCCATTGAAATGAATGGGCTTTGCTAACTTGGGTCAAAACATTTCGTGGGTCTACTCTGAATAAAACATAGTTGGCAGCAGGCCTAGGAGTTTACCAACATTTATTTGGACCCTATATAGTGCTTTTTCTAATTGCTTAAAAGGCATAGCATTTGTTACTCGTACAACATTCACTGAAGGTAAATTAGTGTAGTATTATACCCATAGCATAGACTGGAAGGCTAAGGCTGATAGCTGAGCTGGGGTTTGAACTAAAGGCTCAATAGCTTTTGCTGCTCTGTAGCAGAAATGCTCCTAGTACGTTGCCTTGGACCAGGATTTAATTTCTAAAATTGTGAGGTGGGGAGAATAGGCTAAAAGATGCTTGCAAGTTCTGTGTGTCAGGCTGGATTCCCTACTCCCTTAAAAGCTTGAGAGGGTGGGAGTGGGGCCACAGACTTAAACAATGAAGACTGGCACTGTCTCTGCACATGCCCAGATACACACTTATTATCACCTGAGGTGGAGTCCTGGGAAATGGGTTCAAGGGGTATGCAAAGTTCATTTCACTGCTTGGCTAGGCACCTTGGGCAAGTTATTATCTGTCAGCTGAACCTACATGCTGAGGTTCAACTTGGCAATATAAGAATTATAACCCAGTTTGTATGACCAAGGAAGGGGTAATTATTAATGAGAACCAAAGGCTGTGTTAGGAAGAGGATATTGCTGGTCAGAATACGTTCTGGTGCTGAGGAATGTCTGCGTGTCTCAAAGTGTGAGCCCGGAGGCAGCATCATAGCTACAGGTGGGCAGGGGGGTGGGACTAGCCAGGGTATTTTCCGCCTGGGTGAAGCCCCCAAAGGCCCCCAGCCTGTATGTGTGTGTATGCAAATGTGCATGGGATGGGTGCCAAACTGGGTCTTTAACCCAGGTGAAATAAATCCTAGTTTCGCACCTGCCTAGAGGCCACTGGTACAAATTACGCTCATCCAATAGCGCAAGACATTAGATCCTTCAACCAGTAAATAATATTAACCTGCTCTACATGAGTGTTGTACGAATTACAGAGATAATGTATATGAAGTGCTTTGAAGACTAAAAACTGCTATATAAATGCTTCATGTTTTATTGTGTTTTAAATATTTTGTTGGGAGCCGCCCAGTCAGATGAGTGTCATACAAACCTTTTACCTTTCATATAAACAATAAAATTATAATTATTATTCATTCTCATTATGTTGCTGTCTCAGTAGGGTGTCACCAAAGCATCTCTTAGGAGGGTCAATTCACCCTTGGTGCAGCAAATATGTGCTCATAGTGATCAATGTTGTAAAATGTGACACCAGAGAACACATTTGTGGGCACTTATGCTCCTGATCTGAAGTACAAAACTCATCTCTATAGACCATGCCAAATGCTACCCCAGCACATGTGTGGTGCCAGCCCCACAATTGATACGGCAATAAGCCATAAACTTGCAAGTGTAATAAACTTGCAAGGGAGGAATAATGGGTTGCTTAACTCCTTCCACATTCACCAGTTCTCTCCTGCAGAAAAAATGGGAGTCAAGAGCTCGTTTTTTCTTCATTACATCTAGGATGGTTCTTGCCCTGTTCTCAGACCTTAAATTACCAATACTGCTACTCAGTCGGAATGGAAATGTTAGAAAAGCCTAAATGATATTACCTACCATTTTATGCTCCAGCCTTTAACAGGAGCTTACCTGAAATGACAGCAATAGCAATACTGGTTAGCTACTAGAGAAGCAACTTCAACCCACTTCATGTCACTTGAGTGCTGTTCAGATAATTCCAGTGCACTTTGAACAAAGGCAAGGTGGAGTGTCAATGACTCTGGATGTCTTCAAGAATGCCTGGATCATTTAGCTATTAAGGTTTCATGGCTGCCAGGCAGGATCTGCAATGTGCAAGAAATGCTGAAGGAACCAAAATAAAGTTTTGACTGGAATGAGGTGTTGCAAAGAGGTTCGTCTGAGAGGGGAGGGGACAGGAGAGAGAACTTGTTCAGTGGTGGTGCCCATGCAGGCAGGTTCAATTCCTGCCAGTGCCAGATGGAGCCACTGCCTCTCAGTAGATGGTAATACGCTAGATGGACCCAATGGTCTGACTGGTAGAAAGCTGCTTCCTGCATCCTCAGAGTCCGAGCTAAAGTTAAATGCACCAGTGATGTGAAAGGGTCATAGCTCGGTGGTAGAGCAGTGCCAGAAACTCTGGAGAGCCACTGCTGGTCATTGCAGGCAATACTGAAGTCGGTGGGTTTTCCTATAAAGCAGCAATAAAGCCTTTCAAAGGGGGGCTGAAGCTGAGGTCTCAAGCTATGGTGTTATCCTTCTGCATCCTTTGGGCTTCCTGGTGGACTCCCTTCCGATCTCTCTCTCTCTCTCTCTCTCTCTCTCTCTGTCCTTGCAGGCTCTTGGAGAAGCAACTCGTCTCTGATTTCTCTCCCGCTCGCCGTGGCCTGGGCGCCCGCGTCCTGCAGGATTCAACCAACTGGCACGATGCTCAAGTCTTCCCGCCTCGCTGGGGCCCGCGGAGGCCGGAGGGCCGCTGGTTCTCGGGGAAGGATCCGAGCAAGGCGGCATCTCCCCCCAAGGCGCCAAGGCAGCCCAACCCGCCTTACGACGGGCTGCCCACGATGTGCAGGAGAGACGTGAGCAGCCAGGCGGCAAAGGGCCCCGCCGACGGCTGCAGATGGAGCCGAGGAGCCCCCAGGGGCAAAGGCGAGCTCCCTGCCCGGGCCCCTCCAAGCTACGAGGCCCACATGCTGCTGCGTCTCCGGGCCGGGCCGGGCCCCCGGAAGGAGAACTGGCCTCGCCCGCCGCCCTATATTGCCCCGCCATCCTACGAGGCGCCCCACCGCACCGTGCAGCCCAAGCAGCGCGCCAGCAAGGAAGCCTCGACGGCGAAGCCCAGCCCGGCGGAAGCCCCCAAGAAAGGCCGCGAGGGAACCAGGAGAGCCTGCGAGTCCGGACCGGCGGGGCGGAAGGCAGGGCGAAGCCCGTCGAAGCTGCCTGGCAGCTGGAGCTACCTCTCCGGAGCCACGACGTGGGGAGGAGGCTTCGGGGCGCGGCCGGAGCCAGCAGGGTCCCGCTACCCTTTGGGGTCCTGCTGGGACAGGAGCCCCCAGCACCGGGGCCACACCCTGCCCCGGGCAACGAAGAGGGGCCAGCCTGGCCGACCCCACCCCGGCCGTCCCCTCCAGCACACGCTCCCTGCCGGCTGGGGTTTCAGCCACGCAGCTGGCTGGCCTGAAGCCGCCGCCGTCGGAGGTGAGAGCAAAGCAGCGGGCGAGCGGCGTAGGGGCAGCTTCCCCAAGGGGAAGGAGCCGGGAGGGGGCCACGCGCCCAGATCGACGCCCCGAAGGCGAGGAGGTCTGTTTGTCATCGACGCCACGTGCGTGGTAATCCAAGCCCACTACATCCCGCCCCCTCGGACGGAGCGGGTCCGCTACCTGGGCCGCGAAGAGACCGGCGCCGCCCCACCGCCCGGCTCCCCGGCCCCGGCGTCGATGGAGGAGCGAGCTGCTCGCATCCTGGGTCTCCCCGTCAGCGAGCTGGGCTTCGCGGGGGCGGGAGGAGAGGCCCCGGGGCCAGGGAGCCCTGCGCGCGGGGCTGCGGGGAGCTGCGCGAGCGACGCGGCTCCTTTCGGGGATGCGCGGGCAGTGGGGCAGCCTGCGGGGCCTCCTTCGGCCCCGGCCAGCCCCACGAAGCCCGTAGCAGCCCCCGACGGGTCCCAGGCTGGGCCTACGGAGCTAGCCGGGCTGGCCTGCCCCAGCCAGAGAGGGGCAGCCGCTCCTGGCCAGGAAGGCGGCTGCCCGCCCCGAGGCGGAAAAGAAGCCGCCGCAAAGCCCGCGCTGCCCTCGCCAAGCAGATCCTACGTCCGGGATCTGAAGGAAGCCATGTCGAGGATCCGCCGGCACACCGCGCCGGATTCGGACACGGACGAGGAGCTGGAGCAGGAGTGGCAGCCGGCCTCCGGGCGAGCAGCCTGGAAGCGGCGGCTGGGGGAAGGAGCCCTCTGCTACAGCAGCAGCAGCAGCAGCCTCGACAGCAGCAGCTCCAATGCCACCGTGGTGCCCGGGAGCGCCCCCCTTGGCCTGCGGAAGGGGCCCGAGTCTGGCTGGGAGCTGCCGGCTGCGGGTGGAAGCGGCTTGAGCCGGTCCGAGGCAGGACCACAGCCATGAAATGGCGGAGAAGAGAGACTGTGACACCCACGTCAGAGCCCCATACCCGCCAGCACCCCCACCCCACCCCGTCTCCCAAGTGCCTGGTATCCCTATGCCTCTGCCCAGCTCCTTCTCCTTGTCACAGGCTCAGGGACACACGTGTGTTCAGGGTCGTGGGGTGCGGATGCGGAAGGATATAAACGTCATTGTAACACTTCCCATATCAGGTTCTGTACTCAAGTGTGTGTTTGGTGTAAGAATGGAGCCTACATGTTCAGAGGCAGTATATCTGATTACTAGATGCTAGGGAGAACCTAGAGGATAGCCATCGCTGTAACACCCTATACAGTGGTGCCCCGCAAGACGAATGCCTCGCAAGACGGAAAAACCGCTAGACGAAAGGGTTTTCCGTTCTGAAGTTGCTTCGCAGGACGAATTCCCCTATGGGCTTGCTTCGCAAGACGAAAATACCTTGCGAGTCTTGAGATTTTTTTCGCTTTCCCCCTTTATCTAATCTGCTAAGCCTTTAATAGCCTTTAATAGCCTTTTAGCAGCTAATCCCCTAAGCCTTTAAGCCTTTAATAGCCGCTAAACCGCTAATAGCGCTAATAGCGCTAATCCGTCAATGGGCTTGCTTCGCAAGACGAAAAAACCGCTAGACGAAGACTCTCGCGGAACGGATTAATTTCGTCTTGCGAGGCACCACTGTAATGCTGAATCTCCCAGGAACCTCCTTGCCCAGTCTTAATTCAGGGATGGGGAAGCTTAGGCCTCAGGGTCAGGGCCAATTGTGGCCTTCCAGGCCTTTCTGCCTGACTCTCGGGACTCTCTCCTGGCCACACATCCTGCCGGCTCCTCTGCACACTCTTCTTGGGTGCTTTTGCCAGCCTGGAGTGTGTTGCTGAATACTAGCAATGCTTCTTGCTTGCCTGGACAGAGGGTAGAGAGGGCTGCCCGAGTGCACATAGAAACTAGGCTCCTGCACAAAGGTAAACACTTGTTGCTCCACCTACTTTTGCTTCTGACCCCGCCTCCATGTGGCCCCTGGAAGGCTGCATAGAAGGGGATGTGGCCCTTGAGCTAATAAAGGTTCCCTGCCTTAGCTGGAGACAGACAAGAGGGGGGAGAGCAGGTCCCTTTGGTTTGATCAGGCAAGGCTATCTTTACATAGCAGGGATATTTCCAACAAAGCTACCAAGATGTTTCCCCCCTGCTTTTCTATGTCCATATGATTATTGCGGTCCATGTGTGCCAGGTATTCAGGAACTAATAATAATAATAATAATAATAATAAACATATCTTTCAAACACAGAAGCTGGATGATGCGTTCTCAGTTTGATTATGCCAAGAGATACTCAGTGCCTCTGAACACCCCAAAGAAATACAAGTTAAGATCCATACATCAACATTTCAGGAGAGAATGAATAGAAGAATGAAATAAAACATTAACATGAAAATGGTTAAGTGAGCTGATGAGATGGTGCTTAAACAACTGTGCCCTCCTTTGCATGTCTACTTAGAAGTAAGCAGGTGTAGAACTGCAGCCTAAGAACATCAGTTTCTTTTTGAAATGGTCCATTTAATTAAAACAACAACAGCCCAATAGTTGAAGATGAACAATACTTTATTAGAAACAAAATTAAAAAAAATCCTTCCAGTAGCACCTTAAAGACCAACTAAGTTTTTTATTGGTATGAGCTTTCGTGTGCATGCATACCAATAACATACCAATAACAAACTTAGTCTCTAAGGTGCTACTGGAAGGATTTTTTTTATTTTGTTTCGACTATGGCAGACCAACATGGCTACGTACCTGTAACTAATACTTTATTAGGATTAATTCAAATGTCTCAAAAGAATGAGCAAGCGTTTGAGCTGCAGAGTTCAGGGTAGATACTAAGAAAAAACACGAGGGGGAGGAGAGGGAAATTGGCCCCTTGAAAGGGATTTGTGCTTCTGATATGGTGCAATACATGGTCAGCTTAAAACGGGGGCCTGGAGGGCTAGCCTCTGTGTCTCCAGATGTTGCTGGACTGCGACCCCCACTGGTCCCAGCTACTATGGCCAATAGAAATGATGGGAGTTGTAGTCTAGCAACACCTGGAGGGACACACATTAGCCACCTGTTTTAAAAGGCATTGTCAAAGTAAAGGGAGCTGCTCTGAACCATAAGGAAAACACACGTCCTTATTAGGGCAATTCCATTGTTAGGCCTGCCGATTGCAAAATATAGTGTGCAAAGTTCAAGTTCTACCATCAGGCTAGATAGTGAACAGAGCATTGGGGTGGTGAGTTAGAAGAAATTTGTTTCTGGCTGATAATGAAGCTTCATCTGCTGACAGTCTTCGTATGGGTAGAGGAGGAGGTAGACATTCAAATGAAGCTGTTTAAGTGCTATCCAGGTATCAGGTTCACCAAAGCCTGCTGGGAACAAGAAGCATATAAGTGGCTGGTTTCTCTCTGTCTGAAAAGACAAGAACGGACTGTTCCCAAGTCTCCATCCTTGGGCAGAACACACCTGTGGTGATAGACCTGCATAACAGTTTTTGTGTTTTAAGACACAGGGAATCAGCCAATTGTGAGCAGGGTCTGCGACAGTTCTGGTGGCAAGCAAACAAGTTTGCAAATCTCCAGCTGCCGTTTCACCACTGACTGACAGGTGAAATTTGAAGGGCAGAAGCAGTGAGCAGGGGCGTGAACTGAACCTTTTCGCAGCCACTTCTTCTTGCCCCAACCCACAGACTCCAGTTTGCCATGTCATTGAGAAAGACTGGTGATGGTGGTGGGATTGTGGTTGCAGAGGGAAAGTAAGAAGCAGGTGAAAGGCTCGGAGGAAGCGACGGGAGTCTATCCAGACACAGATTCCTACAATCTTAAGTAACGAAAGGGCTAGGTTGTGTGTAACAGGCCAAACAAGTTAAAAACGACAATTTAGACAGAAAGTAATTGTGCCAGAACATTATTCTGTCCAACTCTCCTCTTCCACAATCACCCTCCTGGATTTTTTAAAAAAGGCATTAAGTTTTCTTTTTCCTTTTAGAACACCCTTGCCTCCTCTTTTAGCTCATAAACAGAAGCCTGCAAGTCCACCTGACATTCTTCCCCAAGCTGCAGTACACAGTGTTATAGAATGCAAACGCCCACCCACACATCCTGCACAAGTAGCTCTCGGGTAATATAGGCATACTTCCTACAAGAATGCTTGTGTGCTGAAGAGAGGCTGCACATGGGATGAGAGGTGAGACCAGCTGTGGTGGTGATGCAGATGGCATTGTGGAGTTTTGTGCTTCTGCGCACAGGTGCTTCTGCACCTAGGTCATTTTAGACCCTTGAGTCAAATGGTATTACAGTGTGTGTGTTTACTACAGATGTCCTCAGGAGTTGGTACCACATGGGTTATTCAGTGTTGATGCACACAATTAACATTTTATTTCTTTCCCCATCCACTCTAACGTTCCATTCTTTACAACTACTTCTACATTCCGTATATATTAGAGGGGGGCCAGTTTGCCAACCCTCATAAGTAGAAAATTCTGAATGCATGCAGTTTCTTATTTTAAACTCTGTGAAATCATAGCACCATCATGACTATGTGAATAAAACGTGGTTTGCTTCTGCTGCCTCGATGCTATGCACATTGATTTGGGAATAAACACTGCTTTATTGCAGATATATATACACATAAAATGAGGATCTGTCACCATGCACATAATGCAGCAAAAATGGAAATCCAAAGAGCAAACTAGAATCATAGAATCATAGAGTTGGAAGAGACCACAAGGGCCATCGAGTCCAACCCCCTGCCAAGCAGGAAACACCATCAGAGCACTCCTGACATATGGTTGTCAAGCCTCTGCTTAAAGACCTCCAAAGAAGGAGACTCCACCACACTCCTTGGCAGCAAATTCCACTGTCGAACAGCTCTTACTGTCAGGACGTTCTTCCTAATGTTTAGGTGGAATCTTCTTTCTTGTAGTTTGGATCCATTGCTCCCTGTCCGCTTCTCTGGAGCAGCAGAAAACAACCTTTCTCCCTCCTCTATGTGACATCCTTTTATATATTTGAACATGGCTATCATATCACCCCTTAACCTCCTCTTCTCCAGGCTAAACATGCCCAGCTCCCTTAGCCGTTCCTCATAAGGCATCGTTTCCAGGCCTTTGACCATTTTGGTTGCCCTCCTCTGGACACGTTCCAGTTTGTCAGTGTCCTTCTTGAACTGTGGTGCCCAGAACTGGACACAGTACTCCAGGTGAGGTCTGACCAGAGCAGAATACAGTGGCACTATTACTTCCCTTGATCTAGATGCTATACTCCTATTGATGCAGCCCAGAATTGCATTGGCTTTTTAGCTGCCGCATCACACTGTTGGCTCATGTCAAGTTTGTGGTCAACCAAGACTCCTAGATCCTTTTCACATGTACCGCTCTCAAGCCAGGTGTCACCCATCTTGTATTTGTGCCTCTCATTTTTTTTGCCCAAGTGCAATACTTTACATTTCTCCCTGTTAAAATTCATCTAGAAGAAGAGCAAAAGCAATGGGGTAGACAGAATATCAGTGGTATCAGTCCAACACGTTTCAGGCCATGCTGATCCTTTTTCAGGGAAATTAAGAGAAAAGGGTCAGCATTTTGATGTGCTGTCTCAGACCCCAGGCCCAGCTCTGGCTGAACCGCTGCCTGCAGCTGTGGGATGTATTGCTAGAGCAGTCAAGTACAACATTTTCCTGTTGCCTGGAATGGACACACAGGGGAATGTGGCTCCACACTTGTGTGTGACCAGGTAGATGGGTGTGACCCTGGCTGACCATGTAAATGGTCCATGCAGCCATCTTCCCTTTCCCCCACAGCAGTCCTGTCCCAGCCCCCTTTGCTGTGAAGTGGTGGCAGCCGAAGTTTCCAGACCTGCGCTTGCTGCTGAAAGCAAAGATTTTGTCCCCCACTCCACACACAAAACCCCCAAACTTTCAGTGGTGGTTTGAGTGTTGCACGCATAGGAGCACATTCAGAAGACATGATTTGTATTCCCCTCAATGGAAGAGTTCCACCTGCTCAGAAAAAGGATAATTGGTACAGAGCTAGTTACTGAAAGGGTTCCATCCATTCATGACTTCTAATGTGACGGTGGTATCCTGACACTGGCTCTTCCCACAATGAACATTTGCTGCAACTGGCCTACAGTGATGCTTTTTACAGCCTTATATTGATTATTATATTTCAGATATCTCTCTTCATAAAATAATCTGGAAAGTACTTTTTTCCTTATGTGTAACCAGAACTCAGAGAAGGGTGTGTGTGTGTATTTGTTTTGTTTGTCATTTTACCACTGGATGGCGCTCTGTGTCCACTATTTTATTTGTTTCACCTGCAGGGCAATTCTAGATCCATACCACCACAAAACATAGCTCCAGGTTCTTTTTCTCAAACTCCAACGTCTCTGTTCAAACATATCAGACTCTTTCCAATGCCTGGGAGCTGTGGTTCTCAGTTTCCACTGGAACCCTCCACCTGAGCTGTTAGATCCTGATCTTCAGCTGGGAAGATATGGAATCCCTAAACCAGCCTTTTAGCAATCTTGCCCTTTAGGTTCAGAGGAATGGGTGGATGAATCATGTTACTGATTAACGTAAGTAACTAGAATGTAATTATTTCACATGGATTCAAGGAGAGAATCCCAAATCTACAGTGAATCTGAAGAAATAAAAGAACACAAACATAGCAATCTGTAATAAAGAGCCAGTAGAGCTGCCAACTGGGATGCGGGTGGCGCTGTGGGTTAAACCACAGAGCCTAGGACTTGCTGATCAGAAGGTCGGCAGTTCGAATCCCCGTGACGGGGTGAGCTCCAGTTGTTCGGTCCCTGCTCCTGCCCACGTAGCAGTTTGAAAGCACATCAAAGTGCAAGTAGATAAATAGGTGGCGGGAAGGTAAACAGCGTTCCGGCTTAGTCATGCTGGCTACATGACCCGGAAGCTGTACACCGGCTCCCTCGGCCAATAAAGCGAGATGAGCGCCACAACCCCATGAGCGTTGGTCATGACTGGACCTAATGGTCAGGGGTCCCTTTACCTTTAGAGATGCCAACTGACCAGAAAGTGCACCTGGATCTGCTCCCATGCAGCTTGATCTGCATTATCTACTGCTAACATCAGTCTATCAAGTGGCTGTTAAAGACAGAGGGGCTGAAGGAACAGGTAGAAACTGCAAGAGACAGGAATGTCGTAACAGGTATATCCATAAACACTTTAAAAAGAGAAAGTGTATACAAATAGAAATCAGGATGTTTTTCCTCCAATAGAGAAATACCACATTCTTTCACTTCAGCAGCCCAGGCTGGGCAAAGATGAAGGCCCAAAGCAAAATAATACCATTTTTATCTAAAAGCAACTGGTGGTAGTATCACATTTCCACTGAGGGGTCAATAGCAGCTGTGTGTGATTGTGTGTGTCCAATTTAGATGAGGTAAATGGACCAGGGAGAGAATTAACCACTCCTCTGATCTAATTTGGAGGCTCCTGCTTTTAAATGGAAAATGGTATCTGTGAGGAAATAATAATAATAATAATAATAATAATAATTATTATTATTATTTATACCCCCAGCCCAGCCACTCTGGGCAGCTGATAATGGATCTCTTGCCCCTCAGCTTATTTAGTCCTAGGATTCTTATCCTGTTTGTACCGCTTGGGCCACCAGCGTTTCTCGAACTTGGGTCTCCAACTGTTTTTAGACTACAATTCCTATCACCCCTGACAATTGTCTCTATTAACTGGGGCTGTTGGGAACTGAAGGCCAGCTGTATCTGGAGGGCCAGAGCTTTCCCCAGCAGGCTCAACAAGTACAGGAGAGCCCCCACTCTAGAAGAAGCCAACAGACCCCCTCCATCCTTGGTAGCAAGGGACTGACTGACAAACCATGCATAGCTACCTGGGATCCTTCCTAGGAAGCAATAAATAACTGGTACCTTTTGAGAAAACTGCAAGACATCTTTGGAGAATAAAGTTCATCACATTTGGCTGAGATCTGACCACATCCACAAGTGAATGAAAAGCTGTTTGTCTTGAAAAGCAGATACTATTTTACAATGATAGCGGACCTTGCTTTTTTGTGTGTGTCAATAAATTTTTATTATTTCCTCAACACAGTTTCATACAATACATCAAATCACATCCATACTTTTAGCTCTGCCGAGCTTATGACCTTCCTCCTTCCCTTCAACAGGTATCCCTTATTTCTTTAAATCACATATTTTAAATACTGAGTCTCTTATTTATTACATTGTAGGAGTTATATCAATCCTGCCAGTATTTTTAAAGTTTTACAATTATCCTTTAAATACACTATAAATTTACTCCAACTTTCTATGAATCTCTGGTCGTCCTGGTCCTGAATCTTGCCAGTCAGCTTGGCTAACTCCGCATAGTTCATCATTTTCGTCTGCCACTCCGCAATGGTTGGAATTTCCAATTTTGGGCCAACATGGTTCTTGCCGCTGCTGTGGCGTACATGAACAGTCTTTGATCCGATTTCTTGATCTCTTTCCCCATCAAACCCAGCAAGAAGGCTTCTCGGTTTTTGGGGAAAGTATATTTAAATTTTTTCTTTAGTTCAGATAGACTTAATAGGAGGCAGAGATAAAACATTATCTAAGATGTATGATTTGTTATTAGAATGGTATACCAAAGATGAAGAAGTGAAAGAAGCAATGATAAAATGGGCAATAGATTTTGGACATAATATTGAATTGGATGCCTGGTATGAATTATGGAATGTAAATAAGAAATTCACTGCATGTACAGCTTTAAAAGAAAATTTGATGAAGATGACTTTTAGGTGGCACCTGACACCTGTAAAGCTGGCGAAAATGTATAGGATGAGGGATAAAAAATGTTGGAAATGCAAGGAGGCTGATGGAGACTTTTACCACATGTGGTGGATTTGTGATAAAGTTAAGAACTTTTGGGAGATGATCTATAACAAACTAAAGATAGCGGACCTTGCTTCAGTCAGCGTTCTGCCACTGACCCGTCCCAAATTCGAAGTACTTTGTGCTGTACAGCCATCCATTTTGTACAAGTTACAACTCCCAGTGTGGGTTAACAACCTGTCTTTCTTCCCAGGGAACTCTGGGAATTGTAGCTCTGTGATGGGAATAGGGGTCTCCTCACAATTCCCAGCAGCCTTAACAAACGGTACTTCCCTGCCTGTTAAAGCGGTATAATAGTGCTTTTAATGGTATGGATGCGACCAATGTCCTGTTAAATGGGACCTTGGTGGCGCAGTCCATCTCGGCCCCCTCATGGTAATGGGTGATGTGGCCCAGGCCTGTTCATAGACTTTCATGGGGTTTTTTCTTCTAGTTTTCCTGAAACCTACTGGACCGGACAGTGGGGCAAAAGAAATGTGGCCGCTGTTGTTCTGATCATTCTGATGGATACACCCAGGGCTTTTTTTCCCAGCTGGGACTCACTGGAACTCAGTTTGGCACCTCTCAGGTGGGCGCCATTGCCATTATAAGAAAACAAGGGAGATGTTTATGGTGAGTTCCAGCACTTCTTCTTCTAGAAAAATATCACTGGATGCACCACAAGAAACCACGCCTCCAAAATTTATGCTCCTGTCACACAGAGATCCCTGTGAAGTCATTGCTTATACAGTGGTACCTCGGGTTAAGTACTTAATTTGTTCCGGAGGTCCGCTCTTAACCTGAAACTGTTCTTAACCTGAAGCACCACTTTAGCTAATGGGGCCTCCCACTGCCGCCGCGCCGCCGGAGCATGATTTCTGTTCTCATCCTGAAGCAAAGTTCTTAACCCAAGGTGCTATTTCTGGGTTAGCGGAGTCTGTAACCTGAAGCATCTGTAACCTGAAGCATCTGTAACCTGAAGCGTATGTAACCCGAGGTACCACTGTAATGGCTTTATTATTGCTTTGTGGAGCACATTCCAGGAGAGGGAGCTATTCTCCTGCCTCCCATCCTCCAGGTCATTAATGTACTTGCAGTCTAGAGAAGGGGTAGCTCCCCCCCCCAATCTTTTTTGCTTCAGGTGTGAAAATGTCTAAAGGCCAGGCCTGGGGGTGGCAGTGGTGGTTATGGGACTCTGCTGGCTGACTCATCCAGCGCGGGGACGTGAGCAACTTCCCATCTGGGACAGCCCCCACGGCTGAATCATCTTGCTTGTCTGGGGGTCCCAGCAGGAAGGATCCCCCCATGGAAAGACAACAAACCGCACA